CTTCACAAAGAGAAGACATATTGTGTCTCTGAAGTTAGCATCCTTCACAAAGAGAAGACATATTGTGTCTCTGAAGTCAGCATCCTTCACAAAGAAATGACACATTGTGTCTCTGAAGTTAGCATCCTTCACAAAGAAATGACACATTGTGTCTCTGAAGTTAGCATCCTTCACAAAGAAATGACACATTGTGTCTCTGAAGTTAGCATCCTTCACAAAGAAATGACACATTGTGTCTCTGAAGTCAGCATCCTTCACAAAGAAATGACACATTGTGTCTCTGAAGTTAGCATCCTTCACAAAGAAATGACACATTGTGTCTCTGAAGTTAGCATCCTTCACAAAGAGAAGACATATTGTGTCTCTGAAGTTAGCATCCTTCACAAAGAAATGACACATTGTGTCTCTGAAGTTAGCATCCTTCACAAAGAAATGACACATTGTGTCTCTGAAGTTAGCATCCTTCACAAAGAAATGACACATTGTGTCTCTGAAGTTAGCATCCTTCACAAAGAAATGACACATGTGTCTCTGAAGTCAGCATCCTTCACAAAGAAATGACACATTGTGTCTCTGAAGTTAGCATCCTTCACAAAGAAATGACACATGTGTCTCTGAAGTTAGCATCCTTCACAAAGAGAAGACACATTGTGTCTCTGAAGTTAGCATCCTTCACAAAGAAATGACACATTGTGTCTCTGAAGTTAGCATCCTTCACAAAGAAATGACACATTGTGTCTCTGAAGTTAGCATCCTTCACAAAAAGAAATAAACAATGTCATAATCTGCATCACATAAATCACCACTCACAGAAGCATGCACATTTTATTGAGCAATGTAAACCAAATGCATTTCATGGGATTTTTTTTAAGTGGACATTGTGGGTAATTAACTTTCCAACAAGGTCAAAAGGACAAAAGAATCTTGCTAAATTTTCTTTCCGCAGCTGTTCAGTAATAGTTTACCTAAAATCTTAAATGTTATTACACATACGTAACGTTCTATAGCAGGTCTAACAGAGCAAGCACAGGAGAGTCAGGAAGAGCCTGTCATGCTTTTATCAAAAACTAAGTCTGTACCTTTTCTTAGCAATGACAGAATTCATAGTTCCTGAAAATAATCAACTGTCATTATAGTTGATGACCACTTGTTTATATCAGAGAATGATTTTCAAAATTATCAATCTTAAAAGTAGAATATTAAATTTCTTTCAAGACAGAAATAGGTTTTACTTCCTGACTGTAACTTCCTTTCCTATCATGATGAATGCCCTCCTTCCCACTACCCAAAGACAAAGATAATTATATTACATATAAACATACACAGTTTATATATAATTGAAATTCATTTATATTCCATCAGCTACCACAATGAACTTACTGTTAATGTGATTATATATTCAAAGAATAACATGCAACATTTAGTCACTATGTGTTGATAAACTAGCAACGGCTATCTATGTTTAGGTAAATAATTCCAGTTTTTAAAATACAGTCCAAGATAAACCTAAAACTCTTATTTTTTTCATAATTTTTTGATAAATTTTCCAAGCTATTTAATACAGTAAGTAAAGATATTTCTAAAAAATTGATATTCAATATCTTTTATCCTTAGTTGATTAAATATCTTCTTTTTAAAACTGAAATTAAATTACAACTAATTTAATGTAATAGTTTTAATCTTTTAGCCATAATTTGTTTCAACTGCACAAATTTTACAAATAAGATTTCCCCAAGTGTAGAACTTAATATCACCATTTTATAGTGCAAATACAAAGTAAATTTGTATAGCATTCATTTAGTATTTCTTAGAATAACTTTACCTTTTTTAAAAAGAGGCCAAATGTGATTTTTAACAGTTAAACCTGAGCTGATGATGACCTATATCTTAATTATCATCATGGATATATTTGGAATAGTATTTGCTATGAAAATAATGAACAGTTACCTTGTCACCTCATCCAACACCTTTACTAAGTGAAAGCTATAAACAATAAGAATACATATACTCTGTCACCTCATCTAACCCCTTCCCTAAGTGAAAGCTGTGAAACAACAAGAATACATATAGACTTTCAAATGTTTTTGTTTTTAGCAAAGCATACACTTCCAATGGGAAGATAGACAACTCTTACTCACCATACTTAATTAAATACTAGAGTTTGAAGATTCAGATGGGAAGATAGACAACTCTTACTCACCATACTTAATTAAATACTAGAGTTTGAAGATTCAGATGGGAAGATAGACAACTCTTACTCACCATACTTAATTAAATACTAGAGTTTGAAGATTCAGATGGGACGATAGACAACTCTTACTCACCATACTTAATTAAATACTAGAGTTTGAAGATTCAGATGGGAAGATAGACAACTCTTACTCACCATACTTAATTAAATACTAGAGTTTGAAGATTCAGATGGGAAGATAGACAACTCTTACTCACCATACTTAATTAAATACTAGAGTTTGAAGATTCAGATGGGACGATAGACAACTCTTACTCACCATACTTAATTAAATACTAGAGTTTGAAGATTCAGATGGGAAGAGAGACAACTCTTACTCACCATACTTAATTAAATACTAGAGTGTGAAGATTCAGATGGGAAGAGAGACAACTCTTACTCACCATATTTGATTAAATACTAGAGTTTGAAGATTCAGATGGGAAGATAGACAACTCTTACTCACCATACTTAATTAAATACTAGAGTTTGAAGATTCAGATGGAAAGATAGACAACTCTTACTCACCATACTTAATTAAATACTAGAGTTTGAAGATTCAGATGGGAAGATAGACAACTCTTACTCACCATACTTAATTAAATACTAGAGTGTGAAGATTCAGATGGGAAGAGAGACAACTCTTACTCACCATACTTAATTAAATACTAGAGTTTGAAGATTCAGATGGGACGATAGACAACTCTTACTCACCATACTTAATTAAATACTAGAGTTTGAAGATTCAGATGGGACGATAGACAACTCTTACTCACCATACTTAATTTAATACTAGAGTTTGAAGATTCAGATGGGAAGATAGACAACTCTTACTCACCATACTTAAGTAAATACTAGAGTTTGAAGATTCAGATGGGAAGAGAGACAACTCTTACTCACCATACTTCATTAAATACTAGAGTGTGAAGATTCAGATGGGAAGATAGACAACTCTTACTCACCATACTTAATTAAATAGTAGAGTGTGAAGATTCAGATGGGAAAAGAGACAACTCTTACTCACCATACTTAATTAAATACCAGAGTTTGAAGATTCAGATGGAAAGATAGACAACTCTTACTCACCATACTTAATTAAATACTAGAGTTTGAAGATTCAGATGGGAAGATAGACAACTCTTACTCACCATACTTAATTAAATACTAGAGTTTGAAGATTCAGATGGGAAGATAGACAACTCTTACTCACCATACTTAATTAAATACTAGAGTTTGAAGATTCAGATGGGACGATAGACAACTCTTACTCACATACTTAATTAAATACTAGAGTTTGAAGATTCAGATGGGAAGAGAGACAACTCTTACTCACCATACTTAATTTAATACTAGAGTTTGAAGATTCAGATGGGAAAAGAGACAACTTTTACTCACCATACTTAATTTAATACTAGAGTTTGAAGATTCAGATGGGAAAAGAGACAACTTTTACTCACCATACTTAATTAAATACTAGAGTTTGAAGATTCAGATGGGAAGAGAGACAACTTTTACTCACCATACTTAATTAAATACTAGAGTTTGAAGATTCAGATGGAAAGATAGACAACTTTTACTCACCATACTTAATTAAATACTAGAGTTTGAAGATTCAGATGGGAAGAGAGACAACTCTTACTCACCATACTTAATTTAATACTAGAGTTTGAAGATTCAGATGGGAAGAGAGACAACTCTTACTCACCATACTTAATTTAATACTAGAGTTTGAAGATTCAGATGGGAAAAGAGACAACTTTTACTCACCATACTTAATTTAATACTAGAGTTTGAAGATTCAGATGGGAAAAGAGACAACTTTTACTCACCATACTTAATTAAATACTAGAGTTTGAAGATTCAGATGGGAAGAGAGACAACTCTTACTCACCATACTTAATTTAATAATAGAGTGTGAAGATTCAGATGGGAAGATAGACAACTCTTACTCACCATACTTAATTAAATACTAGAGTTTGAAGATTCAGATGGGAAGAGAGACAACTCTTACTCACCATACTTAATTAAATACTAGAGTTTGAAGATTCAGATGGGAAGAGAGACAACTCTTACATACCATACAAGATAAGATAAAGTAAGTGCTTCATCGAATATCAAATTTTTTTTCATTCTAATCTTCCGTGATTTTATCAAATATTTCTGACCTCCAACTTTTTATCACTGTGCAGTTCTGATTGCAGTTTTAAAACCTTTCTTGATTGCAGTTGTAAACCCTTTCTGTACCAATAATTGCTTATCTGTATCATTGATAATGATCTTCCATTTTTCAACACAAAAAGGGATTAGAATATGACCAGTTCCTTTGCGATGACACAACGACACTTTTGAGGATTTACAAAATAAAACTATCACTTCATCAACCTTTCCATTTATGACTGTCACAAAATTAACAAACTGTGGCAAGTGTTGTAAGTTACCCTGTCATACACATTTACTTAAATATGTACTTCAACTTAACTCATTATTCTAGGCTACAAGAATATCAAACAGTGTGCTAACCAATAGGCAAGAGTTGGTTTTACACATTCAAGTAAAGATAAAAGTGTTTTGATCATCAATATCACATTCAGGCAAGATTCCTGTGGTATCCTACAAGCCCAATGAAATATGCTTCCAAAAGGATGACCAGTTAACATCTTTTGAATAAAACCTAGCTGAATGTAAGATGAGTATGATTTCTTTTCATTTTTGGACTCCTATTTCAAACTCAGGTGGAATAACGTTAATTTAAACACAGTTCAATACTCACCATTACTTATACTAGATGGACCCCCTCCTTTGATTGGTGATTCCAACATGGCCTCCGCTAATGTCTCCTTAATTCTATCCTCTTCCTCTTCACTCCCTCTTGGTTGCTTGGCAACTGTTGACTCTGCCCAGCTGCTGTATACATCACATAAATTTGGTGACTGTTCAAAGCTCCCTGTAGGAAAAAAAAGAGGTGTATAATCAATATTAAGCTTCAATTAATCCATTTAACATATGAATTCTCATTACTCACACACAACTTTGGAGTTTTTGATGTCTCAAATCAGTGTCCAATGAAAATTAAAATCATATATTGAAAAATTATATACAAACAACAGACATCTTATCCGACAGAACTTCAACACAGGACCTACCAGCTTCAATCAGCAGAGCTGTGCTATAGGCTCCCTTCCCTGCTGGTGGTGTGCTATCACTGCCTGATAGACGACGGTATGCCGGTCGAGCTGTTGGCATAGCAACAGGACTGGAACGGGCTGGTTGTATCCTTCAAAGAGAAAAACACTTTAAAATTCTTAAAATTATCATGGCATGGTTCCAAAATATAAACTGTTGTGAGATACGATAGGTTGATTATATACTGCTATCATAAATCATTTGTATCAGAGTCCATAATCGGCTTAGAGAGATTTTATCTGAAAACACATGCGTATCATACAAATAAGAGAGACAATATTTACTTGAGACTTTCCAGGTCAACTTCATTGGACACAACGTCCATTGCAGACATATTAGCCTCAGGACTCTGTGACAGCAGAGCTGAGGAGTTGGAGGATAGAACTGTGGTGTTGTGTACATTCTGGTAGGTCTTAAAGGAAAATTGTGGCCCCATCCACAGACGACGGTGGGGGCCAACATGAGTTATAATCTCAACTTGTGACAACCACTGCTCCTGGAGCTCCATGTCCTTGGTACCATGATCTGATGACAAGCTATCCTTTGAGTCTGCCCGGGTCACAGGATCAAGATCACCAGTATACACATCTGTGGGATACACATGATATCATAAAGATGAGAAAATATCCACCATCTTTTGCAAGGAATAACTGCTTATCAAATGTTCTTCTCTCACATTCAAATTAATACATACTTCTCTACTGATAATTATGAAAAAATAAGAAGTAAGCAGGATAGAACAATATTCACTCTCTTTAGCCGGAAATGTTTTCTCATTCAAGGCATAATGGTCTAACATTGAAACAAAATAGATATTTCTCTAATAAAATTTAGAAAAGAATAAAAAGTATAAACCATAAATCATAAATGTTGACAGTGTTTACCTTTCAGAGTTGTTGGTTGTTGGGTTGTTACAGCCTCAGTCGCCTGGATGATAGGGTTGTTGGAGGCAAGTGGCAGTCGTATGTCCTCTGATGTCTTTGGTCGCTGTAAGTTCCACTGTATATATCCAGTGGCAAGAAGTTCAAGGGGCGTCTCCTCTGAGCCTTTGTCTACCAGAGTCTTTGGGCGAGGCTCCAATACATATTCTACTAGTGTCCCAGTCTGACACATCACAAACAGTGAGTCTGCAGCACGTTTACCCTCTACAACAATACATTAAACAATAAAACATAGTGCAGAATTTGCCTTATAAGTGTGAATTGTTTAGTTACAGATAACGATTCTGGCATTTCTTTAATAACAATTCAAGAAATATTGTTGTTTACTTCACACCACTGCTGACCAATCTTGATCCCATACTTACCTCTTCTGTCTACAGTGACACTGGAGCTGCCTCCAACCCACAATCGTGGTGTGGAAAAATGTGAGCACACACTTAACACACTGTCTGTTCCAAGGGGTGAGTGGGACGGGCTCTGGTTCTTCACGCCTGTCACACTGTTGGTGAGCAGGAGAGGCTGTTTTATCTGTGCCAGGGCATACAATGTTGTGGGGTGGGGGTAAGGCGGCAGACGTGGGTTCCCTGTGCTGTTGCTCATCACATTCTGTCGCATCAGACTTGGGTAACTCTCAAAATGACCTGAAGCAAATCAGTAGTATATTCTGTGTATGCATTGTCATTACCTTTATGTCTTATATCAGTGCACTAAATATTATCTGTATATCTGTGAAGAAACTACAATATTATTGTAGATTCAATACTGAATATCTGTATCTATTTGAAATTACAAACACTTTTTACTTTCTTAATTTAACTGGCCACTGAACAAAAATAGTTCCAACTTTATTTTACAGAAACTTCTGATTTCCTACTGCTTGTATCTAAAATGACCTTATATAGCACTAGAAATTAAAAGTAACACTCCTATAACTGTTGACTGGTACATGGATTGCTATCTATACCTGAGGAGCTACTGGGACTAGCAGACAGTACAGGACTACTGCGACCGCCTGCCTGCTGCATCTCATCCAAACCTGCGCTCTTGTGAAATCGACTAGCTCTGTTAACAACGCGTGAGGAACAGTGAGTTCTCTTGGACACTGAACCTATAAAGAAACATCAGACATAAAACTGTGATAATTCAAACATCTCAAACAGATATATATACATAATGACAGGTAGACTGCCATCTTTGTGCAGTAATATTGGGAATGCATGGCTTTACTTACCTCCATAGGGTGTAATTGGAAATACATGGGTGGTCCCTCTGTGAGTACATATCGTGATCCAGCGACTATCTTGACTGAAGCTTATATCCACTACCTAAAATATAATACAATTACATGTGTTGTTTTACTGATGTTTGTTTCATTTGTTTAAAATTTGCTGAGGGGTTAAAAGTATCAAATGGAAAGATGACATACTGATGTTTTTCAAATATGAATGAAAGACTTCTCGTTTGAACACATCTACAAATCAGAGAAAAAGTGGACACATTTGATTTTGAAATGCATTTGAGATCTCCTCAGTAGTTTGGGATGATAACAAGTAACATACATTACTTTATTTATATCAATTGTAATCCTAAGTTACTAAGGAAACAGACACAAAGGATAAAACAATTATACTATCTCAAACATATCTTCCAATTTAATCCTTTTGTACTTCCATCACAAATTCTAAGAGATGAACAGCGCTGTTAAATTCATCACTTTTCTCAGTGAGTCACATGCATTTATTTCATACATATTTAAACACCAAAAAATCATTAAATTAATTATCCTTCATTAAAGTTGTACCTTTGCAGTTGTCTCCCCTCTGTGAAGAGTGTAGAGGTGATGAACTGCTCCCAGTGATGAACTACAAGGATGAGCCATTATACGGAACACATGGAAGTTATGTCCTAGCTTACAAGCTGTCAACAGCAATGTCCCTGAACTATCAAATGCCATTTTGGCCACTGGTTCATTTGCATGAGCGTGAAAATGTGCTATAAGTCCATCTCCTTCGCTTTCTTCACCAACACAAAACTGAAACAGAAAATAACCAACATAAAACTGAAACAGAACATAACCAACACAAAACTGAAACAGAACATAACCAACACAAAACTGAAACAGCACATAACCAACACAAAACTGAAACAGAACATAACCAACACAAAACTGAAACAGAACATAACCAACACAAAACTGAAACAGCACATGAATGATTTACTGAGTAGAAGACATTATCCATAATTCTTATCTGCTCTGGAATGTGTTCTAGAAACTTTGCTATGTACTTATTCAAACCTATTTATTCTTAAAAACTGACATTGATTCTACATTCATATCTGAAGAATTTTCGGTAATCATCTTACATCAATAGTGAATATATCATATTAGCACAGTTATAACAAACAGAACTATCTTATGATTTTTCAGTATTTGCTTTTAACAACTACACCTTGAGAGAATCTATTAGATGATGGTATGTCAACATTACCACTGTTTCCCCCCAAAACTGCCACTAGGTATAAGGAATACATACAATTTGAACAATATTAAGACCTGGTGTTAGGAGTTTTTCAGACAGTTCATTAGCTGTATACAGTGCTGTTTCTTACATGTTCTGAGGATATGGTCTGTAGATCTATTATAGAAACTATTCCGGGATGAAACCCATTCACATCTTGAAAGCTGTGTTCCACTTTCTTCACTGGCTGTGGTTTACAGCCTGTTACACTGTTTACCATTGCCTCGCCAAACATTGTCAGACCCTTAAACGCTCCCTGAAATCAAAAACAGTATTCTCTTACCCAGTGTGACAAACATAATTAGTGTCTAAATGTAGTGCAATTTATACTTAATGTGCTTGAAGAGTTTCAGACAGCATCGATATTCTGATACAGATCTGTAGACATCATAATTCTCTGACAGAGATGTACACTGGTATGTAATCATTACTTCTGGACAATCTAGATGAGTGGAAAGTCTTGGGACAGAAACCATTTGGATGTATTCACCTTAGCTGCACTGATGACTGTGGCAGCATAAGACTGTGCTCCATCTCCAGACATTCCTCCACATGACTGATGCATTGGTACCAACTACAAAACATGATAACACAATTAGCTACTGTTAAAATAAGACAAATATTCAGCTTATTAAATACTAACAAATTTTATAAGATTTTAACAATACTCCTACGTATAATTTTGTTCACACTACAAAGTAAAAAGAGATGTCACATTTAATTTTTGTCAACATAATTGAACTTTTTAAATTGTAGTTAATCTCACATCTGAGCTCAAGCTATGAATCTTTTTATTACAGGTATATCAGGGTTCTATTTAAGATTGAAGAACAACCTCAGGATCATTTCAGGAAGATAAACCTATAATGAATGGGACTCCTTGCATTATTGCAAGGTTATTACCCTTATGCTTGAAACTAAGGATCTCATCTCATAGTACAATAATATAGAAAAGTGTGTGATGACAAAAAATATTAACGCAAGCAAACTTGTTAATCCATGTAGACTATGCCTCCTGAAGTGTAGTGATGTGGCAGTGAACTTACCCGTTTGTCTGCATATGCAAGCCACCTGATGCCTAAGGCTATTGGATTATGGTCGGGTCCTGGGCAGGGGAAGCAACCTATCACAACAGATTGATATAACATATAAAATTCCAATTCCACATAACTGGCAACCAAAAAATACAACAAGCACCTAGATTTGTAACAAAATTAGAAAAAAAATTGAATGATGCTATTGATACCAAAATGAAAAATAGTTCGAAACAGAAAATGGTTTTAAATTTGCATATTAAAATTTGTGGTAAATGTGTCTTGATTTCTTGATTATAATATGTTGCTTACTTACTTGTCACCCAAAACCTTTGTTTAAAGGTGCATGCATCAAATATACATATCTTCTCTTGGAAAGCGATTACTAACACCCTGTAAAACCAAGATAAGTGGAGTAAAAATTCAATATAATTATAGTTAAAGAATAGAGAAACAATGTGGGGGTAATGGATTTGCTCATTTTTTCTTTATGTTACAATGGTATCCAGATATTAGAAAATATATCAGCGGTAACATCCTTTTTATAAACAGCTGAAATATAAATTAAAGGGAAACAATTACTAACTACCCTAACCTGACTGACGTTTGTCATAAAAATAAATATAAATCAAAGCATAAGAAAAATTGCTCAGGTCCTTAAAGTTAGATGTTTAAGAGTAATTTTGTTTTATTCAGAAAATGAACACTATGATTACATCAGATCCATAAACCTGACTTCAGAGAGCCTTTGATAAAGTTATGTCATTGGTACATAGTCTTAGAAAATGTACCTATAAAACCATAGACATTCAATTTGTGTGTGAGCATTTTATATTGTATACTACTATCTTGTTTTCTCTGTCTTTGACTTCAGGACATTCATCTATATTTTCAATTTGTCAAGGAACTCACCGTTTATTGCACTCAATGTTGAGGACTGGAATGCTGGGGAAATTCAGGGAATGCACCTCGTCTCCAGTTTTCAGCGATACAATTTTAACTGAGCAGTATGGCTGGCCAGCACTGCAATACAAAACAAAACCACATCAGATGATATAAATCTGAGCTTCAGGGAATGTTGTTTGTGATTTTCTCTCTGGAATAAGTTTCTAAATTTGCTAAAACTAAATTTCAAACATTCATATCAGCCAGATGTATAGGAATGTCACCAATAATGAGGTAAGAAATTAGATACGTTTACAGGCTCCATTCCAAATCATTCAATCACCTCTGGGTGTTTGTAGAGCTAACCATTTGTAATTTTAAGCATTCATTGTACTTTTAGGTTACAAATATATCATTTTATTACAGAACAAGCTAAACTGAACAAAAATGGTTAAACTGTCAATTTTCTTACTGGAGAGCTTTGAATAGTCAACGTGTTTGGGGTATGTTTGATGAAACTTCAGGTACAGGATACTAATGATATTCAGTAACTAAACTCATCATCACAACATTTGAAAATCACCTGTGTAGTATCAGTCTTAAAAATATATGGCTGAGTATTTTTTTCCCAGACAATGAATCTTTTGTTTGACACAGTTCTCATACAGATAGAGAGAGCAAGTGATTCACACATCCTTTAATAACTAAAACCTAATTATTGTCTCCTGATAGCAGAGTACTGGCTTCTGTAGACCTGCCTTAAAAAAAAAAAAAAAAAAAAAAACTAGAATTTTTATGGTGAACTTTGGAATGATCTGAACAAACCAATCACATTACATAAATAAAATACATTACCTTGAAGTATCACAGATGGCCATAAGGGGTCTTTGAGTGTGAAACTGGTCTACATCACCTCTCACTACAGCGAAAAATACAGTTATATCCCCAAGATATGAAAACACAGGTATTTACGTAACAATGTCTATAACTTTACATTTATCCGAAGACATTCCAGGGAAGACTTTATACTTATAGATATATTGTAAATACATATACCAGTCTATCTAATGTATATAAGACTTTATCTAATACTATTTTCATGTTATGCTTTATTCTTTTTCAAATCCTCATTTTAATGACACCAGAGACAGATAGTGTTATATAATTTAAGAGGTTTGCTGTGTTTTCTAGAAAAGAATGGTTTTACCTGGAACAGGTGTGGGCAGTACTCGGGCAATTTTGACTGGCCCTTGTCGTAAGGATAACACTTCTAAGGCCTCTCCACTTGGCTGTTAAAGGTTAAATCAACATTTAGTAACATGACAAATAGATCTTAAGGTTTCCTTGCCAGCATATTGGTAAGAAATATGTTTACTGATAGGTAATTCACATAGAATTTTCCAGTCTAGTTTGCTTCACACTTCAATTTATAGCGAGTACTTTAATTCATCACAGAGAGGGTTTCTAAAATAAAATTTATACACATGTATAAAAAAGAATGCATTACCTTTTTCACATTTTCAAATTTTATAACTGACAGTACCTTTTAGACATTTTATCAATAAAGTAACTGTCAAACCTAACTTAACAGGTTTATATCGAAGTCAAACTTATTTGATATCTCAACATTTCAAACTGACCAGAACATTCCATATCTGTACTCCATTGCTATACCCTAGTATCAACAGTAGTGGAATTCCTTTGTTCTCTCCTATAGTCAGGTCAGGGTTGTTACATATGTCTGCAACAGTAAATTATCAGTTATTTCCTCAAATGATATATATGTAAAATATCAAATACTACAATAAAGATTAGGATAACAAAATTAATTTGAAAAAAAGGCTAGGATGATTCCGATAGTTTCTTCACAGTTTCTTGACAAAGTGCACAGTCAAGACAGCACAGGATAGTCATTAGAATCACAAACATCCTTGGATAGGGATTGAATCACACACCTCACATATTTGTAGGATGTTGTTATGCCCAGTGCTCTTAGACTGAGCTATTTCTAGCTTCTTGTTCCTTGATAATTAACTTTGAAATACTAAGAACCTAACCTTGCCATAAATTAAGCTTATTTCTCATCTTAAAAATTTAAACACAAAAACACTATCATTGACACCTTGTACAGTTATATGTCATTTTTGTATGTCCAGAACATAGATTCCAAATTTTTTATGAGACACAAAACAAAGAGATTTAAGTGGGTTTTTAAAATTAGAGTGAATCCCACATTAAAAGCATGGGCCTAGGTCTCAAATATCTAAGCCTCAAAAGCAACTGTTTGAAGGGTCACCATATCTATAGTTTATATGTCAAGAGGGGGTTGAGATAGTGAGGTTGTAGATAATACCAGGCATGTCTTACCATTTATGTCAGATGACTCAAAGCGAACCCACTGAATTTTTTCTTTGTCTTCAAACTGTTTTTGATGTCCACTATATGCCTACAAATAATTCAATAAAATTTTGTTTTGTACTTTCGTGTATAACATTTCATATTATACTCTTCTTCAAAATAGTTTGTATTTTACATTCCAGTCATAAAAATCATCAATATCTATACAACAGTGTGACGTTAAAATTTCACAACTCAGTAACATACTGTATGCTTGATTTGCTTGTAAAATTAATATCATTCTACTATTGATACGACTTCACCTCAGAGCCTGTTTCAATTTTGCATGAAGTAAAATTGCAATTTCAAAATTAGATGTATATCTACAACATATAGTGTGGGACCTATTTTGTATGAACAATCTTATACATTTTGAGTCAGCATTTTAACTTAACTGGATTGCATGGCTGTTCATGAACTTCATTTTAAACTAAAATTAGATAACTTTAAACTGTATAATGATGTTTTTAATATTGCTTTGAGTTGAGTACAATGTATCTCTTATTAAATACACTACCTGTGGGACTACGTCTGAAATGAAATCCACCACACTCTCCATAACAGATTTATCACTGAAAAAAGAAAAAACATAAATATGTAAAGCCAATTACTTTGATTACATAGTAGGTTCATATTCAAAGATAACTTCTGGAAAAAAAAATATAACACATAACATTATACAACAAATGACATCTCCATGATGAATTCATGTATGAATATGTGATATTTTATGAGTTTTCTGATAGTTGACCGACATCAAACATTGTTTTGTTTCCTTTACTGACTTCATACCCTCATTAATATATTTTCATCAAAAAATGAAAAAAAAACCTATGTTTGTTCTAATCTGGTCTCTTAAATCTTTAAGCCATGTAGCTATATTCTATCAAATACCAATATATCTCTTTTTTAAGCTGATCTTTTCAAGCTGAATTATGAAACTATTTAAAGCTAATGAGATTTGTTTTGGAACTATGATCACTGATTGTATTGTGAGTCTCAGAAAAGGATGAAATGTGTGTATAAAGCATTTAATTTTGAACTGCTCCAGATCTATAATGTTAAAAGGACATGAAACAAATGTTATAATTTTATCATGATCAAGTTCAGATGATAGCTGTCCCCTATTTTCTAAATACAAAAGCAAAAATGGTATAATACAGTTAGCACCTTTTTTTAATTTACTGATAAAGACAGGGACTGCATAGACAACCATACAATAATTCTTTTTTATGATTTGTATATTCATGTATGATTTGGTAAGCCTAAAAACAACCCTTCCATTACATATTACACACAGTTGTAATTTCAGCCTTTAGGAATTAATTTGATAGCCTAAACATTAATGTACAAGAAATGCTAACTGTTTTGATAATGCTCTATTAACAAACAAATGCTCAATTTGTACCATATGTGGTACGATATTAATACAATTAGAAATTGTCTATTCTTGTTTTTGCTGATTTCCATATTTACCATAACCTTAAAATATAAATGATATTAAAGAATTCTGATATCTTGTGTTTTAAAGTCTATTTAAAAAAAAGGTAAGTCATGAAATACCATTATGTATGTGACTGTACTGGCTTTTGCTCTTGATTAAATTTCAGAACCTTAAGTATACAGTTTTACTGATTTTCTTTTAAATGACGTAATTCGAAAAACACAGCATGAATGGATTGTAAATAAGGTGTAAATGTTTTACATGACTGTGTCCTGTTATAAATACATGGATGATATATTTGTATTGCATCAAACACTACCCGATGCAATACAAATAAATTATCTTGTATCTTAATGTGTAGTCTTATTAACAAGAAAAAGCACATAGGAAAGATTACTCATAAATGAGTCTGAAAAGTTCGTGTAGGACAGTGGCATGTGACCTGTAAATTCGAAACGATGGGTTTTCAGTTTTTAGGCCCACTAGAGGCCAATTCCTTTCCCTCACTTCTTGCTTTGAATTTGAGAAAACAAGAATTCTTATTTAAAACTACTCCAGGTTTATATATCGTTGTAATATATTTCAAGCGAACACTTTTAGTCGCCATTACAAATGATGATTCTGATCAGCTGTTGATAATTTGTTGACACGACTTTGTCCGAAACGATTTTTGCCCAGCAAACAAATGGTCAGTATCCGAGTAAATCACATATCTTATTAGTGTTTTCTTTACCATACCTGAACGGTTGCGGCCGAACAACATTCTGATTATACTTAGAAGACCTCTTAGGTGAATCTGCTGCCATTATTTTGCAGAAATTCGGGTGATATCAACAAATATTACTTATGACGTCTAGCTTGTTTTGGGTTGTCCGCGAAGATTTCGACGAATGAAGAGTTCTACTTCCTGTTTTCGCCACTGACATTATGTAAAGAGGCCCATTATGGGGGTAATTAATCTCATCTTCAGAAGTTTGTCGATTTTAGTATTTGATAGCACGTTTATCACATTGTTCCTTATATGCAGGTTATGTCGAAGGAAATACTAGTTTTTCAATTGATTTGTACTATAAATAAAGAAATAATGTCTCAAGTTGATACTTGACACAGTGACACAAGTCTTACGAAAAGCAAATTAATTACACACACCCACTGTTATGACTTAATGATATGAAGTGAAAAAATATAAAACGTAGATGTAACATGGTGAATTGTACATCATTTGTATTTCCTTGTTGATATTCGTTTCCTCATGTTTTATCAATACAATGCTATAGATATTGGTTATGTCACATGACAGCCACGTGATACAAATGTACACTGTAGGTTAATACTACATGTATGTATTTTAATTATATTAATTGTTATTGTTATAATCGTATTACATTCTACGGATAGACTCGGTATATGTAACAACGAGTACATAATTTAGATAAAAGATTTAAAGTTTATTCACAACATAAAACGAACTGCGTCGACCAATCGAATTTCAGCGATCAGTTCAGATCAATTTCTTTGTAATCGATCTGGCAGTTCGAGATCTGACAGCAGACGGCCAGTACCTGTTTCCAAACATCTAAGTAATATATCTGTTTATGATTTACTATGTATAAGTATAACTGGAATATGAAATGTACGTGTTAACACAACTTAATGTATTTGTGATCACTGCTGTCAATTAATATTTTACCTGTATCTACATATATGTAATTATATAGTAAGTGTCAATTAGTGTATTCGCTTCATTACTATTTGATAACGTCTGCGATAGTGATTTTTAAGTTACTGAATTTTATTCTTGTATTTTTCGTATATCGTAAGTGTCTAATGAAAAAGATTGTTTGTCCATCTCAGGTGTTCACCTCAGCGAGATATATTGCGTAGAGAAAAAGGATTATGCTATTATGTCTCGTCTACCTTACTTAGGGATACGTCCCTGCTTAGGGTGAGTTTTGTTAACACTGTTCTGCTTACTGTTGACATAGGTCATGTTAATACACACTGTTTCTCGGTGTAACTTATGACAAATGTGTATGTAATCATATGCGAGATGTGACCATTAATATAATTGTATGATGACGGTCAAAATGTTAATCATTCTCAAACCTTTATTTTAATGTGTTAAAGGTGCGTTATTATCTGTTTCAACTGAATGCTATGTTTTTAATATATTGCAGCCGAGTGCCTTTCGTCTGTAATCGCACTGAAGACTGAAGCAGACTGTTTTTTTTCTGCAGGTTGCATATACATATGTGAAACAAATACATTTTTTATCTATTAGTGAACAAATATAAGTATACATATAGTGGATTGAAAGTCGATGAAAGATGCATGATGGTTTCTAAATCTTCTAAAATATATCTTGTTCTCATGATATCATTTCTATACTGCGCTGTTTTTCACTGTAGCTTCATTTCATTATTTATTCGTATGTTTTCCGTGAATAACCTGGACCAACACTGCTATTTTCGGGATGGTATTTCACCAGGGACTTTTCTGGTTTCATGATAAAATGTATTTTTGGATGATGAATATCAGGAAAAAGATAACACGAAAAGTCATTTCGTTTGACTGTATGGGTAAAACCTACCTAACAACCAAAATCTGTGACAGAAGTTCACAAAGATAAATTACATCCTATACATGCATTTGAAATTTTTCCGGAAAAAATTGTGAAGATTTTCTGTCGTTTGACAGAGGAATGATAACTGATATTTTCACTGTTGAAAAAGAGGAAAGAGGGAGGGGAGGGGTGATCATTCTTTTGAAATATAATTAGTGAAATCTTTCTAGGACATTCAGTGTTACAATCTGAAAGGAGAAAAATAATGACTGTCTGTCCGTCCGTCCGTCCATCTACCCACCCACCCATTCATCCGCCGTCCGTTCGCCCGTCTAGCTCACTGTCTGTCTAGGCATTCAGTGTTACAACGTGTACCTATAATCAAATCTTATCATTATTATTGAAGCTGTATCATCAATGCATCAAATATGCTACACACTGGCAAAAAATCTACAATAAGACGTGGTACTTTTGCAGATTTTTTGTCTGTTGGCCACAATTTTTGTTGTCGTATACGTATAGATGAAGTCATGATTTGCGTTGATACATGGTTGGAATTATCGAGTTATGTCCCTTGTATCACAAGGCAACCTTGTACGCTTGGTTTGATTGACAAGTGAATTGGATTGTCACACAAGGGTTATATATCATTGTATATATTTGAACAGTTTCCTTACTTTTGTTTTCGTATTAAGCCGAAAAATATTTTCCCAACTCGACGAAGTTTTATTACATGATGATTATTAAATGTGGTAAATTGTTGGGCTGGTGCACCTCCCCGTCCAGATTTTGACATTTCTTTCAATGAATAAATGAAAAGCTGTACATGTCAGTCCTGCTGGATGTCTTCCAGATGGTGTTGACGATGGAGCTTCTGGTCCTGTTGATGCTAGGTATTGGTACTGGTACATCAATAAGTCGGTTTGTTAGGCGGTAAAGCATGATAACAAGAACCCAGACTAAACCATTTTAGTAACACAACCAGGATCTTTGCAGAAGGACGTAGTTACTATGTACAAATCTGACGGCTTGATTTTGTACCATCTCAAGTTGGTGGACTTGTAACTGCGTGTTATAGTACTTGTCGCACTAGTAATATATACTTAAAGCCTTGACATCTATTTTTGGGCCTCGTCGACTGCTGCGGAGAAAGCCTATAAATCTAGATGGGCTTACCCAGAAAGGTCTTCGCTGATGAAGAAAGAACACAGTGCAGACAGCTTGTTTTGATACGATAGGAATATATTAATGTTACTACATGACATTGTCTTCTTCATTAAAGGATACTGAATTTCTACACAAATAAATGATGACAAATATCAGGTCTTAACTTCAGTAGAGCATTTCATGTTTAGTTTAAAGAACTTTAACAATGAAGTTGATTGATGTACCTCTCCGTGTTATCAGTTTAATCATCAATTTATACCCACTGAATACGAATTGCTAATCATTTGTCTATTTGAATTCAATAATTGTAAGGCTGATGTTTGAGGGTGCAAATAAATATTGTATAAAACACAAAGATGATCATGCTTTAAGAGGAAGCTTATCGTGTTAAGAAAAAATACATTTTGTCGTTAGACGGAAGTTTACGGCTTTCCTGCCATACACCTAAAAAAGCAGGAAGGAGACGGGCCGTGTCACTCCTGGACTAAGATGGGGGACGACGTAAACGTAAGTATTGTGCAATGTAACAGTGCTCGTGTACTGTATATAGAGTTACTGTTATATTTCAGGTTTTTTCACAGCTAATGTGTTAAAGAAGTTTAGACTAGTTTGACATTGTAAAACGACAGCGAAGACAAACGATAAACATGTTCCCGTTCCAGCTGCTCTGTTCATGAGATATTCCCAGATAGTTTTTTCAAGGAAGAATATTACATGATCAGTATATTTGGAATTTGTGTAGCTTACTGCGAATAATTTGGCATGTCTGAATATTGTTCTTACTCCAAAATCAATATTTCCATACTCACAAATCGAGTTTTCTGCACAAATATTTTGAGCATATATGATTATAAGCTGTAACACAAGTCGAGTCCGTTCCACAGAAAACTACATACATACACGTTACTTCCTTAATATGTTGTACTAAGTGTCAATATTTGTATAAGAAGACAAATAAATGAGAATCACCTTTTAATACAAATTTAGAGTTAGACTCAGCAGAGTCAAACAATGATAAAAATGCACCATATAGATTCATCCTTCTAGGACTCGTCAGTGATGTTAAGGGCCAAAATTCGGAAGCCTAAGAGGCGACTGAGGGAAATCTAAAGTGATCAAAAGAAAAGTCAAAACCTAGACGAGGAGGTACAGCAGTCCCATGGTTAATTAACTTCGTAGTTTTTACATATCTGATAGTTTCGTAGGAACGTCAAGCACATGTGTATGTTCTGAACCGTGTCACTATTCACTAAATGAATTAAACTTGGTGTTAAATGCATGGCATCAAGATTGAAGCTATCTCCAGTAAATTAGCATGTCAACAGTTTGATTTAATTTATAATTCAATTAATTTAATCGAATGACCGACAGCAAAGGCATACACAATACACTGACTTATCCCGTCGTAATTTATTTTCATAATACGATTTTTACTTCTCAAGTTACAAGTTACAAGATTTCAAGATGTCAATTTTTTTTATTAACATCCAGGCATATAATATCATGTTACCAGAGGATTTAAGTACAGTTAATAACGAGTTGCAAATAGGATATATTTTGATTCAGTTTTAAAGGTTTGTTCCAAATATCATTATTTTCGTGCTAGATATCGTTTGCCTACTGATGGCATATGTAAATATTGAAATCTGTATGAAAGTTTAAACAGTTACAATGTTTTCACAAGAAGATATCACTCGGTGTTCCATTTCCTTGTACGATATCAAGGTCTATGCTTTATGATGCTCTCCTCGCTTGCAGGAAGTAGTGTTACTACAAGTGTTCAAGATCTACTAGCCAGAGGATACACTGTTAAAACCCTCATTCTTTCAAGAGTGAAATATATCCTCCTATCCTCCTATCCTATATAGATGATTTATGTATAATTTGTCAATCTCTTGTGGTGGTTTTAGTCAGAAAAGTATTTTTTTTGCCGGTGATATTTTCTTGTTGAAATTGGTTTTGATATTATATCCTTTAAATGATCCTTAACTGTAGAATCTTTAATGTGTTTACCTACAAAATATATGGGAGGTATATCAAAGTTTCCAACTGATCCTTAACTGTAGAATCTTGAATATGTTGACCTTTAGGATATATGTCAAAGTTTCGAAGTGATCCTTAACTGTAGAATCTTGACCTTTTCCTTGTACGATATCAAGGTCTATGCTTTATGATGCTCTCCTAGCTTGCAGGAAGTAGTGTTACTACAAGTGTTCAAGATCTACTAGCCAGAGGATACACTGTTAAAGCCCCCGTTCTTTCAAGAGTGAAATATATCCTCCTATCCTATATTTGTAAGGTTTAATGAGCTTTGAATATGAAAATAGATTATTTATGTATAATTTGTCAATCTCTTGTGGTGGTTTTAGTCAGAAAAGTATTTTTTGGACGGTGACATTTTCTTGTTGAAACTGGTTTTGATATATCCTTTAACTGATCCTTAACTGTAGAATCTTTAATATGTTGAACTTAAGGATATATGTCAAAGTTTCCAACTGATCCCTAACTGTAGAATCTGGAATATGTTGACTTTTAGAATATATGTCAAAGTTTCCAACTGATCCCTAACTGTAGAATCTGGAATATGTTGACTTTTAGAATATATGTCAAAGTTTCCAACTGATCCCTAACTGTAGAATCTGGAATATGTTGACCTACAAAATGTATAGGATATATGTCAAAGTTTCGATGTGATCTTTAACTGTAGAAACTTGAATATGTTGACCTTTAGGATATATATCAAAGTTTCTGAGTGATTCTTAACTGTAGAATCTGGAATATGTTGACCTGTAGTATATATATCAAAGTTCCTGAGTGATCCTTAACCATAGAATCTTGACCTTTTCGCAGAAAACAAAGAGAAATAATTAGTGATAATTTTGAAACCATCGTTAGATTTGGTTGAAGTAAGCTTTTTATTCTAAACCTAAGGTAAAAGACCGAATCAAAATCTAAATATTTAAATATATACAGTGTATATAATTATTGTAACGTGTCTGGGACCGGCTCAACTATGGTAGCGATTGACCGGTCGGTGTCCCAGCACGCCACAGCGTTTGCCACCCAGTAAGAGTGGTTAGTAAGTTCGAATGGCAGGCCAGCCAAAGGAAAACCAGGAGTCGTTGGTCACAGTTGATGTTTTATTTAGTATAAACGGAATCCCCATTACAACATCCCCAGTCGGCGGTAATAGGTCAGGCTATGGAAGGGTTTGAGGGGCTATGTGTAAAGGCCTATTGGTCCTACTGGTATTGGGTTCTCCCTGTCCCTGACAGACTGGCTCTGGCATGTCGCTGGTAGGAATACGCTGGTACAATGTAATAGTAGGGCTGGCTACCTACGTCGCTACAAGGTACCGCGAGCTACGCGAAACATTTATGCTTAAAATGACGTTTTAAGAGTCAACACATTTTCACCTGCAAATTCAGGTTACCAGTTCAACGAAAACTAAATCTGGCCCCAATTGTATAAAACATCTCAACTTGAGATTTCCTCAAGTCGAGATTTTCCTCAGCTAATATCTCCTTGAAAATATCTTGTATGAAAATTCCTCAAGGAATTTCAGGACATCCTGGCCGATGCCTTCCTCATGTTCCTTGAGAATTTTATAAAAGCCGTTTTTGAGGAGATATCAGCTGAGGAAAATCTCGACTTGAGGAAATCTCAAGTTGAGATATTTAATACAAGTGGGGCCAGGTGTGCAGTAACTGTAAAAACAGACGTAGCCTATAAAATCAGTGAACAATCAGATATTGAATGAAGTAGTTTTGGGTTACTTTGGAACATTTCTTCGGGTTGGTAATGTCAGTAGAATAGAAGTTCTTATAACAAAACCAATGGAAGATTACGCTCCACACTGGTCATTGACCTGATGAAGGTGACCTTGTAGTCATCGAAACATAAAACTCTTATCTTCTACTGGTTGTGTTGTAAGAACTTCTATTCTATAGTTGCGGGGTGTTTGGATATTACGGAAACGGTTACAACCATAAGTGTTTATGTTATATAATAACTGCTACGAGAATCAGGCGAGCACAGAGGGATTGTTTGACAAATATTTCGAATTTTATGACAATATCGATATGAATGAAGCAATGAAATCAAATCAAGGATGAATGTGGTAAAATATTTGATATGCCTATGAGAATCTCTAGGAAATTTTTATAAGAATATGATTATATAGGATTCAACTCTTTGTTTATCTCTACTGTATCTAATTGTAACTTTGTGTTAAATAGTAATAGTTATTTGTGTCAAGTACAAAAAACAGAGCATAAAGGGACTTTTAAACAGTTTAAACAAACTTCTCTTAATTTAAAGACAGGACTATGGACAAAAATAATGCATATTTCAATGATATGATGGCTATGTTCCAACTTCTTTGGTAGATCTTTTATATATTTAATCTGAATGGGAACTGTGTGGGATACCATTACTGATCTTGAAATTTTTGCGTCAAAAAATATATCTAGGTTAGAACAATGTTAAATTTATTCAATTTCTATGAAAAGATGTGTTCGCTGTGTTCCTGATGTTTGAAAAGCACTATCAAGTTGCTATTTACTACTGGTAAAGCGGCCATTGGATAATTTCCACCAAAACTTGCAATAAACTAGGTCACTTGATTTTCAATCATACATTAGATGCTGAAATATACGAAATGACCAACCAAAGTTTACCAAATTAGTGTCAAGAAATATATTGTAATCAACAAATCTGGACCTAATCATATACAATTATTTTGTTTACATCTGGTTTATGTTATGATGGTTTGTCATTTGGGAATGAACAGAATTCATAATTTTTTGTTTTGGTTTTCAAACTCTCTTAAATTGTATGATTTACAGTAGATCGATCAGAATTAATTAAAATGTTTTTATCATAACTTTTTAAATATTGATTCAGTGTTGGGCAATGCTTATTATCATGAACATGTTGTTTCGTAATGATAGATGTTAAGTGTTGAAATCCAGTTGAAATACGAATGTATCGGATAAATCCAACAGACATGAAATCACAGAAGAAAAGTTATCTGACTCCCTAATCTGATCTATACATATAAATACATATATGATTATTTTTAAAGTTTTGTTTTTAAATTGAAGAGAGTATAAGATAACATCATGTTTATTATGAAACGATATGTTACCTTGAGGACAATCTGGTGATCGACACTATAAATAGATGTTGACATTGCGGCCTACGTCTTTGTTAACAGGAAGTAAACTATATTTTTGTGTAGTGGTCCGCCAGTTATCAGCAGATCGCCATAACTTATGCTACAAGCGGGTGGAGAGGCTCAACATTGAAATAATGTAGGCCTGTGTACATTGTACAGGAAGGTTTGAGGAGGTATATTTTGTGATACTGCACATCTACAGGTAAATATTACAGGTCTATATCAGTCCGTATACCTATATATACACGTATTTACAGTTCTCCTGTGGATAAAATATCATAAGGTTATTGGGGTTTTGTTAAACTATACGCAGTAAAGTACAATAGTGCAATGTTGGTGGAGTTTGGGGATCGTAAGGGAATATTCACGATCATGACTAAACATCTACATAATGCCTTATACAATATTGTATTTCGTTACATTAACACAACGAATTCATTTGAATGCATACTAACAAATGATACAGATAGCAAAGGTCACATTTGTATTGTATCCTATGTCATGTATACATATTTGTTGGATGAAAAATCTCTGTCTCTATCAAAGCATGCCTTCTGACAGCTAGACCGTGCAAACTAGTCACTACTTCACTGACATAGACGCTTCCACGACATTATTGTTACTTACTAACACAGGTGTACTGGTAAAGATTTTAAAAACGAATCAATTTCACTGTAATATTTTTCACTACACTCCTAGATGTACGTATATATGTGTATTATCTATACACGTGTGTGATTGTGAACTATACATGTGTGACGTCTGCTGACAGTTGCCTGTAGGAAATGACAAACACAAGGGATGAGCCCCGAAATGGCAGTATATCCTTTACAGTAGTGTTCACAAGTTCTTAAACGATCTCTGCGATCAAAACAACGCCATATTTATCTAGAACAGGGAAGTCGAAAGGATATTGGAGTCTTTACCTGTGTAAATCGTTAAGGTAAGCGGAGACACGACATATTTATTAAAGCACTTGTCCACATGTAGGTTAGGTTTGTAGTTTAACATATTTGTACAACTTAAATGATGTAATTCTACTATGGACCAAGCCTTGGGGAAATTGTTGGTAGAGTCGAGATTTCTCTTTCTTTATTACACTACTTGATGAACGATTGACCATACCAAAAATATCTACTTGTTCATACCGGAGTAAGGGGCTATGAAAACATTAAAGACACATGTACAACGTATGGACTGATTCCGTTATACATCCACTTTCTAACCAAGTTGAATTGTTTGCTGTTTCAGAAACAGATCAGCTTTAGGTTAGGATCAATTCTGTTTTACCTTATGGATAGGTGTATATATATAAATATATATATATGACGACTTATAGTGTCCATATATCGGAGGACATTATAAATTCAGCTGTGACATTTGAACTCTTTAATATAATCATCAATGAATACATTAATTTGATCCTCTGATAACGTTCCGGACATTGACTTTCAACAATAAGATTTTTAATCTCACGCCTGTGTGTGTTTGAAGCGAGTAGATTAGAAGGGGAAAGGTGGATAAACAAAGTGTTGTATTTATCTGATATATCGCTGATATCACTCTGTCTAAAGTATTATGTAATCTTCCTGTTACAACGTCTTTTCGTTCTATACTCCATTAGTGAAAAATCAGTACAATATTGTTTTATTCTATTGTTATCATAGAAGAGCATTGTTTTCTAACGGCAAAACAATACTAAAGTCTATGTGAATAAACCTGCATACACTAGGCAATTGCCACTATACACTGTGGGCGTGTCCATTCTCGTTCGCTCTGAAGAATGTTTCATGCTTTGGTTATAAGTGTAAAATATTTTGATGAAATGACCCATCTTGTTTAGAGAATTCCATGTCATTCGTCTTACAAGAACATGGTCTAGTTCATATATCGTTGATCATTTGATACTTTTAATGGCAAATTAATTGTTATGAAAAGCGTTCTATATGTGAGGATATGTATAATTCTCAGTTATGAATGTATTATCTTGAACTCACGTTCATGTGTCCTGATTTGAAAGAATAGTTAGAATAGTGTCAGTAAATTGACAGCATTCAGATTTTCACATACAAGCCCCAACGAGCACATAATTCACTTTAAAGAAATATTTACCGAAGATGTTGGCATATATCTGCATTAAAAAGGGAAGATCATAGCATATACAGATGTACGTTTTCTGCATATCACCATTCCAGACATATTCAAAATATTGATCAATTAATTTTGTTATCATCAGAATTATGAGGAAATTCTTGCAATACATTGTTTGAATTCATCATTATTGGATTAGTTTCTAATTGATATTTTTTTTAATTTTTCTATGTTAAATCAATATATTACGAGAGTATCAACAAATACATAAAATATATGTTCATGTTTGAGAACTTTATTTTCTTTATGTGGTATTGTTGTATGACTGTATAACTGAATCAGTTTTGCCGATGTATCGAGGTTAGTTTGGTTGCTTTGTCTTCAGCTGTTGATAGTTGTAAATACAAATTCCGATATAATGCGTCAGCAATGAAGGGTTAAATATAAGCGTAAAAAGACAGAGATATATGCAACAGGATGAAATATAAGGATATATATAGTAATCTGTTCAATTTCCAAGGAAAGCGAAGTTTATATCCAAACTAAAATGAATACGACAAATTAATCCAGTTGTCCTCTTCTGCTTGATGGTTTACACCCGCCCGTCATAAATATATGGTATCAAATCCACAAATAACATGTCCTTGAGTGTAGTATCGACCAGACTGTGGAACACAAAAGAAAAAAAATTATTGTGATATCGCACACGGTAATAACATCTCGATGTTGACTATGTTTCTCAGCACAATGTGAACTCTTTAATATAAATCTCACGGAGGCTATATATATATATATATATATACAGTCTACTTAATTGTGTAGATATATATATATAGCTACACAAACAAGTAGACTGTATTTGAGACATATTTTTGTCTTAAGTATGTCCTACTCTAAACACCATTGACGCACGTATATACAGCACGTACATCGAAAACCTAAATGACAGACCTTCCCACAGCCACTTGATGACTCAATATTTGATTTCATTAACACGCTTTTGTTAATTTCACTCAAAGGCTTAGACTAGCACCACTTCCGTCCAGAAGGAGGTACAAGTTTCAGTACACGTTATATGTAAACTCGTGAAAATATAATATAAAAGGCAAATCATGGAATGTTGACGGCATTCTCCATCTTAATATGTTTACTGAATCATCCACCCGGAACATCTTCATATGTTGCGCATGACTTTGTAAGAAGGTTCAAACCCATTTAACATGGCTTGAAGTTTATTCCCTTTTATAAGTCAACTATAACATGACTTGCTCTTTGCGAATAAAACTTCCTAGACTTAATTGTGTAGTTGATAGTATATAACGACACATGATTGTCAGATAACAATTCGTTTTTGAAGATCCTTTATTAACCCTAGTATAACATATGCTATTGATTTAAGAGACTTCCCATTTGACTTCTGTCATCTACAGTATCGATATTCTTTTCAACAAATGATAATAGACAATTTAATTACAGTCCATGCTGATAACAAAGGCATTTCTGGAATGATAAAGAGGACGGATGTTACCGATTGACCACTGATTATCGCATACAGGAAAACTAACTATACATAATTTGTTTGATAATCCCGTTCTCCCACTAGTCAGTGTTATAAGAGGAGGATGTCGAGAGATTCCAACAAAAACAGATAAGGGTAATATAAGGGAAAGAATTAAAAAGGCTACATCCTATGTTTAATAGTAGGAGCAGCATATCAATTTTGGTCTCTTCACTGTTCCCCTGCAAGGAAGCAAAACAGAATCCTCTTATATACTGATCCCATACTACATACAATGATATACAGCTGACATGTTCTGTTTCCACTCTTGCACAGGTTAGACTTGCTGGTGTATCTTTGTACACGTAGCATACAGATGGTGCTTTTATTTTGTAGTATATAGTATCACGATAACATATCACATTTTATCAATGTATTATAAGTACAAACTTGGGATACAATCATACATATCTAAGTTTGAAACGGACGTTAACAATATAAGTTGCTACAAATTAAGTTATCGTTATTTTGTTTTTGTGGTTGAAAATAACGATGGTATTATAACTTATAAGATGAAAGTTGATAAACAATGCTGCGTCAGAATCCTGTCCTCCTTGACATGATCTTTTTCTAGGGTTGTTAAAGTGAGATATGTGTTTGGTCGGACAGACTGGGCGACATTGATGGACAGATTAATTGTTACGGTTATTGACAGTGATTGTAGTAGGAAACCATGGAAACCATTCGGTCGTTACAGGTTTCCGTTCATTAATGCATATTTAATGCTCATCTTCACGTGCGTCATACTTCTACAATGACAGACATCAGTCTGCACTAATTTGGTTTTGCTGATGCTTAGTACAAATAGTACGTTCTTTTGAGGTTTGAATCCGTATAAATTATCATCGAAAACTTCCGACATTGTCCAACGAAACGGTTATGTTTAGAATACATTTCATTCATAAAACATACAATTACATATATGAATGATTTTGAAAACAATCTCGAAGCTAGGATCGATAGCAGTTTTGTAACGTTTTTGAAGTGATTGTATGTAACGGCTCTGGACCAGTTACTGTGTCAGGCTGATCGAATTATTTCTTTTATTTATTTTTTTGTTTTTCATTTTTTGTTGTTTGTTTGTTTGTTTGTTTGTTTTTTTTTACAAATCATGTTTTATTTCAATGAAACAACTTTAAGCAGCCAGGCCGAAGAAAGATTTTTAAACAAAACACTTGTCCAAAAGTATACCGTTTCATGACGTCACACGCTTTCTCGTTACTTTAGCCTTAGGACGGAAGTCAGCTGGCATTAGTCATACACTAATGATAATATTAGGATAACTTCATTCAAAGAGATTTTGTTTCTTGTCACAGGAAGCCATGCCCGTCCTAGGCCGACCTAGCAAGCGGTCCAGTGGTGGGAAACATCCATGTCAGACGATAGATCGCCTGAGAGAGGACACGCGTAAGAGCGTGTGGTATGTCTTTGATACACTCTCCAATATCTCCACTGGCAAGGTCATGAAGTCACAACTCAAGGTCAGTAACGAAACGATGTATTATATATTCATATATTTTATGACTATACTTTTAACTGTGTTGTTGTTAAACTACAACGTTTATACTACGCTTATTATGTAATACTAATATAACAACACACAAAAATTAACTCAAAATCACACGATATTGCCGCATTCTATCATTCTAGTTTAAGTAACATGTCATTCATCTATTGTCGTTTTGTCGCTTCATCAAATTGTTATAGTATAGTCTTTACACAGTAAGTCGTAAACAACATTAATGGTAATCACAGTGTCCTATACTAGTAGATGTATAATCTTTATGTATGTACATCCTAAGCAAGAGTTCGTGAAAACGATGACATTTGTATGTCTGCCAGAACGGACTATTATGTGACACATTGATAAAGAAATATGTTTTAACTTAGATAGTAGTAAATTGATAATTAGGTGTCTTTTCATTATCTTATTCGTATAGTTACGGTGTTATTAACTAATTACAGGTACTGACATCTACCATTGGCCTGGTGCTGTCTATGGACAAGGCGGAGGAGATCCTTAACAAAGAGAACAGTACTAACGACCTATCATACCTAGAATTCATCAAAATCCTGGAGGAAGAGGTATTCAGAAAAGTCGACAACAACACATTGGAGAAACTCAACTTGACAGACAATGACCTTGAGGAGGTCCACAGAAACTGTTGGGTTTTATACTTCAAAGTTAAAAAGGAACCCAAGGGATCCATGGAAAATCTTAAGGCACTACCTGAAGAGGCCTGCTACAAACTGTGGAGGGTGTACAACTTCCTTGCAGAGGAGGACGAGGAGGGCATGCCACTTCTTCCAGTGCAGATTCATGTTGACGAGGCTAAGCAAATTGTAGAATCTTTTGTAGAAAGTACCAGTCAAGTGACGTTATTGGCAAAAATTGATGACATCATAAAATCTTATTCCATGCAAGACGGAATGTCCTTCCAAACATTTGAGACCATGATTGTTAATCGTTTCACCACAGATCTGACTGATGTTGCGATCAAACAAGCGACCAAAGAACTGTTTCAGCAATATATCAGTGACACCATTATCAAGGTAGGTCGGAATGTATCATTGTGTGTCAGAACTATGACCAGAACAGACTTATTTGACTACCCCAGACTTCTAGTTTACTTCTGATCTATAAATGTAATACACATCTTGCTTCATCTGTTATATCGTCACAAATAGAAATAGAAATCCGATTTTATTTTCATCGACCACGGTTATTATCATTCTTTTATCATTTGATAGACACTTTGTGTTATAAGTAATCGGTTAGGTATAGAGAAAAAATGAACGACGTGATTAGTGAAATCTTTATCACACTTCCGTGTTTAACTACCCTACCTTAGATAAATCCATCGATTAGTATGTTTTTGTTTTGTTTTTAATTTTTTATGCCTTAGTTTTGTTTGATATACAAGAAAGCCATTGGAAAAATAAGCTTTGTTTATCTACGCGAAACTGTAAATAAAGCAATATCTGTATTTCAATGACCATGACGGTAGTGTATACTTAGACAAGATATTGCTGAAACAATTTACAATAATGTTGATTAATATATCAAAAGATTAGGAAATAAAATTATTAACTATAACAGAACATAGATGAGTCATATTCACCTGATAAAATTGCTATATCTTTTTTTTTTTTTGAGATATCTGCTCTTGCAGATCTTCGTAGCATAGCTTGGTTGTGACCAGCCCATGTATTGTGTTCGGTCAAAGACGTCTACAAATGAAGTATATAGTGATTTCTATTCACATCATACTATTACTATAGATCATTAACATGTGAACCTTTTTTTCTTTATAAAATTGATTAATAACATGGTAGTTCTGGTATCTTGTGTAATGTTAGCAGATGAATATTACTTTATTTTAGCATTACGTAATCAGGTAAGTATATGGTATAAGAATCCAATATTCATATAATATATATCTGCTATACACAGTTGAGTGTCGATATAGATAGTCTTTCTTGTTATAAGTGTAACCAGAGAGTACTTGATTAGCAAACAATTGATTATTAAGTTTGTTCATTGAAAAATCGACATATTTTGAATTTCTATACGTAATTTCTTAAACAACATTGCAGCATCTAGTAATAAGTATATATAGGATAATAAATTTATGGTGTAATGGTAATGTCCGTATTAAGACATCAAATTAGATTTCTGACTAGTTACAATTGTATAGTGCAAACAAAGAAAATATATATACAGGAAATACACTGGTTATAAGGCCGGCTATTTGATAAATCTTTAAACAGGTTAATCTGACAAAATCATGTATCATTATTTAGTTAATCAGATCGGTACTTCAGTCAGTATAGAATGTGTATCTGGGTGTGGAGGTGGACAAGGTCAGCCTACATGTACTTAATATGTGTAGTGCGATGATTAAAGAGAATGTCAATATAAGCAGAACGTGTGTGATTCCTTTCAACATATCTTATAGACATCTCTGAGTTTTGTAATAATAACCATTTAAAGAGCAGATGGCTAGAAACTGAAATAAAGCAAATTACTGTAAATCAGTTAGATTTCGTGAATACTTTATTTAGTGAGCTTAGCAATTCAGACATATTCACGAATATATATGATTTATGATATATTTGGCGGTGTATATCTTCCATCGACATACCATACACATACCTTCCATCACACACACGCGAGTCAGCAACAGGTACATGCCATGGGGATCTTTATAAATTTAAGACATAAAACGCTCAGATGCTCCAAAATTAAAAAAGAAAACAAATTGGCAAAAGTTTCATAACCAAACCCAGAAAAGTGCCATGATAGGACTGATATAGTAAATACATTCATTGTGTGCCAGGTATTACGGCACTACCATGTTATAAAGTTGACGAAGGTAATTTGTCAAATGGCTTTTCCTGTTGAAGGTTTATTTTGTCAGCTTCTGTTTTAGACGACACAACGTCATCAGAAGGTAAATATAAACAGTGGTGTTTCTTCGTACGGCATTTATGGTCATTATAAATGACAACACCTCAAGTATACATACTCTTTTGGCTATCACGCAGTAATCAGGACATCATGTTATGACGAAAGGGTTACAGATAATTCTATGTGTGAAATGATAAAGCTATCATGATAATCACTATCAGTAAACATCTGCCTGTGTAAATCCACCTGAAATGCAAATATAACAGTAACTTATAGCATAGGTGCAATCTGGACATCCTGACAGATCAAACATGTGGTTCATACACTACACCACCTTGTTCCTTTAGTCATTTAGATTTGTGTTCGAAAGATATTTCCGTTTTTTAATATTGTTTTCTAAAATGGCTGCTGATAAGTATTGAAATATCTAAAACCTCGATATTATGGTCTAGCTGGTTATTACATCGTTTTGTGTCCAATTAGCAGGGATTTAAGCAATACCTATACTACTGAGTCGAACGTTTCATTATTTTTCCTCAATGCTTAGTTGGAGGAAAATAAAGCAGCCATATAAAATCAATACATCTCTTTAATCCATGCTTCGAGTAAAATGACATACAGATAAGGTAAGCATCCTACGGAAAGTATATACTTCAGCGACATCATTGTGGAGTTTGTATATCAGATTACGATGGAATCATCTTCTTATTTGTGTTTCCTCGGGGTTTAACAACATCGTGTTATATAGCCAGGCATTTTTCAGTTTCTATTGCATTTATCAGAGAAACTGGATCCAATGATCAGAAAACACTTCATAACTTACAACATAACGATGTAGGCTATTTTGATGCTGAATAAGATTAACGTATGTGTCTTTTAAGGGTATGTTGTGTAAGCGAGGATATCAGGTTAAACACTGGAAGGACCGCTGGATGGTTCTCAATACCAGGCAGCTTACTTACTACACTGCTTCTGACGAACGAGAAAAGAAAGGTGAAATTCGACTCGACCAAGATTGTAAAGTTGAGGTAGGTAGACTTTTTTGGAATTGTTTTGTGATCATCATTGGTGAAAAAGACAGCTTTTTTAAAAGTTGAACCATGTCTGTATTTTATTACAGCACCTGTAGACATATTAATATTTGATTTCATACAGCATTAAACCAATATAAGACTATCATACATCTATCAAAACGTAAATATTTTTATCCACTTTGTCTGATTGTGTTAGTTATCGATTCTAGCTCTATAATGTCGACCAACTCTTTGGATACTTCCAACTGACATTAAACGTACAACACGGAGTTTCGAAAGATGAGGGTTGATGCAGACAATTTCAAATCGCCATCATAGTTTATGTAGGAAATTATCCATTTTCTGCTGTAAAATGTGTCCAATGCTTGTAAATAGTATCGTTGATTTGATTTCGAGACATACATTAAATTGGCTTAAATGTGCAATGCGAGTGTCTCCTATGAAGCAATATTTATTAATTTGAGTTTAAATTACGTTACGATAAAAGGCTTATATTCTTTTTTAATTGTTTTACATAAATTAGTATAGCTCCAGATTCTATATGAATGGATCCAGCTGCAATCTCTATACAAATGGGCTTCTATGTACTGGAAACACTTGCTCGGACTTATTTTCGCCAAGAGTTACTCTGAATTGATGATGTATATGCTACGACTAAAATATTTGTAACTCTTTTTATGTGGTTTACTGGTAAATAAAAAGTTGTATATTAAACATGCGTATGATCTTTAGGTAATACCGGATGCTGGTATGAAAAGTGGTTCAAAACCGAACAAATTCGTTCTTAAAACTTCAGCCAAGCCTTATGAAATGAGCGCCCATGATATAAAAACCCGGAACGACTGGATGACAGGTTCGCATATTTTATTGTATATTTCATTTTCTTTTAAACCGTGCCTATTTGGCACCGAATAGGATGAATTCCGTGAATATTGCTTAGCTATATTATGTAATAACGTTGTTTATTTAAAGCCCATAAATAAAACATGATTGGCAGTACAAAGTTGCCTCGTGAGGAAACTATAGCGTTTTACATTATTATCTAATGGAAATGAAATACGTCTATGTCTACACCATATTGAATTATACCAATTTATCGTAATATTCGCATTGCCACATATAGTTTATAGCAAAACTATAAATGGCATAAATATACATATAAAGTTATAAATAGAACCTGGTGTTCATTGTAAAAAGATTAAAGATTTCATCCCACTGGATAAAATGTAGCTGTTATTCAATAAGACGAATACTTTAATTATTCATGTACTATCCTCTATATCTTATATATACATTACTTTTATTTCATAGTTAAAACATTTTCGCGAATGAGTACCATTTTTCTTGTCATATGAGATAATGCTTTCACAAGTTATTTAATGTTTATCATAACGGTTTCAATGAGATTTCTAAGGCATACTGTTATAGGTAATACTATTGCATCGTTTTGATTGCAACAGCACTACTGAATATTTTGCCTATTCTTGTTATTACAATAAATTGTTGGGTTTTTTCACCTTGTGTGATATTTTTTTGTAATAGCCCTCCAGAAAGCAATAGATAAATGCTCGGACAAGAACTATCATTTCCACAGAACAGAAGCAAAAGAGCGACAAAAGGTTCGTCGGGAAGGTCGGCGACAGAGAGAAGAAGAAGAAAGACGAAGAAAAGAAGAGGAGGAATCACTTCAAAAAATGAGAGATTTGCTTAAAAAGGTAGAAACACTGATAATAGTAACTCACTACATGTACCTTATCCAGATACAATTCTACTTAATGACATCAAATTTGATTTTCTGCTAGTAAATATATTTTTCAACTAACATTGTATCTTATATACTTCCACCTTTTTGAAACCAAATATCGAATAATTTACAATTTCAAACACAAAAATATCAACTTCACATATATCAATAACGTCAGAGAGCTTCCAGCCCGATAAAACATCAACGTATCTCATATATACATAATATTAGCAATACATGTCCATCTCCTAAAAATATGTTGACTAGAGTTATATGCAGTTTGACTTTCGATTACTCATATATATGTTGCCAATATCATTATTATATTTTATAATTGATTTCTGTTTAACAAATACAGCATAAATTATATGTAGTTGACAAAACATTTCCTTCCATATGTTAGAAACAAGAAGAGGAGGAGCAACAAAGACTTCAACATTTAAAGGAACTAGAAAATGCCAGACTGGTGAGTCATTCGCGTTGATTTAAAATGATAATAAACACAGATGATGTGAATCAGAATCTATCAGCACGATGATACCATGTATTGCATGTGTTGGCCGTATTTTAAATATGATACAACAAATAGTGTAATGTTTAGTTCTTGTTTTATACCGGACCATTTTGATGGGGGAAAAATACACGAGAATCCATTCTGTTGATCACGCATTGTCAAGTAATGCATTAAACATTAGACATATAGATATTAGTTAAGTATGAGACGTTTGGACTTATTCATCTATGTTAGAATAATCTACCTCTGTGGCCTTGTTATATTGGGATAATTGGATTTATCTCAATTATCGCTTAAAATTTACTTATTGTTTTACAATTTTATCTTATTTATTATTTATACGAAGTTTGATAAAAACTTATACAATCAAAGATGGCTACACTTATTTCTATCACTGAAACTTAACCTTTTTATTTCTTTTATTATTATTATTGTTTTGGTTTTTTTTTTTTTTTTTTTTGATGATGTAATTCTTCAGATCTTGTCATTTAAACCTATATTTAGTTTGTGTTTTAAATATAGAAATGATAAAGGTGATGGAATCCTATTGGACAAACGATTTGTGAAGTTTGCTGGGTATTGGTTTGTTAATGTATGTGTATATGCATCACCTCAGACAATCTAATTTGTTTGTTTAGAAATTAGAAGAGGAAGAAAAACAAAGATTACAACAGTTAGAAGAACTAGAAAAGGCCAGAATGGTAAGTTTGGTAACTCCTATATATACAGTGTGGCTGATACATATAAGATGGATTCGTATAATAATTGATTTACATTAGACATATAGAATACAGAATCTTTTTATGTTAGATAAATATCACAAATCTACCATCTGAACAGGTAAAATACAGGGACAATAGCATTGATAAGGGTGTTCAGAAAGAAAAAAAGTTTTCGATTACCTTGATTCGTCTCTAAAAACAATATATGTAGAGATAATGACATATATCACACATAGTATAGAAACCTTTAAACTTCCGGCGCATCTTGTTCCATTTTGATTGTTGCGATTGTCTTATATTGCACAGATTTGTAGACATACATTAGAGTATAATCGCAGACATATCAGTTAACTGGTTTGAAAACATAAATTTCGACTTTTCATGCCTCATATGGGTGAACATCGTAGATTGATATAAGGAAATACCATTCATGATTTAATATAACGTCATTCAGTTCATTTGCACAACTTAAATTGTATCATTCTTGCCTAAAACATACCTGTCTTCATAATCTACACATTTATTTTACCAGGGATATTCTACTGTGTGGTCCATTTGAATGAAGTATATACACAAAATACATGTATATGACGTATATAGAAAAAAAGATATATCTAAATATCTTCTACCTTGCAGCAAATGGCAATTGATATTGAAATCCAGGTGCTTTGCAACAATAAAACTGTGTGGGTTGTGTATTTAGATATATCTCATTGTGTTTTATAGTTACAGTACACATTTTTCTGAACACATGATCTTATAAAATTTTATTTTTTATAATCGCCTTTGTTTATCTTTTTTGTTAAGGTTGCATTTTGGTGGTCTCTGATTTTATTTACATTATTTAGAGGGGGCAAATGTAATAGTGATATCCAAGTCAAGTTTTTTTGAGGGAAATGGAAGTCTTGTCCACGATTAGAAAAAAATATGAATGTTTATCCATCTCCTCTGTAATTCTTTATGATCTTACGCTTCAAACAATACTTGAAAATACTTGTGCCATCCCATTGTAAACTTTATCATGTCGTTATAGGGATTATATTGCATACAAGTTGATAAGTGAATGTTCGAATACTTCACATTAAGATATTTACAAGTGTCTTAGTTCATCTTTCGGGACATCTGTCTCACCTATTCACTTGTGTGTTTTTGTGCAATCTTTTTACACTCACATGTTTAGTTATAAATTTCCATTACCTTTTTAACTAGAACCAATTAGATTTGGAAGCAAGACTACAGGCTGAGGAAGCCTTACGTAAGCAGGAGCAGCAGAGACTTCGGGAACTGGAGGAAATAAAGAAAGAGTTGGAGAGGTTACTGGAGGAAGAAAGACAGGCCAAGCGAGACGAGGAGATCGTGCGGGCATTACAGGCTAGGTACAGACAAGTGTTATAAACTTAAATTATACAATATTTCTATTCAGCATAATATGTTTTTCAATTAAACTTATTTAGCTCCTCTCATAAACCAGCTGCATACTCGAAAGTTCAAATCTTTCATTACGTGAACGTGAACATAATTATTTTGATATATCATCAATAAAAATAGTATTATTTCTCGTGAAATCGGTCAATCTTGTGGAATATTCATTGTATTTATGGACAGATTGCTAGATGAGGAGATGGAGAAGAGAGAGGAACTTGAAACGTTACGGCGTGAACAGGAGGAACTGCTGATGCAAGAGAGATCACGTCGTGAAGGTTTAGAAGAACACCAAATGGAACAATCTCGTAAACTACAGGAAGCTGCAGAGACCCTTAAAAAGCTCGAGGCTCAAAGACGGGCCGCCGAACAGCATTTATCGGTATGTTATATTGTATCAGAATCTATTGGGAAATTTATAAATTGCAAATATCGTTTGATCAAAGGTTCAATTAACAGTGACAAGTCACTAAAAAGTGGAGGTTACACCTTGGCCTACTGCTGTTAATATCATATGTACACTTGTAAATCATTCTAAACATTAAACTGACTTGACAATAGCAATGGGAATTTTTCAATTTACGAGGTTATATCGAATAAGTACACAGTTACAATTGTATAAATATTAGGACAAAAATATAAGCTTTAATTTTCTCACCAAATCCGATGGTATATGTAGAAAGCTCGAACAGGTGTCACATAAACTTACTTATGCAAGACATTAGCAAAAAAAAATCTGTTTCGTGGTGTGCTATAACAATTGAAAATGTGATAAATGTTCCAGGTGAGCTAATAAAGATTATGCAAAACATAATATACGGAAACAATTAATTTATTATGTCATAAGTTATTATATATCTAAGAACTCTGCAGTATATAGTACATATTTTCTTACAGTACTATATTATACGATGTAATATATTATATCAAATGTATTGTCACCCGAATATTTATTAATTTGTTTCTTATATATATATAATCATCAGTATATATTTTATTGTTTTATGATATTTCTTATTTTATCATATATGTTATAATTTATGTGTGTATTTATTAAATACATTATTTACACACACAAAACTCCATTTTAGTAATATTGCCCTTGCAGGAGGCGTCAGAGAAGTTACAAGTGGCCGAGAAGGAACGTGTCAAATTGGAACATAAGGTAAAACTGTGGAAGACACCTACTGTGGGATTGGCGAGACCATTACCACCCAAAGTGGACCAAGTGACCACTCATAGAGGATTAGGTGCTTTCTGTGAGGAAGACTTTTCAAAACCTGTCAAAACCCAAACAAGTGTCGACGAAAGCGGAAGTGGTATTGAAACAGATCAATCGACCGATGACAAAGTGACACCCACAGAACCGGCTACTGAAATAAACAAAGAAATAGACAACACAAACAATGAGGAACAGCTAATGTTTAAACAAAAGAGTAACATCTCAGATGATTCAAACCAGGAACCTATTAAATCTGATAGCGTCATAGAATATGAACCTGAAGGAAACAAAGCACCAGATTCATTCAATGCTTTGGGGGACAATGGAGACTCACAATCAGAACTAGTCGAATTAACATAGATCATCAGTGACATATTAAACAGCTGGTGACAAGTAACGCCCTGCTGTCATGGTACTAGTCGCACTTTCAGGCTTGTATATTGCATGGTTTAGGTTTTTGTCTAATAGTCAAATCAAATCGTTGAAATTATATTCATATCAAAGGCATAATGCTGACTCCACTCAATGAAATCATAAAGATTCTAAAAGGATCAGATCTGTTAATGTTTTGATTTTCCAAGTATACAGAGGATTTGGAAGGTATTGTATTATCATTTTTTGTTATCATCTTGTGTTCTTTTTTTCTAATTTTTGATCTGAGATATGTTGTGTAGTTTGCCAGGTGCCTAATATTAAAGTAATACTTCCTGCTTGGAAATTTTCTCTCATTGAATTCCTATCTTTGACTGTATTCTCCTTACTTTTTTGTTCCCTTTGCATAAGAGCATAAAAACGGAGATCCATATCGACCTGATACATATGTAAGGGTGGTAAATAAAGGGATATGAGAGAAGATTGTCTATACTTCAATTTGTGTTTACTAACCCTTTTGTGTTCATAAAGTGTTTTCCAGAAACCCATACCTAATCTTTCTAGAATAAAGGGTCTTAGAGAGTTGGATAATTTTCAAATTGCGAACATGCTTACTTTTGTGTCAATTTCAAAACACATGTTTATGCTAATTGCAACTGATATTATCATCTGAAACCGTCCAGATAGATCAGATTGGATGACTCCACGGCTCACTGAAAAAAAAATCCTAAAATGTTTTCATCAATTCATCCTACATTGAATATCTATACAATTCTCCAAAGTTGATCAAATTGCTTGATGGCTTGGAATAAAGTAAAAATCTCCGAAACCATGGGAACTGCACGGTTCTATGTGGCATTCAACCCATTACTACCAAAAAGAAAAAAGGAACTAATCTGGTTGTGCACAAAGGCGAAATATTAAGTAAAAGAAAAGTGTCAATATAGTATTTGAGTAAGGGATATAGACATATCATTTAGTAAAAGAATGAGATGTCGACATAGTATTGAAGTAAAGGACAGAGGTACCGACATAGTATTGAAGTAAAGGACAGAGGTACCGACATAGTATTGAAGTAAAGGACAGAGGTACCGACATAGTATTGAAGTAAAGGACAGAGGTACCGACATAGTATTGAAGTAAAGGACAGAGGTACCGACATAGTATTGAAGTAAAGGACAGAGGTACCGACATAGTATTGAAGTAAAGGACAGAGGTACCGACATAGTATTGAAGTAAAGGACAGAGGCACCGGTATAGTATTGAAGTAAAGGACAGAGGTACCGACATAGTATTTAAATAAAGGACAGATTTAAATAAAGGACAGAGGTACCGACATAGTATTTAAATAAAGGACAGAGGTACCGACATAGTATTGAAGTAAAGGACAGAGGTACCGACATAGTATTGAAGTAAAGGACAGAGGTACCGACATAGTATTGAAGTAAAGGACAGAGGTACCGACATAGTATTGAAGTAAAGGACAGAGGTACCGACATAGTATTTAAATAAAGGACAGAGGTACCGACATAGTATTGAAGTAAAGGACAGAGGTACCGACATAGTATTGAAGTAAAGGACAGAGATACCGACATAGTATTTAAATAAAGGACAGAGGTACCGACATAGTATTGAAGTAAAGGACAGAGGTACCGACATAGTATTGGAGTAAAGGACAGAGGTACCGACATAGTATTGAAGTAAAGGACAGAGATACCGACATAGTATTGAAGTAAAGGACAGGTGTACCGACATAGTATTGAAGTAGAGGACAGAGGTAACGACATAGTATTGGAGTAAAGGACAGAGGTACCGGTATAGTATTTAAATAAAGGACAGAGGTAACGACATAGTATTGAAGTAAAGGACAGAGATACCGACATAGTATTGAAGTAAAGGACAGAGGCACCGGTATAGTATTGAAGTAAATGACAGGTGTACCGACATAGTATTGAAGTAAAGGACAGAGGTAACGACATAGTATTGAAGTAAAGGACAGAGGTACCGACATAGTATTGAAGTAAAGGACAGAGATACCGACATAGTATTGAAGTAGAGGACAGAGGTCCCGACATAGTATTGAAGTAAAGGACAGAGGTACCGACATAGTATTGAAGTAAAGGACAGAGGCACCGGTATAGTATTGAAGTAAAGGACAGGTGTACCGACATAGTATTGAAGTAAAGGACAGAGGTACCGACATAGTATTGAAGTAAAGGACAGAGGTACCGACATAGTATTGAAGTAAAGGACAGAGGCACCGGTATAGTATTGAAGTAAAGGACAGGTGTACCGACATAGTATTGAAGTAAAGGACAGGTGTACCGACATAGTATTGAAGTAAAGGACAGAGGTACCGACATAGTATTGAAGTAAAGGACAGAGGCACCGGTATAGTATTGAAGTAAAGGACAGGTGTACCGACATAGTATTGAAGTAAAGAACAGGTGTACCGACATAGTATTGAAGTAAAGGACAGAGGCACCGGTATAGTATTGAAGTAAAGGACAGGTGTACCGACATAGTATTGAAATAAAGGACAGAGGTCCCGACATAGTATTGAAGTAAAGGACAGAGGTACCGACATAGTATTGAAGTAAAGGACAGAGGCACCGGTATAGTATTGAAGTAAAGGACAGGTGTACCGACATAGTATTGAAGTAAAGGACAGAGATACCGACATAGTATTGAAGTAAAGGACAGAGGTACCGGTATAGTATTGAAGTAAAGCACAGGTGTACCGACATAGTATTGAAGTAAAGGACAGAGTTACCGACATAGTATTGAAGTAAAGAACAGAGATACCGACATAGTATTGAAGTAAAGGACAGAGGTACCGACATAGTATTGAAGTAAAGAACAGAGATACCGACATAGTATTGAAGTAAAGGACAGGTGTACCGACATAGTATTGAAGTAAAGGACAGAGGTACCGACATAGTATTGAAGTAAAGGACAGAGGTACCGACATAGTATTGAAGTAAAGGACAGAGGCACCGGTATAGTATTGAAGTAAAGGACAGGTGTACCGACATAGTATTGAAGTAAAGGACAGAGATACCGACATAGTATTGAAGTAAAGGACAGAGGTACCGGTATAGTATTGAAGTAAAGCACAGGTGTACCGACATAGTATTGAAGTAAAGCACAGGTGTACCGACATAGTATTGAAGTAAAGCACAGAGGTACCGACATAGTATTGAAGTAAAGGACAGAGGTACCGACATAGTATTGAAGTAAAGCACAGGTGTACCGACATAGTATTGAAGTAAATGCCAGAGGTACCGGTATAGTATTGAAGTAAAGGACAGAGGTAACGACATAGTATTGAAGTAAAGGACAGGTGTACCGACATAGTATTGAAGTAAAGCACAGGTGTACCGACATAGTATTGAAGTAAAGCACAGGTGTACCGACATAGTATTGAAGTAAAGGACAGAGGTACCGACATAGTATTGAAGTAAAGGACAGAGGTCCCGACATAGTATTTATATAATGGAAGGACATGTTGGAGGACTTGGTTGATGTATCGCACGTCATTGAGGTTTTTTGTTTCCAGGACAACTATGGGAGATTTTACTCCATGGGAGATGCCTCCCCATACCATTACACAAGCCCCACTGAATCTATCGCTTTCAACATTCAGTAGATATAATTTTGATCGAAGTTTACAAACTTCAGTGCTAAACAGAGTGGGGGGAGTGTCCAGATCACCACACAGATGCCGGGGCTATATGAGGGCCAATCAAGAGAGAAAATCACTGAATGTACTATTGAATAGGCTGAAAGGATTGTTGATAATTCTAGAACCATTGTTACCTACAAGAGTTAATACACTCATTCTTCTAGAATATTGATAGTTGAGCTCAATATTGTTGTAGCTACCAGTTCCAACGGCTCGTCATGTTTCAGTCCGAGAGAATCTTCGTTTTGATAGTAAATTTACACACCTGATGATCAAGTGTTATTTATGAATGACCTTTGACATAGTAGCATGCTTTCGAACAAACATCTTTGTGAAAGCGACGACCAAATTGTTAGATTTCGTCATTTTTCCATGCGTTTGATTTTGGGCAAGTGTTGTAATACTTACAATCGATTCACAAAATTATGGCACTTGTTGAGAAAAATCGGTAAGATTATTAGCTTCAAACTAACACTGGTAGACACTTTTGTGTCTATCGCAATTCACTGTTTTGATCGGAAATAGCTTAATTCATTACGTGACCTTTCGGAACCTATTTTGAATCTGACTCTTTGTTATGATTCCTAAAATTTCCCATATCGCGCATGAGCAAGGACATTGTTTACACTCTCAATGATAACGATATGAAATGCAAATCTAACCATTTTGTCCCTTTCGGAATTTAATTCACTTATCCTTTCATATCATAAGCATTTCCAAGATATTTAATGTTTCTAAATTCAGATAAAACGTTGTCATCTGTACAGTGTAACTAATCTTTCTTATTTTTTTTTTTTTTTTTACATTCGATTTTCTGTCCAAAAGCGCTATCAATGTCCGATAACATACATTTGATTTTAGGTATCCATGTTAGGGTGACTTCCCCTTAAGTAGACGTGAACTCCATGAATTATCGTATGATATAATAATTGTGTTAAACACTATCGGTACACTGTCCTTACATTGTAATTAAGATATTCCCTTAATTACAGTATCATTTAAAGTACAGATAACACGTAAGCTTGATGTTATCTTTTCCATTATATTGTCTATAATAATTCGACTACACGTGTGATTCAGATTATAAACAGGTACCTGACCTTTTTTGAAACTATCACATATGAAAAATTCAAAGTAATGGAATTATGGGGCTAGTGAACCTCCCTGTCTAAACGATGAAACAGCGGTATGATGAGGTTAAATTCGCTATTTGGATCTACCATACCTAATTCGAAATTTGTAGTAAATGGTATTTTACACTTGTTTGTTATGTATACAATCTTCGACATTGTAGACGGTATACACTCATCACACTAAAATACGCCATAGGGTAACTAATACTATAGATACATCATAGACATTGAGCACGCCAAACCAAAATGTTAGCATAACACTGACAAAGCAACTTGTTTTCCCCCTCGGTTTGGGAATTTTGCATCTTCTGATAAAATTTCATGGCAAAATAATGTGAACTTTATTAGAAAATTTATCTATAGTAACTGTTTAAGTAAATTTTACCAAACATGCAGAAATAAACTGGATTTTTGGCTTAAAATAAGACCTATATTTTGTGTAAAGTGCTTTCAAATGTCTTTACATACAGGAGCGTCTTTTCTTACAAAAAAAACGCATTATATTTCGATTAAACTTAATCAGGTGTAAAATGCATTAACGAATGGAAAAATTATTATTTTGTTAAAATAATACTTCAATTTTGCAATAGCGTGCAACGATTACTATGACGTATCTAAAGTGTATGGCATAGATCATCCTTTGGCAAAGTCTAGGGACATCCGGTAGATACTGTTAGTGGACCTTCAGTCCCTGAAATATGCTGTAACCTGCATTCTACGTTTTACTTAATTCGTATACTGGCACGCTTCCGAATATACACATGTATTTGACGTTCTTCTAAAGATACATGAAAATTACGAAATTTACTGAATTATGAGACTGGTGCATCCCATCTGCATTTTGTCATTTTTTAGGATCATTTTAGTTTTTCTTCAGTCTCCTCCTGTGTTTAACATTTAGGCCCTTAGCATCACTGATGAGTCCTAGAAGGACGAAACAGCAATAAGATGCAGTTTAATCCATTATTTGGCTCCACTGTATCTAAAACGTTATTTAGTGGTGTTATTTACTTGTTTGTCATTCAGAACCTAACAACTGTAAGTCTAACAATATGGTTAGTTGTTTGGTAATTTTTTTAATAAAACTACGAAATAATCTTATAACTTTGACTTCATATATCAAAATCAAGATAGATTTCGGAAGAAGTGTTCACCATTCAGCATTTTTCTCTGGAAATCAGTAGTAAGTCTTAACGATATGTTGAAAACGAAGATTTACCGTGTTTTTATTACGTTCGAAAAGGCGTTCCCGTAACATATGGCGAAATGATTTGTGGAGTAAAAATATTGTAAAATCAAATAAATGGTAAGATATTCTCATTTGTATACAATATGTGCAGGCATTAAGTCTAATATATTATTTGATGGTCTGAGTTCAGCTTCCGTTGTTTGTCCATAACGATTTCCACCAGGGCAAATTTGACCCCATTTTTATTTAGAAAGACACAGGTTGTGTAAATTTACATTTAAAAAAACTTATTTTTAATAATTATTGGAATTAGAAGCTATCGGGACAGAATATGTACACTTAGCCAACAAATAGGAGGTAAATTTTATTATCTGCTAAATGAACATAGAAAATGTTTCAATAACTATTACTACATAAGACTAAATGAAAATAAGTTTTAAAAAATTCAGCCATGTTGAAACCATTAAATATCTATAAGTTTTTCAAAATCATTTTTGGTAATAGTTAATCTCCGTGATATGACTTGAAATGAAGTAACGACATCATTTACAATAATGGTATGATTTTACATGATATATGAAATCGTGTAATAGGGTTCTCCATACCTTATATGGTTAAAGGAAATTAATTAATTAAAATCTGAGAAAAAAATAACACATAGCCAATATAGTTATTTAAAGTTACTGAACTTTTGTTATCCTATTAAATAGTATGAAAAAATGTTTGATAACAAATAATTCAAATGATGTTTAGATATATAATTTTTAAATAGCTTTTTAAACTTTCAAAATTGAATGATGCAAGTAGTAACCGTTGTGGAGAACAACGAAGGTGAGTTTTACAGGTAAATTTACCTGTTGGAACTGACCATACATTATACAGTATAACTGTAATACGTACCAAAACGAACTGACCTGTTGGTAAATAAAAAAAAAGTTTTAACATTTATTTAGAACATAGATTTTGCTACATGTATATCAAAGTATACATTAAAGAAAATATCCATAGCCTTGCTCGAATACATCGTTGATTTAACACCTAATTGTATTTATAGATACCTATGTCAATGTGTGTACCTTTCCATGTCTTGGTTATTTTAATTGTATACGAGTTCCATGATGTCAGTATACATATTCATGTTAAATATATACAACATTAACCGACAGAACATGCTGAAATGTGTAACGACTATTAGTTTCGTGTCACTGAAGTATTTCCTGTGCGTTGACACAACAAAGGAGGATGGACGTTGACTACCCGTTGAATAATCAAGGTGTGCTATTTATAGAACTGCGAAGATCGATCTGACGTGTATCGATTTTAGCATGGTATAGTTACTGTGGGTATGCGACCGGATCGGGGAAATCCCACACAAGGTCGCCATGACGGAGAGTCTACCCTTAACTCACATGTGACGTTATAGAAACGCTAAGATGGGGTCTGGGGGAAGCAAGACAGTGCCCCCGAAAAGGCCCGAGGATAATAGGTATGTGTGCAAATTTGTGTCTCGAGTATATATCGCATTGTGGGTTCATGTTATATGTATTTAGATTCGGCGTGTACCTTGTCAGAAGTATAAACATTGACAGATCAGTTTACTCAACAAGCAACAGACACACCGTTACAGTTAGTGTACGGATTGTAGAACTGTGTGTATGGTCGAGACACGACGTATATTTGTATGTTATGAAGTAACAATTGTCACTGAGAACACACATGTATTTTATATATAAGCATGACATCACCTATCATAACCAATATGATTCCATGCAGCGTTACTAGAAGTATAGGACAGGCCGGACTGAACACATCCTAACTTACCTTTAAAATTCTTTAGTATACACTGAAAAGAGAATGATTATTTTGTACAGGTAATCTGTAGATTTCAGACGCGTGTTGGGTACAAATCCATCTTCATATGTCTATCTTTGAGCAGATATTTTCTTTGGTTTGTTCCATTCTCGTTGGAATCAATACACGTTTACGATTAAGTCAATTATCATAGAAGCAATATATCTGTCCGGTATTTCGTAATCTATTTCAAATAAGTATTTTCTATTTATTTACTCAACTCTTTGTCATAGAAAACAGTCATATCTTCACTGTAATTGATCATGTGTTCATCAAACATTAAAGTAAGCCATTCAACGTTGAATAATTAGAGACGAATTTAGGTTTAATTCATAGCAATTACCACATGCAATGTGAATACATTTAAATCATATTTACTGATCTCTATAAATACTGTACGACACTACGTAAATCCTGTTCTTACAACACAGTATTTTATAGTGTAACAAAACAGAATATTGTTACCGAATGCCATGTGTCTATACAAACATATGTTTATTGTGGTGTACAATATTTACCCGTATATCAATTATCCATAAAGTCTGTCGTCGTTTTTTCTAAACAATGACATCTATTCACTACCCGTAATAGTGTTACATTTCTTAACACAGCAAAAACAGCTTTATACTACCTATCCCTGTTAACAGTCAGATCAAAAACACGTCCTACCGATAAAAGGTTAAAGTGGGAGTAGAGCTATATCTAACCTCCGTGCAATTTGGTATTTTGTACGGCAGGGTGAGGTTCCGTAGATCTAATGTACGAATATATTGGTGTCAGTAGGGTAGGGTTTGGTGGGTCTACTGTACAGATATATTGGTGTCGGTAGGGTAAGGTTTGGTGGGTCTACTGTACAGATATATTGGTGTAGTAAGGGTAATGTTTGGTGGGTCTACTGTACAGATATATTGGTGTCGGTAGGGTAAGGTTTGGTGGGTCTGCTGTACAGATATATTGGTGTAGGTAGGGTAATGTTTGTTTGATCTACTGTACAGATATATTGGTGTTGTAGGGTAAGGTTTGGTGGGTCTACTGTACAGATATATTGGTGTCGGTAGGGTAAGGTTTGGTGGGTCTACTGTACAGATATATTGGTGTCAGATATATTGGTGTACTACTGTACAGATATATTGGTGTCGGTAGGGTAAGGTTTGGTGGGTCTACTGTACAGTATATATTGGATATATTGTCGGTAGGGTAAGGTTTGGTGGGTCTACTGTACAGATATATTGGTGTCGGTAGGGTAAGGTTTGGTGGGTCTACTGTACAGATATATTGGTGTCGGTAGGGTAAGGTTTGGTGGGTCTACTGTACAGTAATATTGATGTCGGTAGGGTAAGGTTTGGTGGGTCTACAGTACAGATATATTGGTGTCGGTAGGGTAAGGTTTGGTGGGTCTACTGTGCAGATATATTGGTGTCGGTAGGGTAAGGTTTGGTGGGTCTTCTGTACAGTAATATTGATGTCGGTAGTGTAAGGTTTGGTGGGTCTACTGTACAGATATATTGGTGTCGGTAGGGTAAGGTTTGGTAGGTCTACTGTACAGATATATTGGTGTTGGTAGTGTTAAGGTTTGGTGGGTCTACTGTACAGATATATTGGTGTCGGTAGGGTAAGGTTTGGTGGGTCTACTGTACAGATATATTGGTGTCGGTAGGGTAAGGTTTGGTGGGTCTACTGTACAGATATATTGGTGTCGGTAGGGTAAGGTTTGATGGGTCTACTATACAGTAATATTGGTGTAGGTAGGGTAGGTTTGATGGGTCTACTGTACAGATATATTGGTGTAGGTAGGGTAGGTTTGATGGGTCTACTGTACAGTAATATTGGTGTAGGTAGGGTAGGTTTGATGGGTCTACTGTACAGTAATATTGGTGTAGGTAGGGTAGGTTTGATGGGTCTACTGTACAGATATATTGGTGTCGGTAGGGTAGGTTTGATGGGTCTACTGTACAGATATATTGGTGTAGGTAGGGTAGGTTTGATGGGTCTACTGTACAGTAATATTGGTATCGGTAGTGTAAGGTTTGGTGGGTCTACTGTACAGATATATTGGTGTCGGTAGTGTAAGGTTTGATGGGTCTACTGTACAGATATATTGGTGTCGGTAGTGTTAAGGTTTGGTGGGTCTACTGTACAGATATATTGGTGTCGGTAGGGTAAGGTTTGATGGGTCTACTGTACAGTAATATTGGTGTCGGTAGTGTTAAGGTTTGGTGGGTCTACTGTACAGATATATTGGTGTTGGTAGGGTTAGGTTTGATGTGTCTACTGTACAGATATATTGGTGTAGGTAGGGTAGGTTTGATGTGTCTACTGTACAGATATATTGGTGTTGGTAGTGTTAAGGTTTGGTGGGTCTACTGTACAGATATATTGGTGTCGGTAGGGTAGGTTTGATGGGTCTACTGTACAGATATATTGGTGTAGGTAGGGTAGGTTTGATGGGTCTACTGTACAGATATATTGGTGTTAGTAGGGTAGGTTTGATGGGTCTACTGTACAGATATATTGGTGTTAGTAGGGTAGGTTTGATGGGTCTACTGTACAGATATATTGGTGTTAGTAGGGTAGGTTTGATGGGTCTACTGTACAGATATATTGGTGTAGGTAGGGTAGGTTTGATGGGTCTACTGTACAGATATATTGGTGTTGGTAGTGTTAAGGTTTGATGGGTCTACTGTACAGATATATTGGTGTTAGTAGGGTAGGTTTGATGGGTCTACTGTACAGATATATTGGTGTAGGTAGGGTAGGTTTGATGGGTCTACTGTACAGATATATTGGTGTTGGTAGGGTAGGTTTGATGGGTCTACTGTACAGTAATATTGGTGTTGGTAGGGTAGGTTTGATGGGTCTACTGTACAGTAATATTGGTGTAGGTAGGGTAGGTTTGATGGGTCTACTGTACAGATATATTGGTGTTAGTAGGGTAGGTTTGATGGGTCTACTGTACAGATATATTGGTGTTAGTAGGGTAGGTTTGATGGGTCTACTGTACAGATATATTGGTGTAGGTAGGGTTAGGTTTGGTGGGGCTACTGTACAGTAATATTGGTGTCGGTAGTGTTAAGGTTTGGTGGGTCTACTGTACAGATATATTGGTGTTGGTAGGGTAGGTTTGATGTGTCTACTGTACAGATATATTGGTGTAGGTAGGGTAGGTTTGATGGGTCTACTGTACAGTAATATTGGTGTTGGTAGGGTTAGGTTTGGTCGTTATTATGGTGTTGGTAGTGTTAAGGTTTGGTGGGTCTACTGTACAGATATATTGGTGTTGGTAGGGTAGGTTTGATGTGTCTACTGTACAGATATATTGGTGTTGGTAGGGTAGGTTTGATGGGTCTACTGTACAGTAATATTGGTGTTGGTAGGGTTAGGTTTGGTCGTTATTATGGTGTTGGTAGTGTTAAGGTTTGGTGGGTCTACTGTACAGATATATTGGTGTTGGTAGGGTAGGTTTGATGTGTCTACTGTACAGATATATTGGTGTTGGTAGGGTAGGTTTGATGGGTCTACTGTACAGTAATATTGGTGTTGGTAGGGTTAGGTTTGGTCGTTATTATGGTGTTGGTAGTGTTAAGGTTTGATGGGTCTACTGTACAGTAATATTGGTGTTGGTAGGGTTAGGTTTGGTCGTTATTATGGTGTTGGTAGTGTTAAGGTTTGGTGGGTCTACTGTACAGATATATTGGTGTTGGTAGGGTTAGGTTTGGTCGTTATTATGGTGTTGGTAGTGTTAAGGTTTGATGTGTCTACTGTACAGTAATATTGGTGTTGGTAGGTTAGGTTTGGTCGTTATTATGGTGTTGGTAGTGTTAAGGTTTGGTCGTTATTATGGTGTTGGTAGTGTTAAGGTTTGGTGGGTCTACTGTACAGATATATTGGTGTAGGTAGGGTAGGTTTGATGGGTCTACTGTACAGATATATTGGTGTTGGTAGGGTTAGGTTTGGTCGTTATTATGGTGTTGGTAGTGTTAAGGTTAGCTTATAAATCTACTATTATCTGAATTTTAATTAGTGAAGAGTTTTACATTCATATAACATATGTGAAGATCTTGTTGAATATTTACGCACGAACTAACTCTGTCCCGCACCGATAATCACAGCTTCAACCACTCTATTGTGAGCATTAGATAGCCCTATTTAGTTTAAATCGTACCTACATAATGAAATGGAGGCACATTGTGCTAAATGTTAAGTGGTTTTAAAACCTTAGTTTGTCATGCCCACAAGCCAACAACAAGTTTATAACGTGATCTCGTCGAGACCTATCTCAATTAAAACCACAAAGAAACCAAAAAGTCAGCAGACTTTGGTTACTTACAACCAGAAATAAGCAGGATTTATCTACTACTATAATACTATCGATATTACTTGAATGAAAGTACATTTAGTATTTTTGATTTACTTGAAACGATTCCAGCCCGATAACTACCCCTGATTTACGAACGATTAGCGATTACATTTCTATACAGTGTTTTTAATCATAACGTATATAGCCCCCAATAGTGTTTCGAGGTAAAAACAGCGAATAAAGTCCCTGATAGCGCTTTCTGGTTCACTCTTATCAAATAAAGCCCCTAGTAGCGTTTCCTGCTACACTCGTAAAGAATTAAGCCCCTGATAGCGTTTCCCGGTACTCTCATAACGAATTAAGCCTCTGTTTGCGTTTCCCGGTACTCTCATAACGAATTAAGCCCCTGGTAGCGTTTCCCGGTACTCTCATAACGAATTAAGCCTCTGTTTGCGTTTCCCGGTACTCTCATAACGAATTAAGCCTCTGTTTGCGTTTCCCGGTACTCTCATAACGAATTAAGCCTCTGTTTGCGTTTCCCGGTACTCTCATAACGAATTAAGCCTCTGTTTGCGTTTCCCGGTACTCTCATAACGAATTAAGTCCCTGATAGCGTTTCCCGGTGCTCTCATAACGAATTAAGCCTCTGTTTGCGTTTCCCGGTACTCTCATAACGAAATAAGCCTCTGTTTGCGTTTCCCGGTACTCTCATAACGAATTAAGTCCCTGATAGCGTTTCCCGGTACTCTCATAACGAATTAAGTCCTTGATAGCGTTTCCCGGTACTCTCATAACGAATTAAGCCTCTGTTTGCGTTTCCCGGTACTCTCATAACGAATTAAGCCTCTGTTTGCGTTTCCCGGTACACTCCGATTGAAGAAAGCTACTGATAGCGGTTCCTGGTACACTTTTAAAGAATTAAGCTCCTGATAGCGTTATCTGATCACCTATAAATATTTAAGCCCCGATAGCGTTCCTGGTTCACTCCTATTAAATAAAGCCCCCGATAGCGTTTCCTGGTTCACTCCTATTAAATAAACCCTGATAGCGTTTCCTGGTTCACTCCTATTAAATAAACCCCTGATAGCGTTTCCTGGTTCACTCCTATTAAATAAACCCCTGATAGCGTTTCCTGGTTCACTCCTATTAAATAAACCCCTGATAGCGTTTCCTGGTTCACTCCTATTAAATAAACCCCTGATAGCGTTTCCTGGTTCACTCCTATTAAATAAACCCCTGATAGCGTTTCCTGGTTCACTCCTATTAAATAAACCCCTGATAGCGTTTCCTGGTTCACTCCTATTAAATAAACCCCTGATAGCGTTTCCTGGTTCACTCCTATTAAATAAACCCCTGATAGCGTTTCCTGGTTCACTCCTATTAAATAAAAACCCCTATTAAATAAACCCCCGATAGCGTTCCTGGTTCACTCCTATTAAATAAACCCCTGATAGCGTTTCCTGGTTCACTCCTATTAAATAAACCCCTGATAGCGTTTCCTGGTTCACTCCTATTAAATAAACCCCTGATAGCGTTTCCTGGTTCACTCCTATTAAATAAACCCCTGATAGCGTTTCCTGGTTCACTCCTATTAAATAAACCCCTGATAGCGTTTCCTGGTTCACTCCTATTAAATAAACCCCTGATAGCGTTTCCTGGTTCACTCCTATTAAATAAACCCCTGATAGCGTTTCCTGGTTCACTCCTATTAAATAAACCCCTGATAGCGTTTCCTGGTTCACTCCTATTAAATAAACCCCTGATAGCGTTTCCTGGTTCACTCCTATTAAATAAACCCCTGATAGCGTTTCCTGGTTCACTCCTATTAAATAAACCCCTGATAGCGTTTCCTGGTTCACTCCTATTAAATAAACCCCTGATAGCGTTTCCTGGTTCACTCCTATTAAATAAACCCCCGATAGCGTTTCCTGGTTCACTCCTATTAAATAAACCCCCGATAGCGTTCCTGGTTCACTCCTATTAAATAAACCCCTGATAGCGTTTCCTGGTTCACTCCTATTAAATAAACCCCTGATAGCGTTTCCTGGTTCACTCCTATTAAATAAACCCCTGATAGCGTTTCCTGGTTCACTCCTATTAAATAAACCCCTGATAGCGTTTCCTGGTTCACTCCTATTAAATAAACCCCTGATAGCGTTTCCTAGTTAACCTGTAACAATCTGGTACTCTCATAACAAAAAGAACTGTAACCGTGTTCTGAGCTGAAAGAGATCATCAAAGTTGCTTTTATCATACAATGCCGCCCTAAAGTAGTACATGTTATAGGAAATATTAGATAGACTTTGAAAACGAAGTAAGCCAACTGATGTTTAATATAGCGTGTTTATTAAATGACCACAAAATTAATCAGTTTTGGACTAATTATAGACAAACATTTTAACGTAGATCCTATATGTTTACACTTTATAATCATGACAATTCAATATAGATGAGGATTTTTACCTTTTTTTTCAGAGTTCCAACAAACGGATCGTCAACGCTTGCACAGAATAAAACTTCCTTGTCTAAAACAGGCATCAAAGCTGGTCCAACTAATACCTCATCAACCACCGACTCCAAACCAAAAACTGACTCAAAAACAAACAAGGACTCATCAACCACTGACTCCAAACCAAAAACTGACTCAAAAACAAACAATGACTCGACCAAAACTGACAACAAAACACCTGTTAACAACAAAACTGTGGCGGCTACATCGCCAGAATCAGTGGAAACTAAAACCAAAAAATCAGTTTCTAAATCGAAATCTGAACAACTATTTCAACGTGGTGTGAGTAAAACCATGATGAAAATGTCGAGAGAGAAAACCATCCCTCGTGTAAGTCTGAGTAAAACAGGGACAAGTCCGATACTTACCGGTAACATCAACACGGACATCCCTTCCACCAGTAAAATCGTGCGGATATTTACCAGCAGTACATTTACAGGTAAGTAAAATTAAACGTTTGTATAGCTACGTAGATCAATTGACACAAACACATGTAAAATTATACTTTATAGACAGATTTATGACCCGGAAGTGAACTGTTTTGCTTCCTTTTGCCTTCAAGAAATGTTGCAATTAGTTAACCGAGGACAATTTTAAAACAATACTTATTCTTCAATGATTGATTGCCGTCTAATAGTTTTATTTTTCTTATATGTATTTTGATAATGATATTGCCTGAAGCTAGATACTTGAAGACAAACTGCCATACATATATATACTGCTGATTAGTTTTATCATATTAATACAAAGATACTATGCACGAGAGAAACACTTGGATGAGAGAGGCGTATCCCGCACTACGTTCCTACTGCCAGACCCGGGGGTATGAATTCCAGGTTGTTGACATGAGATGGGGAATACGAGACGATGCGGCCGACGATCATACGACCTTTGACCTGTGTATGACCGAACTACGGCTGTGCCAACAACTCTCCACAGGACCAAACTTCATAGTGAGTCAAGAACGTTGTATTATTCAATCATCAGGGATTGGTGTTGTTTTATCTGCACCGTTTCGATATTTTCGCTTAGCAAAAATCTGTCCATAATCTAGATTCTGTCGCCGTAAGAAAATGTAAAAAATTGTTTAGTAGCTATGTGGAAATCCCTATTTGCAGAAAGAGAATTTAAATGCTTACATACCAGTTTGATATTGGGTACGGGTTTTCCTTGTTATTGATGATATTTTATTTTCTCTGTCATAATGATAGTAAATCTATTCAATAATGGTGTTAAAAAGTTTGTGTACATTGTGTTTATAATCCGATATTCTCACCAAAACGTACAGACAACTTTGCCGACATGTTGTCTTTATGTACACTGCTTTTTACATGCATGTATTAGGATTTGATTTCATTCAAGGTTGATATTAAATTAGATACGACATTATACCAGAAACAATGTTCTAATCCTGAAAGTATCACGAAGGCAAACAGAAACCTTCGCTTATTGAAGGTAACATCCGGTGGTATACATTTTATACGAGTAAGGTATGTGGTCGTTGTACCTCAGCGTTGCTGGAATTTGGTTAAAAATAGGCTTCCTTCGTTGTAACTTATCATTTATGTTCTATTGGCTGTGTTCTTGCAATTTCACGCGAATGTTTTATATTTAATACTAGTGTTTTACATTTACACTAGTATTTTATATTTTACACGAGTGTTTTACATTTTATACGAGTGTTTTACATTTTACACGAGTGTTTTACATTTTGCACGAGTGTTTTACATTTTACACGAGTGTTTTACATTTTACACGAGTGTTTTACATTTACACTAGTATTTTATATTTTACACGAGCGTTTTACATTTTACATGAGTGTTTTACATTTTGCACGAGTGTTTTACATTTTACATGAGTGTTTTACATTTTACACGAGTGTTTTACATTTACACTAGTATTTTATATTTTACACGAGTGTTTTACATTTTATACGAGTGTTATATCTACATGAGTGTTTTACATTTTACACGATCGTTTTACATTTAACACTAGTGTTTTACATTTTACACGAGTGTTTTACATTTTATACGAGTGTTTTATATTTACATACGAGTGTTTTAGTGTTTTACATTTGACACGATCGTTTTACATTTAACACTAGTGTTTTACATTTTACACGAGTGTTTTACATTTTATACGAGTGTTATATCTACATGAGTGTTTTACATTTTACACGATCGTTTTACATTTAACACTAGTGTTTTACATTTTACACGAGTGTTATATCTACATGAGTGTTTTACTTTTTACACGATCGTTTTACATTTACACCAATGTTTTACATTTACACGAGTGTTTTATATTTTACACGAGTGTTTTACAATTAACACGATTTTTTTTACATTTTACACGAGTGTTTTACATTTAACACTAGTGTTTTACATTTTACACGAGTGTTATATCTACATGAGTGTTTTACATTTGACACGAGCGTTTTACATTTACACGAGTGTTTTATATTTTACACGAGTGTTTTACAATTAACACGATTTTTTTTACATTTTACACGAGTGTTTTACATTTTACACAAGTGTTTTACATTTACAAGAGTGTTTTACATTTTACACGATCGTTTTACATTTAACACTAGTGTTTTACATTTTACACGAGTGTTTTACATTTTACAAGAGCGTTTTACATTTTTTACACCATTGTTTTACATTTTACACCATTGTTTTACATTTTACACGAGTGTTTTACATTTACACCAGTGTTTTACATTTACACGAGTGTTTTACATTTACACGAGTGTTTTACATTTACACGAGTGTTTTACATTTTACACGAGTGTTTTACATTTTATACGAGTGTTATATCTACACGAGTGTTTTACATTTTACACGAGTGTTTTACATTTTACACGAGTGTTTTACACTTACACTGGTGTTTTACATTTACACGAGTGTTTTTTACAATTTACACAAGTGTTTTACATCGGTTACAAAACCTCTCTTGCAGTCATTACTTGCCAACAAGTATGGATACCGCAGTCCCCCACGTACCATTGCTGTTGAAGAATTCCAGATTCTCTTAGCGGGAGTGGAAAAGGAGGAAATCAAAGCCCTACTAACCAAGTAAGTTTTTACTCAGTTTTGAAATAACATTGTTGATAATGTTAGCCAATCATCTTGCTTCCATACTAAACCAGTTTTATGTATTTACAAAAGATTCTTTTACATATTATATTTAATTTTAATCATTTTGCTTAAGCTGTATACTATAGTCGCACACATTGTTCAACGTTTCATGGAAACAACATTTTCTTCTCGGATCAACTCGTTTCTTTCGTGACATCATAATTCATACATCTGTGAAACCGTTAAGACAAAAGAATCGTACACTTAACGCAAATTAGTAAAACCCAGTAAAATATGGAATTGGAAAGATTTGCTCAAAGACACTCGAGGAATTACAAGGATGATATGATCAGGTGTTCAAAAGTGTATGGTCTTCTGTTTCTAAAAATAGTATCATGTCCTTCAATAGGGAATGACATTGATAAAAAGAAGACTAGGTGGTATATATACATGTACCTACATGTATGAACATCACATACATCAAACATTATTTTTTTATTCGATCATAAAATGATCATAACTGTCCAATAGTCTTTGTCAACTTGTATTTCTCCAAATATTAAGTTGTAAGTTTATCTACATCTCAATGAACTGGGACTTGCGAGCATCTTAGGGTGGAGAATTAGGGTAGTCACGTGGCGTAGTGGTAACGTACCCGCCTTTCACACTGTCGTCACGGGTTTCGATTCCCCTAGTGTGTGAGTATGGGGGAGGGGTGTGTGACCTTCCCGAGAACCGGTGTTTTTCCCGATCACTCCCACTGTAAGACCTTTCACGAGCTTCCATACTCACCAACAAGAGGGATTAACATAAGCTGGTAGCTTTAATTGTTGTACTGTGAAAGGTATGCATTATCTATTTGATTTAACGATATCAAACCGCTTTTAAATTTTGAAAAAACACTAGATTTTAATTTGTTTCTGACTCTGTGATTTTCAGCATTATGAACTTGATTGAAATTTGGTATGATTGAAAACCCATTTCCATCAAATACTACTTTTGTTTGATTGTCATCAAGTATGAATTTTGTAAACTATTACCCAATTTTTTCACAACTGCGAAACAAATGATATCAGCTTATAGTAATCGCATGCTCGTCCTGATGGAAGCGCGCATGTTGTCTTAATGTAGTAGGAAACCGGAATACAAATACCCATTGCTGTCGCCGGACAGATGACGTCATAACGTTCACGATCGATCAGGGAATTGAACCATGGTTACCTAGGTGAGAGCCAACAATAATTACAACTGTATACATATATATATATATGTTTACTTATCTGGTTTCTCTTATCTGTTTATTGAAAACACAAAACTCTCTAAGAAGTCACCGAACTCAATCAGAAAATTATGTACACATACCCAATGACAGTGTATATATGTCACTCGGACGTTTCTATGTGTCGTTTAATTTCCATGTTAAGTAAGAGAAGTGGTATATCTGTTTGTTCTCGGTGCCTCAAGATATATTCTGGTCTATTGCACACCCATCCAGTAAGGATTGTCAAACAATTGTTTCCTGATCAAACCGTAATGGGCGAGTTATTCCGAATAGGTTGATTGATTGAGGAAATAAATATGTATATTTAGAGCCTGCGTTGCTCCCGCGAGATGGTTCTATTGTGAACGTAATGCTGACCTTGCGTGAGGTGATAAGATGTATAATGATATAGTAAAGAGGGGATCTTTTACATAGATGTCAATGTCATTTAATTTATTAAACTAGTTAAATTATTGTTTATGTTAAATTAATTACCTAAAATCTAACACTATATGGTATTGACACACAATATCACATTTTTCATATTCCCGCTGAAATAAAGAGGGAAAAAAACTCAAATCAATTTTCTTATAAAACTGATACACTTTTGGCTGCCTGGGTAATGTTTTATTATCACATTATTAAACGTCATTTATAAACTGTCGTGTATGAGATAATATAAGAAGCCCCACTGGAATGTTAAACACCAAATCGTTCCTTGAATTCATAACCAATGCTACTATTGAGATGTGGTTAACAACCATTAAATCAATTATTAGCCTAAAAACGAGTATGTGAGAGCTCACAGTCAACTTATATACTAGGAACATTGTGGGATTTCGTCAGAAGTGGGAAGTATTTCCCTGTCAATCACATACACTTTACTAAGGATCTCTGTGTGATGACCCTTTCTAAAGAGTTGTACAACAATTGTTTAATGCCGCATTGGTCGTTTAAATTTTCGTTATTGTAAATGTCAGTTCCGTTGTTGTATATCTTGTTCTCATCTGAGAACGTTACATTACTTACCTGGATTTACATGGCGAATGGTTTCGATGAAACAGAAGACGCTTACTATGCCGGAACACCTGTCTTATTGTCCTTGTACTTTTTAGGAGTCAACATGTAAATCTTTTGTTCATGTTTAGCTCTAATTGTACTGATGAGTATTTAGGCAGAAGACTGGGGACTATCTAGGTAGAAGACTGGTCAGTGTTTAGGTTAAAGACTGGGGGTATTTAAGAAGAAGACCACGGAGTATTTAGGTAGAAGTTTACATGTGGCAAAATAAATCCGTTATTTGGTGTATCAAATCCAACACAAACGATCGTTTCCTGTTTGTAGATGGTATCTCCGTGATGATAACGCTGTTCCTCCAGAGTACGTGCTACAGCCCATCAGTAAATATATACCTAACAGGCTGAGTAAAGACAAAGACCTACAGAATGAGGCTAAGGATGAGTGGAACGAGGATGAGTGTGACATGCAGGACGCATTAGAAGCGTCAGCTAGAGCCAATCTCCCCACACAAGCGGCAGAGAAATATTATGTTTCAAGTATGATATTTGTTTCTGAGATATACTGCCTTTCACCAAGTATTGATAGGATTGCACGGTTACTTAAGTCAGTCAATTAATTGTTCTTTTTTGAAGGATATGGTAGACTCACATACATTAGATACCTTGCGAATAAAATATGTTTAGAAAATAGAGGCCCATTTTATAAATAATGCAATAAAACTCATTTTTACCGCAAGTGCGAACACTTGAACCATTTTAAAAATTACTTTTGCAGTATTTGCATCATAATTGTTAGCATTTGTTGTCAGTTGTCAGAAGAAAATAATAATCTTGACTATTGATTTCCTTGTAGTTACTGAGAAGGAAATACAAAAAGGTATGCTGGACGTGTCCAACCCTGCTCCACACTGTCTGTGGTTCTGGCGTAAAATCGACGGCATTGAGGACATGGATGGAAGCAAGCACAAACTGCTAAGGAGATACATTGGTAAATATTCTGTTCATTATATAATCTAACATATCTGCTGGGCTGTATATATGTCGGTATCATCTATAAAGTGAAGATACCCATGTTGTTACACTTGCAACAATCTTTTTAAAAAATCTATCTATGGTTTGAATCCTGTATTTCATTTTAACATTTTACATGTCAGTAGCATATTGTGTCTAACTAGAATGCAGCAATGCATACAAGGTTCAGCGATGTTTTTCAAGACGAACGGGCACCCAATATAGAACACCTCAAAAATTCTCTTCATGTATGGAAATAACTGACACAGTCTAAAATAGTTTTTTTTTTTTTGTTTAAAACATCACAGACTTTTTGTGTTTAGTCATATGTCATTTCCCTTTAAATTTTCATTATGTCATATGTTTGTCATACTTAAATAGAGATGGTTATCACCATAGATTTCCAATGCTTAACAATATTTTCACAGTTACTTAATAATACCATACATTGGGTTTTGAATAGAAACTTTGCATTTATTGCAAAATCAAAATTCTCTGTCACATATTTGAAAAGTGTTTGAGATTTGATAGCGTTTCGTATATCGTTAAGAAATCGACGAGATTCCAGAATAAATGTATTTATGTATATTGTACATTTTCCGATGTAAATATCTCCAATGAAACATTATTCGTATAAAGTGCTATCCTGGGCTGTATGTCTCAAATTATGACAAACACCTGGTCTTATTTCCCTTGTACTTTTCCAGCAGTCTCTGTGTAAATCTTTATTCTGTTCAAATTTAGCCCTAGTTTTATAGAATTTTGGTTTGGATTATGATTATGTAGACAGATTGCTATTTGGATAACTATATTCCGTGTTGCTAATGAAGACTTTTCAGATTTTCGGAACTGTCAAGGACACCTTATGAAATATTCAAAATTTCTTACAAAGTTTTTTGAGAATTTTTATGATTTTTGAAACTTAGCAATTTTAGTGACATTTTGACAGCGAAAAATATACAGACCGAATGACACAGCTGTATTATTTCATACTAAACTATTATTAGCGCAACCACACAGTTATAAGCTTTATTTGGATTTGCTCTCAGATCTGAGTGGGCAGGACGAGTATTGGCAAGAATCCCGCAGGCTTCTCCGTGTACTAGAGGATTCGAAGATGGAACCTCACCTTCCTGCTGATAATATACACAAGACCACTGTCAACTGGACTGAAAATGGTAACTATTATGACACGTAGATATTGATTTTTCAGCAACAACACTACAGAAAGTCTTAATGTATTACATAGACAACACATTGCCTCTTCCATTCCCAACAGACATAGATAGTCCGTATTTTTTATCTGTTGAAAGACAGACATACATACACGTAACTGATTAAAAAACTTACATTAGAGTTAACTTAATACGTACGCTTTGTCGGAAGGGAAATGTTTATGAGAATCAACAACATTATTTATTATAAATATATATTTTTAAAGGTATCATCATTCTAAGTGATAGGCATTTTCTACACCCTTGCATTTATCTAAACATGTGAAAACATCATTGGTCTTTCATTCATTACATGTCACCTTCCTTATTTCTTTAATCCTGTAACGATTGAAGAGACCTAGACTAATTAGTAGAAGTATATCTATGCTGCATATATTCTAAATATCATATATTCAAGCTGGTAATACTTACATCACGTAATTCCATGCATGGATCTAATCATTGTACAGCTGCTAGCTCCTGTCCACCATATCACTGGAACCATGAAAATTAATTTGATACCATAGGGATGTTACATATGCTTTGTCGCTTTAAGCCATACTAATATACCAGTTTCGACGGAAATCCAAAAGGGACAGTATTTCTTCAGTAGAAATATTTCTAATATTCCTTATTATGCAGGTATCGACCCCGATAACGATGTCCACCAGAAATACTTGAAGACTATGACGGAGAATTTCATCAAGGAGATGATCCGATTGATTGACCATGGGATAAAACAACGCTCAGATACAGAACTGACCGATCCACTTATGCTAGAATGCTGCCAGCATATTCGTTTCTGCCAACAGAAATGCGAAAACTTCTGTGGAAGGGCGAAATCGTTAGACGTATGTAATGCACAACAAGTATTTCTTTAACTTTAATCCTAAATTATGAGGGATGTCCATTTTCAGCTCCATTATTTCCTTACTATCTAAGGCAGCCTTTGTAAACGAAGACAGGCGTCATTTGGTGCATTAGGCAAAAATGGACAATCAGATCCAGCTTCTGAGGCAGTTAAGAGAAAATATTAAACTCAAGCGAATCGAAAACCACAGTAAGGTGTGTTGTGTCACCAGGACATTGCCCCGTTCACAAGTCTGTCATTGCCATGGCTGCCATTAACGATTGTGTCATTGATTTCATTGAGTTTCTGCCATATTAGTCTTATCTCGCTCCATCAGGTTTTCATTCAAGGCCATTTCCGGTACCCACTTTGATGATGTCATACATGCAGTGGGGGACATTCTGAACGGTCAGGAAAAGGAAAATGTAATGCAATATGTCCGCAAAAAGTTAAACCTTTAAATATGAGGCTCACAACCTACCAATCAGCCCTCGTATTGTATTGGTAACATTTAGGTAAATGGGATGTGCCATATTTCCTGATATCGTTTGCAATACCCAAACCTCGTGCTGTCAGCAGAATGTTTTGGAAATACAATATCGTTTATTTAAAATTTAATTAACATTTTTCTCATTACTTCCTAAAGCTAAGACTTGTTAGTGTATTGACATGAAATGCCATCGTTTCTTCATAGAAAATCAAGCAATACCTCACGTCTGACTCCACAAAACCTTTGATTATTCACGGAACCTCTGGCTGTGGTAAGACGTCCTTGATGGCCATGACAGCCAAGCTCGCACCCACGTGGATTTCCAACACGCAGCCAGCCGTTGTGCTCAGGTATACAGTATTTACTTATGTTAAATAAAAAAACTTCTGTTTCTTTAGTATTTATTTCTACATTGCTTTCCAAAAGTGAGAGAAATGACAGCTAGTACCTGCAATATCTTGAGTTATACAACATTACAAGCACCTTGAAACCACCCTCTTTTAAGTAGTTTGCTTACAGATTAAGTGTTGACAAAGAACATTTATTAGTTGATGTTTTAATTATTAGTTTGTATTTTAAGCAATATAAAGTATTAAAAAATTAATACATATATTAACAGAGATTATTCGAAGACAAGTATATAAGAACTTATAACAATTCGTCTCATTATAATCAACTGTCTGTTACATATCTTTATAAATTCCAAGCTTTAGCTTGTAAATTGTCGGAGAGTTTGTTTCTATTTCTACTACAGATTTCTAAATAATAATGAAGTTGTTTTAAACAAATTCAGAACCTTGGTATATATCAGACACCCAGTTCGTTTAAAGTCGTTGTTTGTGAACATACAATCATGGTTCCTGTAATAATTATCTTCTGATAAAGAAGACAGTATAACTAAGTATTGAAAGAAAGTAATCAATAGTTGATCATTATTGGCAAATGCTAACTAGTCTTACCTTAATGTATATTACGCAGAGCTGAGTTGTGGTTGTCATATTTGGAATCAAATATTCATGTTCCCACTATTCCGGATTCTCATTAATGATGAATTTATTTATAAATCGATAACCCTTCTTGACACCACGTGAACAAAGATGAACTAAATTGCAGCCGTTTCACCCTTCTCGGAATCAGTGATGCTAAGGTCCTAAAAGATCACTGATCATACGATTAGAGGGCATTCAGAACGTAAATAGAATATACATGCATTTTATAACACTATATATATTACCATCAGTTTGATTATTGGAATTCAATTCTGCTTTGTTTTATTAACCAACAGTTTGTATTATATGTTCAATAGGTTTATTGGAACAACACCGGATAGTTCTAATATCAACGGTCTACTCATCTCCGTCATCAATCAGATAAAAGCTATCTACAATCAGTCATCACTCAATCCAGAGGTGAGGTTAGGTACCGGTGAGCTTATGCCAGGGCGCGTCGTTTGTCGTCCGTCCGGCATCCGTCGGGAATCCGTCAACGTTTTACTGAAATTCACTACTGGTCCTGAACGACTGAGCGAGTTTTCACCAAATTTGCTTAAAAACAGCATTTGGGGAAGGGGGACAAAGTTTATATAAATGGTTGACTCGGCCCCCTATAGATCTATGGACGGGGCCCAAAAAAGGAATTCTAGCAAATTCTCTAAATCCCATCTTTCGCTATAGATCTTATTCGACTTTGTCAAAATCTGGTCTGAAAAATCCTTCGGTGAAAGGGATTAGAGATTTATAAACGGTTTGTTTCGGCTTCCTGGGATAGAAGGTTGGTCCACAATAGGGGAAATAGATAAAATTATTTAAAATCCTTTGCCTGTAGGAATGTCTATATTGGTCTGAAACAACCATAATTATTAGGAATTACTTTTGTATACATTGTGGATCTCGGTTTCCTGGGGCAGAATGGCCGAGACCCCAAGGGGTAATGGATGAAATTCTTCAAAATCATTCTTCTCCAGAAATTATTTTATTCTGTCCTAATTTGGTCTTAAGCATTCTTGGACAATGGTGAATTACTTTTTTTAAACGATGGGCCTCACCCCCATGGAGCCAGAGGGACGGAGTCCAAAAGGAGAAGTAAAGATACTGCAGTAAAATACCACTTCTTCTGGATGAATGTCAAGATTCTATTTCAACAGAGTGTAAATCAATCAATGATTCAAAAAATGGGTAGATATAATGTAATACATATCTAGATTAACTTGTTTTTCCAAGAATTGGGCGGTGTGAGCTTTTGTACTCTCCTGAAACTTTGGTTAAAATGGCACTGTCATTGTTTCACCGAAACAATGCAAATAAAGTATAGATATTAGGTTTTTCAGTTTCCTATGGAGTAAACGTTGCAGAGGTAAAATGATTGTAATCGAAATTGCCTACAGTTCTCTTAATCGATAATTAGCGGAATATTTGTGAAAGTTTGTGGATACATTATTGCTTAGAGGACACTTCAAAATTCTGACATTATTACAATAAAACATTTTTATTTTTGTGAACATTAATTTTATACAGAGCCTTCAGGAATTGTCGAAGGAATTCGAATTCGTACTGAGTTTTGCTAAACCTGCACAGCCGCTTATCATCCTTCTGGATTCCCTAGATCAAATCGACATTTCCTACAACGCTAGAAGTTTGTTCTGGTTACCCAGAACGATCGGAAAACATGTTAAACTGATTGTATCAACTCTCGAGGACGAAGAATTTGAATGCTTTCCAAAGCTCAAGGTGAGAAAGGAGAAGATCAGTTAATTTCTCTCTCCCTATTAAGCAGTTTATTGTTAAGATTACTGTCTAGTATTAGTTTACGATTCTGTTTGGTATCAATCACTCGGGAGTTGTCAAACATGATCATCACTTATATTTTTTTCCACTGAGGTATAACATTTGACTGAAAACAAAGAAAGAAAATATGTAAAATAATAACCATGTTAGGGAAATGTACAATCTTAGAATAACGACTGACACCAGTCAGGTACATGTTCTGATATACAAAGCCGGTGTGACAGCCAGTTTTCTGTTCATGAAAAACGTGATATTTTTTATCATCATGGATGTTTTTTCATATTTATCTCACTTTTTTATAAATCAAACAAAATACATAAATTACATCATTCCAAGCAACATCCCCGTTACACAATACATCAGTAACATAATTGAAGTATCCTTGACGAGTCGATTTAGGAAATAGTAGGGAGGGTTTCGATAAACGAAATAGTATCCTTATATATGTATATACATTGTATATATATATATACACACAATAATACTTCGTCACAATGTTAATTAATATGTTACGTAATACAATCCCCTGAAGATGACCGCGAGGCCTAAAAACGTCAGCGAATTTATTTGCCATGTCAAGTGTTTGATTTTCTATATATACGATACATAAAGTTTTCATCTTTTTTAATTATATATATATACATATATATGTGTGTGTGTATATATATATATATATATATATATATATAAGGTACGAATATATTTGGTAAGAATATAACATATTATTCTTTTTTCAATATACAATCAGGCTATGTTCAAAGATGAAGACAACTTTTGGTTAGTGCCTGAACTGAAAGCATCCGATGCCGAAGGTATCATACAGCAATGGCTTAAATCCCGCAACAGAACACTCACCCCTACACAGCTAGACATTCTCAACAAATGTGTTTACCACTGCCCTTTGCCACTGTTCTTGAAACTATCATTTGAAAGTGCTCAAAGATGGCATTCCTATTGGGATAAAAGCGAAACTGTTCTTAACAAGACCATAAGGAGCAGCATTGACAGTCTGTTTTCTAAACTGGAGACTAAACACGGAGAAATATTTGTGTCGAGGACACTTGGTTATTTGACTGCTTGTAAGTTTTTAGCTTTTTTCATTACTTGTATGAACATGCTAACGGTTTCATGATTGTAAATGTTTATTGAATATAGTTGCGCTTTCCACAAGACAAATTTTTACATGTCTGCGTATGCGGATAATCGTGTGAACGTCTAACATTGAATTAAGAGGTATATCTTAACACTTAACAGACGTTAAGCCTCTATATGTAAATCAACTAAAATTACACCATCAGTATATTCAGATACACTTAGTAAGATTAAGGGTAATGTGTGGATTATATGATCATATGTTACATTTCCAGCCAGGAATGGGCTTTCAGAATCTGAGTTAGAGGACGTGCTGTCATGTGACGATGAGGTCCTTAATGACCTATACCAGTTTTGGGTTCCACCAGTCCGACGATTACCTCCCCTGCTGCTGGTCCGGCTGAAGGCGGAAATACAACAGTATATAGGTCAGTGTGTGGTAAATTTGACGAAAATATGCTTTTAATGTTAATTATATTAATTCTATCCTCTAAATAGCATATAAAATATGTATATACATGTATATTTTGGCTGACTGATCAAAGAATGTTCTTCATATAAACTCTTACTAGAATATCAGAATATATTACTTCAAAAGAGTTTTGGTGATACCATGTTTTTTGTTCAGAAATAAGATTGAAAATAAGTTGGATAACTTGAAAAAAATATGACATAAGCTATGAGGAAAGTGCAACGTGCATATTTATATATTTATGTACTGAGATACTTTCATGTTCTGTTTCTATAAGTGGAGAGAGGCGCTGATGGCATCCGTGTACTTTATTGGTATCATCGCCAGTTCATAGAGGCTGCTAAAGCCAGATACTGCAAACCAAATGTGTCTGTCAAGATTAATAAAGGTCTCGCAGACTTCTTCGACGGCAGATGGGCTGACGGTGAGTTACTTAACTTATGATATTTGGGACATTACAATTCCATACAATGAATGGTATTGGAGCAAATGTAAAATGTTATAAACTAATGGTGAATCCCATAATTATTTTATGGTCATATAGGGAAGAAAAAGCCCTACGTGGACAAGAAGAAAAAGTCGGGTGAGAGTGACCGACATGTTTCAAGCCAGCCACTTGTCCATGGAAAGACGTATAACCAACGTAGGTTGAATAATTCTCCCTATCACAGAACTAAGGTCGATGCCTTGGAACTCAAGAACGAATGTCTTCTGAACTTCGAGTTTTTACAGGCCAAAGTTGTGGCTTCTTCTGTACGGTGAGAATCATACGATTTATGCTGCTCATACATGTTTTCATTTGTCGTTTGATTGGAGATAGAAGTGATATTTAAATAATTATTTTGCCAATGAAGGTTCGGACTCTTTATGGGCCTATTCTTTCTATTTTATTGTTGTTTATTGATATAATGAAACACTCCTTTTCTTTCGCGGATCAGACCCATTCTGGATGATTTTGCCTTTGCACGGAAAGTGTTTCCGAAAGATAGTGACCTTGAAACTGTAGGAGCAGCCATTGAGATGTCCCAGGGTGCACTGTTGTACGATCCTTTTCAGTTGGCTCCACAACTCTTGGACAGGTTGGCAGGAGAAAAGGTAGCTACACCGTTTATGCAATCGCATATATATATATATATTGATTCGACAGAAAAAAATATATAAATCGCTTGGCGTGTAAGAGAATTTCATTAAATCAATAGTGCTTTAATGGTACAAATATCACAACCTTTCTTAAAATTGAGCTCAAAATCAAATAGGAATAGAGGAATGTCTCTCTGGTTTATTAATATCAAGGACATGATTTGTATCGGACTGCCAAAAACAGCGCACAAATAATACAAACATAAAGAGCAAGATGTGTGTATGAAACACCATACCCCGGTTGCAACAAATTCTGAAGTGGGACATTAAAACTCTACTGTGAAAGGTATGTGATAATTGCATGTTCACATTGTGAAAGACTTATGTCTTCATTGTGGTAATGATTTTCTTTATTTCAAATATAGTGAAAAGGTCATGGCCAAGGTAGCATGGACAAAAAGGATAGTGCCACCAGAAAGGTCATGTCACAAGGACACGCATGCCACATATCAAAGTCATACCTCTTGTGTTTCAAACGTAGATCAAAGATCACAGTCAAGATCACATGGTCAAAAATTTTGGTACCACCAAAAAGGTCTTGTCAAAGGACACCTTGCAAAATAATAAGCTGACAACAGACAGCACAAAATCTTTCTATCCGAGTGCAATGTTATTGCATTTACAATAATATTAACAGTCATCTATAAGGGTAGTTAGAACATTATATTTTAAAGTTTTTTATCACAATGCTTTATTTTTGCAATATTGCAGCTCTCGATTGACCTTCTCCGACAGTGTGAGAAGTGTAATGTGCCGTTCCTTGCTCCAGACCAAGAAGTCCTTATGAAGCCGGGTGGTCAGCTTATCTATTGTCTGACTGGACATCAAGGTCCTATCCTTTCAGTGGACATTAAACAGAACGGAAAAGTTGCCGTATCATGTAAGAGGCTGTACCACATCAAATAAGCAATACCTTTTTATGGGTATTGTTATAAAATGTATTCTAATTTAACAGGTTAAGTGATGATATTTAAGCATTTTTACGCTTTAGTACACTACATGATTGTGAGGAAACTGTCCGAAAATTCGGCATTTTTCTTCTTTTCCACATTCTGTAGACAAAAATAAATATAGTATCATTTCTTTTCTTTTTTCACACAGTTTATTAACGTCTCTACAGACAACTTTCACACAGACTTTATTCGGGTTATTAAGGCGTACCGTGAAATTGTATTCATGATGATTTAGACAGACACTTTACAATGAATGGTTATTTGGTTTCTTCAATTCTATTTTAGCTGCTGTCAAATTCGCAAATACCATAGATTTATTACTGTGAATTGACTCTCGCGTACAACAAATATTATCTTGCGCACATTTTTTCCAGGTTCGGATGACGATGAAGATTCTGTTAAAACTTGGGATTTGATAGAAGGGAAACTTCTCAAATCATACGATGGCATCAAGTTGAATCCAACTCAAGTGCGTTATGTGTGTAATGACAGGCATGTCCTCGTGGATTACGCTGACGATTATATCGCCATACAACAGTCAGGCGAAATTGCTTTCTCTATAGACAACCTCGGCGGCCAGTCAGCTGTTGGAGGCAAGAACAAATCACTACTGGCCACGTTTTGTGATGACACTGTTGACGTATACAATATGGAGAATGGTGATAATGTTGCTACGGTCGAAGTCTCAGAATCGAAGCTGATATTTTGTATGGACATGCCAAGTGCCATTGCGGGTAATATGCACTTTCTATTTAAGATGACCTGCATGTAAATTCGATCGCAATAAGTGCAACACATACATGTTGCCAAAAAACAGCTTCATTCATTCTTAAATGACTTGTTACGTTGCAAGTTTTGTTGTCAATTTTTAGCAAATAGCAATATTCGAATTCTAAAATATACATAATGTTATGCATACAATGGTATTAAATCAGATAGTTTGCTGACACACTTTTGATTTTCCCCAGCCTCTGAAAACTACGTGGTCCTGACGGACAGCGATCAGCACTACTTCACTGTATACAACTTCCCTAAGCGGAACCTCACTAACTGGGTACAGGTTTTCAGTACCGAACAGACTTCCGGTCAACCGAATCTCACTATAGACGCCATTGTGATTATACCTGATGAACAACGATTCATTTTATCTAATGTTCGCGACAACGACCTGCTTATTTATGATATCAAAACATTGGACAAACTTAAAACAATAAAAGGTAGTATACTTCAGTTTTCCCATATTCTTTGCATTTTTTTAAACTTTGCCATAATATTGCTTTTAAAAACCCAGAGAATATTTTAGATTTGTGTTTCGTTAATAAACCAGACGAATGCTGTTTTTATTTGCAAGATTTTAAAAATGTTGTACGACTAATATCATTAATATGAAAAACAGGGAGCTAATTTATGTAGACGTGGTATTTAATTATTTAATTAATTTGGTGTAAATGTCCGGTATAAGATATCAAAAAGTCACGCGTAACCTGTTTAAGTAGGTCTTTCATTCTTTTATTCCTTTTAAGAAGATTTCATATTGACAATAAATGTTTTTATACTTTATTTCAACCAAGGCATATATTTCATTCTTCTCCTAATCGCTTCTATCTTCTATCTTGTATGTATAGGTTACCGAATGGACTTTGCCCAGAACTACAGAATCACGGCTACTGGCAATTTCCTTTACTTCCCCGGAGAGATCGAAGTCGTTGTTTGGAATCTCAAGAAGGAGCAGCGATCATGTATCCTTCCTCACCCAGGTCCATTACGTGACGTCATTTGTTGGTCATGGAAAACCATGGTGACGGCAACAGACGATACCACAGTGCGAGTGTGGGATTTGGAGAGGAAGGAAAAAGAGACCAAAAACCAAAGTCTGGTTCTTGGTCATGTAATACGGTACGATGTTGTGATCTTTATGCACGCGACCCATTACGTCGTATGTCGATAACATATAAGTTTGATGAATGAATTCTGGCAAGAAAGGTATCCTTGTACCTAAACTCTATAGCAGTGTTCATCACTGTGTATTACACAGCAAATAACACTTTCAACTCGAAAACGGAATTCAAATTAAAGTGTTGCGTTTTATATCCTTTAGACACTTCGTTCCCATGAAGAACCCTCGTTATGCTGTTGTTATGGTACAGACGGACCGGACGGACGCAGAGAGAGTCAATCTGCAGGTTTATGACATCCATGCAAAGAAAGTTGTCCGTGAGGGCACGCCAGTATGTACTATTTCTCCAAAAACTATCAATAGTCTACAAATAAATGTGACTTAGTAAAATGACTCGAATCCTCCTGCTGTAGTGTATTAACCTTATATGTGATAAACGAAAAAATCAGATATCGTCACAAAGTTCTTTTAGTATCATAACTTAATTTCATATAATTTCATACTTTTCGACTAAGACAGATGGGAATTACATTGCTAGAATCTTCAAGAACATATTCGTCACCCTTTTTCAAGTCATAAATACATAGTATTATACGAATGTAACTACTATTAGATTTGTTTTTTTGGGTTACTCTCGTCAGATTGGAGCAAAACCTTGTTTCTTGTTTGTAATCCAAAGCATACAGACGCCACATCGTGCAAGAAAGTATATTGATGAAGGATATATTTACATCTACTACTTGAATCAAGACACAGTAAAATAAGTGCTGCATTTTTATGGTCGCATTCATTTGTTTCGTAATTCATTATAATTCTAATATCATTAGATACATTTGACAAATACGAATCAATTACTGCTCAATTTTGATTAAGTCTGTATTATGAGAGTTCAGAGATTACGTCAACATACAAAAGAGTCACATCAGAGGTAGGCGTGCAAGCTGATATATACATTAAGATGCTTCCAGTTGGAAACTTTGAAATCTCCTGATAAAAGTTTATTCATACCAAATGTTATATCAAGAGAAATTCTAGACAGAAAAATATAGAGGTATGCTGTGTTTACCTTTTTTCACAGAATGCACCTCCAGGTGTGATAAAGATCCTGAACGAAAAGCACATAGCCGTGGTAACTAGTTCGAGAAAAATCAAAACCATCAACTTGGACACCATGAAAGTAGATAAAGTGTTTGAAGGCGACTTGTCCGCTTATACTGTGGATATACATGTCAAATCTGACGGGTCAGGTAACTGTTGCATCATCTATCAGAATACCAATAAATATTTCATTGATATAGTTCGCGAAGAAGTACATCAGTTTTGATGTCAAAATGGAGAGTGTGAGTACATCAATATACTTGTCAAAACAAAACTTGAAATAAATTGGCTGTCTGTGTTTGAAATGCATACAATAGTACACCCTATTAAGCGGTTTAATTGATTGTACAACAGTGATTAGCAACTTGTTATACAAATTTAGAATTAGAGATGAGTCAAGTATAGACTTAAACTGCATCACACAGGTATTTCGTCATTAAGGGACTCGACAATGATTCTAAGTGCATAACTCTTAAATCTAAGCATTCAAACATGCCACTGGTTTCTTATTGCTGAAAGATAAATCTATTTTTCAGAAATATTGACTCAAACAAGAGGAAGGCAGAGGTTTAAGATATACAACACCGCAACTGGAAAATCGAGAGCGATCATTCAAAGGCCTTCCAATGTTAAAACGGACAAGAAAAGTCCATTTGAGGAAATATTTTATGTATGTCCTCTTTCAATTGACACTGTTTCATATATCATTAAGTAATTTAGCTTGTATGATGAGTTAAAGTTTTTTTGTTAATGCATTACTACACTGGAAAATATTTTTTGAAATTTAAAAGTCATTCTTCGTTCGCGACCATCAATATCTTATCTAACTCAACATATCATTACCAAATTATCTAAAAGTGAAATATCATGATAAATCATTATAAAACATTGCAGCGTCACAAAGAAATACAAAGAAATTTATTCTTTTTTAGGTTAACAAAGGTTGGACATTATTGGCTGGACGAATTTCTGGTGGTGCATGGCTCCTGTACGATATATCTACATTACAGTGTGTTCGAACGATTTCTCCCACAGAGTATGATTATAGCGATGTACCCATAGAGAAGGCATGTCTGTCAGGCGATGGCCAAACCTTTGTATTTGGTGTCAATTCGTACGTTGATAGTTCCGGATCATCCCAGGAAAAATACAAATTAGCATCGTTCGTTGTTTGGAGTCACAAAGAAAGTTAGTATTCTTGTAATTACATGAAGCATGGCTTTTTTGTTGACGATTGTCACGTACAAGTACAATGTGATGATGTTGTTGTAGATATATCCACTTGACCATTCAGTCAACAATACATCAGAAATATATCCGAAGAATGACAGGAAAAGCCTGGAATGATATAACGATATACTAACACAACTGTATTCGTAGTTTGATATGTAAACTCTATTGGGAACATCACCGTTAGCTATTTGATTTCCTATCGGTATATTGTGAGGGATATGTATTACTTTCCACATGGTAACTTAGTTCCTGTATTTTTGGCTATGATACATTACTAACGAAGTTGTAACATTTTTTTAAATTTTAATCGGTTTATTTGAAAATCTATGCGAACTGTGAAGTGAACAATAAAATCGAGAAATATAAGATTAGATTCGTGTACTACCAGATAGACGGGTGACCCTGTGTGAAGACAGAGAGTACCAGAACCATTACTTTGAGGTCGCCAACAGGAAGGGCATAGACGTATCGGTGGATGAGATTCACGTACTAGATGACAACCGACTGCTTACTGTCCACGATGATTTCATCCTCAGAGTTTGGGATAGAAACACAGGTAATATGATGATATCAGAGCTTCTCATGAAAACATTAATGTCTCCATTTGGAGAAATAAGCAAGAAAAGGCTAGCGGAAGTCATTAGTAGGGTCCCAGACAAGGGGACTTGCTGATTTTACCACTATTAATATTATCATTATTATTATTCTGTAAAATGGATGCTTTCGATTGGTCGTAATTTTAAAATGTTTCTATTTTAATGCAATTTAATTTTGTATGTAGATGCAATATGACGTCTAAAATACAATGGTGGTGTCCTTTTTCTGATTCGGCAAACTGGTCGACCAAGGGATTATCTAGTGTTTCCTGTCAGTGTCTCGTTTAGTGCTTAAAATTTCAAAATGTGTACGCCAGAGTTCCGCAGCCCCTCCTGAGTTGTACTCAGTTGTACTTGTAAACATTATTCACGACTAAAGAAGTTGTTTGGAGGACTTCTGTAACGGACCCGTTAGTGTTAGTACTTATTTCAATGTCTCCAGTGGGAATCCGAAACCGAGACTCCTAACCTTCTAGAGTCACGTTTAGCCTTTCGAACCTCTAAATGAGCGGTGTATTGCAGCTAGTACATTGTTATTACCAGGAGTGCACCTGGCTCATTCATTCCAATAACAAGACTACATTTGTTATAAACTGTTTTATAATACCACTTGTAATTTTCTTTTAATTCTCTTTTATAAATTGTGTTGATAGGAGAACTGCTGAAGCGTTTGGAGGGACATCGCAGTGCCGTGCAAGTGTTCTTGAAAGACGATGGACCATATTTTTTCTCGTATGCAACATACGAAGAAGAGAATGCTATTCGAGTTTGGGATAAAGCTACATTAGAATGTTTAGCGAGTTACAGACTAGACCATACGGTAGGTCAAGACCTGTCTCTGATGTGTAATTAATGTACCAGTGTGTAGTTTCTGGGTAGAAAATGCTCAATATATAATGAAAGGACCAAACACAAGATGGCATATATGGAGTGAACTGTTTCAGTTTGATATTGCAAATAAATATGTAGTTTAAGTCTGGAATTATACATAAAACAAACAAACAAACATCCTGGAATTTGAAAGAAAAACAAATGTTGTTCCCTTGGTCAAACAATGATTAAAAGTGTCCATGGTTGTAGTTTACGGTTTGTTGGAATCATAAAAAGGAGCGAAATAGTGGGAAATATTGTGCATCTACAAGATAGACCACATTAGATGTCTTTGAATGACAAAAAAGGAAACTTGGTGTTTAACGCCATATTTGCTGGTATGAAAACAAATTTGGGGGATGTTGACAGAACAGTGTATGATCTAGAGATTGGTAACATATTGGAAATATATGTATCACTAATCGTTTCAGGTTGTATCGAGTAGAATATGTGAAGATGGAAAGCAATTCATAGCATCTTCCAAGAGTCCTAATGCGCGCCTTGTTCACTGGAGGGTAGAAGGGGTTGATAACTCCACCAGTCTAGCTTCCTGTCCTATGCTGTTTAAGGGATCAGGTAAGACTTCAACAAATATGTTAAACCGAGGACAAAACAAATCAGAAAATATCCGTTAATGTTGTATTCGAAAATTGTCCTAATTTCGTTATCTTTCAATTATTAATATGATAATGAGCATAGCATTCCAAATCTAATGTCACCTTTATTCTCTTACTTTGGTAATGGAATGTATTACTCGTTATTTTACTACCCGAATAACGATCTGACATACTTTTTAGATTTTCAGAGTATTAAAATCGGAAACATTTTGTAACACACACTAAATAAAGCAGCCATTTTGTAGCTTTTCCTCCTCTCTTGATATGTTATTTGAACTTACAATAAATATAGATATGGTAATATATAATATTTGTTATTCTAGTTTCTAATCCAGCCTTATCCCTTGAGGTTGACGAAGATTACGTGATCAATGAAAATGATATGGACACTGACGAAGAGGAAAGTGATGACGATGATTAAGGAAGAGAGCGTGAAGGAAAATGAATGATAAAAGATACAGGATGATAAAAAATGGAGGAGGAAGAAAAACACGATACGATAAAAGATATCGGATGCTGAGAGATGGAGGACAAACAATAGTAGATGATAAAGAGGATGAATAAGATAGAGGATGATGAACAATAGTAGATGATAAAGAGGATGAATAAGATAGAGGATGATGAACAATAGTAGATGATAAAGAGGATGAATAAGATAGAGGATGATGAACAATAGCAGATGATAAAGAAGACGAATAAGATAGAGGATGATAAACAATAGCACATGATTAAAAGAGGATGAATAAGAAAGAGGAGGATGAAAGATAGAAGGACGAAAGAGGTACATGATGATAAAATACTAGTGTACAGGATTGTGTAAGATAAAGGATGACGCAAGATAGTGGATGATGAAAGTTAAAGAATGAAAAATGATACAATTGAAGATATGGGATGCTGAAAGATACCTGTTTCCGAGACAACCACGTGACCGAGATCGCTCATCATTCCATATCTTTTTAGATTGAGGTATTTCTATTCAAACCCTTTAGTAGTGTCTGACCATTGTAGTACACAATGGCTGTCATTGGCATTAAGACATTATATTCATAACACATGTAGCTAGTCAGAAATGTTTCTACGTGTAAATGTTCAGTGTATCTACATTACATATAATTTGCAGGTGTGAGAGAGAATAGTAATATGACGTTGTCAATAGGTTCCTTAATACAATCTGAAATCTTGTGAGAGGGTCCGTGATACTGACATCTTTGTGCCTTGTTTATCTTAATTAAGTTACTACATACAATCTGGAATCTTGAGAGAGGGTCCATGATACTGACATCTTTGTGCCTTGTTTATCTTAACTAAGTTACTACATACAATCTGGAATCTTGAGAGAGGGTCCGTGATACTGACATCTTTGTGCCTTGTTTATCTTAATTAAGTTACTACATACAATCTGGAATCTTGAGAGAGGGTCCGTGATACTGACATCTTTGTGCCTTGTTTATCCTAATTAAGTTACTACATACAATCTGGAATCTTGAGAGAGGGAGAGACATCTTTGTGCCTTGTTTATCTTAACTAAGTTACTACATACAATCTGGAATCTTGAGAGATACTGACATCTTTGTGCCTTGTTTATCTTAATTAAGTTACTACATACAATCTGGAATCTTGAGAGAGGGTCCGTGATACTGACATCTTTGTGCCTTGTTTATCTTAATTAAGTTACTACATACAATCTGGAATCTTGAGAGAGGGTCCGTGATACTGACATCTTTGTACATAATTATTAATAGTAAACAGTTTCATTTAAAGGATCATTATGTACTGTACTATCTATAGAACTCCTGGTTAGATATTTGACACGTTTAGACATGAAATCGTTAATATGACTTCTTGTCGTTGGAATTAGCTGTATCAATAAGTATATCTTGTTATATATTGGTATACAATCCATGTCCAGAAGATCAGTCAATTCAGTCATCATGTGATCAGCATGTGATCATCAATATGTCTAGCTTCGTTGTGTACGATGTAGCATCGGATTCGTGACTTCGCGTCAAAAATACCACTGACCCTGTATATGGCACTGTACACGGTGATAGTTTTATGTAAAAAAGAGGAGGTGAAATTTGGTCGAAAGACACGCCTCAATCGGTTTTGTTAATATCATCATAATACGTTTGTCATGTAAAGCATATGCTTCAGGAATCAGTTTGCAAATAAATGCTTTAATATCAATGCTGCTTAGAGGACCTGTGATACCCCATCACGTAGAGTTGACGAAGTGTATGAGTTTATCTCGTACAACTGTGTCTCGGATGTTTTATGTAATGATATTATCAAGTTGTCTTTGATCTATAATCATCTTAATTAGATTTCTAAATTATTTGTAAGATAAAAAATGTCCATGATCTATAATCTTAATTAGATTTCTTAATTATTTGTAAGATAAAAATGTCCATGATCTATAATCTTAATTAGATTTCTTAATTATTTGTAAGATAAAAATAATCCATTAGATTTCTTAATTATTTGTAAGATAAAAATGTCCATGATCTATAGTCTTAATTAGATTTCTTAATTATTTGTAAGATAAAAATGTCCATGATCTATAATCTTAATTAGATTTCTTAATTATTTGTAAGATAAAAATGTCCATGATCTATAGTCTTAATTGGCTTTCTTAATTTTTTTAAGATAAAAATGTCCATTGTTATTATGGAATCGGACATGATTTAAGATGTCGTTAACGAGAACCTTTTGTAACTCGTTTTGAAATACGTGCTTATTTCAATCTTATTTTTGTGTAATCAAAACTAACACACATGTGTAATGTTCTCTTACTGATAATAGCATCTGACTAATGGAAGTCCGTCCAACCCTTTCTTACTTATACACACCCAAATACTTTGATACAATGTGCGTATTTTTGTATACTATTGCTACGTGAATGCCTGTATGATCAGGCTAAATGTTTAAATTAATCCTTACAATAGCGTATCAACAGAAATGAAATAAACATGCTTTTTCTATACAAGTTGTTTGTATTATATATCATTTTGATTATTACTTATTTCAAAATGAACAGTATTTTGGAAGATGTCGGTAATTTATGTGCATAAGAACAATGGTTTTAAATTTTAAAAAATGTTAGATAGGGCTGGCATCTCTATTCTCTATAATATACGATTATGCAAAATAATTCATTTTCCAAAGCTTTTAATAAATATACAACAGAGTATCAAATTGACAATAAGAAACTTGGAACACATTCCCGATCCCTTAACTTCCTGTTCCCAACGCCTTACTACCTGTGGTGCCTCCTATACTTCATATACGGCAGATTAAGCTCGCTTACTTAATTTGCATATCCGCCATCTTGGATTTACTATACACCAATTCTCAGATAAACCGTCCATATGTTTTGGAAAATATACAAAAAAAAATCTTCAAATATGTTTCAAAGCGTTTTAATTTTAAAATTAAAGTTCGGTAGAGGTTTAAAACGAATTTTCATGGTTCAGACTCTAAAAATGAAATAATGGTTGACTATTAAATAAAGCAGAATAAATTTGTAATAAATGTGTAATATTCTACGAGTTTGATTTGATGTTATGAACAAGTAAAATATTCAACGTCACAAATATGTTTCATTAGTGCTTTGATATACAATGCAACATTAACAATTCAGACATTCGTCAATTCATAGACATAATGGGAAATGAAATTAGGTGTATTAGAATTCAGTAACACAGTTCAAGAAGCGATGATAAATTGTAATGTATCAAAACTCCAACCCATGTATCAAAAAGAAACTAACCAGAAACTACCAATCAATTGTCAATGTTTATGATGTTGTTTAACTATTCATTCTAAGATGAAACCATTAAAGCTATAAAACAGCATAAGTTAAATTACAAAGAGGATAATGTAGATTACACTTTGATTTAATATGATTATAATAATGGTTTCCACATATCGATAGAACGGAAATGGAGTCATATATCAATTAGGATAGGGTTTTTTTCGTGTTCCATATTTGTAGTTCCTTTTAGAGTAGTTTATGCACATTTTGTTTTCTTAAAATTTCCATTAAATGATTAATAACACTTTTACACATCTTCTTTTTCCTTTATCTTCCGTAATCTTATTTCCTAATGATATCAAACTCGACCAAAACTTCACTGTCTTGTGCAATGTACGGTATTTAAAAAAAGCACAGTTATATTTCAACAAGGATAACGAAAATTCAAGCAACAGCTGAATGGTAACGTAAGTTACACTTAGTATAATGCATAAGTTTCTGAATGTCATCAACCTCCCGACCTCCCGCCTCCCGCCTCCCGCCTCCTCTGTCCCCGCAAACAAGTGTTTTATTGACCGCAACCAGATATAGATTTTGTATAATATGTCTCTGCCGTGACCAAGAAACAAATACATGGATAGATAGTTTGAACCCTTCGACAAATATTTATCACTGGCATCCAGGAATATCACTGCAGGAATATCCCTTTAATCTGTCAGAAATGCTGTTTATTTTTTTCTGATGACAGTCTTTAGGAGAAGCAAAAAGCAGCTTCAATATATGCATTTGAAATAAGGTGACAACTTCACAAATATATGTTCATCCCAACAACATAAAAACAAAACTGATCTTACGTCCCAATTACTGTTGACGGCTTGGTCCGACCAACGTCGTTTCAAAGTGTCGAGAGAACGTTTATGTATAAATATACCGCCTCTTCTGTGGATTGGAAAACAAAACGCGGGAGAAATCAGTAGTAAAATGTTGAACAAAATTAGGTTCCGTAAAAAATAATGGCCTAGAAACTAGGGAACACATTGTTTTTATTTTGTTTCATTTTATTGTTTCATGTATGTAGTACTTCAAAAGTCAGTGTAGGAAGCTAGGAAACTTCTATAAATGATAATATAAAAAACACAATAAAAATCCCTACCTCAACCATGATTGTTTTAAGCAGAAATAGGGAACTCTTATATATTTTTTTCCTACTGAAGGCGCGTAAAATAAGTGTAGCAGACATCTATTTTGACAGTAAGAGTTATCGTCCTTCGTGTGTAAAGGAACCAATCAGAAGTCTCGTGTCTAAGCAGCATTCGGCTTCAACTTGTCGACAAGGACGCTTCTGTCACATTCGCTAGAGTGCCTTCCAACTGGGAAAATGAGAATTAACAGAGCACGTGAGTACAATTACCTAGTATACTTTGAAATCCGATACATTTTAACTAGGCGAGGTTGACTTGCCTGATAGCTAGACGTTGGTTTATTCTGAAATACCACGTGAAGCAAATGTGTGAATTGGTCATTTTTGTCACATGTATCCATTCAGCGATCACTCGTCGCCGTAGTCGGAAAGTCTGCTACTAGTATTGTGTTCAAACCTTTAAGTGAATAAGTTAACCGTTATGCCGTTATCATGAACCTTATATTATAAGGGTTGGTTTTCAATCCACGGTTCAGAGACCGATGGTCAATACACAATAATGCCATTGTCTGATTGTGTAAGAACACTTCCGACCATTCCCTTTATATGTAGACCTATACATGTAGTTAGCACAATATTTAATGTACAGGATGGGTTCTAATCCTACCACAAGAAACGCAAGCTGTAGGCCCTTTTAACTGAATGTACATTTACCGTTTGTGGACGTCCCATGTATATTATGTATAGTACATCTGTACATACATAATGTGTACATGTATACAATGTGTGTGTGTGTATGTAAATATCATGTAAGTAGACCAGTCAAATTAAAACTTCAATTTTTCTCTCTGAGGCTGTACATAAACTTTTTTGTATTAATATGTACCGGTATGATTCGATTCTGATACAGAATATTATTTTTGTTTTTGTAGATGATGTGTTATGAACAAGATTGGGAGACATATAGGACAAAGGAACGATGTAACAAATTTGTCAACAAAATAACTATACATTGTTTCAGTGTATCTTGTGTCTAATGGACAAATTAATACTAATATCACACATTTGATTATGGAAGAACATAGAAAAACCATTAGTTGACATTGATAGAAGAATTTTCTAGAAACTAGTCATGTCAAAGTCTAACACCAAAGTGAGAAGACTGGGTGCTATCAGGCAGTCTTTAAAGACTCCAGTAAAGGATGACATTCCTAAATTACCTGCCTTCCATTCAACATCCGTGTCTGGAACAGGGGATGGGAAGGCTAATATGGTAGGGATCACAGGGAACGCAATGGCTGTTCCGCCACAGAGAGAAAAAAATGCTGCAAGAGAAAAAGAAACAAAAGCCAGTAGTGTCAGTGTCAAATCTGATTCAGGGAAATCTGATTCCGCATCAAGTACAAAGTCACAGGAGCTTGCAGATAAAAAGGAAATTCAAGACTTAAAGGTATAGTAATATTATTTGTACAGATACTAAGATATCAATAATATGGTCATGCCAATGATGTTATGATATATACATTGAAGTGGAAGTGTCACTTCAAATTCAAAATACTCCTATCATACAGCTTATGTAGACAGTTTGTATTCTTTACAAGGGTTTTGACCAAATTTGTTACAATGATCTCAATTTTTATATCAAGCAATTAAATCCTTGGATGCAACACATACAAGTTTGTATTTGCTGGCAGGGTTTTCCAAAAGAGCCAGTCGCCGGCCAATTTGACCGACTTCTTTGATCATTTGGCCACCTACACCAATCCAGTTCCATAATAATGTTCCATAAACAACTTCACGTACATGGCAGGCCAGCCTCCTACTTACACTACACAGCCCACTACTAGCAAAATTATGTAAAAACCCTGTGCTGGTCTAAAACAGTTCTTCTTGTTAAAACAGAGTCACAGGCTAGTGAACATAGTCATTAAAATTTTCTGAAATCTTTGAAATATTGACTCTTTTATAAAGTTGAGAAAATTGATGCCATCCTGAAATAACCAAAATTTATGCATTTCATGTACATGTATTTATGTTGTTTCTTAAGAAGTTAAATGTCAAATTTTCAGGATTGTCTAAGACTTCAAAACTTTAAAGTTTATTATTCAATTTAAGACTATTTTTTCATCACTAAGGGATGAGATGTTACGATTTCATGAGGAATGTTATGTTGTTTTTCAGTCCAACCAACAGAGCATTGTTGGGTGCCAAATGTTATAAATGCACAAACAAACAATGGTACATGTAGAGAGCTTCTAACCATTAAACACTTTTGAACATGCCAACAAGCAGAGATATAAACAATATGACAAAATAGTGTTAGCATTTTGATCCATAAATTAACATGGCTTGGCAAATCATAAAAAAATCTTTTCAGAATCAAACTTTTTTACTTATTTGATAATTCAATCTCAAAATATGGATGAAGAAATTAATGGTTCAGGTGACTTTCAAAATAAGTTTCAGATTTAGAATCATTCTAAATGTACGTTTAATCCATTAATCTTCCTGTTATGATAATTTTAGTTTTGTAGTTTTAGTGTCTTATTCAAAAGTTTTTGCATATCGTCAATGTCTTGTGCATTTCATCAGACACAGATATGTTTTGCGTTACTTATTTAAAGGTTACTGGGGTAAAGAATTAATTCATACCAATCAATTCACCTTGCTGGGACAGGTAAAAAGGAATCTGATGACTTGCTTTTTTACTGGTCTAACACTGATCGATTTTGACAGTTTTGATGTCCAGTATAGATATATCTTGATAACTAATTTTAACAAGAGCTTGTAATCCATTGTGTGATCACAAGCGATATGAATTGTTATCATTACTATATTTAATTTCTTAGTACAGTGCTAAAATCTACATCTATATGTTATTTACCAATTTGTGAACATAATCACATTTTAGGACATTGACTATTTCCAAAAGGTTTGCTAAAATGAGTTTTCTAGTCTATAGATGGTATTTCTATGGTGCCTATGAATTGTGCTTGTATAACACTTATATTTGTACAAGGTATGCTATATAAATTTATGTCTAATAATGTATTGCTTCAGGTCTATACATTTGTGATAATAGGGGATTATTGGTCCCTGGGTATACAAAACATATCTGAAATATCAATGGGTATCAACTGCAGTTTAATATTGATAATTAATACAAATTATTTGGGAGGAAATTCCATCTGTTTATGCTATTTAAAACTAGACTTTAACAATCAATATACTTTGATTAGTCCGAATACTGGCCCATTGTCCACTTAGTTCCTGTAGAAATTTATATATCAACTGTTGGATCGATTACCACAAGGATTCAATGACATTACCTGGCAATGAGAACAATTTATCATTGATCCAGCACAGTTCATGTTTGAGATTCTTCACAGCTGTACTGTGATTAACAAGGTAAAATAATGGCATGATCAATATTTTATTCATATTAAATAGTAAACACTTGACCAAGAACTATAGGTACCACTTCATTCCACCTAAACAACTAGATAATAGAAAAGAAAAATATCAATTTTCCAGCTTGATATCTTAATTGGTTTTGGATAATGGTATATAACATGCTAACTAACTAAAGGACAACCACCAAACAATTCTACTAGTGTGTTAAAAATGTACATTAATAATAAATACAGTAGGTTTCCTTTACTATATAAGAAAAACGTGAGGATTGAATAACATAGAATTTTGTCTTGTTTCTTACTTATGATCAGGAAAAGAAAATTTATACTGAAAGAAACAGCTAACAAGGCTGAAATGGTATTAGTGTCTGGTTTAAACAACAATAATGTAAATAAAAACGACATCCCCTGTGTAGTAGATGTAGTAGGTTACCACATGGTGACCAGCTATATGCACCTATTTTATAGACCATGGTATGGCAAACATATTAAGTGGATGTTTGTCAAGTTGTTCAACATTTTATAAACTCTCAATTACACAAACCAACACACTCTTGCCAGCCCTGTCCTAATTTGAGACTGTTATGTTTGTGTAAGAGTTAATAGTGTAAGGTAGCAGTGATAGGCTTTGAGAACTTTCCATATGTACAGATTTCATTTTTCAAATAGCAAGATTTAAATTCTTAACTTCCTCCTGTGGTTCCACCACTTTGCATTTTTATGGTATTTATATAAACATTAATCACTGCTGTCACCGCGTCCCTCACAATATTAAGTCTATAGGTAGTCTCATACATGTAGCAAAGTGTGTTACATGTCCATGCAGATTACCATCAGTATTTTGCTCATAAAGTTCGACAACACATTTGTAAATAAAAAGTTCATTGTTGATTCTTTAAATGCTATTTTTCCCAAACTGTGCATCTTTAACAGATATGGAGATCTGAATTTCAGTAATAAGTAATTGGATGCATCGCTTGTTTTGAATAAGCTTGAAGAAACATTACTACACCTATTTTATCACAGGACATTATACATAGCTTCAAATTAAATATTTGTCACAGTCTCTTGATGTTTGCTTCATCGGCATATTCTTCTCTCCCGTTTTAAATTTGAAAGGCTGACAAGTAAACTGAGACATGAACAACATATATACCACCAACTCATAATCCTTTAATTCAGAGTACTTCCTAATATACCAAACATAAACACAGCTTTCATTTGAATAACTAAATGTTAATGGAGTTGAGCATTTAAGATGATAAATCACTATCAACAAAAGATGTACACACTTAAATTTAATGATTTAGTATAATAATTACATCTGGTTGATCTGAAACCTCCCACAAAGAGCACCTGTACCTGTAGTGACAGGTCAATTAGACTTTATTGAAGAAGTGAATTAATAGTTGAAGTGATAGTAGTGTTAAATATGAGAACGAAAGTATATATCTTTGCTTCATTTTCCTACTACACCTAATTTTGTATGTCTTAACCCTCAACATTTCTTGTTGGAAGGAAGCACTGTTAAAGTCATCATCACCCTTCCACCCTTATAAAAAAATACCTACTAAACTGCCTCATTTTTTCCAAACATGTAACATAAAACAGGCTTATATTTTAATGATTTGGTCTGATAAACAGCTATAATTCCTCCTTAAGTACTATAAAAATGCCAGCATTATACTGACACTCACTCAGATGTTATTAATCCTGTATGGAGGATATACCAACTACCTTGTCCACAAAATTCTTTTCCAGATGATAAAGTTCTGATCGTATGATTGATTTCAAGGAACAATATGAATGTACGTTGGTCTTCAATGAAGGAAGGGATTTATTGATTTCAGGGAACAAAAAGACATGTATGATCATGCTTACTATAAAATGATATAGACTAGATTTCTGATCCAAGGGATAACTAAAGTTATGACTTCTCTAACCTAAGCTGATGGTATTCAAAGTATATGTATGTGTTTTGTTCATTTTCCAACCAGATTCATGTGATATCCTCTTTGTGTCTTTTACTTGTGTGTTACCTGAGCCCATCAAGTTCTCCATACAGGTACTGAAATTAATTATCTTTTACCTGTGTGTGTTACTAGAGCCCATCAAATTCTTCATACAGGTACTGAAATTAATTATCTTTTACCTGTGTGTGTTACTAGAGCCCATCAAATTCTTCATACAGGTACTGAAATTAATTTTTTTTTACCTGTGTGTGTTACTAGAGTCCATCAAATTCTCCATACAGGTACTGAAATTAATTATCTTTTACCTGTGTGTGTTACTAGAGCCCATCAAATTCTTCATACAGGTACTGAAATTAATTATCTTTTACCTGTGTGTGTTACTAGAGCCCATCAAATTCTTCATACAGGTACTGAAATTAATTATCTTTTACCTGTGTGTGTTACTAGAGCCCATCAAATTCTCCATACAGGTACTGAAATTAATTATCTTTTACCTGTGTGTGTTACTAGAGCCCATCAAATTCTTCATACAGGTACTGAAATTAATTTTTTTTTACCTGTGTGTGTTACTAGAGTCCATCAAATTCTCCATACAGGTACTGAAATTAATTGCTTCAAAATAAAAAGCTTGTCAGATTATGTATTTGTGCTAACATACATAAAAAATATACATGTATATCACAAAATCAAGTAAAAATGATAGAGAAACATATATTTAATTGCCTGATGGTGGCTGTTTAAAGAGAAACATATACTTAATTGTCTGATGGTGACTGTTTAAAGACTTGATAACTGTAGTGAAAGCACAATATTGGCTGTGCTGATTTCATCATTTGATGATGAATTAAGTCAATAAAATCATAGGTAGAGTGAAGTTTGTTATAAAATATTTAAGAGACCGTCCGAGAACAATGATCTATATTCTTAACATTTGTGTTCTTGATATATTTTGATGCACCATACATAACCTAGAGAGCTACTGAGGAAAGAATATTTGATGGAATTGAGTGAACCAAATAGAGATCAATGTATATTAATGACATAGGACAGTTCTAATGTAATATACAAATACAGAAACATTCATATGTCTTCATAGTCTGTCTCAAGCTTCTAGCATATAAGGACAATGTCTGATGATTGACCTGTTTGTTGATTTATATACTGTGTATGTGTCCCTGGTAAATCATTTCTTCTTAATATCTTGTTTATTAGAGTATAAGATGTTTCTGGTTTCATCCTTTGCTGACGCATTGCATTAATAATGATATTCCACCCAGATAAAACTTTGAATGCTGTCTGCAAGGCTCCTATGTGTATTTTTTGTAACAAATCCAGAATAATTTGAAACTGACACTATCATTCTAAATATATCTAACATAGACTGACTTTTTGAAGACATTTTTTTTTCAGTGGTTTATTTTCAAGATTTGAAGGTTTATATGAAATATGTAACTACACCAGCAGTGAGGCGATTCCCTGTTATAAGACTACACATAAGTAACATTGACCTTCAGACTAGAGATTATCTTTAACTAAATCGTGTGTAAGTGTCTTTACCTTCTATGTATATACAATTGTATCTAGTAAATTAATCTCCAAATAACTAGTTAAGACTCAATCACGTGAAAACTACCTATAGAATTATTATAATAGCCAGAGACTTAGAAGACCAATCAACTGAAATAACGGAGTAAATGATAGGGGCTGATTTCTAGTCCGGACAGCTCTTGGTTGACTCCAGTTTGTTAAAATATCTAAAGGATTCTCTTTTTGGGAGTTTTAAGGGAAAAATTTGCTAGGAAATCATGCCAAAAGCACGCCGACGGGTTGGATTGAGAGATAAGGTAAATTACTTGTTTTGAAAGGCTTTTTCAAAGGTTTTTAAGGATTTGTCAAACCTAAGGTCAGGTATGTTGATGTGTGTATAACATGGAAGGAGAAATTCTTCAACTTAAATGTGGGATATGTTATATAATTTAACATATGACATATTTGCATTAAATGTGTATGTTTATTCATGTGTAAAATACATATTCTTCCCTCAGTCCATTACTGATTAGTGGCTTTTGTCATTCCTCATTTCTGCCTGTCTATAACATATCCAATTCAAAATTCTTAATAGCAAAATTGTTAGTTTGTTGACCTGAGAAAGCGTTTCAGATATAATTCTTTTAAGACTTATAGTTTACAGACAGTACAAAAAACTAGCTCAATTCTTTGAATATAAAATATTCAATCTGGTTTATTGTAGCTGACCAAAACACTACCCAATCTGTTGTAATAAAACATGTCACCTATAGCAAAAGGTCTGTTGTTGTTGTTTACAGGCGAGGGAGCGAGACCTCCTGAAACAAATCACCTCTCTACAGAAACAAGTGGAGGATCTACAGGAACAAATACGCAACAAGGAAGTGGAAGTGGTCACATTACAGGACCAGATACTGAGACAGGTTAGTGTTGTCAGTCTGTAAGGTCAGGTTACCGGACCAGATACTGAGACAGGTTAGTGTTGTCAGTCTGTAAGATCAGGTTACAGGACCAGATACTGAGACAGGTTAGTGTTGTCAATCTGTAAGGTCAGGTTACAGGACCAGATACTGAGACAGGTTAGTGTTGTCAATCTGTAAGGTAAGGTTACAGGACCAGATATTGAGACAGCTTAGTGTTGTCAATCTGTAAGGTCAGGTTATAGGACTAGATACTGAGACAGGTTAGTGTTGTCAATCTGTAAGGTAAGGTTACAGGACCAGATACTGAGACAGGTTAGTGTTGTCAATCTGTAACGTCAGGTTACAGGACCAGATATTGAGACAGGTTAGTGTTGTCAATCTGTAAGGTCAGGTTACAGGACCAGATATTGAGACAGGTTAGTGTTGGCAATCTGTAAGGTCAGGTTACAGGACCAGATATTGAGACAGGTTAGTGTTGTCAATCTGTAAGGTCAGGTTACAGGACAAGATATTGAGACAGGTTAGTGTTGTCAATCTGTAAGGTCAGGTTACAGGACTAGATATTTAGACAGGTTAGTGTTGTCAATCTGTAAGGTCAGGTTACAGGACCAGATATTGAGACAGGTTAGTGTTGTCAATCTGTAAGGTCAGGTTACAGGACCAGATATTGAGACAGGTTAGTGTTGTCAATCTGTAAGGTCAGGTTACAGGACCAGATACTGAGACAGGTTAGTGTTGTCAATCTGTAAGGTCAGGTTACAGGACCAGATATTGAGACAGGTTAGTGTTGTCAATCTGTAAGGTCAGGTTACAGGACTAGATATTTAGACAGGTTAGTGTTGTCAATCTGTAAGGTCAGGTTATAGGACTAGATACTGAGACAGGTTAGTGTTGTCAATCTGTAAGGTCAGGTTACAGGACCAGCTATTGAGACAGGTTAGTGTTGTCAATCTGTAAGGTCAGGTTACAGGACTAGATATTTAGACAGGTTAGTGTTGTCAGTCTGTAAGGTCAGGTTACAGGACCAGATACTGAGACAGGTTAGTGTTGTCAATCTGTAAGGTCAGGTTACAGGACCAGATACTGAGACAGGTTAGTGTTGTCAATCTGTAAGGTCAGGTTACAGGACCAGATACTGAGACAGGTTAGTGTTGTCAATCTGTAAGGTCAGGTTACAGGACCAGATACTGAGACAGGTTAGTGTTGTCAATCTGTAAGGTCAGGTTACAGGACCAGATATTGAGACAGGTTAGTGTTGTCAATCTGTAAGGTCAGGTTACAGGACCAGATATTGAGACAGGTTAGTGTTGTCAATCTGTAAGGTCAGGTTACAGGACCAGATATGAGACAGGTTAGTGTTGTCAATCTGTAAGGTCAGGTTACAGGACTAGATATTTAGACAGGTTAGTGTTGGCAATCTGTAAGGTCAGGTTACAGGACCAGATATTGAGACAGGTTAGTGTTGTCAATCTGTAAGGTCAGGTTACAGGACAAGATATTGAGACAGGTTAGTGTTGTCAATCTGTGAGGTCAGGTTACAGGACTAGATATTTAGACAGGTTAGTGTTGTCAATCTGTAAGGTCAGGTTACAAGACCAGATATTGAGACAGGTTAGTGTTGTCAATCTGTAAGGTCAGGTTACAGGACCAGATATTGAGACAGGTTAGTGTTGTCAATCTGTAACGTCAGGTTACAGGACCAGATATTGAGACAGGTTAGTGTTGTCAATCTGTAAGGTAAGGTTACAGTTGTCAATCTGTAACATCAGGTTACAGGACCAGATATTGAGACAGGTTAGTGTTGTCAATCTGTAAGGTCAGGTTACAGGACTAGATATTGAGACAGGTTAGTGTTGTCAATCTGTAACATCAGGTTACAGGACCAGATATTGAGACAGGTTAGTGTTGTCAATCTGTAAGGTCAGGTTATAATTACATAGTTGTAGTCAGTCAAGAGACTTAAAGCCATAGATAGGTGTGGTCAGTATAAAGGAATGATTCTTAGACAGATGAATGCAGTAGAAATGATAAGACCCGTAGACAAGAATTTGCCAGTAGAAAGGATAAGACCCTTAGACAAATTTGCCAGTAGAAAGGATAAGACCCGTAGACAAGAATTGCCAGTAGACCGGATTAAATACTAAAGACAGGTGTGGTCTGTATAAATTAGACCATTAGATAGAGGTGTGGTCGGTATAAAGAATTGACTCTGATACAGAAGTGTGGTCAGTATAAAGGATTGACCCTGATACAGAGGTGTGGTCAGTATAAAGGATTGACCCTGATACAGAGGTGTGGTCAGTAAAATGGTTAAGACTCTTAGACAGGTATGGCCAGTAAAAATGATTAGATCCTCATGCAGGTGTGGTCTGTATAAGACCATATCTTTAGACAGGTATGGCCAGTAAAACGGATTAGATCCTCAGGCAGGTGTGGTCTGTATAAAAGATCATATCTTTAGACAGGTGTGGTCAGTATAAATATTAAGACCCTTAGACAGGTATGGCCAGTAGGAAGGATTAGATCCTCAGGAAGTTGTGGTCAGTATAAAAGACTATATATTTAGACAGGTGTGTCAGTAGAAAGGATTAGATCCTCAGACAGGTGTGGTTAGTATAAAAGACCATATCCTTTGACAGGTGTGGTCAGTATAAATGTTAAGACCCTTAGACAGGTGTGGTTAGTAGAAAGGATTAGATCCTCGGGAAGGTGTGGTCATTATAAAAGACTACATCCTTAGACAGGTGCGGTCAGTGGAAAGGATAAGTAGTAAGTTAAGTTGGTCAGTCTTTTGGAGAGTACCTATCAAGAATGATGCTCTCCATTACACAGGGGTGTTTAACTGTTAGTATTATAATCTGATACATTGACATTAAAGGAGGAATCCCACAAGGCAGCACTAATGGAGGAGAGGAAAGCACATGATATCACACGCTCAGAGAGGGACCGGCTACTCAAGGAACTGGAAGATCTCAGAGCAGAGGTCAAGACCATACGTGAAGAAAACAGTAAAAAGATGGAGGAATTGAAGAAAGAGGTTTGTATGCTTTATAATGTGTTTTCTGGAATTTAATCATGTGTCATAAATACAGATCAGAATATAAGTCTACGTTGCTACAAAACTGAAAAATATAGATGAAGTGCAAAAATCTTCTTGGGTCTATCTCTTACAAAACTCTCTTCATCCATCTCTTTTTGCTGCATTCTCAAATCTCTTCTTGGCTCTGTTTCTGCATTCTCTGCCCTTTAAACATATGGTTGTTTTTTTTTTTCAATTTTCAACAGCTGGAAGAAAAACACTCTTTAGAAATTGCTGAGAAAGACAAAGAAATAAAAATACGAGATGACAAACTAAGTCGATTGAAAATGCAGATGGCAGAGGCATTGAAAGGCAATTCTTGGTAAGTTCTGCCAGCGTATGTAATGTTAAAAAGCTACAACACCATAAAATATCAGTTTATTATAATTATCAGAGATAACCATTATGATTTAATATAGTAAATTAATTCTGTAATTTGAGTGTATTTTGTTCTGTAGGGAACGACAACAACAGTTGGAAGAGCTGACGAAAGAGCTTGGTCGTCTTCAGGAAGAAGCTGACAGCCTGAGGATGAAACTTAAGGCATTCAAGTCATTGAAGGTAATGAAATAATGAGTTGTATTTCACGACCAGTAGTACAACAGGACTGGAGCATGTCAGATTGTACTCCATACATCAGTCTTCCTGGTTGTGACTGCCAGTTATATCTGTTGAAGATTACCATGGTAACATGTAAGATGTAATTATCAGACCAAATTTCTATATTTATTACCAAATGGTTGACATTTATACAATGGCTAAGACAATCCTAATGGAAATCAGGTAGTCCTCATTGTGGAATTTCAACCCTTTTATGGGATTTCGACTGTGGTAACTCTTACAATTTGATTTTCCTATCCTCAATTAATGAGTTGAATATTGAAATTTATCTTAATGAAAGAAAGAATAATGAGGAGAAAGTAAAATATATCAGCTTGATAAGTATATAACGAACATTTCTTTAACTGCTTGTTGTTGTTTCCACCAGAATAACCAGGCAGGCCAGTGTGGAAATTGTCAAGAATCTCTCAGCAAGGCTGAAAAATATCAAGTGGCAGTAAAGGAACGGGACGCAACCATCAAAGATCTCAAGTCTTTGGTGACAAAATTTGAAAAGCAACTGACGCAACAGGATGAACTATTGAAATCATGGGCAGAGTCCAAAGGCCACAAAATACCAGGGTACCCTGGCAAATAGGAACAAGATTAATGATGTATTTTAATTGATGGGGTAGGGCACAGCCTAGTTTTATTTCACTTTGCCAAAATGTTTTCATATTATCTGTGATAACTCTGAGGATTTTTCATTTTTAATAAGGCTAGAACATATTTATTTATCTGATGGTAAAAAAATTAATAGAATTTTGTTAGATGAGTTAAACTTTATCAATACATCGACCTCTTATCTGCTCACTCTTATTTATCTTACCCTGTGAAAACCACTTGTTAAAAATCTATAATGACAATTGGGGGGAAAGCAGGACACAGATGTAAACAAAGTTTAGGGGTAAACAAAAGCAACCAAGTTTACAAAACTGGGAGATGAACAAAGACGACTGAGTTTAGAAAGATGGGAGGTGAACAAAGACGTCAGACTTTAGAAAGCTGGGAGATGAACAAAGATGACTGAGTTTAGAAAGATGGGAGATGAACAAAGACTACTGAGTTTAGAAAGATGGGAGGTGAACAAAGAGGACTGAGTTTGGAAAGATGGGAGGTGAACAAAGACGACTGATTTTAGAAAGGTATGGGAGGTAGGAAAAGACAACAAGGTTTGATAAAAGTTGGAAGTAAACATGGACAACTGAGTTTAGAAAGATGGGAGATGGACAAAGATGACTGAGTTTAGAAAGATGGGAAATGAACAAAGACGACTGAGTTTAGAAAGATGGGACATGAACAAAGACGACTGAGTTTAGAAAGATGGGAGGTGAACAAAGCCAAGTAGGTTTAACAAAAGTTGGAGATGAACAAAGGCTACTGAGTTTAGAAAGAAGGAGATAAACGAAGATGACTGAGTTTAGAAAGATGGGAGATGAACAAAGACAAGTAGGTTTAACAAAATGTGATACTGTCAGGTATGTGGGTAGGAGTAACAAAGGTAAACAGATTCGACTGTGTTAATGTTATGGTATTAAGATAACAAGTAAATAGTATGATTAATTAATCTAAGTTGCACAAACTGTTAAGATACTCTACTTTAATGTAGTTAAACGAAGCAAAACTTTCTGGCTATACATTCACATGGCAAATTTGTCTGTTATTAGATATTTTTGCTGCATTTAGAATACTGTTATGTATGGTCTATGACATGGTTACCTCACCGCTGTCAAAGAGCAACAACTCCTGACACCAGGTTTGAAAATTAGTTTAATGTAAGTTAATTTGTTCATTGTTGTTAAATTGAAAAAAACACAACTTTATACTTTGAAGAAATAAGGTTAAATATGTATATTTTTTGGTGTGAGAAATATTCTTACCAATTAATATAGAACGAAATCCGTCAATATATATCAATATCCACTAATATCCTCCTTTTCAAACTCCTAGAATTCCAAAATGTTTGGATGTTATCATTGTGTTCCTCTATCATTTTACTGGAAGTATTTGTTTTATATCAGAAATAGTGTTTAAAATTCACATTATGGTAGAATTCAGGTAAGCAATTAACTTTAAACAGACTTAAATACTTGAAGCTATTTGGAATTTGATAATCCACTATATTGCCGTTATGTGGCGGAGACTGTATATCTCCTGCTGATAATTTTGAAGTCTTGATTTAAATTATCGACAACATTCTTTGTGTCAGTGAGGAGACAAACAGATCTAGAGTCCCACATAATCAAGTCTGTTTCATTGGTCTAAATCAACACCTACAGATCAACATAATTTCGTATTGAATATATCCTGTGTGTATCTATATTTCCTCCAATGCACTCATGAAATGGAATTTTCAGATTTGGTTATCTGAACTTAAAACTCATTTGGTCTATTTATTGGATAACAGCCAGACCCATAAGGTGTTTTATGCTTTAGGCGTCTTTCGTCCATAATTTCACAAAATGACTAACTTACTTCCCATTTTCAGTTATATGAATGATTTTGTTAAACACGCAATTTTGATTTAATTGAAGTTTGCCAAAATGTATTTTTTGTCAAATGTCAAACTCTGTTGAAAATGAGAAGTCAGCTCTGTCTAATCAAAATGCTAAGTGACACGTGCATATATGGACTTTAAATATTTTTGATTGTGTGTGCACTGCCAAAAATTAAGTATACATGCCCGTTTATATATATTGTATGTTGTTTTATATCAACACTTTGTACGAGATTCAATTCAAATGACTTTTTTATATATACTATCATAATACAGGAGTATCTTTGATGTTACTACTGTAAACAAGGAAGTTATCAGTTTACTTATATCGTTTTGATAAATAACCTACCAACATATTTATGAGTAACATCACTTTTTATGATTTAAGAAAATTTGATTGACAAGCATTTTAAAAACGGGAAGTTTCTCCTCCTCAGAGTGCTAACACTTCAATTCTCACATTGAACAGGAAATATAATGGAGATGAAGATAATTAGTGTACAAAGTTTCACAGCAGAGATGACGTATCCAGGATGTAGAGACATTTAACAGATATGATACAAGTTTAATCACTGCATGTTGTATCTTAGCCATATGGAGAAGATAGTAATATAAAACTATTTGAGAAACACACGTTTGTATCCAGTAGTGAATAAACCATATAACTGACCAGAGATAGATAATAGGTATGATATAAGGTTAACTCTGTAAGTACTGTATCTAAGTGGTATTAGGGGAAGAGAGATATATAACAGGTATGATATAAGGTTAACTCTGTAATTACTGTATCTAAGTGGTATTAGGGGAAGAGAGATATATAACAGATATGATATAAGGTTAACTCTGTAAGTACTGTATCTAAGTGGTATTAGGGGAAGAGAGATATATAACAGGTATGATATAAGGTTAACTGTGTAAGTACTGTATCTAAGTGGTATTAGGGGGAGAGAGATATGTAACAGATATGATATAAGGTTAACTCTGTAAGTACTGTATCTAAGTGGTATTAGGGGGAGAGAGATATGTAACAGATATGATATAATGTTAACTCTGTAAGTACTGTATGGTATTAGGGGAAGAGAGATATATAACAGGTATGATATAAGGTTAACTCTGTAAGTACTGTATCTAAGTGGTATTAGGGGAAGAGAGATATATAACAGGTATGATATAAGGTTAACTCTGTAAGTACTGCAGTCTTTGCCATATGTCAGATAGATAGTGATAAATATAATTTTATATATTGGATTGGCCATATTGGGGAGTATGGAATGATTTAAATCCTGTCAGTACTGTTTCTAAGCTTTTTGTACTTAAAGCTGCACACTTAATGTTTACTTATCTTTTACAAACATATTCCTGGGACACAGTAAAGTTACATTTACCTAATTCACAGCTGTTCACAATTTATGTAATATCCTATTTGTGACACCATCATCTTAATCATATCCATTTTATTACCAAAACCATTAACATATTTAGAATCTTATTCCGTGGTTAAAACTTTTGTAAACATGTAATTATTTTCATATTAGATATCTAAACTATAACAATTAATTTGAAAGTGCCTCAATATCACATTTAATATTTTGACTTTTGAATGTACTTTGTTGTCGAATATGTTTCCTTTTCCTTTTACGTTTGAAAATGTATTGTTCACCTTAACTATAATTACAAACAGTATTTTGATTTCAAATGCATTTAAACTGTCTCTAGTACAGAGAGATGTATTCATTGTTTTCAAATTGCATCATTTTCATGTGTAAAATATATCTAATGTGAAAATATGATCTTATTCCGTTGTCAGATTTTCATTTTGGTTTTGACATGCTAAAAATCTGTGTACATGTTATCCTTGTATTCCATATTACAAACTGTATATCCTTATAAAGGAAATAGTTGACAGAGAATTGAAACTGCTGTTAGTAGCAAAATATCTAGATATTGTTAAAAGCTCACTATTTACACATTATAGCATATGAGAGTTATATGTTATTTACATATATTAATGTCGTTATGTACATTGGTAAACTTGTCCACTTTAATTGATATCTACCTATGTATTTGATAGATATCAAATCAATCCCCTTTTATTATTACCCATTATTTTTGCGGTTTTTGTTGTACTTTTTGTTTCCATGAATACAGTTAATTTGAGGCTAACAGTAAAATTATTCACTGAGAGATATCTCACAAATTTTATGGTCTTGCAGGTCTCTGATTCACTACAGCAACGTTGAAAGGGATGTTTTTTTTTTAATTTTTATTTGATAAGTATCATATCAAGATTCTGCTGAAATATTCTAACTTCCTTTCCTTGTCATAACATTTAAGTCTACACATTTTTGTCCATGTATACGATATTCTGAGTCTCCGACGATAAATCTGTTCCCTGTTATTGTAAAATGTGGTGCTACTTACTTGATGAAGATGTTAAAAAATCTGCATAAAAGCTGAATAAGCAGTCCGATATTTAACACATATCTCGCAGAAAATGTGTCCAGTTTATATCACATATAACATGTACAAAATATTGATATATCGTCGGATTTCTGTAAATCACTGATTTATTGAAGTGTCTTTTGTTCGAAGCACATTTTCACTGCTAATAGAGCGCTCACTATTATTTTCAATCCACAACGATATGACGAAGATCAGTGGTGACACCAGGCTGTGTTATAATTATGATAATTATGGATATGGAAAGGGACTTAACTTTGGCAAATGAGATGGAACAAGGTTGAACATTGATAAAGTTTATTTACGTAAATAAGATCATTTAATTAAAGGCTTAAAATCTGCCGATGTTGGTAATCTCCGTGGTAGAAATGATAGAAATGGTAGAAAGATTTTTTCGTGCACTTTCTTGTTTATGATTTTTAAGGCAGTGGATTTATTATAGTTTGATAAAAACTTCTCTGAAACATGAATATATGTAACTTGTGTTTGGATGAATGATACTGTAAGCAGAGAGTCTGATAGGGATGTTGGTAAGGTTTTACGTTGTTGGTCCTGTTTGATTTTACTGCCAGTAAATATTACGTATATATGATATCCAGTATATTGAAATATTCCGTCCATGATATGCTGTCAAAGTATTTATTTTTTAAAGCTGATATGAAGGTCTAATGCAAAGGATGTGGTCATATACATACTGAAATGGAACATTTTTACACCTAAAACTATAAACAAGGAACTGATTTTTCATACCCTAAATGGTAAGAATTTGGATATCCAAAACAAAAGCGGTTTTACAAATGTCAGTTTTCGGGAAAATTGTGACACACATCCTGTGCCTTATAGTTTTATATAGTGTTTACTATAAATTATATTGTTATGTTAAATGTCTAGTCTTAGATCATATAAAACATTGCCAATTGGAGCTAGCCTTACACAATATCACATATTTTCGGGTACGTATACACTACTGAGAAATAATAAATATATTCAAAACATGAATGTGTTATGTTGGAAATCAATATTTGTGAATACACGAACAGTTGATCGTGTTCAGAAAAGAAGGGAATGTCCGCGTAGAGTTGTGTCTTCTTCTAGACTGCTTCAATGTTCCACAAAAGAAGTGTTCTCAGTCAATTTCTTTTCTTTTTGAAGAATCGCTTGAAACATCCATTATTCCATGTTAATAATGGGACAACCTATACTAACAAACGGGAAAGTGAATTTGTAACATTCAAAGTATAGATTTACGATGTTTACATAACGAACAAGATAAAAATTCCAGCGGTATGAAACCAAATTTATGTTTGTCGGTTTGATGTTTATAATTGCTTCACCTAGACACATTTTTCGGTTATACATTGTTAGAGGGACAAAGGTAATATGCAAGTAGAAAATTTAAACACGAATAGGTCAGTAACGAAGGAGCTCATATATTCAAGCTTTATTCTAATTTATTTGTTAGTTAATTCAATCAAGACATAATATCTAATGCAGACAAATTACTGTTTGTTTGAATGAAAGTTCCTACCCAAACATTGTATTTTGAGGTTGGAGTCCGAAAATTTTAGATAAAGACAATTTGTAATGCAAATCCATTCTGGCTCAAAACAAAAATGTGAATTAGGAACTCAAAAATGATAAATATATTCATAGATTTATATGGATGTGTTGCAACAAACAATGGAAAGACGGGAATAATCAAGAAATCACTAAACTTGCCTGTTGTGCTATGCCATACGGCCATGTCGTTGATACCATAAAAGGGTTGAGACAATCTTGTACTGGGACAAGCCAACACATAAAAGAATTACGTAGCTAAAATACGAGTCATTCCCAAATTCATGTCAACTATATGGTGAATTTAAAGCATCGTTAACTTTGCTAACGAAATGTCATTACAATTCATAAGCGATGAAATCTTGTGGGAACTCGATAAGCTTACCGATCTTGAACATACAAGGTCATAGAGCGGCACATAGGTGTAATTGATATGTGTAACTAATGACTTCAGCTGCATTTCCATAATATGATAGATGGTTATTACGTCACAGAAAGAATTTCTTAGTAAATGTTTTTGACGATGGCTTCTTAATAGGAGACAAGATGTCAAAATAAACTCGCTGAGAATATTAAGACACATAAAATAGAGTGTTATTTTTCCAGTAATTACCTCCACTACTTAGTAAAGTACTTCTATGGACCAGGAAGACATAGAAACACTGACCGATCCTCTTTGTGGTTTCTTTATCTTCCTGATCAGACAAGTATTTAAGTGGCTCCTTCAATGTTGTTGCTCAAACGAAATACTGCGAGGAAACGTAAGTACGCTTTATTCTATTAGGAGCAAATAATCGAAAAATATTTTTACATCAGTTACTTGTGAATATAACACTGAATGATTGCAAAAAACAAAGCAAGTATTTTATATGAGTCAGTTTATTCTATAGAAGGGATCAAATGAAAGATGATATTACACAATTAATAACATTCTTTTTAGGTGTCCATCAATATTATACGATTGTATGTTGTTTTTTTCTTCAAGAGAACGACCTCTCTCCAAAATGAAGATATTTGTGAATATCCTAGAAGTCTTTCTATGTTTATGGCAGGTGCAAGCAGGTAAGTCATATGTAAACCAATATGTGTCATCTGTTTTCCAATCAACAACATTGTACTAGATTAGATATATCAAGTAATACACCATGAAAAAAGTAGCTAAGTTGGTTAGAGCGTTGAAATACGTAACCTCGGTTAAGAATCCAAGGTGCGTCGTTCGACTTCCTTTCTGTATCCGTTTGTGTTTCTCAGGAAGTTGGGAAATTGACTTGGTTGTGTTGTTGTGGTTATCAACCCTGATTGGTCTGGATGGTATGAGACGGGTTACCGTATTGTATTCTGTGAGGTAGTCACCAGGTACTACATAGCGGGCACAAGATGAAGCCTACGGATGCCGGCTACCCTACAACGCCTCAATATTCACTGCGCCCTTGAACACCTCCAAACAAAGCTGTTATCCATTCAGAATCTCTTTCTGTACATTAAAGTTTTAGCAATAGAAATATCGACAATATTTTCGTTCATAATACATTAATACTATATCATGAACTTGCCTCGAACGTTCGGGTTGGTTTTTGCTGGGTCCTAGGCACATAGGAATACCAGGCAATGAAAAAACCGATCGTGTCGCAAGGGCAGCTTTATCGCTACCACCTGTTGTTTTTTAAACTTCATTTTACTGATTTTAAACTATTTATCTAACAATTTTTAACAGCTTAGTGACAGGAGAAATGGAATCAATATATCGATAACGAATTACATTCTGTAAACTTATCATCGGTGAATGGTCTCCATGCTATAGAGACAACCATCGAGACGAAATTGTCCTTTCCCGTTTTTCGATGGGCATACATACCTTACACATTCATACATGTTGAAAGGCGAAGATTATCCTCGATGCATAGAATGTGATAAGCCATTCACCGTTAAACATCTTTTATTAGACTGCATTGACCCTTTGTCTACTCGGGATTTTTTTATCGCAACGTTATAAGTCTAAAGACCCTTTTTGAAACTGTTGATATTTATAAAAGTCTAGGTAATCTGAAAGACGTTGGTCTATATTATAGAATATGACTTACCATTTTATTTTTTTTGTGATAATATCACCATATAAAATCTTATTTTTTCAACATTTGTCTTTAACATTTTAGTTTGTTTGATGTAATTTCCTTTTGGATCGCTGTGTCTTTCACCAGTTGATGACCCTAATGACCTTTTATGTGTTGACGGGCCGTTAAGATTGTAACAATAATAACTACAAAGCGACCTAGCCTTAAAATGGACCTAGCTTTCCACGTGGCGATAAACATAATACAAGTTAAAAACGTTATAACAGATAACTGGCAATATTACTGGTTGTATAAAAAGATACGCATGAATACAGACATGCTGGCAAGATTAGATGTCAATAATTCCTCAATTACTAATGGATAATGCATTTGATTAAACCAGATATTAAGTTTGATACTGGACAATGCAGAGAACTAACCAAGTATAATTATACAAATTATAACATAGGACTATTTACATTGATATATGATTACGCAGTAACTGGGACTGTTTAACTGATTACCTGTGAAATCACAAGAGGATCCTAAATGTTTCGTTTCCAAATATAAGAGCAAAAGAAAACTGAGGCAAAGATGTTTCCATTACAGTTGTGTCTGTGAGACTGGACTTAGTCAGAGGACGAACCACTCGTGGCACTCTACCGGGAATGTCAATAAGATCTAGGTATGCTAGCCGAGGAGCGACGGGATCCTGTAGTAAAGGCGTGGTTGTCAAGGTAAACTTCGCCCAGTCACCTTGCATACGTGCCAATCACCTAACATGCGGACGACGTACTCCGAGTCTTAAAGTTGTGGTGCATCTCGACAGGCGAAGTTCACGAAATGGATGGCTACTTAATATTGGTGATAGTATCTCTAACAATGGCTACGGTAAGTTAATTGGAGTGTTCAACTATACACAAATAAATGTTCTTCTTTGTAGATATTGTTAGTTTTCAATTGATAATAACGTATTCTTATGGCCTGTTCCCTAACTCCCAAAGTCTTATGAAATTAGGGTAAGATTGTGTGTGATGTTGATATGTATTGATATAATACATTTCATCTATAGCCATTGAGCAGAATTCCATGTCTATTACGTTGATATATCTGGTGTTGATTTATTCTATTCTGTTGTATTGTTTTCTAGATCATTTTCATTTTGAAAAAAATGTTAGGATTGTTTTCGTTTCTTGTTGTTGGTTGGACGGTTTTCTCTTCTTTCTTTTTTATAACGTGGATTGGTTTTATCTCTGATATTGTTGTATTATTTAACCACGTATTTCATTTCACGTAGGAGGAGATGGGGGTCACAACGACAACGCAGCCGAGATCCAGGCTGTGGCAACATCCACCTCCTATGATATTACGTCATATAAGCGCGGAGGAAGTGTCTGTCAATTCGCCAAGAAGGCATTCACTGATCATTACGTTGTTAATCCTTCCGTCAACACTGTCACATTCTACGTGGCCGACCGGTCGTACCGGGTCACAAACGACCAGGGCCTCGACGCAACCCATTGTAGTGAATGTTTGTTCGCCCTGAATGGTCAACGGGACACTAAGGGAGGTAATCACCGCATCAACAAGGACATATATCTGGCCTTTAACAGGGTGATCAGTAGTTCGTCCAGGAACGGTAATGGGGTGTGTTCTGTAGACCTCGAGTGGGACTGTAGTCCATAAATAAACACGAATTCTAATCGGTTAAAACAGAACCATTTTTAGAACGCAAACAATGTGTTTCTACTTGTTATACATGTTGTTATGTAAGATGTAAATTGGTTAATTCGAAATATTGAGCAAGAATCATGTATATTTGCGTTTTCTTTCAGTTTAATGAAATACTTTGTTTAATCAGTTGTTTCTCAATATTACAGTCGTGTAACAATAACAAATACCGTCTTTAAAACACTGAGATGATGTCTACTTTCGATTTTCGTTTCACCACTTAAGTGTACTATTATTCATTATTGTCGATGTTAAATGCTTTTACAGACATAATAAAGGAGCTTACGAAAGCTGCATACGAGATCTCGTCATACTCAAACGTATCAAATGTATACGTTTAGAAACACTTCTAAGTATACCTCGAAAGAAGTGTTGCTCTAAACGACGTTCTAAATAGTTATTTTTATTGATACTTCGAAAAACTTCAGGCCCACCTCTATCCCCGACGTTTCTCTTGACATATTACGTTCAAGTAACGTCGAACAACAATACCTGATACTTAATGCTTTGTGTAATTAATACTTTTTAGTCATTTAAAACCTTTTTATTAACCTTCATTCATAATTTCCAAGTATAATGGGGTTATCTTTCAAACAAATAAAATGACCTCTGACCCCAGTCAGTTTAGTGATTTACATATGTGATGTGGCTATACAAAACATACAAGACCTTTGACCCCTACGTTAGATAGCTTTACACATGTGATGTACCGAATAAAATAACATACGAAAATGAAATGATCTCTGACTCCCGTCAGATTAGTTTGCTAGGTTGATGTTCCTTAAGCAGTGAAAGAAAAAGATCGAATTTCCTCAATTTGCATAAAACTTATGTATCTTTCGTACAACCTTCTGAAGCATGCGATTGATTATGCTTGTAACTTTGAAAATATAAATAATCTCCAAGCAAGAGAAGCGGTATGACAAAGTATCGAAAACTATGGTCTAATTTTTTATATATATTTCCTGCAGAACTTCGTGAATGTTAAATTCACGAGTGATCTTTTTACCACTGTTGCACTTTCCAACTCTGTAAGTTGTACTTAGAATTAACAAACCTAGTCACCTTTTCTTTATATTCATTCACTGTCTTTTCCTCTGATGAATCCAATCAACCAGAAATGCAATTAAAATTCTTTTGACGGCATTGTTTTAGGCCGTAAAATCTAATTATCATTTCTTTATATGAACAATGTCATTACGAACAAAGGTTTTAAAGGTTTCCACCAGTTTCTCTGAGTTCACCATTATCCTTCTCCAGATCGTTAATTTCCACTTCACAAGAGTCTATCTTTTTCTGGGTGTGGTCATCTATCTTAGCATTTTGCCTTTAACTGTTCTGTGATCGTTGGATCTGTTTGTCCAACTCAGGTTTTGATACGATATTGGAAAGCATCATACTATTTCCTCTAACCTTTCTTTTGTTGTTTTAGCAGTACATCAGCTGTTGCAACTTATAGTTGGTTTACCCATGACTTAAATGGTAGTAATGTAACAAGCGCAAAATGTAAAACCCAAGTCATTTAAACATTCAAACTCTACCACACAAGTATGTGTGTTCTAGACGTAAGCGCGTCGTTAACAGTTGTCACAAGTAAGGGCAAAATCCTTTGTTTGTTTTCCAATGTCTGAAAAAGCTATTTTGCTCTAGACATTTTGAGCCAATTTACATAAAACAAATCATTTTGGATGCTTTGGTCTTTAGGCTTCCAAACATATGCATATTTCCCTGAGCCCTAATTTGTTTGGCATACCAGCTCGTTTAGCTATTCAACCAACCCTTTGTCCGAGCTTTTCACTACCACTCTTGATTCGATCAGCTCAGAAATTTTGTTTCCCAAGAAGGAGAATTAAATGTATGTGGATTTTAAAGAATTCAAAAGGGCATTTTATCAACCTTCAACCTCCTCTGCTTGGAAAATTCTTTTATGAAAACAACATAATCAATTTTGAGCTGGAAGAACCCCTTCGATCTTATTTATGAACTATACTGAAGCGTATTTCGCAAAAAAAAAAAAAAAACAGTCCAAAGCAAAGATAAAATAAATGGATGATGAAATTATACAAAATGATCGAGTTCTTGTCAACATATTTTAATCGAGTTCGGCTGATTTTATATTCTCTTCCAAACGTCAAGATTTAATTAGTGCAAGAGGACAACAGCTTATAACCAAACTCACTACTTAGAGGTTAGAGGGATACAGATTAATAAAACAAATTGTGGGAAAGATTTAAGGTTGTCATAGTGATCCTATTGAGGAATATTATATTTTTATATGCAATATTAAGCTGTTTGATGATCGTCACATTTCCTGTTGGTTCGGTTGTTGTAAATATTTTTCTCATTTGGAATGTGACATTACTTTATTGAATTGATCCAGATTTTCATGGCGAATGTCGTCGATGAATTTGAGTTTGGATTTAAATTCTGTTATCAAATCAGATTAGTCTTTGTCATTTTCACATACATGGGGATGCCGTCCTGAAAGACCATAGCTCTCGATAGCACGCTAAACAACGTAAGCCAAGCCTTTCTTTCTCTTGCATTAATGATTTCAATTGATACAACATTGATTTCCTGTTGAATTGCGGTATTTAAAGCTTAATTTGACGATAAGTTTACGCCTTCTCTGGAACGTTATTCTGTGACGATAGATAATGAATAAATGTTAGCAAGCAGTCCAGACATTGAAGTGTTTTTATTTAGAGTAAATACATATGCACAAATAACACAAATAAAATATAAATAATAATGATATATTTCATCAGCACAATTCAAAATTTAAAATATTTTGTTTTCTACAAATTTGTCCACAGGCCAGAAGTCTGCAAGTTTGCAACTCTACGAGATGTATCATCCAGTTTCAGACTATAAGGTTTCTAGATGTTATCGACATATCATTCCCAGATTTAGCTCGACGCCTCATTTTGATCCAATGCACCACATTTGCCGTCGAAAAGATTATTGCTCCTGCAGTCGTGCAAATTCCTCCGAAATATATCACACCACTGGTAGTATCACTGGTATCTGTTATGTAACCTGCAGTTAAATATGGTATACACTTTTAAATGCACGCAACACGGCAGGTACAAAATGTGCATGTTTGATGCAAAAAGCAGTGCTATATCAGAAATAAAGATTAATTACTATTTATGGAACGAGATACGTCAACAGCCAATCAGTGACACAAGCAATGTGTTTGATATAAAGGCTTGGCTAGTCATCTCAGATATTACTGAACAGTGCACTATCTATTGCTTGTAATCACTAAAGCATTAAACTCATCCGATTGAATAAAAAAATTATATACTTAATATTAGATATACCTGAAATTATTGGACCAACACATGATCCAACTCCTTGGAAAAGCAGCAATATTCCTAGAGCGTTGACTAGGTTCTCTACGCCTACGATATCGACCATAATAACGGATTTTTGCGAAATTATGCATCCCGTCATAAATCCGTAGATTGAATAAAGCACGCACATTGTAGTGAACGTGGAAGTGGCAGCAGGAAGAATCAGGTATGTTATTCCAGTAGACACCATTAATACATTATACACAATGATTTTATATCGTCTAAAAAATCGCATGTCGTTAACCGCCCCATAAAATATTCGACCTATTCCGGCGAAAAAAACTGTTGCAGTAACTACATAGACAGAGTTATGTCCCTCGATGCCGACCTCTCTGGCGAGCAACGGAATAAATGCATATACTGATTGGTTTGAAACATAGAAAAGGGCAACTGCTATGATATATGACAAGAATCGATAATCTACCAATATGTTTTTAATGTTCGAGTGACTACAACATCTGTTTACAAAATGTGATTTGTTACAGCATTCTACATAGCCTTGCTCTCTTTTGAGTGACGGTTCTGGATTTGTTGTTTGCCGACTCTTCCTGAAAACGAATCAGACTGGCAATCATAATATCATATGTTTAATCTACTTCGTCTATTCAGGTAATGACAACCGTTATCATAATGTTATCAAAATTATACTTGTTAGTTCAACACTGCTGCTAACTTTATGCTAATAAAAACATTCATTAAAATTCGATGAAAACACTACATGTGCACTAAATACCACTGGGAGGTAATGCCGCATCACAGTCCACGGCTCATTCGTGTTAGTCTTTACATTTTGAAATCATGTTCATGTCCCGGATCGAAAGATAGGGGATATATTGTTTTTGTGCTGTTTGTTTGTCTGTTGTAAACTTTAACCTTGCCCATACCATAACTATTCCACCATAAGAGGTAGGGATTTTTTAGCTTTCGTGGATGTGTAAGGAAAGAAAAATATCCGATTCATTGGCGAAAAGAACTCTTTCCTTACGAAACAATAAAAAGTCAGATTGTCAACTGATAAATACATGTAACGATGCATTATGCAGTTAACTAAAATATATATATTGATAGGTATTGTCTCATTTTATTGGAAAAATCAGCATACTGCTGAGAGATAGATTTACTGAAGAAATCGATAATGAGGTACCTTTTGCAGTTTTGCTCGATCAGAAGAGGTCTGAAGAGGGATCCACATACAACGATATTTAAAACTAATCCTGATTGGATAAGGAATGCCCCAAAAAATCCATAAAACTCGAACAGAAACTCAATGGCAGCAGGAAAAAGAAAGGCTCCGAATGTCGACCCCGCTATACCATTGGCTAGTCCGCGTCTTTTGCTGAAGTACTGATTTACGATAATAACGGAAGGCGAGAAGACGAGGCACATACCGACACCTGAAATAGGAAAACGTTGATTTGTGTTAGCTTAGAGATCATTCTTCTTGTAAGATGCATCTCTGTGCATCGTTTACAGTATTCTTCAATTCTCAACATATGTGTGTGGACCATATCAATCTTTATTTGCAACAACAATGATTGACGAAGTCTTTTTTTTTTCGTTTTTCATATCTGCATTTTGAAGTATAACAGTTTAAGTTCAAAGCAAAAATTTGTTTTATTGGTGAAGCAATGTCTTTAAAAGTGTTTATTTGGTGTGCTTTTTGTTGAAATTGCAAGTTACCCTCTTGCGAATCTCCATGAAACCCGCCATGTCATCATATTATGAATGCCAACAGGACAAAAAATCGTGATGAGAATTAGTAGCTCATACTGACGAATTTAACATTAACGAGTTGGTTGCGGGATGAGAAGGTTCCAATACAATATAGAGCAAAATATTCTGCAGGAATGCCTAAATTCAGTCCCGATTTGGTCTGTTGCATTCTCGTGTGAAGTACATTTTTGTATAAACGATTCGGCTAACCCCATGTGGGGCAGATTGTTGGGGTCGAATGGAGCAATAATCCATTGTAATTCCCAGTCATTTAAATTGGATATTTCAGTCTGTTGAGCGATACAGGCACTTTGAAAATTCTTGCGCTTCTATTTGCGGTAATGAGACGATAACATACATTTTCTTTATAATAGGCGGCATTTAAATGCAGATATATATAAATACTTGTTACCGGTCAGCTTGTAATGATAATAATGAAATGTGTCTTTCGAAAGTTCCTTTTTTAACAATCTTCTGTGATGTTCACGTTGAGAATACATGTTTTTTGAACGAATGAGTGTCATGGTTTCTGTATTTATTAAGAGATCAGCGCTAGAATTTTTGAAAGTATTGGTATATATTTATCTCGGTAGCTAAAGTTGTATAAAAGTGTGCTTACCTCCCAGTAATGAAAAACTGACGAAGGAAAACACTAGATCATTGGCGAAAGCAGTCAAAGCGAAGCTCAATCCTAAAACTAAACCCCCAGCGATAGTAACGATGCGACATGAGAATCTGTTGATGAGGAAAGCCTAAAACTAAAAAACAACCCCCAGCGATAGTAACGATGCGTACATTGAATAATGTTTAATGCATTACATTAATTATCTAAAGAACAGTTGTATGTTTCACTGGTGTAATGAGGAAAGGAAAGCATTGGCACTGGTTGAAGGGACTCTCTTCATAAACAATGGGTCTGGCGTCCTGGATACAGAGCAGTGGTGGTATAGGAACATTGAAAATGCTTAAAACAACATGGTTATTATAAACAGATCGCATCTTTCATCGATCAGACATATTGCTCGGTACATTGAATAATGTTTAATGCATTACATTAATTATCTTAGTAAAGAACAGTTGTATGTTTCACTGGTGTAATTGTGGCGTAAAATAAAAGGAAAATATTTCATTTTCAGGTACCTCGTATAACGTCATTTATTGACTAAACTAGGACTTTGTCTTGACAAGAATAGGGTTTTTGTGAAAATGTGAATAGTTCGATATAAAATATTCCTGGATTTCACTGGTACCTAATACTGTCCGCAGCACACCTGGAAGTGTACACATCCAAAGGGTAAGAGCAGCTGATTGATGATACTTCTCTTCAAACTTCAGGTAGAAAAATCCAGAAGACGACTGTAAGCCAGCTAAAACAAAAAACGATTGTAAACCAGCTAAAACAGATTGCAAAAGCATTTTGCATCTTTTCAAATGCTATAAACATAATGAAATGTATACGTCACATCACAAACATCGTCGTCACGTCATTTTTTGTAAATAAAGTATGCAATGTCCTACTCTCGTGTTCGGTATGGAATGTGGCACTTACTTTTTCCCTCGTCATTTTAATATTCATTCTGGCAAGTATATAGATCATACAATTTCATGCCTCTTGATCATCACAAATTTCTTGTCATAATTAAGATCGAATTACTATCCTAGGTTCACATTTGAATTAATTCGTACTTACATAATATTACTCGGGTTATCAAACTACTACTGACAATAACCCATCCCCAGCCACCATCAGGGGGAGATAACGCACTCCTTCCTTTATCATCTAGCGATGCTTCGGAAGAGACACGATCCAGGTAGCCAACAGTGTCTTTATTTGTACTTGAATTTCCCGATATCGACATTCTGATACAGTATGAAAATAAATGCAAATTAATATGCATGCCTAAATATGATATTCTCTTTTTTCTATTCATTTAGTACTGATGTTTGATAAATGACTAATGAGTTTGTACTATGACAGGGCGTCCTTGTTTTATTTTTCTCAAAATCAGTATTTTTATATCGTGCCCGTTGATATCCGGAATAAGGTGTGTTGTATGTACTGGTAGCAATAACGGCTTGCCTAGTAGTTATTGTAATTCTCTCAGTCACTGATAAAGAATTAGGGAAATTTATAATTATCCAGACGACTTAAATATCAACTGAATGCATGCGTCCAACTAGGAGCATGAGTCATAACGTTAAGAATAACAGAAATTATCGGAAATTAGAGAAGAGAAGAAACAGTTATATACAATTTAGGGGTCTAAAAACCTGAGGGTTAGGGCAAGGTATGGAACTAGACTTTGATACGTTTGTTTCCATGGAGATGAAGTTATTCTCGTCTAATTTAGCCAAAAACATCTTCGAGGGAAATGGAACAATTTTGTTTAGTGAGAAGGTCATGCAACCACGGCGGGTTAAGAAGCATCATTCGAGGACGAATCATCCTTTCAGGAAAGGGAACCAGTTTCGTGTTAATGATGCGAATGGATCCACGATAGCCTTTAGGGTAGGGCATAGAATATCAAATATGTCAACTTCACGCAAAGTTATACAAATACTTAATGAATATTCGTTTTAAAAAAGTTTGAAGGTGAAAGCAACATGTGTATAAAAGATTAAAATGTCTCCTTGCCTGGGGGTATACTGAATCTTTAGGATAATTTACCTTTAGTTTGGGGGAACTCATTTCAGTCTACAAATCCAGCTGAGGTATATAGGCTCTGTAGCCTTTTGTAAGCCTACCTGGTCCTGAGAGCAAATATGATTTATGGCATGTTCGTAGCCCGTCCGTCCGTCAGCTTTTCTTTTATATTACTGCAAATCCTAAAGGACGAAGTGATTTTTTATGCTGGAAGTATCTATGGGAAAGGAATAACCGATATCATTTTTCTTCCGTTATAATAGCATTGGCACTGGTTGAAGGGACTCTCTTCATAAACAATGGGTCTGGCGTCCTGGATACAGAGCAGTGGTGGTATAGTATGAAACATTGAAGAATGCTTTATATTCCTTCTTCTGTTGGATAAATGTGTCATGCGGGAAGCTAGGAACTTTTTTACGTTGAGGTATTTGGACAAGTTAACCAAGAATATTATAAGTAAGGTCCGTCGGATTTTCAGGCATAATCTAGCGCACATGACATTATCTCAAACACAAATTCACAAGTGTTTGTTCTTTGTTTTTATATTTCGTCACGTCCCATGAACAACTATGGTGTTTTAAAGATTTTATGAAATGAGCGCTTGTGTTGAATGTGTGTTTTAGGAATCTGCTATATGCCCATGATTACCTGATGAGACTTAATATTGCTTCCAAACTGAAGTACATTGTATACTGAAGCAACCTAGCAGGATACCCTACCCAGTGATGTAATACTGGCAACGGCCAAACCAGTCATTACATCACCACAATGCTGAGTTTGGTAACTACCATTTTTAACACTTTATTACTTACATATCTGTCTTGGCGAGGGACAGAACGTTCCTCGGGCCGTGTTATGAGAGATGTTGGAAAAGGTAGTCGCTTAGATACAGACGTTAATACAAGATCCCAAACTTAAGCGCCCTGCTACACTGAAGTAAGTATATAGATCTATTAAAAAGAATAATAAAATAGAAACACGGTTCGCTCCGACAAGCTATCATTAACAAACACAAGTGAGCTTACCGTTACCAATGTGATTGAAAATGCGAGTAAGCAAACAGGACGATATCGAGCCATTCACCTATCTAGATATTGTTTTCGTTTACTTAATTGTGCAGTATCACAGTACAGCTAATGTGATGGTCATTTGTACAGCTATTTAAAAGGTGTTTTTTTTCGATTGCAAAAAAGTGAAAACTTTTATTGAAAACATTAAATTTACAATGTATATCATAAAATGGCATAAAATGTACCAAACATCTTACCTGTAGGTTTTTTCTTTCGTCAATTCTGAGACATGTCAAGTTCTGTGAAATAACACGGTCCGATGTCTATCGTACAACACGCACTTCTGATATGTAAACACACTTGTACTGCTGTTTTTTTTATATTGGGATGCAGTCGGTGAGTTGTATCCGTTGTGATAAGGGATTATGTTTATGGTGTGGAATTGTGTCTGTGTTAAGAAACAATGTTGAAAATGTTGAGGGATAATGTTTGATCATATAAGGATTATCACCACAGAAAATTGCATTAAGTACTGCCTTCAACGAGTTCAACAGGGATCAGTAAGGTATATATTCAGCTTTAACTGGGTATACAAATGATCGTTCATGCTAATGTGATATTGTTGATAAATGATACAACAAAAAACCCAAGATAATTCAACGAATTACAGTCCCCTATCTACGCACCGCCTAGCCGAGGTGAAGCCATACCCCATATACTAAGTTATCTAAATTTTCCTTTAATGAAGGTCAAATGATAAATCGTAGGTCAGATTGACCTACTTTTATTATGCAATGCATCGTCTCATCCATGTAAACCACTGTCTCTAGTATGAAGTTCCCATGATTAGCAGTGTAGGAAATTTGGCCTGGACAATCTTTTATTTTGTGTTGTTCAAAGATCAAATGAAAGTTCAAAGTGACCTACTTTTGATAACCAACATAACGTCTCTGGATGATATACCCAAATCCTCAGTGTTAAGCTCTGAGATTAGAAGTATTGATGAGGTCGCGGAAGTTTTTTTCGTTGGTTTATAGCAAATGTCAAAATGTAGGTCATAGTGGCCTGATTTTGATACGTGACACACAATTTCATCGAAATGAACTCTTATCCCAAGTGTAAAGTTCCCGCGATTAGTAGTGTAAGAGATTGAGACCCGACAAGTTTTGCCTTTGATGTAGGTCAAAGGTCAAACTTTAGGCCAGAGCGACCTTCAGATACGCCACACACCGTTCCCATGATCTGTAGTGTAGAAGATAGGGTCCGGGCAGGTTTTTTCTTTGGTACAGGGCAAAGGTGAAAATGTAGGTCAGAGTGACATTTTTTGACACTGTCACACCAAGGTGCACCCATTTTCGTGACCAGTTGTGTAGAAGATAGGGCACGGACAAGATAGCGGACGGACCGAAAGACGGATTGAAACAACACAAAGCTATAGTCCCCTGCGCTTCCCGCTGGGAAAGGAATAATAGCAGCAGTACCCACCATGTTGACCATGGGAGTGTAATGCAGTTTCAAGGACAGTTGCATCGTCATAGGAAGAATGGGAGATTTACACGTTGAAGTGTAACCATTGTTCATGAAAATAAGAGAGGAATTGTTTTTACCTATCCAGGAATTACTCTGCCTTAGAATTATGTAATTCTTGATGTCTTTAATAACCGAATTTTTTTCTAATAACTTATAAACGGGAATATTGATAATATTTTCATTTTCATCGGACAGCTCTTTATTTTTCAAACGAGCTCCAAACATTATGCGTTTTAAATCATGACTATACATGTTTTTTTCAGACTACTTTAACAGTAAAGGATGTTTAAGCATATTTTAATCTTGATAGAAATGCTTAAAATGTTAGGTACATGCAAGTTAAATGTGTTACAAGGCTCCGGAACCTAGTTATCTTAAGGTATGTTAATACTGCAGGTGTCTTTGAATTAAAACATCTCTGACCCACACAATCTGTAAATTATTTAGTCAAGACGTTGAATCAGATAACACACAATGACATTAGATCTCACAATTTTAAATGAATCTAATTTCACATCACGGATTGTCTTGTCAGCATTTTCGTATAACATTGAAAGCGCAGTGTCTTGCATTCTCACGAGACTTGAGTAAATTAAAAAAAATGTTGTCACATTTATTAAATACAAACTTGTGGTTGTTGTGTAACCTCTGTTTATCCAATATTCAACAATATTACACACATATATATGGCATAGGAAAAGAGGCATATATTAATTCCTTTCCGTTGAATGTCAAATTAATCCTAGGAATGAATTAACGTTTAACAATAAACACATGTGATGAATCGTCCATTTGTAACTACATAACTGTATATATTACCTGATAGTGTTAAGTATAAGTATGTGATGACGGAAAATAATTTTCAAAATAATTGAAAACTGAACATTATATATATATTCGTCATTTTCGGATTAGAGGCAGCAGTATTCAATCCAAAAAAATTTTTTTCAGAAACCATAATGTCTAATTGTGGTAACGTATTTTCCGACATGTATACTTTTAACTAACTCGCAGGTACACAAGGGACCGTACTCCATATTACCTATGTTTAAGTGCTGTTTAAGAATTACATTAAAAACTTAATAAAACCTTAGGAACATAGGAACAAGGCCTGTGTGTACGATAACACAGTCTAATTTACCACTCTGTCTAATGATATACTGTGTATATTAAAAACGATTGACGAAGGCTTGACCAACTGTGAACATTGGTATGAAATTACTGCGTCAGACTTAAATTGAAAACTGATTAATTGTCGGATATTAACAGTCTCCCTCACTATGACGCACATTGTGTCAATGTGTTATTCAGAAAGTAATATTTTGATACAAATACATTGTTTCCTATGGAGAGTTATGTCTGACGAGTGGCTTTAATCATCGCTAGCCTCCAGAAGACAGCATCTTAACGACAGCTAAAAAATAAATGATAAATGATAGATAAACTACCAGACTACTCTGAAATGTTTCCTTTATGTTGGTTATGTCAATAGAATAGAAGTTCTAATAACAAAACCAACAACAAGTGATTGGATGAACACGTCTTAATGTCACGGTATGATGTGGATATATATTGTGTCTGTAAAATTCACACAGACATAATTCCGTTGCACAAAAGCTGATGCATCTAGCTACGTGTATTTCAATATCATATTATATGAAATAAAGTATCTTTATTGTATAGCGTGAGTTTATTTTGTGTTTATTTGTGCCATCGTGGATTTATGGTTGAAATGAATCCCAAAATGACCAGTATATCCTGCGTAACCTACAAGTATAGAATGTCGACAACCCACGTTAGCAATCTGATAAATCATTCATCTGTGACCAGTATGACGGGACTGCAGATTTCTTCCTGTGCGTTCTCCAGCTGATGAGGGAGGTACGTCTCCTTCGTGTTTCCACCCACATACGGCTCGTTAAGCGCTAAGGGGACATAACCCATGGTATCCTGTAAAAATAGCCGACTCCTTATAACATGATCTTTGGCCTCATTGCTAAAATGCTGTTTTTTAAACAATAATAAATAATGATTTCTACTCTTTTCATTCCCATTAGAAAACTTCGTGGCGGTATAAAATCACAAACAACTGGATTCATGATTTTAAAAAATATTTTTTAATACTGTAAAAATAACAATCTGATTGAAAGTACAAGTCTTATACAAAATCTGAAACATTTTAAACATGCAACAAAATGACATGAAAACAATGCTTAAAACAGTTGGTAATACTCATTGTAAAAAGATGTTGATCTTGACTTACACAGTTCTACAGAATTATATGGTTATAGGCCTAGTCCAAAACATAATTATATGTGTTGTTGTATATATGATTATGGCAGTAAAAAATCCCATCACACAGCATAAAAGAACAAATTTCTAAATCTGTTATGTACTCCTGAAACATTTTTCAATACAAATGCTAATGCCCAGATACCCCTCTATTGACAATATACAAAACCTTCTGTTCATATACATTTAATACATGTATAATATTGAATATATGGAATGTATTGAATGTGATATGCTTAAAGTTACAATTATTTACCTCCACAGTGATCAATAACTCTTTAAATACGACCATGTAGTGAATATAACTATCTATTATTTTTGTGTATTACATAGTGTAATATAACTCATTATAACATTGCTTCAAATACTGAAATGATGTTACAGACTTACAGATTGCATTGTAATATTAAAATGCAGACCATAGATATTGAACAGAAATTACCTTTTCAATTTTGACTTGGAAATTTTCGTTTTTTACTTATTTTTGCAAGGAATTTTTTTTCCTTTTCTTCTTGATTTTTTTTATCAGTGAAGTTTTCAAGCTGTATCATAAATCTATAATTTGTATTAGTTTATCTTTAATGATTAATCAAGCAGTATACAGTTAAGCCTTGTTAATCCTGCTATTTAGTATTCAATTAGGTCAGTTCAATGTCTCAGAATTTAAGGGGAGAGATATTTTGTTTTATATAAGATTTTACATTTCCCTACCTCTATAAATAAACTGTCCCACTAGTCTTGGTAATTGACAATCTGCCTTCCTGTTCTTGCTAGAATAAATGATGAACCATCATGGCTTCACCAAAAATATTTTCCTAAAAATTTAGCCTGAGATTTGTAATGCCCACTAACTCTGTACAATGCCATACTGTTGAAAACAGGGTTTGATTCCCAGAACGGACGTGAAAAGGTAAGGAGTCACCTGCCCGACCATGTGGGTTTTCCCTGGGCACGCCTATTTCCTCCCACAATAAGACCCCTAAAAATGCTTACATCTGGGCCAACAAGAGTGATTAGTATAAGCTGAAATAACTTGTTTGGCAAATTTGGTAAAATTAATCAAGTTTATATCATATTTTACAATAATCAGCCAGTTTTAGACTTTTTCTTCAGAAAACTGTTTCAATAATTCAGCCATATCCAAACAGTAATTATACATTTCAGAAGGCTGAGTTTCTAGACTGGCAATCTCAGTGATGATCCAATGTCACAACTCAGGGTGGTTTGTGTTACTCATGAAGCTGAAATAACAGACCATGCTGTGCTGTCATAGTTTTATCAATTTTATCAAAAGACATTAATTTTTTATCAAAACTTTTTCTGTATAAAATTGTTCAACTTTACTGTCCACAGATCTTCAACACAGGTGTACACCTGGTCCCTTGCCATGGGCACCTGTAACAAAACATGTATAAGAGTTTATGTTTTTTATCCATACTTATATAATCAAAATGTAATGGGTTGATCAGTATATATTGTTGAAATTATCATTTACTTACAATGTATCATTTTCTTACACTGTATCATTTTCTTACAATGTATCATTTACATACAATGTATCATTTACTTACAAATTTTTTCAGAAGATCCCTATAATTGCCTTAATTTCACATTTTAAAAAAATTTGACAAAGAAAACAAAAACAAAACAATTTAATCATTGTTATGACTTGTTGTATTTACACGTAATCTTACCCAACATGCTACTAAGGAATGAAGCGTATGTTGCACTTCCTGTAACAGCCCCAACTTTAGCAGGATTCCTACGGACAGTTTTGACATGAAAAGCCGTGTCATTGTCCATGTTTCCTGGACCCCACACCTCCACTTCTACTATGTGCCAGTCTGTAAGACTGAAGAAGCAAAACAGAATTATGAGTGAACCTCCCTGTCACTAGAAATTTAATTACAAGGGAGAAAACAAGACATACATGTACATGTAAGGCCTTGAATTGTAAGTAAACAGTAATGTTATATACATAGAGATTCAATGATCCCTAAAAAAAGGCATACTTCTCAATAACATTTTGTTTAAAGAGAAAAAATGCAAATATGAAGCAAAAGGTAAAAATAGGTGTCATGTTCTTCCGATAATGAGAGGCAGGTAAATCTAATGTTGCTTAATTGTAAACGGATAATGAATTAAATCAATAGCAATTGTATTATCATTAGTATCAAGAATTGCACAAAATCTGAAAAAGTCAAATTCACTGCAGAGATAAACGTGAGTTCCTCTCTTGGTGTCAACATCACAATCTACATCATATTTAAGCTGACATATCCCAGCCATTACCAGTAACGTCAGAACGAGAATCTGTGTCATAGATAAGACTTAGTTTAGCTGTTCTGATAAGCTTCATCAACAGATGAAAATACAATTTGAAAACTGTCTAACCTGAGGAAACCCTGAGATACACTATTTACGGTGATCACTTGTTACTGTCTAACCTGAAGAAATCCTGAGATACACTATTTACAGTGATCACTTGTTACTGTCTAACCTGAGGAAACCCTGAGATACACTGTGATCACTTGTTACTGTCTAACTTGAGGACACCCTGAGATACACTGTGATCACTTGTTACTGTCTAACTTGAGGAAACCCTGAGATACACTATTTACAGTGATCACTTGTTACTGTCTAACCTGAGGAAACCCTGAGATACACTATTTACAGTGATCACTTGTTACTGTCTAACCTGAGGAAACCCTGAGATACACTGTGATCACTTGTTACTGTCTAACCTGAGGAAACCCTGAGATACACTATTTACAGTGATCACTTGTTACTGTCTAACCTGAGGAAACCCTGAGATACACTATTTACAGTGATCACTTGTTACTGTCTAACCTGAGGAAACCCTGAAATACACTGTGATCACTTGTTACTGTCTAACCTGAGGAAACCCTGAGATACACTGTCTATGAGGAAACCCTGAGATACAGTGATCACTTGTTACTGTCTAACTGTCCTGAGGAAACCCTGAGATACACTATTTACAGTGATCACTTGTTACTGTCTAACCTGAGGAAACCCTGAGATACACTATTTACAGTGATCACTTGTTACTGTCTAACCTGAGGAAACCCTGAGATACACTATTTACAGTGATCACTTGTTACTGTCTAACCTGAGGAAACCCTGAGATACACTATTTACAGTGATCACTTGTTACTGTCTTACCTGAGGAAACCCTGAAATACACTGTGATCACTTGTTACTGTCTAACCTGAGGAAACCCTGAGATACACTGTGATCACTTGTTACTGTCTAACCTGAGGAAACCCTGAGATACACTATTTACAGTGATACACTTGTTACTTGTTACTGTCTACCTGAGGAAACCCTGAGATACACTGTGATCACTTGTTACTGTCTAACCTGAGGAAACCCTGATACACTATTTACAGTGATCATACTGTCACTGAGGAAACCCTTTACAGTGATCACTTGTTACTGTCTAACCTGAGGAAACCCTGAGATACACTATTTACAGTGATCACTTGTTACTGTCTAACCTGAGGAAACCCTGAGATACACTGCGATCACTTGTTACTGTCTAACCTGAGGAAACCCTGAGATACACTATTTACAGTGATCACTTGTTACTGTTGAGGAAACCCTGATACACTATTTACAGTGATCACTTGTTACTGTCTGAGGAAACCCTGAGGAAACCCTGAGATACACTGCGATCACTTGTTACTGTCTAACCTGAGGAAACCCTGAGATACACTATTTACAGTGATCACTTGTTACTGTCTAACCTGAGGAAACCCTGATCACTTGTTACTGTCTAACACTGTCTAACCTGAGGAAATTTACAGTGATCACTTGTTACTGTCTAACCTGAGGAAACCCTGAGATACACTGTGATCACTTGTTACTGTCTAACCTGAGGAAACCCTGAGATACACTGTGATCACTTGTTACTGTCTAACCTGAGGAAACCCTGAGATACACTATTTACAGTGATCACTTGTTACTGTCTAACCTGAGGAAACCCTGAGATACACTATTTACAGTGATCACTTGTTACTGTCTAACCTGAGGAAACCCTGAGATACACTGCGATCACTTGTTACTGTCTAACCTGAGGAAACCCTGAGATACACTATTTACAGTGATCACTTGTTACTGTCTAACCTGAGGAAACCCTGAGATACACTGTGATCACTTGTTACTGTCTAACCTGAGGAAACCCTGAGATACACTGCGATCACTTGTTACTGTCTAACCTGAGGAAACCCTGAGATACACTATTTACAGTGATCACTTGTTACTGTCTAACCTGAGGAAACCCTGAGATACAATACACTGTTACTGTCTAACCTGAGGAAACCCTGAAATACACTGTGATCACTTGTTACTGTCTAACCTGAGGAAACCCTGAGATACACTGCGATCACTTGTTACTGTCTAACTTAAGGAAACCCTGAGATACACTATTTACAGTGATCACTTGTTACTGTCTAACCTGAGGAAACCCTGAAATACACTGTGATCACTTGTTACTGTCTAACCTGAGGAAACCCTGAGATACACTATTTACAGTGATCACTTGTTACTGTCTTACCTGAGGAAACCCTGAAATACACTGCGATCACTTGTTACAGTCCAACCCGAGGAAACCCTAAAATACACTATTAACAGTGATCACTTGTTACTGTCTAACCTGAGGAAACCCTGAAATACACTGTGATCACTTGTTACTGTCTAACCTGAGGAAACCCTGAGATACAATATTTACAGTGATCACTTGTTACTGTCTTACCTGAGGAAACCCTGAAATACACTGTGATCACTTGTTACTGTCTAACCTGAGGAAACCCTGAGATACACTGCGATCACTTGTTACTGTCTAACCTGAGGAAACCCTGAAATACACTGCGATCACTTGTTACTGTCTAACCTGAGGAAACCCTGAGATATTACAGTGATCACTTGTTACTGTCTTAGCTATATAATCCTTTATGAAATAACTGGAAGGTTGAATGATAAACTGATGCAACAAGCTATAATCACACCAATTCAAAATTATGTTTTTCTTGAAATGTCAGTTAATATATCGTTTGAAATTATCATGCATATTGATAATGATAAAACTAAAGAAGTATGTAGCCAGGCACTTATCATACTTCAGCACTTTTGTGTTTCCCTAATGTAACATGTCTTACTACTCTATGTTCTTATAAAATGTATTGGTATGAAAGTCTTGTAGAGTGTTGCCTACCTTGGATCTGACACCAGGCACCCAGTGACTTTGTCAAACCCCAAATTGTGTGCTGCTGCTGCGGCGGCAGCCATGGTGTTGACATTATTAGGAGCCAGAGGACATAACCCTCGTACACTACCTTCAACATAATTGACATTCTCTTGAGTCATGGGAATACTGAACCATCAGTAACCTTTTCTAAATCATGCAATATAACACACAAAATAACCCAACTGTCTGTTAGCTACCTAAAGAAAGACTGGAAGAAAGGAGTTACTCCCCCTGTCTGCTATCACTACAAAACTGTAGGTGTGAATGAGGTGGTAATTAAGTGCCTCGAGTTCTGTTAATCACTTCCTCAACCTTCTTAATCCTGATGCATTCACAGTCCCTCCCAATGAAGTTAACCTCTCTCTAGTCAATTACAAGACCAAATATGTTTCTACATTTCCATAAGGGAGATTAGGTGCATATGCTACAAATATTTAAACTCAGAATGCAAAATTATCAGTGAAATTGATGAATGCTCCCAGTATTATTTTATTGGGCACAAAATTTTAAAGGAGTTGCTGGCCCGACATTGAAACACTGCACATTGTCTTCACATGATCAATATATACACAAAGTTTCATTTTCCTGCTTTCACTGCAAGTAAAATTATGCTCTGGACAAAATATTTTTAACAAAGGGCAATAACTCTGGGCCCTTAATTTGGTACTTTGAACATCTCCTTAGTATGACAATTGTATACACCAAGTGTCTTTATCCTTGCTTAATTAACTGTGGGCAAAATTATTTTACGAACACGAAAGAAAAGTTGGAAAAATGGATGGAGGAACGAAAGGGCAAGGCAGCAACTATATGATCCTGATCCTCAACAAAATTTCCGGGAGCAAAACAAGCAATTATATACTTACTTTTCAAAAACTAATGCCTTAGGTGAATTGGCTCCTTCTGGTGAACTAAATTGGATTTTGAAATTAGAAAGAATCTATTTAAAAATTTACTAATAAATTTGGAGTCTCCACCCTAAATATTAAGGGTGTGCAGGTATGCATGATTTTCTTGGTTGGTAAGGTCTCATTTGTCCATCTATAAACTTCCGTAATTCCAAATGTGATTTTCTTCTTTTTAATCTTGTACATGATTTTCTCTGAACATGTGTTTTAGATTAACTTTGACTAGCGAACTTTGACACAACCTCTACTCCACTGACTAGTCTGCTTATGTCTCCTTTTATTTGTTCTAATTCTTTGTGCATAAAATTCCTGACACACTACAAGGGCAATAACAGAAGGGAAGTAGCTCTTAGTTGACACTGAAACAGTTGTTCTGGATTAAGAAATGGTATGTTTTTCCATCGTATTGGCTGAATTATAGGAAAACAATCTTTAAATATATTGAATTACTCAATAAATTAGCATTTTAGTGCCACAATCATGCTTTTCATTTCTGCGTGACAAACTGGGAAATTCTCAATTCTCCTGGGGTTATGATAACTATCGTTCTGTAGACTTGGAACACTTCATGGCAACAGTTAAGCTTATGTGACACCTTGTGTATAAGACTAGAACATAAGTTTGATCCTTTGATTTACATCAAACAAATTTCAAAGCTGCATAAATAATGGTATTGGTGTTTCTCTTGTGTAGTCTACAAAAGAGCGTATCACATTGGTCACTTTTTTTTCTACTGAAACCTGCTTTAGACCAATCAAACGACGGGAAACGAAAAAAAATTAGATTCACCGTAATGCTAGCATGAATGGCAGATGATTAAAACATTCGAAATTTATTTTATTTTTTTGTTGTTTTTATCTCCAAACTATCATGTAAGACCGACGACTTTTACATATAACTATATGAAGGGAGGTAATCCAATATGACGGAATGATAACCCCAGGAATGGCATGTACCTGCGTATAGTGCGCACCCCCTTTTTGACACAACAGTTTCAGCTTAAAAAAGTGCGCACTATACACGAATATTTACGGTACTTTTTCAGCAAATTTTTCAGGGGTGCAGAGATTGTAACCCCTAAAGTATGGAGGATGAACTGGAGGTGTATTGATACTTTCCTTACAGTAAGTTCACAGATTCTTAAAAACAGCAAAACATGTATCAAAACAAAGATATTAATATTTTTATCTGGCAAGAGGCACATGTCTGATAATAAGCCCACCCAGATTTATTATCCATTCTACATAACAACTAATGATAAACAAAATATCATTTTCCAATTATTATCCCCTTTTCCCTCTAATTAAGATTTAGAAGGGTTGTATGCTGGTCCCTGGATTTCATTACTGCAGGATAAACACTATACCTCACTGTGATGAGACAATGTAATTAACCTATAAATAGGTCTCGGAGAATTGTTAACACCTTGATACAGGACAACTGCATTGTCCAACACCTGTTCATTTGTGATCTTCAAATCCCCATTAAGCTTGAAACTGCTTGGATGCTTTTTCATTGTCACTTTCAGTGCCTGAAAGAAATTGCACGTGACTAAACAATATTGTTACAGAGTAGCTGAAACTGTGGATAGGAAGTGGGGGAAGTTAGTAGAGAGCCAACTCCCATGACAGTAAATGGGTGATCAAGTAAATTAATAAGAAACAGAGGTATAAAGTAAACAAATATATATATATTCAACATGTTTCATCAGGTACAAGTATAGGAGAATGAAAAATATAGTGATGTTCTAATTTAAGATAAATTAGGTATTTTCTTAAAAACAAAAAACAAAGATATTTTTTCTGAAATGTTGATCCTTCAGTATACAATAGTAATATCTGAGTACAGCATCAGTTGATAAAATATTCTGTAGTGTGTGTACCTGTAATGTTCCTCGATCTGCCATCTTCTTGATATCATCCCCACCCCAAAATGCTCCTGTCGGAATGTATAGACCATGGCAGCTGGAAGCATTCCTCAATTCTGTCTCCAAAGTAGCATCACTAAGAGCTGTAGGGGAGCCAATCTGATCATAAAAGAAAAATCTTAGGACACAGCTTTTGTAAAAATTACTTTTTCTTTTATATAAATGGTCAACAGCTTAATAATATAGTACTAATACTCTTTTCTAATCCTTCACAAATCTGTTTTCTTTGTAACCAAGGACTTACAATGACTACTTTTCTGTGTGGGGTTATTTTGGTTTTTTGGGGGGGAGGTTTGGGGGGTATGGGGGGTGTTTACCTTTGCAGGACATAACAACTGGTAAATGCTGGCTGGTAATATACAATTGTTTTCAATTGTTTCAATACAATTCTATTTGTAAAGGACATAAAACTGATGGTTTCAAAACAACGTATCTGTAAGTTAATAATGATTTTGTATGTTCTGCCTAAGGTCTACATGATATGTAAGCATATGAGACGGAGCCTAGACTATCCATTCTCGTTCCCTCTCAGCTGTCAAGCTTACCACTCTACAATACTGACAGAGCGAAATGAAGAGCGTTAAGTTTGCTGAATCAGAGACTGGCCGGGCATAATATGTGAAGTCACACAATATTTAGCTTTCCTAATGAACCAACCACATGAGACCAAACCATATATATATGTAACATCTAATAACAGAATACAGATGCACTGATATATCAAATTAAACCATATATCTGTAACAATACACTCAATAAGTCTGATTCCTTTGTTACACGTTCAACTGACAAGGTGAAATAAGCTTTTGATTTCAACAAGAGATGTTTTGAGGATTGACTGGGAAAGAGAGACAAAACCTTACATAGTGACCTTTAAGTCTTCAAGGATTTCTTTTATTTCTGCCTCTGATTGCAAAATTTATAGACCAATAAGGACATTTCACTAGATATAACAAAAAATACTGCAATATTTCAAAATTTATATTTTCCCTGTATTATCAATCTAACACCTCGATATTACAATGTCAATAAAATGAAAATTTATTTTTTGGTTAGCAGCAAAAATTTAAGGAAACATCGTTATCTAGCAAAATCATATAAAAGGAGTCAATACATGATTCAAGCTTGTACTCCTATCCCAAATCTGATGTACTTTGATGTAATATTGTTAAATAGTTGAATGAAAATATTGTTTAAACTTAACTAATACATTCCTTTTGAACATTCTTGAAAATCTCATCTAGTGGATAGTACACATATTACAATATTCAAAAAAGACTTACATGTAGAATTGGACTATGTTTCACTATGAAATAATAAAAGTGTTAGAAATATTGTTACCATATAGTCTGCTGTTGCCAGGAACCTAGCTCCCCATTGCTTGGTAATGTTAGGATGGGCAACTTCTACAATCAAATCTGCTTTCCTGAAAAATAAATGGATACTTTAATGTTCCACATTACTGTCATAAAAGTGTAGTTTACTTAAATAATATGGAACAAACAGAAAGAACGCAAGGATCTATATATCAACACCACAGGATCTTGAATCTTCTAAGGTAAGCTTTTTACTATAATGGGCAAGCAGATACAAGGACCCATGCAAGTGAGCTGCTACCTCATTCACTCAATGTAAGGAGAATGACCATGTGAAGCAGTGGTAATAAGAGGTAACACGCTCTCCTTTCAACAAGATGTCTGGGGTTTGTTTCTCAGAATGGGGTCACCTGCCCAACGGTGTGGGCTTTCCATGGGTACCCCAGTTTCCTTCCACAGTATGACCCCTCGTACACTTCCATCAAGGCCAACAAGTGTGATTAATGTAAGTTGGAAAAACTTGTTTTGTAATTGTTGTAAAATAAAATTTATTTGTTTATTTATTTGAACCTGCAGTGGCACCAACCTAATACATATGTTTGTAGAATGAAATATGAAAAACAATTAATAAAAGTTCATTGTTAATTTTGCTTAACTATTTATGCTGCTTCTGTAGAAATGTTTACCTTGAAGCAAAATCTGAAAGATTTTCCAGAACTGCTTCCCTGTTTTGAAGGTCATCTAAGGCTGACACAGTTCTATTCCAAACAAAAGCTAGCTCTAGCGAGGCATGTTCCTCAATCTGCTGTACCAAATATTGACCTGAAAGAAAACCAGCATATCACAAGAGAGCTACGAAGTGGATAATAATGATAATGTGACCTCTGAAATGTATACATTTCTATCAGTAATTAAATGCATTATATATCAACAATCAAACAAGATCTCAGAAAGGTCTTGGTTTGATGTACCATAAGTTTGATCAGACAATCTTTTCTGTTATCAATCACTTCAACATGTTTGATACCGTTTCATTATTGTCAATGTTTTCCTCATTAGGGAATGTGAAATTGCTTACCAGGCAAGACTAAGATTTACATAGCACCTATAATCACTGAAGATGCTTACTTTCCAACATGCCCCATTAGCCCACTTACATTTTAAAAGGCATCAATCATAGTGAACATAACTGATAGATATTATCAGTGCTGGGTTAGCAAATTTCATAATAAAATATTAATTCTAGACAGTAATTTCATGTTGTAGTGCAAACAGGACCAATAACAAACATACGTCAAATTTAAAGATCGTTATTTACCACAGGTGGTACTTTAAACATAACAATGATGAATTAAAGTGCAAAAGACATAATATTATAAGACTTTGAGGCCCAAGTGCTTTAATAGTCACCTGACTTACAATGCTGTTGTTGTTCTTCCAACATGTCATAGAAATACAACTTGAACTACATTGCAAATTTGATTTAATTGAAAAGTAATGAACGAAGGCTCCATTGTTTTAATACCTTGTTCTTATCTAACATGACATTGCTTAATTGGATTGACCAAGTTTTACATGACTGGTGTCATTAATGAAACACAAGATGCTTACTTTCCATAAAACCTGGTCTTATTCTCTTTGTATTTTTTTAGGAGTCTCCATGTATATCTTTCTTTTGTTCATATTTTGTCCTAGTTTTACTGAATTTGGGTTTGGATTATGATTATGTTGACATGATGTTGGTATTTTCTTCTAGTTTTTTGGGAAATGGTGATAAAAAAATCTAACCTGTATGCTTATCTGTTTAAGAATGGTATACAAACAATTAGAGAAAGTATTGTACTTTTTGAAAACTTTTGACTATTAACATCAGGTAGATTTGCGAAATGCTTCTCTAACTTTCATATGTGGAATTCCCTCTACTAGACTACAGCTTTAGTTACCCATCTCTCCGCCAGAGTTCGCTCCGATGAGAAGCCGGAGCGCGGCCCTGGTGGAGAGTAACATAACTACGGTCAGGAACCAGTCTGCACGTGTCAGTTCTGTGCGATGCGTACAATATTGGACAATTTTTCTCAGTAGGCCTACTTGGTATTGCAACTTACCCACATTACCATACCCCACTACTCCAACACGCATCTCTTCTGTATTTCTGACAAGATTGTCCCTACTCCTGTCTCGCTCACCAAGCCGCTTGACTACTTTGTAAGGTAACCGTTACGGTCAACAAGGGTCTGGTTGATCAGAAGGGGTTTCTAATAAACAAAAACGAAATAATATATTTTCCGGGTCACAGTTACATTCAGCTCATACACGTCTGTGTCTTTATTATGACCCAATCAAGGATTCACATCGGGCCATAAACATGAACACATACAATTAGCTTGCAAACACCATTACTGTATTACTTGTATAACGAGTTATTGGGACGCGTGGTATTACATCGTGACCTAAGTCATAACGATATTTCAGCATTTAAATCACAGTGGCAGTTTGTATACGCACAGCTTATATATAGCAGGGACGTATAATACATTGTACAATTTATTATACGTCCCATATTTATAGACACATAAAGACATTATATGAACACTGATATCAAGGAGTGCTGATTTTGGTGTATACATATTATACGATAAGGTCACACATCACCCTATCCCCATACAGACTTAAATTACATAAATTGCATTTAACGTAATTATCCTAAATCGCCAACACCTTAAAATTAAGACAGGTTTGATAACATGGACGGCACGACTTCCCAACTAACTGACAGGTGGATTTGGTTGTTTTTCATAATCATAATGGTCCTGTCGTACCACAAGAGACAAACGTATCGTGGGGTTATCAATATAAGACATACTAATCAAATAATATAAAGGCCCGGCGTTAACATTTAACCATTTACCAAAGATTACAATCTACAATCTCGACAGGCACATTTTATAACAAATTTATAACTAAATGCAGTTTAGCTTCTCTGTTTCAATAAGTATGATGATAAATTATTTTCCATGTTTACGATGTGTTAGCTCCGAAACAAAGAACCTATATTAAATTTGTGTTAACGCTTTGTTTGTATGAAATAATGACAAAAAATGTCTTCCTATAGGTTGTGTGGAACTAGACGGATATATTTTTTTCTTACGGACCATAACGTAGTTTACGTATTTGGTTGGAAAGTTTCTCAGAAATATGGTCCTTTGAGAACATTTCTTTTTATTTGATTTTAAGCCCATACAAAGATAAACTGCTGAAGGTCAATTAATTCTATATCTCCCATTTTCTTATCCTTTATCTAGAATATTGACATCATAGTGTAATCACGACATGCAGTCAAGTAGTGATGCTGCGTAGAGACGTTCTTTAAAAAATCACAGATGTTTTTGACGAGTTAGCATTAGATTCGAGCTATTTTTGTGCCGGAAAGAAAGATGCCGAGAATGTTATAATGAGAGACACGGTCATTTTTATACGTTTTCCCTGCTTATTTGAATGTAAATATCAATACCTGGAAGCACCAATCGCTGCGGACTTTTTCTATAGCTGATTTTCTGCAATTATACTGCAGTCATAAAGTGTTAGATGAGTATTTGATGATCATTTCAGAAAAGTCTGGACTAATGCCATCACCTTGTGCCACACCTAGTCGACAGGTACCGAGACATTTTATTATAGGAAGACAACAGACAATCACAACCCGAGTTCAGTACATCCTCTTGTCGTAAGCATCTTATTCTTAACCAGAGACTCGTTCCCAGTATACGGCACCAATTATGTAATAGGAAGGAGAACTCCTTCTTTTTGCAGTTCTGGTGCGTTTAAATCATAGATAGATAAAGCAGGTATGTTACTTATTTTTGAAATTCCAACAGCCGTCGATTAAGAAATGGATACAGCATCATTCAGCATAACTTTTTGTCTCATTCGGGAAAAAACAACCGTTAGACTCCATCATATGTAGCTATTTCTACGGGATACCATGGGTTACATCCCCTTAGCGCTTATCCAACTTAGTTGGTACCGTACAGCCATAGTTATATAGGTTAGAGGATTCACACTTAACATGTCGGACTTATTTCGAATTTGAATCCATGATAACATTTTAACTGTCCATGTTCAAAATCACAATAAAAAAAACTTCAAGGATTATTTTTTTTTAAAAAAAGTGTTACAATTCAGTTCAACAATATCTATTGAATAAAAACAAAACAATTTATTATATGAGTGCTTATGGTCAGTTATTTCGAAGGACGTGCCAGTAAACCCCCATCTGAGAACCCCTTTGGTTTACTGGACAGGTGTGAACTATAGCCATCTCTTTCATTGGCTAATTTCTCATCGTCTGACTCTGTGTTCTATATGATTTCACACATTACTACACTCTATATACGAAGAAATCATCTGATTTGGTCAGGGGCGTATGATAAGGACACCCCAGGATTTGGTTTAACAAATAAAACTGCGAGAAGATCCAGAATTTAAAGCTAAACCGTTAACTATATCTTAAATAACCCACTACACTAAGGAAAAGGACAAAGATTAGAAAATGATTAAACACAGCATTTCTGAAAAGACCCCTTTTTCCTGTACTGTTGCCATGCTTCTATTCATTTCAAAACCATAGTACAGAGCAAATCTCGAATTAATTGAACTCTTGCATTTTATTTCTCATTAAGATTCATGACTTGCGTTATAAATAGCAGTCAGTAAATCAATTCTTTTTTGTAATCCATTTGCTTGTTGTTACAACATCAAATAATGGTATTAATTTTCACGCTACAAATCGGTGAATTTTCGTGGGTTTTTTAGCAAGTCCTATGTAATGATTTACTATGTATTAAATCCGTCCATTCTGTCCATCTTTGAGGAGGACCTCAACCAACTCCGAGACAACGACTGGGATGACACTTCCAAGGTCGTGGTCCAGCGACTGCCAACATTCTTCACAGCCAAATCATCTCTCTACCGTGCTCGCCGCAAGCAGACTCCTCCGCTACCGAAGACTTTGGCTGACATCACCTTGGATGGAAGAAGGACAGAAACATCTACGGGTGAACCCTTTCTCCTCTTTGACGACGGTGAACAGAACAACAGGATGATCGCATTCGCTACATCAGAGAACCTGACCGAGCTTGCAGCATCTGACACATTCTTCTGTGGTGGCACATTCTGCACCTGTCCAACTATGTTTCACCAGATTTATAGCATCCATGTAAAGATGACGTCAATCTACTTGTACGCCGTGCTGCTGTTCTGCTACTCACCCCCTTAAACCATATTGAGGACGTCTGGTTACAAACCCATGAGGAAGCTAATGATGCTGACATCCCATATCCCGTATTGTCATTCACATATTACGTCACTGAGCAATGGATAGAGGGAGATCGAACAAACTGGAACCACTTCACAACAGAGGGACCCCGGACTACCAACCATGTTGAAGCCTGGCACGGGAAACTGAAGAAGAAGGTACTGCATGCCCACACCAACATCTACACCATAATCCAGACGCTTAAGGACATACAGGACATAAATGACATCAGCCGGATTCAGAGAGATGCAGGAGGCACCATTCAACCACGGAGGAAGAAAAACGCCAACATTGACAGACGCCTGGCCATCTTGAAGGATCGTTATCAGACTGGGACGATCGACCTGATGACCTTTGCTGATTCAGCATCCGAGCTTCTCCATCTTGGATAGAGTGTTTTGTGTTTTCTAGTAGAGACTTATGTAGTAATTGACTATCAAACGTTGCAAAAGTGGATAATGTACTGTCGTATCAGTATTTAAAAACTATTTAATAATACTTTTATATGCTAAAAATTGTGTTACAGATATGTAAAACAAATAGAAACTTTTTATCAATTTCATTATTGATATGTAAGTATCCTATTTACAAAATAAGTTGACATTCTTAGTTGAAACAGACCATAACTTTAGTTTCAAAGGATTCCTTACATAAACACCTTCCTTTCAAGTTGGCAGAGTTGGTGTTCGGGGAATGAGCCAACTTAATGATGACGAGCTAGGTATATATAAACTTTATTTGTTTTACAACAATTGCGAAACAAGTTATGTCAACTTATACTAATCACTCTTGTTGGCCCGGATGTAAGCGCGCGAGGGGTCTTATTGTGGGAGGAAACCGAAGTACCCGGGGAAAACCAACGTGGTCGGGCAGGTGACCCCTTACCTTTTCACGTCCGTTCCGGGAATCGAACCCTGGTCGGCTAGGTGAAAGGCGAGTGCGTTACCACTGCGCCACCCGACCACCAAGCTAGGTGGTACATGGGCCATTTTGGGATGGCGTAGACAACTTCTCACATACGAGCTGTGCACAGATGATGGCAATATTTTGAGAAAATAATTACTATGCGTTCAATATGCGATATAAATATCCATGGTATATAATGAATTGTCAATTTTGAAGATTTTACTGGGGTTACTCAGTATCTCCCTGCATATCCATATAGGTATGTTACAAATGTGTGTGCTTTTTATTATCAAAGTGGGGTATGAAATGAATTTCGAATGAAAAGATGTTCTGTATAACTTTGCACAGTACAACAATGGTCATTAGGGCCATTACTAAGGATCACTTCGTCCGATAGTTATTGACACGGAACTGGTTATACAAATTAATTATAGAATCATGGATATTGACTGAGAAACAATTGAAAAACAAACAAAACAAACAGACAACAAAGCATTACCCGTGACTCGTACGTAATCACGTCAGTTCACTTTTTCTCTCTGAAAATAAAATCGAATAGCTAGTATATCTATTATTGTATGATAAGGACGTCTCGTCCTACCTCTTTAAAATTCCTTAATTTTATGGAAAAAATTCTGAACCCAGATAAAACGAAATCAAGAATGAATTTCTTTGTTATGATCATGTCTGCATCGTAAACTTCTCGTTAAAATATGCACTGTACACTACTTCAACACTGCTTTCATAATTCGTCATAATCGTTTTACTTAAATCGGTCAGTATGTATTCACACCAATGGTTACAAATGTCAGTTATAAATTGTACATATGCCTTTCAAATTGCATTATATATATATATAAAATAACCGAGACATTACAATAAACTCCAGTGATTATGGTTAACCACACACTGTGAAGTATATTTTGGCAGAGACATATATATGTGATATACGTCTCTGATTTTGGTTATAGCTTTGCCGCTATGTGGGAATGTGTTTATATTTTAACATTCAATTCCTTATTACGTATGAAACCCTTTATTTTGAAGATATCAAATGTACTTTGATCATAAAACAATATAACTACTTAGTATATATAGCCAGCCGTCCGTCATAATGACTCGATACACATAACATTGATGCCACGTTTACCCGTATAGCGATGAACTGAAATTATGTCATTTTCACCTAAAAATGACACAACTGATTTTTAATTAAAGTTTGTCGAAGTATATATCAATTTGTTGGAAAAATACTATAATTGATAGCCAGAGGCATACAATTGTATTTTTTTTCATAATATTGCTTTTGTTTCACATTAAAGTTGTCAAAATAATCATCTTGTTAAAAATTTGGTAAGATTATGAAGGAGATTCATGTGCAAGTTTCAACTAAAAAATGACACAACTAATTTTCATCTAAAAATTATTTTAAAAATATATAATTGTTCAGAGGCGTACACTTAGGATTTTTTTATCTAAAAAACGATATGTTAATATTTTTTCTGAAATGCCGCTATGTAATCTACAGTGAAAAAAATCGTTAACATGCAGCGAGAAATCTGCGCATGCGCGTCGTGGTTTGTCCTCAACAGCTGCTTATAACCGGGCAATCACAATTAGAAGTCATACAAAAATAAATTAATTGAATTTATTATTTCATCCCAGAAAATAATTGGTCAGTTATTATATACTGCTTGCTTTTAATCATGGATTTTTTACTAGCTCAAACTTTGCAACCAGGTTTCCGTCAGGGTCATGGATATCTGGGGTCAGGGTGTTGGCCAGCCTCGTTCCCTTGTTATTAACCTGAAGGATTCAGGTCATGCGCCACGCCACGCGCGTACTACCTTTTATGTTCCCTGACACTACAGCGATTGTGGTACGAGGTTGTACTTGATAAAAATAGTTCCGTCAGCAAATATCAATACACACCTATACACTCTATTTGATAAAAATCATGTTTACAAGAAAAATATACAATGTAACTATCACAGTATTACAATGACAATTTTATATTAAACAAAGTGTGGTAATTAATAACAATGATATTATTTTAATGTGATTTCGCTAACGAACTATATTGTTACACAACGGAAGTCGTAGGGTTATGACTATGTTGCAGGTTACTGTACATACTTCAGGTGCCCGATCCAATGTTATCGGTGGAAAAATTACAAAAAATCTATGAACATACGGTTATTTTGCACATTTGTTGTGCCCGATGGTAGTTTGAAGACTCAATTATTCATAAGTATCCAGGGACATAATTGAAAATTCGCTATGGCGCGGCTGGTAGCTGTTTACAAAACGGATGACTATCAGTTCCTTCGTCGACAACTTCCCATTACTGTGGACGATGACTTGAAGGTAACAGCGATGAGTATCATGGAATTCCCTTGTTTCTCTGTCAAGGGATTTAACAATATAACTTGACATATGACGGCAATGTCGATTAAATAAATATGCATTGTAATATGTATCGGTAAGTTCCTAAGTCCAATGAATGACGAAACTTGTGACCTCCAACTGTCAAAATGCCGGTTACACATTTCTAAATAATCTTCATTTAATGGTAATAGTAGTAATAATGAAAAGACATTCCCACACTGATAATGATATTGTACCCAATGCGCCTTGTTTCCACTCATTAGACTTTCATAGATCAGTTGGCCAAGTTATATATTGCACATGTAAAATTGACATGGAATTGTTGCTTCAGATATGTTACTGAATTTGTTTTCTACATGCATGTAACATAATCATAGTGAGAATTTTTATTGAATGGACATGCTCTTTGCACACCCTAATATGTTATGTCGTTATTCATAGATCATCGCCAATGTCCAATCTGACCGCTAAATTTGTTTGGGAAATATATATCTCGCTAAAATATAATACCAATAATGCATAACACATAATATGCACACCTAAAAGTGCATGTAAATTGGGATATACTCTAGCATGTAGCATCATATTTGTTGTGCAGTGATGTTGACAAGAACTGACAGGATTCATTCTTAAAATCAACACTTAATATCTTAAGATATATACAGGTATTAGCAAAAACTAAGCAGCATTATTCATAATAAGAGACACATGATATATCTGATATGTATGCAATAACTGAAGAAAAAATGTTTTTCTATGTTGTGATCATTTCCAATTATTTTCTTGTTTGGGATCCGAATCTTGTAAATCACTGAATGGTCATCATCTGTTAAGACACTGATCTTATACCCTAAAACAAACACATTTACATTATGGGAACTAGTCAACTAATTGATAGAAATCTATTATGAAATATTACCTGCCATCACAATCCCGTTTACCTATAGGTCAAACTGAAATTCTAATATTACATTATGATTTTTCATATAAGGAGGGTAAAATTCAAAATTTGTTTAAATTTTGATAAATGAAATGAACAACAAATTCATATTTACAAGTAAACAAAATTTTCACTAAAACCCTGAAACAGACGAGATAAAGGCAGGCATCCTGGAAGGGTATGCTTTTTCTTCTTTACAGATACAACTCTGGGCAACATGAAAACATCAGTCAATCCAAGTTAGTAATTTCACATTCTCAAATGTGAGAAATGTTAATGACAAAAGAACAATGATTCATAATAATGAGCATCAGTCATGTATATCGTATCGCACATCTTAGTGATAACTTGGTGATGACCACAACACCTGCCCATATACTTTATCAATCTTCATCACTATGAACTCAATATTGTAAATAGGTTCATCTGTCAGATGTTAAATTTTTTCATAGAATTTTCAAGTGATATTGGTAACAATCCCGTTGCACAGCCTACTGGTTCTGGAAGTGGAAATGGTACCGTCTAGGAATGGAAACTGAAATTAATAATAACTCCATCTCTTTAGTAACACATAGCTATTTTACCACTTGATTAACTGGTTTAAGGGAAAGTCCCACCAATCAAAGTGAGGAAGAAACTTGAAAGTTATATTCCTGTCCATTCCCTCAACTATAAATTTTCAATCTGGAAGGTATATTTAACCTGGAGTCTTTTCTGTAACAAAGCTTACAATCTCATGTGGCTTATGTAAATATATAAAGAGGTCACAAAATCTGTTACAGGAATTAAGAGTTCTGAAATTTGGATTATATGATGGTGCACCAACAAGCAATTCATCAATTTCCTTTCTAAAAAAGTCTCAAACTCACTCTAGCTTAAACTAGTCAATTATATTCATATTTAGTGCTAGAGCTTTCGCTTAAAACTTTCATTGTAAAATTGTTATCATACTTCAAATTCAAATATACCAATAAATGTATGTATATAGGTATGTGATATATGTGATAAAAGTTTAATATACAGTTGAGTATTGCTACAATTAAATGTAGATTGTATAACATAAGGGCCTGATTGATCAGTAAATTGAAATAATAGGACTAGGTTTCCTTATGATCGTGAAGCCATATAAAATTATACCCACCTATAGCTACTGCGGCATAAGTACCTGATAGAGTACATGTAGATATACAATTGTTTTGAAATTTTGCATAGAGCAGCCCCCATTTATCATCAAGCACAAAACCATTTGTAAGGAGATTATTCTCATTATACAATTTTCCAAGTGTAGAAGATTTGGGTACTCATTTGACACCTGGGTTTTTTTTTGTTTTTGTTTTTTTATTCCGCATGCTATCTACTAAAAGATATATGAGACCTCGGTGAAGTGTTGGGATTTTATTATTATTTGTAATTGGATGTAAGTAAATTAGTAGACGGCAGATATATACAATGTGAACAAAGAGAATAAAACAAAGTGAATAAAGAGTTTTGAGATGTCATATATAGTAGTAACATTCAAATTTCTGTGTTAATATATGATCTCCTGTGTTTTTATGTGTGTTCATTACACGATCCTATGAAGATTTTCTGACATATATAAAAAGATGCCACCTGTCTTCTGGCATGCAGTTAGTGCCACAATGAGAAAATCAGAAAAGCGTATTAGAAAATGTGTTCTAGTCTAAAGGGCTCTAACTATTTATCTGCTGGTTTTTTTGTCTTGGTCATTATTGCAGCTGTAACCATGACAAAAAGGAAATTGCAGAGAGACACTTGAAACCCTTAAGACAAAAATGCTTCTTAAAAATCCACAATCTTAAACATTTAATCAGTCTATATATATATATGTTAACATGTCTTACAGACCAGCTGCCAACTTTTTCTTATTACACATTATTACATGTATAGCACATGGACATTTGTAAAAAAAAATTTGCTGGAGACCCATTCTTATTACCATAAGTAAATGTCACTAATATGGAGTATCCCAATATTGAGATAAATCTCACACATAAAGATGAGTCTAGAAGATAAGAGTCTTTCAAGAATAGACAAATGTTAAAAGATTTGGAAAACCAAATTGATTCTCTTTCAAGGTGAGAGAGGGCAGTTCGGTTTTAAAAATTAGGAAAAAATTGGTTTAATATAAAATGATATTGAACTAAAGTTGGCATGAAAAGTGCAATAACTTGAATGTACAGGTAAACAAGTACACTGCTTGTGATTCACTGTGATACAGTTAATGTATTTACGTTTGTATTATAATATAAGCTTTAATACTATAGATCGCTTTGGTAGTAGGGTCCAAGTGTCACTACACTACCCCGGAGCTTACAACAACTGAAACTGTAGTATTGATTTAATTTCTTTCTAAAGACTAAATATAGCTATACACTAAGCACATGTTTTTTTTGGTCTGAGAAACTTTTTTTTCTTGTTCTTTTTGTGTGTCCTCACACAAAACAAAGAAAAAGATCACATTAATTTTCTAGGATAAAGTCTACCATGATAGGTGCATATGTACTGTACATAGCTAGTGATGCATGTGTGCTGGTAAATAGTTTATTGATTCTCCTTCAAGGTAAGAGAGGGCGGTATGGTTTTTAGGTTGGTGACAGGGTATTGAGGGGGAGATCAGGGATCTATATATACATGTTAGTGCAGGGAACCAGTAACTTTCAAATTTATCATCAACTTACTTGCAATATTCATTTTAAGACGTAGTACACAACATAGGAAATTTTGGTGCCCATTGCAAAAACATAATATTATCTTATAGTTTCTTGTTAAACAATTCATGTTCTGATGTAAAACCTTGACTTGAAATTACTATATTTAGTAATACAGACAAGGATATTTTAACTCCTATAATATAAGAGGCAGCTTTTCAGCCGATTTATAATTAATATCTAATGTTATTGTGCTTACCAACCTTTGAAAACTTGTCAGTATTGAGTAAATCACCTTTGAGAATTTACAAGGCGCATTTCATAAGATTCTCGTAGTGTAAAGCTTGAACATTGATAGAGGAGGGTATTTTATGCTCAGTGTAAGGATTTCAGCTTGGAATAGTATTCTGGTGCATGTTAGTTTGAAAGACAATTGTAAATAGTACTGCATTGTAGATTTATGTCTCAGCTGAAAGGTTGAACTAGTGAAGAAAATGGTCATTATTCTGTAAGATCCGGACAAGAAAGCATTTCTTTCAAGAACCATAAAATTTGTACTTTTTCTTTCAGATGGTGATCCAGTTCAATGATACATGTGTGGACTGTGAGAGTGCCCGTGGGATCAAACAGAAGGAGTTGGAGCATTTTGTCCAGAGATTCAGTGCTCTTTCTAAAGATGAGATTGCTGTTGAGATGATGGTGTCTAGCAAAAATATCATGAATTTGCTAACACATCTTGTGCCTTGTGTTGGTTGTAGAAGGAGGTATGCATATAGTTCTTGATTTATGTAAATTAAGGCAGGTGATCTGTCAGTTCCTGTTATCATGATTGCACATGGAAATTAATTTATCTGTTGTCTTTAATTTTTCTTTATTCATATATGTTGTAATATTAGTACAATGTAAACTATGTTATATATATCATAATGTAATGTATAATAATTTATCCTGTAAGAAACCATTCATATGATACACCATGGTGATAACGTAGGTAAGAAGTGTGTAATAACACTATTATGATGTCAGATGATTAACATTGTAGTGAAAAGGCAGAAGATATGTCTTAAAGGGAAAGTAATGAGCAAGTTTTGTTTTTTTTATTTCTGATAAGTATACAAGTTGAGTGATATATGATATATATCATTTTGAGTTCATTAAATTGGTCCAATAATTTGGTTATAGCTGTTATATCAAGTTATTGAACTTGTTTGATAATTCAATATTGTAATGTGGTCAGAAGATTTTATTCTAAAATATGTTTGAGCAGTAAATATGGATAGAAATAATGTTTTCAAACCTGTTTCAGCGTGGAGAGAATGTTCCACCAGTTGGTGGACTCACAGCATCCTGCCCTAGAACCACTGATAGTTACACAGAGGGCTGAGCTATCCATCAATCGTGATAACCTTTTTGATCCACGTGCTTTGTATGCATTATTTAACATACACAGGTAAGTAATGTAATTATTAAAAGCTAGCAATTAAAACATTAATCTTTGAATAGAATTGGCGTTTAAAGCCCTTACAATCTATTTGACATTTACACGTTCATAAGAAGTAATGTTTTGTTCAGAAAACAAAAATGTTAAGGTTAAAACTTGTTAGTTCAGAGCCGTGAAGTTATCTGAAATTAGCTCATCTAGATCTAGGATTCTCCTTTTGGACAATATAGTGTTTCAAGGAAATATTTTTCATAAATATTCCTAAAGGAGAAATTTAGAAGTTTAAATGTGTTTTGACTTACACTAGGATTTGAATGATTTCACTTTTCCCAATATACACATGACTCCATCAGTACAATAATAAGCTGTTTATACTGAGTGTTTTTCACACAGTGACAAAACGTGTTATCCACTAATTTTACTTGTTTAGCACCATTTCTGTGTTGTTACATTATGAAGTAATTTCATAGTTTGGTTGTTAACATCTGATTAACAAGCAGAAAATTTTTAACGAGCTTTATTCATCAAATTATGTGGCATTTCTTTCACTCACTAGATAATAAGTTTTTTGTAACTATTGAAAAATAACTAAGTTAAGTGAAAGAGATACAACAGCTCTATAAGCACTGTAATAGTATACCATGATTTATAAGCATGAAACAGATATGTGTGCAAGTCTTTGAATTGTTGAAAATGGGTGCATGTATCATGATGAGATCATTTATATAAGTTAACTATGCGCCATTTTGTTATTGTCTTACCAAACCAACAGGAAAGTAACTAATGAAGTCTTTTGATGCACCATTTTGTTATTGTCTTACCAAACCAACAGGAAAGTGTATGATTTCATTCCTCCTTTTGTCATTTACAGAGCCAAACTAAGTTCCATTATGGAGTCAATTCCAAAAAGCAAGAAGAATAAACGCTGCAACTTACATTCTTTAGACACACACAAACCTCGTACAACAGGGTAAGTTTTAAATACTGTACTGATGGACAATACAATTGGCTCATTTTTAGAACAATTTTTTTTCTGACTTTGATTTTGAATAAATTGGAAAAGATGATTTTTAAAGGTGATTTATCAAGTTTAAGCATCATAATACCAATAAATTACTCATTATCTTGACCTTGTTTCTGAACTTTTCAGGAGCTGGATAGAAATCTGGGACTTGTTAGCTCAGGAGTGCCGAGAGGAAGTAGTACTAATTGATGCAGATAGTCTATCAGATACCCTTGAAGCTTACCTCAGAAAACATAGGTATGTAAAACGTCCACAACTCCTGGTGTTTTGTCATCTTGTTTATGTCTATCAGCGAGCTTTATTAAGTTGCCCTCATGTATGATAAAGAGTTGGTCATGTGGCACAATGGTAACATGTTGCCTTTCACTTAGACATCCACGGTTTGATTCCTAGAACAGACATGAAAAGAATGCGATCGCCTGTCCAACTGAATGCGTTTTCCATGGAAATTTTTGTTTCCACCCACACCTAGACCCCAATCTAGGTTAACTAGAATGATTATTATAAGTTGAAATAACCTGTTTTACAGTTGTTGTAAAATAAGTTTAAAAAAATAAATAGTAAAAGTGTCCTACAACCTGTATCTAACAGTATAATTCTATATATATATATTCTATAAATAGCATTGTTGAAAAAGTTTAATTTCTTTGTGTTCACTTTTTTTTCAATTTCTTTGCTGTAGATTTTGTTCTGAATGCAAGTCCAAAGTTCAGCGAGCTTATAATATCCTGGTCGAGGATCTGGACTGTTCAAAAGAAGTGGGCTACTGTGCTGCACTGTATGAAGGTCTCCGCTGTTGTCCTCATGAGAGACACATTCATATGTTGTGTGATACTGACTTCATAGCCCACCTTATCGGAAGGGCAGAACCAGAATTAGCAGGAGGGTAAGAGATTTAGGGACAAGCATGGTGTAATACATCACTCTCATACTTGGGTTAATTGTAGAGAATTTCTACTGTCAAATACATTGAAATGTCTTGAACATCTGTTGGATATTCTGGGAAAGGTTTTGGTATAACTTAACTCATATTGGTCTGTTTTTTTAAGGCATTGAAGATCATTTGAGTGTTATGATCCATTAGTCCACAATGAAGAAACACAAGAAATAACCAGATGTTTATTAAGCCTCACTGCAAGCATTGAATCATGAGGCAAAAAAAGTAACCTGGAATAAAAAGTCCTCTTCATTAATCACATTTTAACACGGTCACAACTTTTTAAAAAATAATTGAAAGCAGTAACAAATTGTGACTGACTGTCGGCGTCATTTTCTCACAGGAGCAGGAGAGACCGTCATGCCAAAACTTTGGATATTGCCCAGGAAGAAGTGCTGACCTGTTTGGGAATCCATGTTTATGATCGTCTCCATCGTATTTGGCAAAAGTTGAAGGCAGAGGAACAAACATGGCAGATCCTTTTCTACCTCGGAGTTGATGCTTTGAAGAAAAGCTTTGAGGTGAGGAAGTCTACAGTTTGTCAGTCCATACTTGCAACAAGATTGAAATTTTTTTATATTTATTTATTTGATATAATTAGGGCCCCGCATCGCGATGCGGGTGCCCTATAGTAATCACCTTGTCCGTCTGTCTCGCCGTCTGTCTGTCCGTTTCGCTTTCCGCACGATATCTTGAGAAGGAATGATGAGATTTCGATGAAACTTGCTTTGATACTTGGTACATAAGTCCCTCGCTCAAGTTCGATGTTCGCCAAATTCCGCGCATATTTAATGAGGCTGCTGCAATCTGATTGGCTGAATGTCTTACATCCGCAGATATCTTGAGAAGGAATGATGTGATTTCGATGAAACATGCTTTTGATACTTGGTACATAAGTCCCTTGCTCAAGTTCGATGTCCGCCAAATTCCGCGCATATTTAATGAGGCTGCTGCAATCTGATTGGCTGAATGTTTTACATGTCTGTCGGTTTCGCTTTCCACGCGATATCTTGAGAAGGAATGATGGGATTTCGATGAAACTTGCTTATGATACTTGGTACATAAGTCCCTTGCTCAAGTTCGATGTTCGCCAAATTCCGCACATATTTAATGAGGCTAATGCAATCTGATTGGCTGAATGTTTTACATGTCTGTCGGTTTCGCTTTCCACGCGATATCTTGAGAAGGAATGATGGGATTTCGATGAAACTTGCTTATAATACTTGGTACATAAGTCCCTTGCTCAAGTTCGATGTTCGCCAAATTCCGCGCATATTTAATGAGGCTGCTGCAATCTGATTGGCTGAATGTTTTACATGTCTGTCGGTTTCGCTTTCCACGCGATATCTTGAGAAGGAATGATGGGATTTCGATGAAACTTGCTTATGATACTTGGTACATAAGTCCCTTTCAAGTTCGATGTTCGCCAAATTCCGCGCATATTTAATGAGGCTGCTGCAATCTGATTGGCTGAATGTTTTACATGTCTGTCGGTTTCGCTTTCCACGCGATATCTTGAGAAGGAATGATGGGATTTCGATGAAACTTGCTTATGATACTTGGTACATAAGTCCCTTGCTCAAGTTCGATGTTCGCCAAATTCCGCGCATATTTAATGAGGCTGCTGCAATCTGATTGGCTGAATGTTTTACAGAGAATATCTTCTGAAGGAATGATTTGGGATTTCTTTAAAACTTGCTTTGTGATACTTGGTACATAAGCCCCTCATTCGAGTTCAATGTTCACCCTGTCCGTCTGTCTGTCCGTCCGTTTCCCTGTCCGTCGATCCATATATCTGTCCATCTGTCCATTTTCATTGGATTTTGATGAAAGTTGCTTTCAATACTTGACACCTGTCCATATATTTCTTAATATTAAGAAACTCAATCATAAGGGGTAGGTATTATGCGGGGCCCTTCCTCGACATTGGTCTAGTTACATTTGTCTTTTAAAATCAATTTATATTAAATATTTGTTTATAACTTTTTGAAGATTTAGTGTGTTGAAGCTCTCTGTGTTCCTATTAAATGTTTTTTTTTTGCAGCAAATAAATACAACTCAAGTTTGTTTCATTTAACACTATGTGATATGTATTATTTTAACCAGATGAAATTTTCTACTTTCTCATTAAATTCCCATCAAGTGTTTGTTACTGATTTCCCAGGAAATTTTGCCAATGTTTTAGTAACTGTCTTTGCCGATTGCATATTGAAAAATTTCAAAACCTCAATATTCTTTTTCATTTTGCAAGAAGCTTTTGTTGAATTAAAAAATTAAAATTCTTTTTGCTTGAAAATAATCAAATTTTATTGAATACTGATGCACAAACAAGATATTTAAATATGTATAAGATATGTGTTCATTAGTGCTGGTATATAGGTATGATGTGAATCATCTTACAATTAATGAAAAAAATAGAAACAAAATAATCGTAAGTAACTCACATTTTATAACAATCATTAACAGATGGCATTAGAAAGAAAACAAGGAATTTCCAACCTTGAGCTCATGTGTGAGGAGATTTTGGAGGAAGAGAGGGCCAAAGAACAAAAACGAGAGCAAAAACGGCAGAAAAGGAAAAAGAAGAAAGCCAAGTCTAACCAGCTTGTCCTTGAGAAAGAGAATTGTGCAGAGGATGTAGAGGAGGAAACACACTGTGAAGTATGTTCCTCTTCTGAAACAGCGTATAGTCAGGTGAGTGGTACCGATACTCTCTAGTATTTATATTCTGAAACAATGTATAGTCAGATTAGTGGTGGTAATACTCTCTGGTATTTATATTATGAAACTGTGTATAGTCAGGTTAGTGGTAGTGGTGCTCTCTGGTATTTACATTATGAAACTGTGTATAGTCAGGTTAGTGGTAGTGATACTCTATGGCATTTATATCATGAAACAATGGATAGTCAGATTACTGGTGGTAGTACTCTCTGGTATTTATATTATGAAACAATTGATAGTCAGGTCACTGGAGGTGGTCCTCTGCAGCATTTATTTATTATATTCTGAAACAGTGTGTCACAGGGTAAGTGGCAGTGTTCTATAGTACTCAGTGACATTTATATTCTGAAACAGCATATAATCAGGTTAGTTAAAGCTGTACTCATTAGTAATATTTGAGAGAACTTAAACTTTGCTATATTCAACATCAGTGAAGATAGAGCAAAATGTTTTACCAAGCAAACAGTTCTTTTATGAATAAAATTTCTGCAATGATCAGTTCCACCTGTATACATGGACACCAGTCCATAAATAGAAAATACATGCAAAATAATTAATACCGGTGACCTAGCCCAAACCGTAATAACACTTGTTATTGGCCCGTAAAATTAAGTAACTGTGCAGTTGTCAGGTTAGTAGAAGTAATACCCTGTATCATATATATTTTGAAACAGTTTATAGTCAGGTTAGTAGAAGTAGTACTCTGTATCATATATATTTTGAAACAGTTTATAGTCAGGTTAGTGGAGGTAGTACCCAGTAACAGATATATTTTGAAACAGTTTATAGTCAGGTAAATTAGAGCAATTCTGTTAGCATTTATATTGTGAAAATGTTTATAGTCAAGCCAGTGGAGTTTTTCAGTGACACTTCTGGTTGTATTTACTTCTCAGTAATATTGCTGTGACCTTTACATGTATTCAGGTCAAAAGATATTCTCTCTTCTGATGACAACTTGATCTGTGACTATAGTTTAATTTAGTTGTATTCCTGTGCTGTACCTAATCCAATCTTTGCAGTATACCTGGTAGTGAGGGGGAAGGATAGGTGAATGATTTGAAAAACTTGGATAAAAAAGTATTGAATAATGATTTAAGTACTTTATTTTTGGGACAAATGGACAAGAACCGTTACAATAATACACACAGTATTTTACACTTAACATAGGAATTATGATGACAGTATGTAGTAGTAAATAAACTGTTGATTGATTTCAGTGTGATAACGCAACAACTCTGAAGCCAAGAACGACCATTAATGGACCTTGTGCAGAGAAATGTGGCATCTTTGCTGACCAGAACTCTAACACAACGTTAGCATCAAGAGAAGGCTGTCGTGGAGGGCAGAATTTAGATCGACCATTACGTAGTGAGAGTCAGAACAGTGATTTCGGGTACTCCTCTGACGTAGAAGGATGTGAGAACTGTAGTGCTCCTAGTTCCAACAGTTCAGATATCCTTTGTTCTGATGGTGTCTGCAGTAGTCAGGACGGTAAGTATCACTGTATTTTATTTACAATCATTGATCTGTTTAAGTTATGAAGGAGTCTGTTCTAAGTGTAACCATGATTTACAATAAGATGCCAATAGTTTTACTCAGTTCACTTGAAAGGAATCAGATAGAGAAATGTTTACTACTTGCTGAATAATGGCCTCTCTTTATTCTTTCATTTAAGAATTAGTGTTTCCTTTTCCTAATTAATCATACTTAGGGAAAGAATTTTTGACTGGTTTACACCTAAGAAGTGGATTTGTGAGGATTTGGATATAATTTCTACAGTGCTATGATAGATCAATAAAATTGTGGTTTAAACAAGGTACTAAATGGTACAGTTACATCTGGCTGGGATGATTGATTCAGTACACGCATGCAATGCATTTGTATGGCTAAATCTTGACATTGTTGCTAACCTATCCTCTCTTTATAAGTACTGCTGACAAGGTTCACTAAAAATATTGAATATTGCTGGTTAATTTTATGGAACAATAACTATCTGTCTTGATCAACATATTCATATTATCCATCAGAACAACTCTATGTATCGACATATGTTGTGTGTGGTTGTTCTTCTATATTATAAAGTATTAACAACCCAATTAAAGGTCTGATAAAGAATGAAACTCTCAGCAGTGATATACTAATTTGGCTGGATTTTCTGCTCCGGCGTGTCAGCTCAGAGTTGCTGCGATTTACAGGTTATATGAAGTAGTTTGTAGTTTATTTTGATTATGTATTTACCAGGTGGCGATAGTGTGTGTAGTTCCTCCACTGATGGGTTAGATACGTGTAGCAACTGTTTGTCTCAGGTCTCCCCCAACAAGCAAAACAGTCACCGAAGTAAACACAAAGTAAGTACTCTCTCATCAACACAGAGTTTACATATCATATATATGCTGTTTGAAGTGTTGTAAGCAGTTTACTCAATATTCATAATGATTGATCAGTGTTTTAAAATGGCTTTTTTGTTACATCAGTAAGATTGGTGAGTTTTCATTTCTTCATCTTATATTGGACTGTAAATCTTAATAAAAAATTATTGAACATGTATGTTGGAATATAAAATTATTGAACATGTGGGATCTAACTTGAAATTCTAAAAATATTTCATGTTTCTCTCCTTAACAGTGTGATATTCTCCAGACATCCGAAAGTTGTAGCAGTGCCAACTCCAGTCCTCTCCAACAAAACATGACCCTAAGTCTCCTAGACATGTTAGAGGTCAGTAAACAACATTTACTAGATAGTTACACTAATAAAATGTGACCTTGAGTATTCTTATACTCACTATATAAAATGTGACTTCTAGATCTTCTAGATCCAATGTTGAAAATGTGACCTTGTGTCTCCTAGATCCACTGTACAAAGTGACCTTTAGTCTCCTAGATCCCTGTACAAAATGTGACCTTGAGTCACCTAGATCTGCTGTACAAAGTGACCTTGAGTCTCCTTGTTCCAATGTACAAAATGTGACCTTGATTCTCCTAGATCCGCTGTACAAAATGTGACATTAAGTCTTCTAGATCCACTGTACAAAATGTGACATTGAGTCTCCTAGATCCGCTGTACAAAATGTGGCTTGAGTCTCCTAGATCAACTGTACAAAATGTGACCTTTGAGTCTCCTACTTCCACTGTACAAAATATGACCACAAGTCTGCTAAATCCACTTTAATAAACAATGTGACCTTAGATCTGGATCCGCTGTACAAAATATAACCTTGAATCTTTCAGATGATAGAGTATATAGAATACAAACTGTAGTTTCTATTTGAAAAATGTAATATGAGCCTCCTTGAAACGTTAGAAATCACTAATTAGGACATAAACACTTTCACCTAATGAAATATGACTAATTTTCTTCAATACATTGGCCATCTGTTTTACAAAGACCTATCATGCATTTTATGACCTCATGCACCTTGTATAAAAAATCTTGACCTGAGATTTCTTGACATCCTGAATTTTCATTGAATAATTCATTTAAAATACTTCAATGTGTTTCCACAGGCGCCTTGTTCTTCAGAGGATGATGACTTTATAACGGAGGAAGAAATAAAGCACTTCAAAGCCAATAAGAAGAAAATTTTAGAAAAACGACAAGAACTGCGAGAGGACTTACGAAAGAAATTCAACACTAAGTTTCAACAGCAGGGAGCAGATGGCCAGCAGTCTTGGAAGGAAAACCTGGACAATATGGTTCAAAAGATGTGTAAAATGTGACGGAGAACCAGAAAATTTGGCATGTTCTATGTTAAACAAGTGTATTTATGAAGGACTTGGGATGGTGTCAGATGTAAAATTTATTTGTCTGTTAGATTCTGGCAGGGATTGTGAAATTTCCACCACTTGTCTAGGTTAGGCTCCAATGGATCTGTCAGGCATTATGATCATTCTACCAATTGTCTAGGTAAGGCTCCAATGGTTCTGCCATGGTTTATGATAATTCTACCACTTGTCTAGGTAAGGCTCCAATGGTTCTGTCAGGGATTATGATCATTCTACTACTTGTCTAGGTAAGGCTCCAATGGTTCTGTCAGGGATTGTGATAATTCTACCACTTGTCTAGGTAAGGCTCCAATGGTTCTGTCCGGGATTGTGATAATTCTACCACTTGTCTAGGTAAGGCTCCAATGGTTCTGTCAGGGATTGTGATAATTCTACCACTTGTCTAGGTAAGGCTCCAATGGTTCTGTCAGTGATTATGATAATTCTACCACTTGTCTAGGTAAGGCTCCAATGGTTCTGTCAGGGATTGTGATAATTCTACCACTTGTCTAGGTAAGGCTCCAATGGTTCTGTCAGGGATTGTGATAATTCTACCACTTGTCTAGGTAAGGCTCCAATGGTTCTGTCAGGGATTGTGATAATTCTACCACTTGTCAAGGTAAGGCTCCAATGGTTCTGTCAGGGATTGTGATAATTCTACCACTTGTCTAGGTAAGGCTCCAATGGTTCTGTCAGTGATTATGATAATTCTACCACTTGTCTAGGTAAGGCTCCAATGGTTCTGTCAGGGATTGTGATAATTCTACCACTTGTCTAGGTAAGGCTCCAATGGTTCTGTCAGGGATTGTGATAATTCTACCACTTGTCTAGGTAAGGCTCCAATGGTTCTGTCAATGATTATGATAATTCTACCACTTGTCTAGGTAAGGCTCCAATGGTTCTGTCAATGATTATGATAATTCTACCACTTGTCTAGGTAAGGCTCCAATGGTTCTGTCAGGGATTGTGATAATTCTACCACTTGTCTAGGTAAGGCTCCAATGGTTCTGTCAATGATTATGATAATTCTACCACTTGTCTAGGTAAGGCTCCAATGGTTCTGTCAGGGATTGTGATAATTCTACCACTTGTCTAGGTAAGGCTCCAATGGTTCTGTCAGTGATTATGATAATTCTACCACTTGTCTAGGTAAGGCTCCAATGGTTCTGTCCGGGATTGTGATAATTCTACCACTTGTCTAGGTTAGGCTCCAATGGTTCTGTCCGGGATTGTGATAATTCAACCACTTGTCTAGGTAAGGCTCCAATGGTTCTGTCCGGGATTGTGATAATTCCACACTTCTGATGAGAAGAATTCAGAGACTAGGTAAAGGATGGAGTTGGATTCTTGACCTACTAGATGAGATAAGTATCCTATAAGTCTGTCGTTGTGTTACTACCCCTGTTGCATTGAAAGTTTCAAACAACTTGGAAGGGGATTAATTTGTTTCCTCCAAAGATAGGCTCCTATGATAATCATTGTTGGGGATTGTGTTCGTACCTTCAAGTCCCTGAATAGATTAGACCTGCTGAAATTTCCTTCACATATCTGTATTACAATTTCTTTTCTACATTTAAGCTGGCCTTTGGGACAATATAATTATGTTGTTTCTTAGCAACCGTGTCTATTTATTAGTTTTTAGGTTTCATTTTTTTAGTGAAGTGATAGAAATAGAGGATGTACTTATGTTGAACAATCCACTTTTAATTGATAAGAGATGACTGTCACAGTCTTTAACAGGACACTTTATTAATGTTGAATATCCTCTTTTGCACTGCGTGATTTGCAGCCATGATAAGATGGTTGGGTCTGAGTTTGTATAAGTTGTCCTAATCTAAATACATCATCTGTGGTATACAGCTAGCTATTCTACATACGGTGTTATCAAGATGTTAAAAATTCTGAAGAAATGTATTTAGACTGAATGGCTGGGAGCCTAACATAGAAAAGTGGTGCCAGTAAGTGAAAGTTTTGTTGCAAACAATGTCCATCATGACAGGGATTCTTGTCAGTTGATGAGGTGTAGATCACTTTAACTGGAATCATTCAAAATTTACAAATAAAGTTTCCAATGAGAGCTATTGTAAAGCTATATTACAGTTGTACTGTTTATGTGTATAACAGTGTCATACAGCAAACATTGTGTAGACATGATACTGTGTCAGGTGACCATGTTATTAGATATGTATTTGGGTGACAACAGGTATAGGAGACGGCCTATCAAACATTGTCTCTTTTTTCTATTGTCTTTTTTAAAATTCTCTACTTAATTTCTGGCTTGCCTTCAGAACAGACTTGACGTGTAAGTCATGAGATATGTATGTCACTTCCCATTTAAGAAACTTTCCGTCATTCTAGACATAATACAGCTGAGAAACTTGTCATATAGGTAAATACATATACATGTATTGATGTCAAATTCTCTTCGCTTTATTTAAGATTTTTATTTGAATTATACATGTATGTATAGTTATAAACATGTTGGATCATTTTGTTTAAAATGATGCTTGTCAAATATGTTTTAAGTAAATATCCCCTGGACTCCAATAAATGAAGTCTGAGGCTTCATCGGTGTAATTCAGTTGAACCGCTTCTTGTGGTCTGGAGTTATTCCACTATACACAAACACACATGTACCGCATGTTGGACCTCATGAATATAAAGCTCAAGATGCACAGTTTCAGAAATTCCTGTCAAGCATAAATCAATTAATGATAAGTTAAGACACCAACCATTTCACACATACTTTATAGCACAATGCTCCCGGAAATATGTAAGTGGACTCTACTATTTTTTCTGAAATTATGAAAACTAATGATATTCAGCAAGCTAGTTTCGGACAGGTTTACGCACCTACACAGCCAATTATTCACACAATAAAATAGTCCCTCGATGGGATTAGATAACAGATTAGTATCAGATCGGGTAGAGTAAATATGTTTGGAGTAATTACAGTGTGGTTGTTAGTGGAATATGCTTCAGTAATGAAATTTAATGACATGGGCACATTTACTTTTTTAGGTAAGATTGGGCAAGGGGGATTGGGGGAACCTGTATCCATATATCTTAATGCTTATGGACTACCCAGACAGAATTTACTGATTAGAAGTGTACAAAGAAAAGATTAAAAGATTCTTTGATGGTTTTTATAAGATCCAAAATGGTATCTGCAAAACTGATTATTTCTGTGGTCTTCTTTGGGTTTTTTTTTCATGAAATTTATTTGACTATAATGGTCACACAAAATATCAAAGAAATAAGCAAATATCTATGTTTATCAGAACTGATGTTGGAAAGTCCTTCATTGGTTGAGGTTTGGAGTCAATCATTCCTTACTAGAAAAAGCATGACTGAGGCCAAGAATGTAGTAAATATTTTGTTTTTTTTTTCACTGGGGAAAGAATTGAGTTTGGTGTAAAGTGCTATGTTTTCAAACATGAAATCAATTAAAAAGGAAACTTCTCAGTTTTTTTTTTGTAGATTTTGGCAGTGACACTATTGTGTATGTGTGATTCTCTTGAAACTTGCTACATATTATTATGAACCTTGCACTTGTGCAGCTCAAAAACACTTGCTGTAAATTTTAAATGATACATTTTAGAATTCTGAATGTGCTTCTCATTGAAAAATAAATTACTGGTAAAATATAAGAAATGTGCTTACTAGGAAGATAAAGCAAATTTCTGACTTTTTGTTTTGTTTTTTAAGTAAAACAATATTTTGAAAGTAAAAACTTACAAATATATGAATTGGGCTTTTTCACTTGTGAACATCTTTGAGCATCATTATGGCCAAGAATTTTTCTTTTTCTGTAAAGTGAGATAATAAATAAAATGTTTTTCTTAATTTTATTTGTTGAAAAATTTATTTGTATATTTCAGGTAAGCTGAACCTGTATAAGCATAGCATGCTGGTTTAAGTTGTTAAATAAATTCATGGTCTGGTCCAACTTTTTTTTCTTTTAATGTTTCTGTCAACTTTTATGCATATTGTTGCCGTCGTTTATTTGTTGGTATCTTGTGATTGTCTATGCTACACAAGAATCCATATATCATTCCTCACTGTAGATCCATCTATCGACCTGTCTAAACAGCTGAAGACCGTTGGTGTGTAAGATGGCTTCTATAACTGGATATACTGGTATTTAGTGTCTTGTGTCAGTGTGACCAACATGTTTTTGTTGATTCTTGTTGATTTGCCTTTTCAGGAGCAGTGGAAATGGAGAGATTGTTACGTGGTACATTAAAATACGTACTTGAGTATACCTGGATGCTACAATCCACCGTCACCCGGTGGCGGGATTTCTATTTATAACTACTACTTTATTTAAGACAAGGGAAAGTGTCTTTGTGACTTTTGTAACAAATATTGAAATGAATTTTTGGCAGGTGGAGTGGTGTTAGAATGATCTGCCAAATAAAGTCTGCTATATTTTATGGTTTTGGTGTCCTTGTTGTTTGTTATCCTCACAGATATCATCACATGATCATTAAATCTTGGCTAATGTCAAGATATATCGGACTTGACTGTGTGTACTATCCAGGTGTAGCAGATATTGACAGTGTGAACACCAAAGACATGTCTCAAACATATCAGACTTGAGTGTGTACTATCCAGGTGTAGCAGATATTGACAGTGTGAACACCAAAGACATGTCTCAAACATATCGGACTTGACTGTGTGTACTGTCCAGGTGTAGCAGATATTGACAGTGTGAACACCAAAGACATGTCTCAAACATATCAGACTTGACAGTGTGTACTATCCAGATGTAGCAGATAATGACTGTGTGAACACCAAAAACATGTCTCAAACATATCAGATTTCACAGTGTGTACTATCCAGATGTAGCAGATATTGACAGTGTGAACACCAAAGACATGTCTCAAACATATCGGACTTGACAGTGTGTACTATCCAGATGTAGCGGATATTGACAGCGTGAACACCAAAGACGTGTCTCAAACATATCGGACTTGACAGTGTGTACTATCCAGATGTAGCAGATATTGACAGTGTGAACACCAAAGACATGTCTCAAACATATCGGACTTGACAGTGTGTACTATCCAGATATACAATTACTGCAGACGTGGTATTAGTTCTTGACTTGTAGCAAGTACATAAAAGCTAACAATAGAGTGAGCTACTCTGACATCAGATCTTAATGACGTGTACTACAGGGGAAATATATATTGGCAGTTTGTTCTGCACTGAAATGTTAGATTTTGACAATCACACTAGTACTCTTGGTAGATACGGGATAGGAGAATACCAAATATGTCTGTTTAATTACATATAACAAGGACCATTGTATTTGACCTACATATGCTTCGATTTGATCTGTTAAATATGAGGTATACCACGACAAAGGATTTGTCAAAATTCAAAACCAATGGAAGTGCATCAGCTTACGTAATATGTTTCTTGACAATGGTCACAGTATGCATCAACCACAAACCTAGCACTGACAGTGTTGGTCAATGATTTGGGTCTTAATCTTTAGTTAATATGGGCCAAAAAGGTAAGAATATGCTTACAGTAGTTTATACTGCAAAGAAATAACTATCAGTGTCATGATAGCTATAGGTAACACTTCCTTGTACTTTCAGATATGTCAAAATAAATTCAGAACAATCTTCAGTATCTACAATTTATTTCATATTCTTAGTATCTATGTACAATAAATATGCATGTTATTTATCAATATGAAAATAAGACATTATCTATCATGAAAGATGTCTTACAGATTCTCTGTAACCAGCAGGCACCCACGGCCACAATCTAAGCACTAGACTAGCTATATGTTAAGAGTATGGCTTTCGGACGGAGACAACTTAAAAAAAAAAAGACCCCAAAAAAAAAAAAAAAAATGAAGAAGAAACTGCTCTCACATATGACCAAAGTCTTGAACAAATGACATGGTTTTGAACATGGATTCTTGTACTATGGTGTATGTTGTTAAAGCCTGTACGATAAGTGTTCCTCTTTTATTTCTAAGACTTGCATTCCCTACAAACGGCACAATTTTTGAGAAAATTCTATGGTTATTGTAGATGATGTTCCTTACAGCTATTTTTAGAATAACACTTTTTAGAGAAAAACTTCTGGTCATAACTCCTGCCTCAATAACATTGAAAACATAAAAGGAATGTAAGGATTATCCACTGAGAAATGCTTAATAATCAAATTCACCAAATTATTTTTGAAATACAAGCTGTTTGCAAAATGTGACAGAAAACAAATGAACTACAAAATGTCGAAATTCAGAAAATTTTAAATAAATAATGAAGATTATGTTGCTGAATTCTATTTCGTGTAAAATTTCTACTTTCATTACATGTTGTTGAGGCCTGTGTTGTACAATGAATGTTTGTCACTTCTTCTAAATACATGTATCTTCAAATGTTAAAAACTAAATGTGTGTGTTAGATATTAGGAACAGTACACAAAACTTGAAATACTTCCCAGGCAAAAATTTGATCTACAGGTTTAAACATGGGAAGTGTTGTTTGGTAATAAATTGAAAAAGAACTTACTGTACTTGAATATTGACAAATAACTAGAATCAAACAGGTTCCTACTCACACACGTTATAACTAGATTATGATTCAATCTGTTGTATGTAATCATCAAATACATATCAGATCTTTTCAATGTCGTAACTTTCACCGAATCAGACTCATAGAAAATTCAAGGAGCATCATTTTAGATATTTTGACACTCATTACACATTGTGTACATAATATCGTCATGGCTACTCCACTAATTATGTTCCAGACAGTTAGAGATGTGACATTCCAAAGTGGACTGAGCTTATCATAAGTTGAACATATAACATTCATTCGTGACCCTACACTGACAATACATTTGTACATGAAACTACATCATTGTAATTGGATATGTTTATTATAGATAGATATCTTGAGATCTTTTAGTAGTAATACATATATTTTAGAGAAAAATTGAATAGTTTTAGAACAATATCTACTTCGACCCTTGATCTGTTAACATTCTTGTCAGATCAGTTCATAAAAGAGAAACAAGTCATTCAACTTGTTTACAACAAGAGGCTGAAATGCTGCCACAGTTCCAAAACCGATTGGTTTCTTGTTGTTGAGACTAGAGGAGCACTCAGGTTTGTTGTAAAGTGTTCAAAATGTCAACAGGAGAAAGTGTTTCTCTGGCTCTTCCTATCATATCCTGTACTTGTATCACAAAGACTAGCTCCATGCCTGTCTTCTTCCATGTTGCTGTAAGAACAGAGCTTCGTGAGAAACAAGTTTTGAAATAAATGAAGATAAGAGAATTTGATCATTTTGTAATGTTGACAGAATCTTAAATAGATGACAGTATATCTATCAGTTAATAATAAAATTATCACTTTTATAACATCATGATGCTCTGATTCAACAGATCAAACTGAAGACAAATTCTGACTTTTTTGTATATATATATGACTTAACTTTACAAAGTACCACAGATAATCAATATAGGGAATAATCACATTAAATTCCAAGTCAAATTCATTCCTTGTATCAATATACTACAAAAGCATTAATTTCTTTGTTTTTAAATCATTGCTCTGCCATTCGTATATTTTTCTGCTGGCAATGCTATCATAATTTCTTGATGTTACAAAATGTTGGTACAAGCCCAAATGATTATTGTCATACTGGTATAAAATTTGTTATTTACAATAATCATTATTATTTTCATGATATTTTATGGTGATATGAGTCGAGGATGAACATGACTGTCAGGATAAGGTGAATCAGTACATGCTGACTATCAATATATTGTATATACACAAATTTAAATCTATTGACCATAGTCATACACTAACAGTTGAATTAAATGATTTTCTTTTTATATGAAGAAAAAAATATGATGCTGTAATGATATGTAGAACATATGAATACCTTGAGTACATGAGTCTTTTAAGAAATTCTGTTTACAAAGTAAAATTAACATTTTTTTCTTGTGCTCATCATAATAAGACATAACAGAGTTGTTAACTAAAATGACAAAATCCTTTGTAAAAATTAACCTACCCTAGGTGTAGGTCCTCGGATCCTCATGCGCTCTGTTTCCTGTCTCAAAAATTCAGTGTACTCCTGATTCTCTGCCTGTTCACGAATGGCTTCTGCCTCCTCTTGTTGTCTTGCAATCTCCTCACGTTCTTTCCGTGAAAACATCTGTCAAAACATACAGAATGTTTCAATATCAAATGATTTATTGATAGAAGGACTATCATAAGTCAATACAATCTAATCGTCACATTCATGTGCTACCGAATTTGTTACAACCAAACTGAGGATGTCTTTTCAAATATTTTAATCATATGTCTTGTGTAATTCACTTACTGTAAACTATTAAATATATACCAGACCAGAAGTAAGAATTTCAATCCATAAACCTGATATAAGTTTGTAATACAGAGAAGCTTAGTCCCTTATGACCATATTAACACAACATGTATTTAATTCTTTTTTGTTCTTCCTACACAACTGTGAATGTAGTTAGTGACAATAAAACAATTAAACAACAAATATAAATGCTCACCTGTTCTTTTAGATCCAATTTGAAAGCTTCCTTTTGAGCCTCAGCTTGTTTTTGCTCTCTGTGTGTCATTTGATTGGCTACTTCCATCTCGCGTAGTAATTGTTCCCGGTGTTTTAGTGATAGTTCCTGCTGCTCTCGATTCTCCTCAATCCTCAGCTCAATCTGCTGTTGTCGATCATCTAACACCTATTGGAGGAACAGAGCACCAGAATTATAAACCAGAAAATTAGCTACATCAGATTCCTCCCGATGTTGTCAGTCATCAGCATTAACATGGATCATATTTACAGATCATCCATTATATTAAACAGTGACCCACATTCTAAATATACTGACTTAACTTTCCTTTGTTACATAAACATTGTTACTGCATAATGTGCACAATTTGTGAACAGTCACCGATTCTAAACTTATTTCACAAAAAGATCTTATCTACAGTGATTGCTGACTTAAAAAAATTATCTCACTGACTCTCAATTGATGTCCCTGACTCTAAAACGATGTCCCTGACTCTAAAAGAATTATCTCACTGACTCTAAAACGATGTCCCTGACTCTAAAAAAATTATCTCCCTGACTCTAAAACGATGTCCCTGACTCTAAAAAAATTATCTCCCTGACTCTAAAACGATGTCCCTGACTCTAAAAACATTATCTCACTGACTCTAAAACGATGTCCCTGACTCTAAAAACATTATCTCACTGACTCTAAAACGATGTCCCTGACTCTAAAAGAATTATCTCACTGACTCTAAAACGATGTCCCAGACTCTAAAAGAATTATCTCACTGACTCTAAAACGATGTCCCTGACTCTAAAAAAATTATCTCACTGACTCTAAAACGATGTCCCTGACTCTAAAAAAATTATCTGACTCTAAAACGATGTCCCTGACTCTAAAAACATTATCTCACTGACTCTAAAACGATGTCCCTGACTCTAAAAGAATTATCTCACTGACTCTAAAACGATGTCCCTGACTCTACAATGAAGTCATAACTATATAATACTTATATATAATAATGTTTTGACCCTGAAATAACATAACTGACTCTAAACTTACCTCCTGCATGAGTCGTTCTCTTGCTTTCTTCTCACGTTCCCATTCTGCGTCCCGTTTCTGCCACATACGTGCTGCCTCGTCTCTGAAAAAAACCCACATAATTGATATGTTAATCAATTTAATTAAATTAAACAGCTGATCGATAAAATTTCTTCAGACACTCTTTCACAATAATATGACTTGAAATCAAAAATTGCCCGACAGTTGTTTTATAACAGAGCAATAAATGATATAGTGGTGATAAGGTGGTACTGTGGTAATACACTTACCTACTCCAACACATGGGTTTGTCCTCCCACAGACCAACAACAGTGATTAATACAAGTTTATAATTTGTTTTGCAATATTGTTGTAAAATAAATAAAGTTTATATTTAAATGAAATACAGATGACAATATGTCCATGCCATCAACATGACTGACACTATTTTAGAAGTACTTACTGGTATAACATCTCTAGTTCAGCTTCTCTGGTTTTTTCCAGTCTGATCTGGTCTTCTATCACCTACATAATGATACAATGTCACACATCACTCACATTGACTCTGACTTTGTAATGTGTACAATTATTGGTGATTTTGAAATACAGTTAAAAATAAGTTGAAGTTTAAGTTTATTTTTTTTTGCGGGGTTTACCATCCCATCAACAGTCAGGGTCACCTCCATTTTAGTATATTACAACACTAACAATTCAATGTGATATACTACTCTTCTTTGGCTTTCTACCCAAGGAATGGCACACAAACCTGTCTCATCCATTCTGCATCTGCTTTAGCCTTTTCACGTCGTGCAGTCTGGATGTGTTCTAACTCGTGCTCCTGTTCTATCAGTGAGTTCAAGATCTTCTTATCAAGTTCCTAAAGGTGAAGATGAACATCTATTTTAAAATACACAGAAATCTTCTTATCGTAAAAATTTTCATGGTTTTAAAAAAACTCACTATTTTGTGACATCTGATTTGAGGATAATTATAGTCCCATAACTATCCTTAAACTAATTAATTATAGTAGTTCATTGACAAATGAATTCGTGGATTAAGAACACCCATAAAATTAACGAAAATAAATCTCCCATAAAAATAAATGATTTCACAGTAGGCTCCCCCTTTGTTTTTTCCTCATTCTACTCCATGTGAACGATTAGTTGACACATTTTCTTCAGTAACCAAATGTAACTCATCATTTCAAATAATAAATTATATTGATCCACAGCAAAATTCAACTTAATAACAGCTTATGTGAATCTGCTTTTATTTACACTACATACCAACTCAGCTTGAATTTGTTTTGATCGGCGCATCATTTGAGTTTTGTGTTGTCGTAGCAGCACACGCCTGAAATCGAAAGTATTAGAAACATGTGTTTTGTAAATTGTAAAACTAAAGTCTGATATTGTTCAAACAGCGGTGATTTTACCCAGAAATATTCACCTAGCTTAATGGTTAAATTTGTGTGAGTTTCATTACACATGATTTTTTTTTAAAATGGAAGATTTTCCCATTTGTAAAAAATCATTGAGTATGTAAAAAGCCTACAAGGCCAAAAATAAAATAAAGCCAGTTCTACCTGATAAAAAATCACCTACCCATGCTTCCTCTACTATCAAGTCACCTTTACTCCCCACAAAGACCACCTACCCATGCTTTCTCTGCTATCAAGTCACCTTTATTCCCCACAAAGACCACCTACCCATGCTTTCTCTGCTATCAAGTCGCCTTTATTCCCCACAAAGACCACCTACCCATGCTTTCTCTGCTATCAAGTCACCTTTATTCCCCACAAAGACCACCTACCCATGCTTCCTCTGCTATCAAGTCACCTTTACTCCCCACAAAGACCACCTACCCATGCTTCCTCTACTATCAAGTCACCTTTACTCCCCACAAAGACCACCTACCCATGCTTCCTCTACTATCAAGTCATCTTTACTCTCATCAAGGTCTCCTTCCCATGGTTTTCTACTCAAGATTTCTCTGCTATCAAGTCAACTTTAATCTCCACATAATCAACTTCCCATGTTCCCGATGCTGACAAACCATCTTTACTCCATTTAAAATCACCTACCCATGCTCCCTCTGCTGACGAGCCAATTCTACTCTCCTTCTCTCTTCGTCAATCCTTGCTAGCCTCCACTGCTCCTGCTGTAACTCTTCTTCCTGTTTCTTTAAGTTGTCAGCCTGAAATAATTATTTTGGTTATGAGCATGAATAGTATACAATGTCTTTTCGTTGAAAATAAACACATTGCATGACTTAACATCACAATGGCTACATGACTTATAAGGTTTGATTTACAAGACTTGAATTCTTATGTTGAGTATGTGTAACAATATACTGTTAATGTTGTTACAAAGATACCAGAGGTAAACAGAGTACAAGTACACTTGCCTTGTGAAGTTTCAACACTTGTAGATAAACAATAGTTAGAACTATACAAATCCATTATGGCTAAATATCTATACATAATTCCTGCATCCAATCTTAACTTCTGTAACTATGCAGAATGATTTTTTCATGATTTTCTCAATTCACTAGTAACTTTTTATAAACACAAAATGAAAATGTCGGTGTAAATGACCTTAAAGCTCATTTCCTGCTGAAGTCATTTCATTACCCCAGACCTTCTACTTCCTCCTGAGGAAGTGGTGAAATTTAGATTGTACAAGAATAAATATAGAGTTTATGCATATATATAGCCCCATTATATCCCTAGGGACCATCCTGAGCTCTACATACCTCAAATTCTCTATCTTTAAGTTCATCCATCTGTTCTTTGAGTATACGTTTCAAACGTTTTTCTTCATCCAATTTCTCTTCTTCTTTCTTTCTATCTGAATCTATGCCTGCTAGTCGTTCTTCTTCCATTTCAAGTTCTATCCGTTCTATTTCTTTCTTTTCTTGTTCTTTCCTCTGTGAGATGGAAAGCAGAAATTTTCATTGATACATGTATCAACATATTTTGTTCTACTCCTTGATAATCAGAAGGGAAACAAATATGAAAGGCAGGATTGAATAATACCTCTGAGATCACTCATGTTCATCCCTATAAATGATCAAGGGAACAGCTGATCCTAAGGTAAACACTGGCTAACCTTTACCAGTAGTAAACTGAGTGCATGAAATATTTAAACAAGATTAGCAAGGGAAAGTCTACACGTGATTATAAGAGTTTCAGATATCAGAAGCTGAACAACAGAATATAACAGGGCCCCAGGAAATCCTCTGTTTGGTTACACAGAGTCTATATGTGGACCCTGTGGAATCTTCTGTTTGGTTACACAGAGTCTATATGAGGACCCTGTAGAATCTTCTGTTTGGTTACACAGAGTCTATATAAGGACCCTGTAGAATCTTCTGTTTGGTTACACAGAGTCTATATAAGGACCCTGTAGAATCTTCTGTTTGGTTACACAGAGTCTATATAAGGACCCTGTGGAATCTTCTGTTTGGTTACACAGAGTCTATATGAGGACCCTGTAGAATCTTCCACTTACTGATAGTCAACATGAAGGTCCTTGGGTCCCATTCAGGAAAATTACCTTTTTTCATGCTGATAAAAAGTATTATTAGTCCAGAGCTCCAAATAAACTAAGCACTAGTTCAAAGATAAATTTTTGCAAGTATATCACTCTTTATGAACTTAATATGTGCTGTATAAAAGACCAATGAAAATTCATGGTATAGTCCTTTCTTATAGATTCCAATTCATTAAAACTTACTCACAAATCTGGGCAAAAATTTCTAAATATACTCACAGCTTTAGTTTCATCCACCTGCCCCGCCCAGCTGCCGACCACTTTGTCTTTCACCAGTTCCTGCTCCACCTATACAGAGATCAATGCTTCTTAACTCTTGACTTTTACAGCAGAGTGAAACCTGCTTCCTGAATAAACTATTCCTATCCTTATCAATGTCAGGTATATTACAATAATTCTTCATCATTTAATAAAACAATACTATCTGTTAATTTATAATTTATGTATAAGAGTTTTAGTCTCCATATGTGCCTGTTCACAACTGAAATAGAAGTATGAGTTTCAATGAGTGTCGGTTTTACCTGTCTCAGATCAGGATTGTTCTGTCTCCAGTGTTCATACAGTTTTTCTTCTGCCAACTGTTAAAAAAATAAAACAAAAAAATATTAACTTTGTTACTCAATTTCTAATATAATATCTACCAGTAATTATAAACTGGAATCAGTTCTACATTTTCTTTCATATCCTTTTTTTCTGTGATATATTTTGCTTAATTAACAATTTCTTCAAAATACATTATAAAAATTTAGTATAATACAGTAAGCTACAATATTTTAGTTCCAACATATTATTACCCCTTTCCGTTTCTCCTCTCTAGCACTGCGTAGAGCATCTGCTCTTCCTCTCATATCTTCTAGGCGTGTGTAGTTAGCTTTGGAGTACCCTTTCATCTCAGCCTGGAGATACAAACAATAGACTGTTATCACCTATAAGTTTATACATATAGTAATGATCATACAGCAACATTGAATTAAAAAAGATGGCATTCATCCCAGGGGTAAATCTAAACCTATGCAACTACCAAAAAAGGCAGTATTCCCAAGTATGTTTTCCCCTTTAAATAAGGACTAATTCCCGTTAAGTAAATGCAAAATATAAAAAATGGGGTTCGCAAAGGGTGTGTGGTTTGATATATCTCAAGAAATGTTGTAATAAAATCTTTGAAAATCATGCCAGCATAAAATCAAATCTATTCACAATGCTTTTGGATCTTTTTAACCCAAATAAGTGTCATGCAATCTATATTTCATCCCCCTATATTCATTGTCTAAAATTTTCCATTTTTTTTTCAAAAGGTCCATCCTACAATCTCCCATTTTTCTTAATGAGTAGTATTACTGGTACCTAAATTGAAGATTAACCCCTACATCGGAATTTTTCAAACTAAACTGGAACTGCATTCTTTCAATATGTTAATGTTTTTTTGTAATTGAACAAATCATGTTTTGCCTTTTACGTCTGTCAAATCTAACAATTTCTGTACCAAGTAGCTAATATATAGAAAACTAACATTGTTTTACCTCAAATTCATGTCGTTCTTGTTTCAGCATGTCAGCCAGCAACAATCTGCGACGTTGTAAGTTGATAGCCTTCAGATTCTTTTCATTGTCTGCTTTATACTTCTCTAGGCTAAAATTCAATGGAACCTCAACAATCATTAATATGTCTACAGCCTTGCCTATTAATTACCTTTTGATAGAACATTAAAATATCAACCATTTCCTCTTCTTAATTGTAAGTAATTTACAGTAACCATTTTATTGAGTGAAGTTTCTGACTTGATTTGTATTTTTGCAGAGACTTCACATTTGTTGTTGCTGTGAACTTACTTCCAAAGACTTAATTTCAAGTAGAAGAATAGATCTGATGGAAGTATATTCACTTTACATTTTGAATATAAGAAATCTCTGTCATGAAATACTATATTCTGCTATTATTACTTCAGATGAACCTGTCTTATAAAACACTTGATGGGACTGAGAAAAATACGTCTCAGTACACAGGGTGTCTTAGTACACAGGTCAAGGTATTGGAACCAACACAAAAAAGATGGATGAATTATTTTAGCTCATAATGTATATTTCATATTTTAATAAAAATCTCTCAAAACATATCAGATGTATAATATTGTTAAAGACATGCTTGTTCAAAACTACATTTAAGGAAAGTTTCTAGTATTCCGTTCATATAAAATCTAGTTTTACAATATCATAAACAATTTATTGGTTAAATGCTCTTTAGCACAACATTACCTTCCACGCAGAGATGCGTCTGATTCCCAGGAATTCTGCTTGTTTGTTGCCACATTTGATCTGTTCCAATATTCTGCGTCTTTGCTCCATCGTTCGTGGAAGTCACTTTGATGGTTACGTTGTTTAATGATAGCCTGTTCATACACGTTTTTTCTGGAAGTCCAGTAGCGTGGCATTGTTGGTAGTGCCATCTGTTCCAAAGAAAACATATCACAGTTATTATTTGCAACAAAATGGATACAGTCAAGTAAACTCTTGTCATATTAGAATCATAACTGATACTGGACATGCAGTCTATTCTATAATATAAAAAAAACTTTGGATACAGTATAAACTACATAAAAACTGTCATCTCTATAATATATAAAAACACATTCTAATGATAATTTTATCAACATAAAATATATTTTTTTCGGTTTAAATTCTTATGGAAATATAGTGGACAGAGATTTGATTCCTTTAAGTCTACCATTCGCTGTGTATAGGTATATGTGGTACACGTACTGATGTATTGATCTTTGAAGTGTATGTATTGTAAGAATCATACACTTGTCCGAATTTCCTTTGGCGACAAACGTACACTTTTTGGTAAACAACGAAAGCCTTAACAGTAAAAGAGTTTTCCTTGTCCGAAAGACAGATTGTCAGTGCATTTCTGATTTGAGACACAGTACACCATCAACACTACATGCTGCTAACCGTGTAACTGGTGTTTAGGTCAGAAAGAACTTGCACAGTAAAAATATTTCCAAACAATGATAAATATATGAAGTTAATATCAAAGTAGGGTTAACATGAAATATGATAATAACGAAACATAACAATGAACACATTGTACGAGATTATCAACCGCGGTAATTTCAATTTCCCACAAAACAGAGCAAGTACATTCACGTTGACACTTGTGGTTTGCTTGGATATTTTTAACAAATTCACTTGCTTTCATATCATGCAATCTACATGATGGAAAAATATATACTTCATATAACAGTGATACCTAGAATTAGCGTCGGTATTCGCCAATTTGATGCAATACTTACGCTTATAAATTATTTTGATGAGGAATTTTGTATCGAATGTCAACAGGAAGTCAAACATTGCTCGTTACGAAGCATGCGCAATCTGGTATTAATGTACACAGGCAGGTCAAAGTCGAAAATACGAACAAAATTTCAGTGGTATTAAAAGCCAGTATTCTGGACAAACACACAACATTGAACAAAAGGTCAAGATATTTTCAATAAATTTTGAACTATGTTGCTGGTACGATATTTTAAGCATTGATATAGATTTTTCCTTTAAGTTTGGTGATTTTATTTAAAATTATTGATGCATTCTCAATGACAAAGGCCGTACACAATTAATTTGTTAATAAAAGAATAAGACATCTTTCACAAATCGTGTTTCAGTTGTATTCTGTACCATTTGGTGCCACAAAAATTCTTAGATTCAACATCTATGAAACGATACACAACCGTCCGACGTCAGCTTTTCCTCTTCACAGATCGCAACCATACTGTACCTTTCTCAAAAACCAATAAGAACAGGGTCATAATGTGGGGTCAGTAGCATTTGGAATAATGGCATGGTGGCTGCTTGCGACCATTTCGCCTTTTCATGTTGTTTCTTCTGCAAAACATGCCCAGTCACAGGTTACAGGGTCAAATATCTTTAAAAAAATTAACCACTTATACGCAAGCATTCCGTGATGAAGGCTTTCCAAGCTAATTGAAAGTAATCCCTTCTGCCAACTTTCAAGGTTACAGGGGCAAATTGTATGGATATCTTAATAACTCCATTTTTAAGAAGGCAAGAACACGTCATGATCTTAAGCCAATGAGGAGCTACCCAGTGTGTTCAAATGAACGCCTTCAAGTTGTATGCAGCAGAAATATTCCCTTTTCTTGTGTGATATGAAGTTAGATGTGTTTGAAGCTGAGCAGCTTATCAGAATGCCTGAGGGTTTCATTCTTGTAAACTTTGATTTCATATGAGAATGTGACATTATTACTTGTGATGACCAAGATTTACAGGCAGAAGTTGTCACTGAAGCAGAATTAGGACACTTACCCTTGCGTAACACATGGTCTTATTATTTTTGTACTTTTTTAAAAGTCTCTCTGTAACTCTTTTTGTTTGTATTATGTCTTAAGTTCATCAGTTTAGAAGCTGAATTAAAATTTTGCTAACATGTCTGTCTTTCTGCTGTTTCTGTAAATGTAACTGAGGACTGAACTGCTGGAGATGAAAATGTTCAATAACAAATAAAGCGGAGATTTTTTGTATTTGTTTTATTTTGTACCCAATTGTTCATTGACAACAGATGCACTCATTAATGTCAAACAGGGATGAGTGTTATTATCTTCTGCACTGCTGGCGTATCATTGCCAACTAACTGATAGCACAGGCATCTTATTTTACATTGTTTTAATGTGGTCACTGAATGAGGAAAGTTTCTTAAATTTTCAAATAAAAACAATTTATGACCACTACATCAAGTATCTAACATGTTGAAAAGGCTACACGGTAAGCATTGATTAAACAGAATATACTACACCACTATAACATACACACAATAACAATACCAGATTCGTATTAACATCCTAATTTCTTGATTAAATTCTGTTTAATGAAACTGATCTTTAAATGACAACAAATAAAACCAGCATACACTTGTGTAAAAAGTCTTACTGAACATTATCACAAAACATCATACATCAATTAAATTTACACTAGTTGTCTTCATAAATGTGCACTATCATAATGTTACTGGTGACATATCCAGAAAAGAGAAATGTATTCCTAAATTAATGAATTATTTACATGTACAGAACAGGTGAATTCAACACACCCTCTGTTTGTGGACCAGTGAACGAAAACAAATATCAACATATAAATCTAGAATTTGACATTCAGTTTTAATAGTGCAGAAATATTTGCAATTCTTTATTACAGTGCATGTATCCAAATTTCAAGTTTTATCTTTTTCAATAAAGAAGCTCACATTTAATACACAAGAAATAATGACGATGCTCAAAAATATTATTGCACTGGTCCCTTCTCATCACAAAATAATCAGTACTAAAACACATTTACCCTGGTACTCTCTCTCAATCAAAGCATCAAGACCTTTATACCATGGAAACAGATTTTCAAAAAAAAAAAAAAAAAAAAATGTTTTTTTTTCACAGTAGTGTATTTAAAGATTTTCTTTCACTATGACTTCAGTAAACATCTTTATTATCAACATTTTTTTTGCACCAAATTAATTGTAATGTCAATATAATTACTGAATTGTATTTTTTATCACACGAAATGACAGAAACATTAACGAAGAAAAGCAACTATCACAGGTACAACACCTGGTGACAAATTTAATGAGGTAATTTCAGTAATAACACCTTAAGCTGTAGAATTTGAATTGATATCCAAGTGATGTGTAGAACTGTTGTGATCATTGATTTATAATAATACTACTGGGATCAAACTAGAAGGTATTGACCACTTTCTGGATTTACAAGGAAAATTTTAAATTGTAGCTTGCCCTGCATCACCCAGAGGAGTCCAGTGTCTTGCCAGTCGGCTGAAAACAAAAATCAATACTATACCACATAGAATTGGTGATTTGTACAGGTCACGTTTCACAAACTCTGAAAACACACAATTTTCAAGAGGAAATCACCTGTTTTTACAAATAAAACTCCAATTAAGTTTCACAAGAGATGACTGATTTTAAAAACAAATATGTCTTAGTAGCAACTAAAAAGTATAATGTTCATGTACTACAAACTGCACAATTTCAGAGAAAGACATTTGTACCATTCATATTTTCTTTTACCGGCTTAATTTTGTGGGAATGCCATCACATCCTAAATTTGTACATTTTTGAATTCTTTGAAAGATTGAATCACAATTGAATTCCAGTTCTGAGAGACACTCTTTTCATATCTGGGCCAAAGCTACTCACCTTGATAAAGACATGAGTGGGAATCATCTTCTGTGTGATGAGATCAATGTTGCCTTGGTAACGTAGCATGTTAACATGGAGTTTAGGCAAGGCCACATGTCCCGCGACCAGTGGAAACAGGTTATAAGTTAGATTGTAGGCCTTACTTGGCAGGATTCGGAAATGGAACTACAATGTACACAACATTATACGATTCATTTTTGTCATCAGAAAATAGATGTAAAACAGAATAAAACAAAAACCTATCTAAAACACAGACCTGTAAAACAAATATAGCTTAATTCTTTTCTCAAATTGAAATTTCACACTACATATGGTCAAATAACAGAATGATAGTGAGTAATATAACTATTATTATATCATAATTACCTATAAGATGACCTTTGTATCAATTACCCATTCGACCTACCTGTTTATTTCCAGAGAACATGAAGCTATCATTGGCTTCCATTGTAACTTCCATTTCCTGAGGATACGGGGTACGGTTATTGATGACATAAGAGAGTGGCAGCAGGTTCTTTACACTGCCATAGGCTGGCAGACGTAACTCCATAGAGATCGGAATATGTTCGGTGTTAACTATAGGTAACGGGAAAGATGTGGTCACAAACGGAAGGTCTTTACTCTCATCTGTGTGTCTGAAACATAAAATACATTTAAAAGCAAAATATAAATACTCAATTTTATTCCAAACCAAACATATACAGATGTATGCTACTTGTTTTTTTACCATGCTCCATTAATATTTCTTTATGACAGTCATCCATAACCTTACATTATCAAACAAAAGTGTCCCTCAGTATAATTCATAAAATAATTAGGACAAGGACAAGGCATAAAAAATAAGCATTATTGTTGTATTATTTATTAGTAAGTATTTAACAATCAACACTGAAATGTTTAGATATTGGGCATTACAAATTATGATACAATTTAAAACTCTGTGATCAAACATTTTCTGGTAGCTGGGTATATCATCCGTGATTCAACTGCAAGTGACAGTAATTAGCCAGGACATTCCAAACATTTCTGTAAATTACAAGGCTTAGTAAAATTACTAAAAATCCTACTCTTATTTGTCCAAGATACTTCACAGAAGCTTACCTTCTCCAGTATACTGTGTATGTTCCTAGGGAAATGGAAGGCTGTAGGCAGTGTACAGTTTGTAGGCAAATACACTCTGCAGCACACTCTGACTTCTTCAAACACACTAAACATACAATTGCCATGTGTAGAACTTTATGATACAAAACATACATAAACAATTGAAGGTATTATTCAGAAAATGAAACAGTCTGCAAGAGAAAAATGATGGTATTTACAACAATTTAAATATTTATAATCACCACAAAAATTAAATGTACTTGTGTGTTTTCTTCCTGTTAATATGTCGCCATTGTTCTGCATATTTTAAAAATGTTTTTCCAAATGGTTCCAGTTACTGCATTCTGAATAAAAGTTTGAAGCTGTCAAGGTGCATTTTTAACAAAAATTATGAAAAAAATAAGGTTTTGTGATTGTAATAATTTCATTTTCATCACATATATATTTTTGTGATTTTATTACTACCTCGAAAATAACAAACTGAACTCAACAGCTGTATTTATACCGTACCTCCTTGCAGTTGTGATGGTGCATCCTCATCAGCGCTCTGCACATAGGGAGTCTGAAAAAGAGCAAATCAAAAAGTTTTTGCATTTAATCTATTTTGCAACTATGTCAGTAGATTTTACTTACAAATGCCTAGTATATATATTTCAAGTTAACCTCATCTTGGAGGTAATAAATGTACCTGACATTTGAGTAAGCCTTCAGGTACATATACTGCTATCATATTTCAGGTAAGCTGTTAATATAACTTACCATTTGGAGTTGACTTGACTGCAGTTCCACTGGCCAGGGAGAGGTGCATTTCAGCTCTGGTAGTAGTAGGAATGGTTCCTCTATCTGAACAGCTTCTATCTGCTCAAACTAAAGTGACACAACAATTAACTTTCAAGATTTGCATGTTATATTACATAGTGCTCTTTCACTCACAATTTCTCTTCATCAGTAACTGAAAGCCTGTATTTCTATCACACATATGCCTTTCCAGAAACACATTACAAGAATATGCCAGATAGTTAGCATAACCATATATGACCTTTATTATTACATATTATATTATCATATATTACATTTCAGTGAGTGAAATAACACAGACCATGGAGGGTGCGTTAGTTCAATACCTGCCAATCCTGCTTACCTTCAGTGAGTTGAGTTTTACAGATACTTCAAAGGGTGTGACCGTTGTCAAGGTGATGGTCTCTTCCTGTTCACAGGTACAGGTGATGAGCTGCTCTTTCTTGGTGACAGCAACAGTGTATGCCAACTGTAAACAGTTACCATTATTACTCCAGGATCAATGTTTACTTTAGTAGCTTACTAATCCAATTACTGATTAACTACTAATCCAATCGCTGATTAACTACTAATCCAATCGCTGATTAACTACTAATCCAATCACTGATTAACTACTAATCCAATCACTGATTAACTACTAATCCAATCACTGATTAACTACTAATCCAATCACTGATTAACTACTAATCCAATCACTGATTAACTACTAATCCAATCACTAAACCAATCACTAATCCAATCAGTGATTAACTAATCCAATCACTGATTAACTACTAATCCAATTGCTGACTAACACAAAACTTTCAAGATTTCTAATCAGTAATTAGTATATAAGTCATCTATAATTTTTCAATCAATTTTAAATCTTCAAATGTGTGACCCTAACAGCACAATTTTCTGCATCATCCCAATTCCCATATTGCAGATTTAGAGGACAACAAGTACACAGTTATTTTGATTTGTTGTTTGATCTCATATATGAAAACTTAAGAAATCTTAAAATCTTACATTGAAATATATAATGTCTCCTATTTTGTACCCAAAAATGTTTTAGAAAAGACACAGGTTTCCTTAACTTTCAACATCATAAGCAGATAAGTACCTTCACAAACAGGACCTTTGCACCAGTCTGCATATTCTTGACAAATAAACGGCGAGAAAGCTGGAAGAGAGAAAACACATGATTTGTTATATCACATAACAACTGTCTCATCATTGAGTGTGACAACACCCATTACACTGCTATTGTTTAAAAGTGATATCAAAGCTTCATGACATTATATTATTGTAAAATCACTGAAGAACTAAATATGGAGTGTGTAAGATCAACTTCTTCTACAACAATGGTTTTGAACCAAACTGTTTGTAATCTATTTAACCCTTACAAGGTTCATCACACATGTATGATATTGTAACAGTAATATCAATCTACATCGTAAAACTACCACCATTTAAAGGGAACATTACTCCCTCATTAACAAAAGTCTACCTTGTTGCCTGCTTCCATTTTGTTGAGAGCCATATCCTCCTTACAATACTCCACCACATTATCAAACTCTGGGGTCTCCAGACAAACATGGGCTGCCACAGAAAAGATACAAACATAAAAATAACTTATATATATTTGTATCAATCAAAAGCTCAAAAATCTGTGAACACCAAGGTCAAATGCCATTCTATTACTATTATTCTATATAGGAAACCAGTAGTAAGAACAAGTTTAAGGGCTTCCTGGATAAAATTTTGATAAGGTTCTGATTTGAAATATTTAGTTACATGTACTGAATATTGATCTGAATGTGAAAAATTAAAAATAAAACATTCAGAATTCAACAGGAAAGCTAAAATAACAGCACACCAATAAAAGGCTATAAAAAGTAAGTAACATACATGACTGTTCAGAATCACTGCCTGTCTCATCTCCTTGGATACCAAAGGATAACCTGTCAACAAGGAATTATTGTCATCAAGGTCACCAAAGAAGGTCAGTCATTATACAGGTATATGATATAAAAATATAGAGATATTAAAGTTCTGCCCAGTAATTACAAATTTACCTTGTTAGTGTGCTCAGACTTGGAGGTCACATATATAACACAAACACAAAACTTGTATACAGTTTGACACGAGAATTTATGTAGTGTTAGCACTGGGTACCATAATCAATGTACAACAACAATTCTCCTCATGCTTCTGGAGTGGTAGGTTAACATAACCATTTTATCACCTAGACAACAAGGGATCAAAGGATTTGAAAAAGCTCAGCTACAAACATAGAGAATCAATAAAAGATACAATAATTGCCAATATACAGTGGCAGTATATATATGTTATGGGAATTTCATTTTGGCGTTTATTGAGCTAAACGTATGTGCAAATTGTCACTTCTGTATATCAATTTATATTTAGAGCAATTATTACTGATGTGTGAATTTATGGTGCTTATTTGCCAGAATTAGATAATAATTCGCTAAAATTTGATTGTGCTAATTTCAGTACATTTTCAGTTGCAGGTGCTTTTTATAACTTAAACATTTTATATTTCATGATAGATAGACAGGTTTAAAATACTCTGATGTGATTACTACAAAAGCTTTGTGGTAATCTAAGGCTACCTGACATCCAATACACACTGATTGCTCTTTCCCACAGCTAGAAAGAGGGCCATGATAGCTCAGTTGGTTCAGCTTTGTCCTATAAACCTTCAGGTGAAGATCCTAGTGCGTGATTCAACCCTTCCTACCTGTGGTGGTTAATCATCTTCAGAAAGCTAAGAAAAGGACTAGTGGTGCTTTTGTCCTTGGGCAAGACAATTTACCCTAACTGCTCTGGATGGAATGATGGGTCTTCCATATATTTTCAAATAAGGTAGCCATCTTCTCTTACATGGAAGCCCTACATCAAATTGATCACCACTGTTGACAGGACCATAATCCAAACAAACAATCCCTGGCCTATAGTTACAAAACCATATTAGCCCATACCTGATATCCTCTATGTCTGTGTCTTCTTTGTTTGTGATTTCCAGCTTGAGCAGGTAAAACTCATTGAGTAAACAAGGTGGTTCATGCTGGATTACAACATCTAGTTTGGCTTTTCGTGGGACAATTCTGAAAACAAGGAAAATATTATTAAAGATTTTTCATCAAGGGGTAAGACAACTTAGATATTCTAGGCCAAAAAAAAATTACATACGAGTAGAATTTAGGTAGACAGTTTCTTACCACCTGGCGACTACTTTGTATGACGACATCTTTATATCTGACAATTACTGTGATGATTTATATGAATTATGTGATGGTGCCTGTTTGACAATTTTACATGACATATTTGTACCTTGTTAATACTGATAAGAATTAACATGTCTAATTTATACAAATATAACAAGTTTTCATATCGCACCTACTAAAAACATATTAAATCATCAAGACAGAATGAGTTTGGAATAGCAATTTTCAAAACTGTCATAGGAGGATGTACAGATCGATAGTGATGGGCTAACCTTGTGGTTGACCGAACATCAACAGTGTTCCAATCTATTGGACTGCCTGGAGTGACTGGTTTCCTTGGTAACAGTGACTGTGCTGTCTGTACTGGAGTAACTGCTGGTCCTCCTCCACCCATCCACTGTAACATCGCACAGCGTCCCACCTCAGTTCCCAGTTCCAACACCAGCGATGAAATCTACACAAAAGCATCTTCACTTAATCTTTCATTAACCTATTGGTGCTTTTACCAGTGAAATTAAGGAGAATGTACAAAAATTACAAACATTATGAATTTATGAAAATAATTGACAACAGTTGTACTATAGGCATATGAGATATCTCATTGTGATACATATGTATTTCCTGTCACCAACTGCAAACTCTGAAAAGACAAGAAACTGTATGGCATGCATGCCCTCACTCCTGTACAAATGAGAGAGGTCTTCAAGATATAACATTGTCTATATAACAGGACCAACAGACAGAAAAGGTAACAAAATGGTAGGGGCGTAAGAAAGACCTGTTCTTACCTCAAGCTGTGTCTCTACGTCATCTTTTACTGGAAGGAAGTTGAAGGCATAGAGCCTTGTTTGGCCAGGTACTAAATACAGGTCCCCACCTCTGGAGTCAGCCTCAGTCCCAGCCGAGACTCCACGACCATCCACCACCTGACAGTACTGGTTGTACTGCTGTAAGTATAACAATGTCATGCATTTAACTACAAAATTAACACTTAACAGTAATATCTTTTTTTTAAATGTTCATATTTTATTAAAAGCTTGAAACAAGGATACATATTTCACAGAACTCATAAAACAGGATATGATTCCTCTATAAATTAAAATTTTCTCCATTATTTTTCAGGTTTTATTCCACCATCAAAATTAGTACAAAGATATAATCCAACAATGATAATTTACAGCATAAGGGACAGTTTTTTTCTAAAGAAATGGGAAAATGCCAAAAAACTGTACAAAGTACAGTGCTCTATGAGGCATAGGTGCCAACCCTTCCTCTAAAGGATGAAAACATTTAATTTTATTTGTAAGCCCTTATTTTTGACATCAAAAAGGAGACACCATAATTAAATTAAACGATTAACATAGAAAAAGGCACCATCAAGTTTTAATCATCTCATTTTGCTACAAATTAAACATTTGATAGTAAACAATTACTTTTCACAACATCCTATAAATTATAAGTACTCCATCAGTAAGTCAATAATCACATTTTTAGATAATTTTAATAAATGTTTATCAGCTGTTTTCCTAAAGCAATGACAGACTCTGTATATAGTGTATGTAAGATAACAAGGTGCCAGGCCTATCATACAATCTATACTCATGTGATGTAAGGGAAGTGTGACTACTTCACACAGATACTTAAAACAATGGTGAAACACCTGTGTCATATACTGTACCCATCTGTCAATAAGCCCATTTCACTAAATGCAGATTTCTTAATTCATTGTTAAATTTAAGCAGAATATTCAATTTAACCCTGCCATATTTTTGCTCATAAAAAACAGGAATTTTACAAAGCATTTATCATTCTAATTTAAAAGTTGCCATCTTAATATTTGATGAAAAAAATAAAAATTGGACATTGGAAGGAAAAAGGTAAACGATAGATTTGCCTGTTGGGCTTATTTCAGGATAAATACACTAGTGGCCTCCATTACAACATGTGATTTACCTGTCAGTGAGAGATCTATAATTAGTTACATTATCACACTAAACGCTGGTACTCATTTTCAGATTGACAAATTAAACATTTACAGGCCAAATAGTTCACTGGTAAATGACATCAGTTGTAATTATCAACAGTTATAAATGTACAGAATATATCTGGTACTAATTTCCAAACTGACAAATTAAACATTTACAGGCCAAAAAGTTAGCTGGTAAATGGCATCTGTTGTAATTATCAACAGTTATAAATGTACAGAATATATCTGGTGTTTCATTTCAAGTGTTTATTTAATCAAATAATTTTAAACCTTTGTAAGATAACCTGTGTTACAATTTATTATCATTCAGTACTAGAATTGTACCTGTTTACATGTAGGTGACAGCATTCTAATTGATAATATCTGATTATCATATAGTATATTTAATCACATGAAGGGTTTCATACACTCCATAGGGCCCTAGGACTCAGGTAAGGACAATGGAATAGCTCCTGGTCAAATGGAGACATGTCATGATGGCATCTTTACCAAAACCAGTTCCTGTCAGGGTTAAAGGTCAAATGCTATGTGCTTATCACCAGAGAAAGAAAGTGAAGTTCTTGTGTACATCCTGTGATGAACTGGTATGCTCCAAGTGTTCTTCTACTTTACATACAGGACATCACATAAGTGAACTAAGCAACGTTATACCAGACAGGAAAACAAAGCTACAGGTTTATCTTGATGGATTCGGAAAATATAAAAATACTATTAAGAAGGAGAAGACTGCAGCAGAAAAAGAACTTGAAGAAAACTCAGAAACATTTGACAAACTTATTAGAAAAGTAAAATACCAAGGGGAGATAATAAAGGAAGCGACAGATAAATTGAGCGAGAAGTATACACATCTTTACAAGCAGCTCCAACATGACAATGTTGAGATGATGGCCAGCTATACGAAGGACCTTCAAATCAAACTTGGAAATCTGAAATCTCATTATAAAGAATGTAAAAAATTACTCCAGGAGGATGCATCAGGTGTTCAGATTTTTGACACAGAGAAAGAAATTCGAGCCAACTTGAACAAAATTTCAGTTAAACCAACTCTGACCACTACACCAAGTTTCAAAGTGAACAAATATCCCCAGACAGACCTAGAGAAAGTGTTTGGTTTCAGCAAAGTCATGGATCAAGGTAATGCATCCAGCAACACTGACCAGAGCAATCAAGGTCACACATCCAATAACACTGATAAGACCGTGGTCACAAACCAAGGTCACACATCTTATGACACTGACCGGAGCAAGGTCACTGATCAAGGTCACACATCTAATGAAACTGACCAGAGCAAGGTCACTGATCAAGGTTACATATCTAATGAAACTGACCGGAGCAAGGTCACCGATCAAGGTCACACATCTAATGACACTGATTGCAGAAAGGTCACTGATCAAGGTCACACATCTAATGACACTGACCGGAGCAAGGTCACAAATCAAGGTCACGCATCTAATGACACTGACTGGAGCAAGGTCACCGATCAAGGTCACAAATCCATCAACAGAGACCAAAACATCTTGGGATATTGTGACCCTGCTCCACCACAATCAGATCTTGTCAAAGATAATCTTCCAGAACCACAGGTTTCTTTTGTTCAGGACCAGATCATAGCACAACTATTCCATGAACCAGAACCAGAAATGGTGAAATCCACATTGTCTCTTCAGTTTGGTATTCTACCTGAGTGTGAGGTCGTGACAGAGTTTCAGTGCCCCTGTGAAATCAGCAGCATATGCCCAGCTCCTGGAAACCAAGTGTGGATTTGTGATGTTTTAAGTAATACTGTGACTTTACTAGACAACAACGGCCAGGTACAACACAGCATGGAGTATCAGACAGGGATCAGAGATATCAGTGTTTCTCCTAACACTAATGCTTTGTGGACTTGTTCTGATGAGGACTATAGTATCACAGAGTACTGCCAACAATCAGGGATGTCTGTTCTCAGATTCCACACAGACATCAGACCTAACTGTCTCTGTGTCACACAGGATGAACATATCCTTGTAGGAATGACTAACAGCATCACAAAGTTCAACACAGATGGTGAAATCATTCTCACATCCAAACCTTCTCTGTCAGAATTACCATTGGTCTACACACCATATAAAATCACAGAGTGTGGCATTACAGGGAATATTGCTGTAATTGACTTGGATTTGGCAGAGGATGGCGGGAAAGACAATGGCAGTGTGCTGATAACAGACAAACATTTCAATAAAATTCTCCATTACAGGGGAGACATCCAGCTGATGCATAAGGAAACCATGATGACAAACAGGTTTTCTTTCAGTCCCGTCGACGCCCAGTATGACAGTATAGGGAACCTTGTAATCGGGGACTGTTTGAACAGTCATCTCCATCTTGTCAACAGTTGTGGTCAGTTCCTCCGACTCATCCATACAGACATAACAGACACATGGGCACTTGCCATAGGGAGTGAAAACACACTATGGGCAGTGTATAGACAGCTAGAAGGCCGCACTTGTGTAAAAACTTTACAGTACATCAGAAATAAAGCTGAAAACTGATTCAGGTGACCAATTTAGATACCAGTGGATAATTTTGTAGTACCATAAGTTCATATGAGCAAGTTTCAGATCAATCCCAAATTGTCAACATTGGAATGCTTATTCTTCACAAGAATATTTATAGAAATTTAAAGAAATACTCAATTTAAAAACATTTACAGTATGAACTGATTTTTATTTTGGTCAAGTTCATAATTCAGGAGTCAGGCACGAGACAGGGATTCATGAATGTGTGTGACAGATGACGGACTATCAATCTAGTGCACTGTGAAATAATTTATTTATCTAAATAATGTACGTAATAAGTTTATTTATCAATAAACAATACAACATACAATGTGATCTGTTCAGTTAAAGTTCTGAACGTGTCTTACCTAGTTCTGTGATAAATTGGTATAATTTGAGTATATTCTGTATGAAGATTACGAAGTTCTTTACACACAAAACATGTATAAACTATCACCATATTTATATGACAATAAGTCCCTGCCTGGTAATAAGCCCACTCATATACACTCAATCCTCCAAAGTTGGCAGGACTGGGAAAACTTTCAGGTACCTGAATATTTGATTAGAGAGGGTTCAAATCTTTGTTGTAGCAGGAACTCACTACATATTTCAAATTAAACAGGGTTGTAAAGTCATATGAGTTTTGTTATAAGCTCACCTCCTACCCTTTGAGTCAGAAGAAAGGTGTTGGGTGTCACTCCCTAGGACTATTGCAGGATAATGTCTGTATTCTACACCTCTTCTCACGCAATCATTTCAACATACAGTATTACATACTGTATCAACTACTTTGCCTTGTTGTTCTACTTAAGTTTAAAGGTTTAATAGGTGAAGATATTACCTGTAATGATGTTGTCCCAGTCATTTTTTGCTACATAGAATCATGTAAAGATCTGACACTGATTTGATAGGACAGGCCTCAAATTTAAGACTTTCCACTGGTTATTTGCAAGTAGAAATCCAAGAATTGCAAGTAGAAAAAATAGTGACTTGCTTTTTTCAGCAAGTGGATTCATCACATGCAAACTGTGAGTGCCTGTCCATTCCTAACATTTCACAGAATTAAATTGTTTGAGCTTTGATTTTCAAAGTGTAAATATTGGGACAAAGCAGTTCTTCTATAATGTTGATATATATTGGATGAAGCAAGGTAATACGTTATAAATCACAAAACAAAACACATTATTTGAACACGGAGATTTGCAATAATAGCAAAAAGTCACTTTAGCAAGTACAAATTTAAGGCACTTGCTGTTTTCAGCAAGTGACAAAAAATGTTAAATGCGAGGCCTGTAGGACGGAGGAGGTTGGCGTGATTAGTATAATATATAGGACTATATGTAATAATATGACACTGATTTAATACGAAGGAATGGGATACAGTCATTATTATATAACTCACATCTTTACCCACTAAACATTGGGTATAGATAAGCAGGGTGATACTAGAAGTTAGTGTGATGAGGTGAACAAAGGACCTGATACTTACCTGGTTATTCAAGAACACAGACAATTTGCTGAATCTCACTGGGAATGGACAATTCACTCTGAAATACACCAAACAAAACGTGTTTAGAACAAAGGAATGTCAAACATGTACATGTACATGCATAGCTGTACTGGAACACAAACATCTGCAAAATTGTGATATTTTTAAACATGACCTGCTGCAGTATCACCATAGTTAGTTTCAATATTCAGCTGAAAAGTGACTAAAGCTGGAGCTATTATAGCAACTGTCACCTGTATATGTTCAGTGTACCTACTTAATATAGACTTCCAGCTGTACCTCTGTGTCTGAACATGTTCAGTATCCCTAACTAATCTGTACCTCAGTGTGTGTACATGTTCAGTATCCCTACCTAATCTGTACCTCTGTGTGTGTACATGTTCAGTATCCCTACCTAATCTGTACCTCTGTGTCAGTACATGTTCAGTATCCCTACCTAATCTGTACCTCTGTGTCTGTACATGTTCAGTATCCCTACCTAATCTGTACCTCTGTGTGTGTACATGTTCAGTATCCCTACCTAATCTGTACCTCTGTGTGTGTACATGTTCAGTATCCCTACCTAATCTGTACCTCTGTGTGTGTACATGTTCAGTATCCCTACCTAATCTGTACCTCTGTGTCTGTACATGTTCAGTATCCCTACCTAATCTGTACCTCTGTGTGTGTACATGTTCAGTATCCCTACCTAATCTGTACCTCTGTGTCTGTACATGTTCAGTATCCCTACCTAATCTGTACCTCAGTGTCTGTACATGTTCAGTATCCCTACCTAATCTGTACCTCTGTGTCTGTACATGTTCAGTATCCCTACCTAATCTGTACCTCTGTGTCAGTACATGTTCAGTATCCCTACCTAATCTGTACCTCTGTGTCTGTACATGTTCAGTATCCCTACCTAATCTGTACCTCAGTGTCAGTACATGTTCAGTATCCCTACCTAATCTGTACCTCTGTGTCAGTACATGTTCAGTATCCCTACCTAATCTGTACCTCTGTGTGTACATGTTCAGTATCCCTACCTAATCTGTACCTCTGTGTGTGTACATGTTCAGTATCCCTACCTAATCTGTACCTCTGTGTCTGAACATGTTCAGTATCCCTACCTAATCTGTACCTCTGTGTCAGTACATGTTCAGTATCCCTACCTAATCTGTACCTCTGTGTCTGTACATGTTCAGTATCCCTACCTAATCTGTACCTCTGTGTCTGTACATGTTCAGTATCCCTACCTAATCTGTACCTCTGTGTGTGTACATGTTCAGTATCCCTACCTAATCTGTACCTCTGTGTCTGTACATGTTCAGTATCCCTACCTAATCTTTACCTCTGTGTGTGTATATGTTCAGTATCCCTACCTAATCTGTACCTCTGTGTCTGTACATGTTCAGTATCCCTACCTAATCTTTACCTCTGTGTCTGTACATGTTCAGTATCCCTACCTAATCTGTACCTCTGTGTCTGTACATGTTCAGTATCCCTACCTAATCTGTACCTCTGTGTCTGTACATGTTCAGTATCCCTACCTAATCTGTACCTCAGTGTCAGTACATGTTCAGTATCCCTACCTAATCTGTACCTCTGTGTCTGTACATGTTCAGTATCCCTACCTAATCTGTACCTACCTAATCTGTACCTCAGTGTCAGTACATGTTCAGTATCCCTACCTAATCTGTACCTCTGTGTGTGTACATGTTCAGTATCCCTACCTAATCTGTACCTCTGTGTCTGTACATGTTCAGTATCCCTACCTAATCTGTACCTCTGTGTCTGTACATGTTCAGTATCCCTACCTAATCTGTACCTCAGTGTCTGTACATGTTCAGTATCCCTACCTAATCTGTACCTCTGTGTGTCTGTACATGTTCAGTATCCCTACCTAATCTGTACCTCTGTGTCTGTACATGTTCAGTATCCCTACCTAATCTGTACCTCTGTGTCTGTACATGTTAAGTATCCCTACCTAATCTGTACCTCTGTGTCTGTACATGTTCAGTATCCCTACCTAATCTGTACCTCTGTGTCTGTACATGTTCAGTATCCCTAACTAATCTGTACCTCTGTGTCTGTACATGTTCAGTATCCCTACCTAATCTGTACCTCTGTGTCTGTACATGTTCAGTATCCCTACCTAATCTTTACCTCTGTATCTGTACATGTTCAGTATCCCTACCTAATCTGTACCTCTGTGTGTGTACATGTTCAGTATCCCTACCTAATCTGTACCTCTGTGTCTGTACATGTTCAGTATCCCTACCTAATCTGTACCTCAGTGTCTGTACATGTTCAGTATCCCTACCTAATCTGTACCTCTGTGTCTGTACATGTTCAGTATCCCTACCTAATCTGTACCTCAGTGTCTGTACATGTTCAGTATCCCTACCTAATCTGTACCTCAGTGTCTGTACATGTTCAGTATCCCTACCTAATCTGTACCTCTGTGTCTGTACATGTTCAGTATCCCTACCTAATCTGTACCTCTGTGTGTGTACATGTTCAGTATCCCTACCTAATCTGTACCTCTGTATCTGTACATGTTCAGTATCCCTACCTAATCTGTACCTCTGTGTGTGTACATGTTCAGTATCCCTACCTAATCTGTACCTCAGTGTGTGTATATGTTCAGTATCCCTACCTAATCTGTACCTCTGTGTCTGTACATGTTCAGTATCCCTACCTAATCTGTACCTCTGTGTCTGTACATGTTCAGTATCCCTACCTAATCTGTACCTCTGTGTCTGTACATGTTCAGTATCCCTACCTAATCTGTACCTCTGTGTCTGTACATGTTCAGTATCCCTACCTAATCTGTACCTCTGTGTGTGTACATGTTCAGTATCCCTACCTAATCTGTACCTCTGTGTCTGTACATGTTCAGTATCCCTACCTAATCTGTACCTCTGTGTCTGTACATGTTCAGTATCCCTACCTAATCTGTACCTCTGTGTCTGTACATGTTCAGTATCCCTACCTAATCTGTACCTCAGTGTCTGTACATGTTCAGTGTACCTACCTAATCTGTACCTCTGTGTCAGTATAGTTCAGTGAACCTACCTACTATAGCATTCCAGCTGTATCGCTTTGTCAGTACACATTCATTGAACCTACCTTATATAGACTTCCAGCTGTACCTCTGTGTCAGCAGCTACTGTTTCTGTGCTGAAACAGGCTTTACACTCCACTGTCATATAGAAATAATTACAATAATATTTCAAGTTTGCTTATTTGATCACTCTTGCGTCCAAGGTATAAGAAACATAATTGTTTAATATGTGTAACTAGTCATTATCAATGCTTTCTCTCTTACAAACCATCAGAAATCATTTAACACATATACATACCACAGTTACTTTTGATAATGGATATATAACAACAAATGAATACCAGTTCTAATCAAATTAAATCAGGCTAACTGCAAAGTTTAAACAAATTCAAAGAGACAATAAATACGAGTCAAAATGACCTTGATTATTTAATATTTTTGAATTTGAATTAAATTGCATGCTGGGATAATAATTCTGAAGATTTTACTTACCAAACGGTACAATATTTTGCATGTCTATACTAAATACACAGGGGTCTGTCAAACAGCTGGACCAGAGACGCCGAGCATTGTCCACACAGATAGGATCTAAACCTGGTTCTGGTTCTGGTGAGTCATTCTGTGTACAACAATGTCTGATATCATGTATCACCTTTTATGTCTATCAGATATCCTTTTTTCAGAAGTAACTTTAACAACTTAACAGTACTGACAATCATGAGTTTATATAAACATGTCTTGCGACATTTATGACAGTTTTAACTTAAAGAACCAGCTCTACAATAACAGACATGAACCAGCTCTACATTTAAACAGGCATGAGCAAGCTCTACAATTTCAGACATGAACCAACTCTACTGTTTTAGACATGAACCAACTATACAATTTTACAAATATGAACCAGCTTTGCTGCTTTACACATGAATCAGCTTTACAATTTCACAAATATGAACCAGCTCTGCAGCATTAGACATGAACCAGTTTTACAATTTTACATATATGAACCTGCTATGCTGTTTTAATGACATCAACCAGCTCTACAGTTTCACAGATTTTAACCAGCTCTATACTGTTACAGACATGAATTCTGGATCTGCATTATTTTACAAATATAAACCAGCTCTACAGTTTTACAGGCATGAACCAGCCCTTCAGTTTCAAAGACTTTAATCAGTTCTACATTATTACATACATGAATTCCAAATCTACATCTTGACATATATGAACCAGCTCCAAAGTTTTAAGAATATGAATCAACTCTACATTTTTACAGACATGGATCAATTTCTTTATTTTTTATAATATTTACAGCCCCACATATATCAAATGATAGCAAGAGATATGATCCTGTCAATGATGTTAACAAACAAGACATATAATTCATAGATAGAACACAGGTACTTACTGATATAACTCGGATCAGGTTCATCTGTATTCTTGTTTTCTCCTCAGGTGAGCGCATGCTGTCTAGAACTAGGTCAAGGTTCTTCAAACCCCAAAGACATATATCTACAATATCATGATTACTCCCTAGCAAAGAAATGACAAGAGAACAGTTCTGGTGGGGAGGATAGGTTTTTTTTCATGTTGTTCAGAAACATTCGGAGCCATTGAAGTTGTTGAAAAGACTTAAGATACCCTGGTATAATACAGGTGCTTGTGTGGTGAATGGAATACAATAAATGTAACATCTGGTTAACCTCAATGAGTCAACTCCCTCCATATTTGGAACAGGTAATTTGATTTTAACCTTTGTACTTCATTGTAAACATTCCCTTAATGTCTTTGTAATTTATTGTTGATATTTTCTTAATAACTCAATGACTATTTTTGGGTCATAAATTTCATTTGACTATTGTGAAAAAATCATTTCCATAATTGATTTATTTTCATTGATTTCCAGGGTACAATTATTCCACAATTCCATGAACTGTTGAAATATGTATATGTAGATTAATTGAGGTTTTTTAATCAATGAAATCAAATGTCCATAAAAAAACATTTATTTGAAAATCCAGGAAATAAAGCTCCATGAAAAATAATGTGATATTATAGTATTTTTCAGAACTGTGCATGTAGTCTTCAATATGTACATATACATATATATTCTTTTGTCAATACATCAATTTTATCTTTTTTACATGCATTTCATAAAATTCAACATTTTATATACAGTTTAGTTATTATTGTTGAATAATATACACGTACATTACTTAATGATATATATTGTCTTTACGGTTCTTTGCGGTCAATCTGATCCACCTCACTATTAAGACCACCTCCCTATTAAGACCACTTATGTCCAGTCCCCAAAGTGGTCTTTATAGCGAGGTTTCACTGTATATGGTAAGTGTTAAATCATTTTTGGAAGTAATACATAGATGTCAGTAAGTTTCTGCCTGGATAACATACACATGAAATATCAAATGGTGCTTTAGTAACAATATAATGAGGCATTATTTTCCATAAATATACATAAATCTGAACTGACATAAGTCAAGGATACAGTTACAAATGAGCTCCACACAGACAGTCACATACTCCTGAAGTTTACAGGTCAGATAGGCACACTTAAGTGAGATATCAAGGATGGAATCTAACAGGTGCCACCAGCGTTCCCCTCTGTAGTCCCACATTACTTTGTTCAGCAGCCTGTGAAATCAGTGTTATATAGACATTAAAACAGTCTACAGTATTTATCCTACAGTAACCCTGGTGACAAACATATAATCTAGGACTCAAAGACTGGAAATAGGTTTATTGCAGGACAATGACATAGCATTTGTTTGTTATTCTACTAATTAAAACATAAATGGATTTATCATATATTAAAGTGTATAAAACTCCAGAATTGTCCCCAGATCCCTTAACTAAAAGATACTTAGACTATGGAGAGAGAATTTCGGAAGGTCAGAACACTGGTGATAAAGTACTTTGTAACCGAGGTTTCATAAGGATGGTATAATCGAGGTTATGTCATATATTCTTTACAACTTAATAATTGTCATGCTTTACAGTAACATTATGATGAACTGTTTCAAAGACACAGATTATACATACATATCATAAATTCAGAGCCTTCCTTTCTAACTCACAGAAGATTTTACACATTACAAATGAGAATTTGTGCAGTGTTATTATACATAATAAATCAGTATCTTGAAGTACAAGAAGGCAATGATGGTTACTTCCATTTTACCAATTAAGATTGTATATCATGTTTGTTTGTTTGCTAGGTCTATCATCCAGTAAACAGCCAGAGTCATATTTAAGCAGGGTCGTCTTGTAGCAGCTGGTAATTTCCTCAATGAACAACATACAAGAGGCCCTGACATGCCATCCAGAGCATTTAGGGTAAAGTATCTCGCCATAAGCCAAAACTACATCAGCATAGACTAGTCTGTTTCTCAGCTTCCAGAGAAACGCAAACAGCACCAGGTATATTACAAAGGAAAATACTCTTGTAAGTTAATAAATGATATACCAGAAAAAAGAAATACCTACATGAGGGCTTTGTTGTAGTCTTTAGCATGGAAATATTCCTCTCCCATCTGCACCACTGAAACACAAACATCACCAATGATTAGACCCATAAATAACCAATTTGTTCACCTCTAACATAGAGCAGGCCTTTAGAAACAAACTTCTGGAAGTGTTAAGTGATAGAATGAATACAAACAGATTGCTTATTATTCGTGTGAAAATTCATTAGAGACTTTGGTGATATACATGCAATGCTTTAATATTTGTCTAAATCATAACACTTCCTTGGCTTTTCATTAACATGGATATGTCATAATTATTAGGAAAATGACACACTAAAAAAAGATGTTGTACAGATACTGTTACATATAAGGACATACCACTCATCTCTAAGCCTGATAAAATGTGTTTTACTGTAAAATCATCAATCTTTGTGGTGTTTTATTTTCACTGATTTCCTGAGTATTCTTAATTCATGAATTCATACATTTATATGTACACAAACTGTTGATATTATCTTAGTATATGTATATTTACTGAGTTAGATTTATCCAAAATCAAGTGTCCACAATAAAAGCATTTTTATAAAAAAAAACACACAAAAATTGCGCCCCACTAAAACATATGATTTTAAAGTATCATGAGGAGAAACAGACATGTTGATCTGTTGATTACTCTTACTTAGGTATCGCTTCATCCTCGGTGATTTGTACTTCTTAAACTGAGCTACAGCACTGTTCAATAGAGGAATGATGATCCACTGCAACACAGATCATGTTTACTTGGATTACATACATCTTTATATATACTGACAGATTTCAGGATAACAGTAATCCATTTGTCAGTGTATTATAATATGTACAACACTCAGGTCAATGTAACAATGGTTATTGTAATGAATTAACATATCTTTACTATAAGGGAAATGATTGTGGAACAAATTACTACTCACAGAGTGATCGACTTGAATCTCCATGTTCTGTAGTGCAGCAATCCCATCTCGTTCTCTCTGCATGTCCGGGGGATCTATACCTGTAAAACACTTGTTTCATTAACCATTATCATCTTAGGATTTCCTAAACTTAATCAATTGTCTTAATGAACTGATTAAACAAAATTCATTTTTTGTAACATTAAGAAAATAGATCATTTTGATCATACTGATAGATGTTTAATGTAGGATAATTATACATATCTCTTCAATATATTACTTTTACCTATATAGGGATGGTAGAGACTTTTTAAACAATATACATGTACTTTTTTAAGTTTTGGAAAATTCCATTAAATAGGTGTATACATTCATTTTTACACTTCTGTGTTGTATGTCAGTGATATAAATACATATTCCTTGTGAATTGCTGTATCAATATTCCTTAATCATCAATGCCAGCATCATTGTGGAAACAACTATAGAGCTGTACAAATGACACATCTATGAATAACACCTTTAAACACAATTTTAGAATTAGATACAGAAGTGTCAATTAATAAATTAACATTATCCAACAACTATTTAATCCTTATAGGACTTGGACTAAATTTTGAAACCCATGAGGTGACTCAGTAAAATTCAAATACAAAAGAAATGTAAAAATCTACATGAGAGGGTGCACTAGCACTAAAATTTTTAAAAAAAATCATAACTCTCCTGTATCTAATAATAAAATTAAATCATGTGTGTATTCCGAACCAAGTCACTTTCCAAGGAATACACACGGTATGCTGACATTACATGATTATCTTATATACTGTGACAGGAAGAAGTAAGGATTATTCTGATTGCACAGCTTTATGATTGAAATTTCTTCATACAGTTATAAGTCATAGTTTGGTAGAGAAAACTGAAATGTATCAGGGTTGCTGCTTTCAATGTGTGCTTTCATCATCAATTAGTTAAGCATGGCTTTCAAAGGCATGACTTAGTTGATGAATTGCTTCTAATAAAGCAGTAAGATTGTAAAAACTGTTGACAATATAAATGATACCTACATGTCATCAGTTTTATTACAAACTGGTTTAGTTCTTTCTAAATCTCACTTTATGAAAAGTTGTCTCTTTTTTATTTCAAGCAATTCCACACAGAAGAATCTGTTATCAGGTAAGTTTGAGGTTAAAGATCACACACAAACTTGAAACAGACTGTGTTACATCTAATCACCCATACATCACACAAACTTGTAACAGACTGTGTTACATCTAATCACACATACATCACGCATCAACTTGAAACAGACCTAGTTACATCTAATCACCCATACATCACACACAAACTTGAAACAGACCTAGTTACATCTAATCACCCATATATCACACACAAAATTGAAACAGACTGTGTTACATCTAATCACCCATACATCACACACAAACTTGTAACAGACTGTGCTACATCTAATCACCCATACATCACACACAAACTTGTAACAGACTGTGATACATCTAATCACCCATACATCACACAAACTTGTGACAGACTGTGTTACATCTAAGCACCCATACATCACACAAACTTGTAACAGACTGTGTTACATCTAATCACCCATACATCACACATCAACTTGTAACAGACTGTGCTACATCTAATCACCCATACATCACACAAACTTGTAACAGACTGTGTTACATCTAATCACCCATACATCACACATCAACTTGTAACAGACTGTGCTACATCTAATCACCCATACATCACACACAAACTTGTAACAGACTGTGATACAAAACAACATCCACACCTACACACATTACATTAAAGGTGACTGAAAGTTAGAGTGATTAAAAGAGGTGGGAATTTTTTGTGTAAAGTTTGATGTGAATGACAACAGACTAAGCTACATTTTAAATAAATCATAAAAATGTAAAAACTCAAAACAGTTAAACTAAATCACAATTAAATAACTTGATCATAAATACATCCCTCTCAATGACTGCTGACGATATTCCAAGAGCAGAATTTGCCGCAAACGCTGACATAATTGATATTAAACTTGTTGAAAGCAAGAACTGGTTTTATGTTGATACCAAGTAAGTAGGGATTAGTCAGCTTACAATCAAGTTAAAACAACAATAAACTTGGACAATGTAACTCCATGGCATGGTTTAGACATCAGAGTGTGTAGGGTACAAGATACCAGTAAAAGTCTTCTCTGTATCACAAATACTCTATCATGCCAAGAAACTCTCAAGGACTGATTTTATTACTAACCACTCAATTAAATAACAGATCCATTTTTAATAACCAAATACTACTACATATCATCAGATATAAACTTTTGTATCACAATAAAACTTTTACAAAATAATCAGAAAATGATACTCAGATATCTTGATATGATAATACAGAGTACAAACAGATCATTTGCTTCTCCACTTATCAGTCTAGATTTCAGTAATGTGCAATGTTCTGAATGTGCTTTGAGTGAAGATGAACGCATGGAGGAAGACATGGAGTCACATACGTCACAGACAACATTGACTTACCAGCTGAAAAAATTGGAAAAGTGAAAAAAAAAACATTTTGTATTGTAATAACTTACAATGATTTCTATACTGTGTTTTTTTTTCAGGAGAGAAATTTGTTCAGAATGACTGTAATTCAGTACTCTTACTGTTGACTTCATCATCACAAGGAAAAACAAATGGAAGCAACTTATTCAAAGCATTTGATTTAAAAATAATACCAACTTGTGCAGTAACAACAAATAAATCAAATGTTAATAAATTTACATTCAGAAAAACATTTAAATTTAATGGTTTACACAAATCAGAAAGTTTTATTTCAACAAATAGAAGCAAGAAAAGTGTTTAATATCCTATAAATGTTCTCATGAAATTTTAAGTCAGAGTAATATGTTTCTGGAAAAATACTATCTTGGAAAGTAATTTATGGCCAGACAGCAGATCAGCACTGTCGACTTAGTAGATTCGTTAAACAAAGGAACTCACTCTGGTGTCCTTGTCGCCATGGTCTCTGACCATAGAAGTCAAGGTTGTCCAAAAACTCAAGGGGGTCAGGGTGGATCAGCTGTGTCAGGGGCTGCAATGAAAATCATAAAAAATATTAGGTAAGTAATTTTAAGTTTAAATATCATATTTCACACTAAAATCTATTGTTTTTTTAACTGCAGTAAAGTTTCCTCTTGGTACAAAGAGTTCGAAAATAAATCAAACTGAAATGATTTTAACTCTATCTTACAGAATAGTACTAATACCAGACTGAATAAAAGTAGTGATAGAGTAAAAATTGTAGTCATTGTTACCTTACAGAATCCACGGCAGAGCTGTTTCCTATTCACAGCATGATTAGCAGCTTGCTGATAGTAAAACCCAGGGTGTTGGGTCTGTATGGCTGTCAAACCTAGCTTGATGGCTTCATCAAATAAATCACCAAACACCTGGAACCTAGCCGGTACACAAAGTCTTGTTAGTATGGTATATGTATTACACCCCAGTAAACCCTAAAACACCTTAAACCTAGCCGGTACACAAAGTCTATAAACACCAGTAAATCATCAAACAAACCTAGCCGGTACACAAAGTCTTGTTAGTATGGTATATATGTATTAAAACACACCCCAGTACACAAAGTCTTGTTAGTATGGTATATGTATTACACCCCAGTAAACCCTAAAACACCTTAAACCTAGCCGGTACACAAAGTCTTGTTAGTATGATATATGTATTACACCCCAGTAAATCATAATACACCTGGAACCTAGCCGGTACACAAAGTCTTGTTAGTATGATATATGTATTACACCCCAATAAATCATCAAACACCTGGAACCTAGCCGGTACACAAAGTCTTGTTAGTATGATATATGTATTACACCCCAGTTAAGCCAGTACACAAAGTCTTGTTAGTATGGTATATGTATTACACCCCAGTAAATCTTAAAACACCTGGAACCTAGCCAGTACACAAAGTCTTGTTAGTATGATATATGTATTACACCCCAGTAAATCTTAAAACACCTGGAACCTAGCCAGTACACAAAGTCTTGTTAGTATGATATATGTATTACACCCCAGTAAACCCTAAAACACCTGGAACCTAGCCAGTACACAAAGTCTTGTTAGTATGGTATATGTATTATACCCCAGTAAATCATAAAACACCTGGAACATTACAGGTACACACACTGTGGAACAGATAGCCAAATATAAACTGCATCTACAAACTTGTAGGCACACAGATTATGATAAAACATTACATACTGTTTGGACATCCAAGCACTGTGTTCAAAAGCCAGCTCAGCTATTCCTACTTTGCTTTTGAAAAAGTCAATGTGCTTCCGAAATTGAGCAATGGAATCCAGTGGTGCATTGTGTTGGAAAGACAGTCGACAAATCTGTCCATGAAGAAAAAATTGAATTAATACAACTAGAAAATATCTGTCAGACAAGGATGTCTTCACTCTCATTCATAATGTGACTTCAGACTTTAATCTTGACCAACCATGATCTTTATATGATAAAGTTTAGCAATTAACATTTAACATTGTGATACTTTCGGGTACATATGGAGGAAATCTATGTAAAATGTTCTCAAGATATGACATTAATTTGGAAGGTGAACACACACACACACACACACACACACACACAACACACACACACACACACACACATGTGTAATACTAGATGCCATCATACATGAAATTCATTAAAACAGGCAAGACAAATATTCTTCATGATTAGCACTGCATTGTCAATTTACATTGAGTAATTTTCTTCAGCATTCACTAAGTATGCAACAAAGAAGAAACATGGAAAGATAAGAGATAAATACACACTCACCTTGTAGTTGATGAAGCCAGCAATAGACTTGATCTCCAGGAGGTTGGTGTCGTGCATCCTTAACTCCAATAGGTGTCCATAAGCTTGTTTATAATGTCTTTATAGATAGAAAATTGGAAATCATATCTCAAATCTTAACGTGAATATAAACAAAAAATATCAATTATAAATGAAATTCAATTAGTGTCAGCATGTCAAAATAGGCAGTATTTACAAACTTACATGAATGTCATGTTACTGACCTGTTTCAGTGCATAGATGAAAGCTCTTTCTTATTCAAAATACTTGCCTAAAATTGGCATATACGCTTTTGTTAATTTGAATAATTAACTCAATTTAAAATTCCATTCAAGAATGCTTGAACTAATATTTCAGACTTACTTCAAAGCAGTGTGACTATCCTGTTTTAGTTCACTGAAGAATGCTATTTTAAACTGATGTCTGACAAACAAAAGCTGGAAAAGAAAAAATGGACGTCAAACTAGTTACATTACATTTATACATGCTGTAGCTATCCAGATTTCAAATAAATTCAACATTGAATTCATAATCAACATGTAAAACAAATCAGGGTTAAACTACACACTGAGGTTAAACCATTTACCAGTATCAAATAACTGATATTGGTTAAACCAATTACTGAGGTTAAGCTATTGACAAAGGTAAAATAATTGACCAAAGTTAAACCACTGACCAAGGTAAATCCATTTAACAAGATTAAACAGCCGACTAGGGTTATACCACAGCCTTACCAATTTAATCAGTAAATGAAATTAAAACACTAAACAAATTGAAACTACTGACTTGAGTTGGACCACTGATGACAATTAAACCACAGGCTTAGGTTAAACCATTAAATGTGTTTAACTACTGACAAAGGATAAGCCAAGGTCTTGAGATGTTATATAAATCATGGAGGTGATATGTACAGTGGTTTTAACACTTACCTGGTGGGTTGTTTTGTTAAGGAAGTCTCGGTGAGCCTTTACTTTTCTAGCCTCTCCATGATAGTAACTCTGAGCTAACTCATAAAATGCATTCTCCAACCTGAAAAATTTGAAGTATTAATTTTGTTATTGATAAAATTCAAGGAAATGTTTGGGTTACTTCAGAATCCTCATATCCATTTAAAACTCAGTTTGAACATCATTTACAGTTCATCATTATTTTTCAAATACCTTTTCAAAAAGTTATGATAGGCAAAGGTACTAAAACACATTATACTAGTACAAGCATTCTTAGTTCCTCAACAGTTACACAATTTTCCATCTGTATATAGAATTGTGTGAGGACCTTATTCCTTGAGTCAAACTTAAGCATCACAAGGAACACTTTTTGAAGTCATATTACAAAAAATATGAGATAAACTCTAGACTGTATGGACTGACATACAGGTGCAACTATCAAATGTAAACCTTTATTCCACATAGGGAATTGAATAGGTTCATACTCTTAACTAATTTGCCTTACAGAAGTTTTACAAAACAACAATGATGAAAATCATAGAAACGATTAAAATATTGTTAAATCATCAATTAGAATCAATAGGCTTACTTGCTGAAACTATTTCACTTATCCTATCAATGATGACATCTTTTTAATCAGTCTGAATGAGATAAACCAGTTTCTACCTGATGGTGTAGCCAATTAGATGATCGGTGTGTGGCAGAACATATAGCTGCTTGGCAGACAGATCACAAGCACTACACAGAGAAGCTGCCCTCTCTGCAGCCACCACATCTTCTCCAGGGGGTAGAGGTGCATTCTTCTGGATAAGCACAACTGCCACTTTTGTCCCTCTGTTAGCCAGGCTGTTCCTGTCATAGAGATGGGTTACAGAGAGAATGAGCAATTTTATATCTGCATAATGCAAATGACAAATGTATGTAGCAGCTTTCGGAGGCTGATTGAAATATGCTTGCCATCAATAATTCAAGAACTTTAAATGATCCCGAAACATTCATACAGAGTTATGTTTTTTGGTCTCATTTTCACTTGATTTTCAGAAAGAATCAGATCATTTACATATGAGTGGCACTAAGCCATGAGACTTTATACAACAATATCCATACATGTGACACCATCAACTTGTACCTATCAATATCCAAATTTATGATACACATCCAGGGATCCTCAATATTTACCTGACTATTTCCACTCGAGTAGCACACTCCATCTGCTTCTCCTTCCAGAGGTGTTCGTCCCAGTCTAGGTCAAAGAAAACAACAACAACAGCAGGGACCTGGTTCAAGTGTTTGTTCATCCATGACTTCTTCAGCATTCCCTTAGGAATGTACCATTCATAAGACTGACGCTGCAGGAGGAACATTGACATTTATATAAGAATTTAACAAGGTGAATCCATCAATCAGGTATATATGTATCAGTATGTAATTGTTTCTACTAAGCAAACAGTATATATTATAAATTTCCCACCCCTCCCTCCTTATTGGATGTTATATTATATGCCTTCCCAAGGTACATATAAAGTATAAATTATTTGACTCCTGGAACTGGTAGTTGACTAATGTTGTACTGCACAAAGCCGAAGGTAGAGGCATCAGGTTTACAGAGTTACATACCCTGTTTAGATGTATCTGTATGCTGTCTATATAAAGATCTCATCTAGACTTACCTTATTGGTTCTACACTTAGGGTACTCATGATCCCCAGCAGTGACTTTGAATTGTAGTGGGACACGATCAGATCTTCGGTTATTAAAGAAGGAGTCCCAGATTAATTTGTGGATAGCATTGTACGTTATGTCTAGTCCAGTGAGGGACACTAAGGCAGTTGGCCGACACAGAAGTTCTTGGGGAAGATTACTTGCCCAGGCCATATTTGGGCCAGGTGCTGATTTCTTTTCTCTGTATGATAATATAATCATAAATATATAGATACCATGAATGTAATTATTTGGTTTCTAAACTAACTCACACCATACAAAAATTTTATAATTTAATTTGACTCCATTATTGAGCCTTCTCATGATCATTCTGAGAATTTTTTATTTTCTTTTTAAAAAAAATCTGCATAATGAATTTGCTTTTATACTTAAACTGAAAAATATTCATAGTTTATGATGTTCAAGAAAATATCATTATCTAACACACTAAAAAGAAAAGAAATTCATTCTTATGACTTTAATACATTGCTGTTAACATTATAGCCTTATGCCCCTTTCACATAATCTGCAGTTCAGGTGACTTGGAGTTATTCCATAATGTACAAATTCTCCTGTACCAGATGTTGCAATAGATATATGTCAATCTCAAAATGCAGTTTTGGTAGTTCCTGTCCAACATAAACCAATGAACTTGTACTTAATAGCATAAATTCTACTGAATATATGCATGCATGGATCCAGTTTTATGCAGAAATTCTGAAAACTAACAATATTCAGCTAGTTAGGTTCAGACAGGTATATAGCTGGACCCCTCAAACTGTGTGTTCTGAATATATGCTGCAGTCCAACCTCAGAACCGATCCGCTATTTTGCTTGCAGATTTAGTCAATCCAACAGTTTACTTAAAATCGAGCTTATTTTCAACAACTACCATTCCTCAATGTATTTTTTCCTATCTACTTGGAATATTCACGGGTTTGTTTCAAGAAAAAACAATGTTACTGATTACTCTTTTCCTACATAATATTGTTGTTTAGAAAACTTACATCATAACTTCCAATGAGTTGTATAACTAATTATATAATTATGATCTAAAGTAAATATGACAAGTCCGTAATCCAGAAAGCTTCCAAGCAAAGGGCTGAACTGGTGAAGCTTTTTTCCGACCGTTTATTTTTCTACCCTATATATATGCCATGTTTAAGTTAATGCTTTTTCTAGAGGAAGACACTTTTCTTGTCTACAAATTGCATACTTACAACGATTTTTTTGTGCCGTAAGTTTCAAGATGCAAGAGACTTAAATGACACTTCCACTGACATTTCCTAGGCGTCTTACAGGAAATGTAGAAACCGTTCTAAATTACAAAACGAGACCAAAAACTCCGCTAATGAAAATATCAATTAGAATTTCCAGTTTAAAATAATTAAAACGAACAAAACAAAAATATTTTATGTACATTTAATATAATCAGTATTAACGATTTCAGATATTTTCCATTTGATATATGAATCTAACTCAGCTGTAATTTTAATCCGGGACGATGTTTCAAAATTTAGAAGAAAACCAAGATGTCTGCGCCCATGATGTGGCATGAATGTTTTGTCGATGACTGAAGGTATTTTATACCTCTGTAGTTTCCACTGCTATTATTCTGAATTCAGAACATCAATTTCGTTATTTGGTTCGATCAGTGGCGGAATCGAGTGGTTCTCCTGTAATTTTACATGTCTTGGGATCAAATTGTCCGGTGTCTTTATCATCGTGCTACAGAAATTGAAAGAATTGTTACTTCATACCATATAAGTAAATTATACACTACCCGGAACAGACTTTGAGTGTGAAACAATGTATTTTAGTATTGTAAATATGCTGTTTTGAGTTTTGTTAATATATGTACATGTAAATGTTTTGAAATTAGAGAAAGGACTGAAGTTGTACAACTTATATACAATCCTGTCGCTATCAAAAGGCAGTAAATATGTTTAAATCAAAATCAAATGAAGAGCAAATTTTGTATAGAGATGAATGACAATGAGTGAAGTAAATTGCAAAACATGGAAGTTACATGATTTCTCATGTGATCTTGTAGAGTTACCTCCCTTCCTTCACTCGTTCAATCATGATTCTTGACAACTAATGGAAATCTTTAATTTAATGAAATTCGGTTAGATTATAAATTCATGAAGAGTACTATTTAACTATAAGATTAGCAATACTCATGACTTTTTTTTAAACCACTGCTGTCCCTTGAAATGAGTCTGTTGTGATAGTTTAGATTGGTTATTATAAGTTGATTACCAAGTAATTTTATAATACTGAAGTTAGAATATTGTTGAAATCTTATTTGATTAAGATTTATAAGAGTACATTTAAAGTGAATGGTTGATTAATTTAATTATTAAAGGTTTTAAGTACTAAAGTACTTGTGTTTTCTTTCAGTTATTTTGAAGTAAGGATGAGATTATAAAACTGTTACATGATATTGGTTCATCTCCCTACAACACAAATTAGCTGCATAAATAACGCACAAAGACAGGATGAGTTGTCAAGAGCAACAAGAGGTAATTATATGTTCCAAGATACATGTCTCGGCATGTGTATGTAGTCTATTTCTTTTCTGTAGAGGTATCCAAAAGAGTAACTTCCCTGGACCCAATTCAAGTGTCACATGATACGTTATAATATACAAGGACCTGCCTTTCAAAAAATATTAAAACTGCAGAATTGTACCCATTAAAGTGATTTATGTTAACATGATTTATCTGTTAAATGTAATTTAAGAATTTGAAATGCAATAAGTAAACATGTAACAAAATACCCAATGGAATTCTTCCTAATGTGATATATAAACAACTTGTTTGAAAATACTTTCATATGATTCTGATCTTTATCTTACTGCAAAAATATGAATTATTTTATTTTTGATGATTTTATGGGTACAAATGTACAAGTGTGTGTGAATCTTTTAATTGTTTTATTAATGAAGATGTATACTATTCACCAATTCTCACTAAAGGTTGCTAATACAGGCATTTTGTTGGTTAGATACCAACATTTCTGCACAGATTTTTATCAAAGATAAGCAATTCTTTGTTTGAAAATTTGTGAAAGAGAATGAACAGGTTATGCAGAAATTAACAAAACTATTGGTATTTTCAGGAATAGGTCAACAACCAGTATATAACTAGTATTAGATTTCTCAAGTTTTACAATGTCTTTCTACCCAAAGGACTATTAAGATAAACCAACTCAGTCACATTAAGTTTCATCAGTGGTGACTAATCACTGTAATCATAACAGTTGTAAGGTATTTCATTCATTTTGGCACTTTAGGAGGAGCTGGAGGTGCTACATTCCATTTATGAAGGGGATGAGTCATTTAAGGAAGTCAATCCCACAACATTTCAGTACAAGGTAAAACATTGTCAAAACAAGATTTAGATACACAGAAATAATTGGGAAAACATTTGCCATTGTATCACAGAAATCTTATTTCACCTGATCAGAATGTTTGATGAAGGTCCAATTTAAATATATTGATCATTTTATATGAAAAATCTCTCAAAAGTTGTAGGTACCTAGGAAGGTTATGTAAGTTTTTCTCCCTATTTGGAGTTACTAGTTCGAAGAGGTAGTTGTGTTCACACATGGTTATGAATGTTTTACATATTTCTCATTTGAAACCAGTTTGGCGATGAAGGCAGTTACAAGGCATTTAATGTAGAGATTGTTTGGGGTGACAATTATCCAGAGGAGAATCCAACCGTTAATCTGGATACTTTCTACAACAAACACATGTATGTATTTATACAATGTATATAAGTATGATAAATTGGTCGTTAATATCATCCTGGTCATATTTTGATAAAGTTGATACCACTGACACTTTCGGAATGATATCAAAGTGTAGGATGTTTAATTTCAAAGTGAGCAAATATTGAGCTGTTTTCAGCATATCTCCATCTTTTTCATTTTGAAAATGATTGCCAACTTTTAGATTTTAAGATATTTAGATATATTGTGTTTAATTTATAAAAATGATCCATTTTCTGACTTCAAGAAAATTGAAATTTGGGTTTGTCAGCTTAACATTATATCAAATATTCTGTGGACATTTTTCAGACTTGCTGGAGTAAAAGAGAAAATTCAAAGTGGCCTTCAGGATCAGGTAATATGATTGCACGATACAAACTGTATTGAAAGAATATTGAAAAATAAACAAAAAAAACACACTCATATCATTTATAGGTTTTCAGTTGAATTACTGTCAAATGTTGATTATGTCCCCCAAACAAAGTGGAGGGACATATAGTGTTTGCTCTGTTTCTTATTATTATTATTATTTTTTTTTTTATTATTCTTATTTCTTCCTCTTTCTTCTGCCAGCAAGGTTTCCGACACATTTCTCAAAAACTATTGCATTGAATTTAACTTAACTTTACACACATATTCATACATGCGAGGCGGAGTGCAGGCCCCTTGAATTTTTCCAATCGGTCATCTGAGCGGTCAGCTGTGGTAAAAATTTGGCCAAATTTTAGATATTGTCTGATTTTCATGAAAATTGGTATATATGTATGAGGTGGCACTATAGGAGCAAAATGGCATAGTCCATGTTTGGCATGACTGCAGGTCTGATTATTGTTATTATTTACTGCTGAAAGGGGTCGTTTGGGGGACATTTGTAATGGTCCCCATTAAATTTAGTGCTTGTTCTTATTTGTTTTAAGCCCTAAAATTGAATCAAATGTTACATGTATTTTGTAACCCATTAGGTTTATTGTTCTAAAACTATGGTAGGGTAACTAGAGACAATTACTGGGTATGCATGTTGATACAATGTTAAACAATTCTCATAGTTATATTGTCTGTTTTAGATACCAGACTTACTTGGATGTGCCATGACTTTCACACTGTTTGAGTGGATAAAGGAAAGCTATGAGGACCTGGTGGTCGACCAACCCGATTCACAGCCAATTATACAGGTACAGCTCCCCTAAGATATATTCTCGAGCCCTTTTATATGGGTATAATATGTCTTTTTGTAACAGGACATGGTTGGTTTTGAAATCTGAATCAGGGTAATAACTTTCTACACACTTATGAAACAATTTTCCGGTCTGAAGAAGTTTGAGATACCAATACTATCACGACAATTTTGAAATACTTTCAAATTTAAGAAATATTCTCAAATTTAAGAAATATTCTCAAATTCAAGAAATATTCTCAGATTTAAGAGATTTATTCTTAAATTGAAGTTGTAAGAGATACAGTCACAGCTAAAATCACATGAAAAGAGTTTGAGATGCTCATTCTAAATTCTCTGAGATTTTTTATTCTTATATAATATAAGGTGTTTTCATTGCACATTACTAAACAGTACTATTGTCACTGTAAACTGATTGTGATTTAATCTTTAAAAGTCATTTTTTGTTGACATCCTGACAGGTTGAAGACAAACCTGAATCAAACAGCAATAATATAATGGAGATTTCCAAAAAGAAGGAAAAGAAAGAACAGCTCACAAAAAACCAAAAACGAAGACTGTTTGATAAATTGAATGCACAGGGAGATCGTCCACGAGGCCATGATTGGGTGGATATAATTCGTCATCTTAGTCAAACAGGAGGTGTGATCAAGGATTAGTGATATCCTGGTAACAAGGGTGCAAATGACAAGTCTTCATCACAAGGACTATTGTGTGTTATATAAACATGGAGCAATGATGTTCAGTGATGGCCTTGAGTACATGTTCTGTTGTTATATTGAAACATACTGATAAGGCCAAAGAATGCAATCTGATTCACATTTAATCTTTTGAAACATTTGCTGATGATCTTCACTATGGGTATCCTTATCTAGGTCATCTTCATTGATGGGTCACTTATCTAGGTCATCTTCATTGATGGAACCCTTATCTAGGTCATCTTCATTGATGGGTCACTTATCTAGGTCATCTTCATTGGTGGAACCCTTATCTAGGTCATCTTCATTGGTGGGTCACTTATCTAGGTCATCTTCATCTTCATTGGTGGAACCCTTATCTAGGTCAGCTTCATTGGTGGACCCTTTATCTATGTCATCTTCATTGATTTGATAGAACCCTTATCTAGGTCATCTTCATTGGTTGAACCCTTATCTAAGTCATCTTCATTGATGGAACCCTTATCTAGGTCATCTTCATTTGTGGAACCCTTATCTAGGTAATCGACATTGGTTGAAACCTTATGTAGGTCATCTTCATTTGTGGAACCCTGATCTAGGTCATCTTCATTGGTGGTACTCTTATCTAGGTCCCCTCCAATATTGATGCCAAGGTCATGTCAGCTCACCAAGGTAATTTGTAATTGTGATGTCATCACTAAGGTGATTAATTGTGAGATGCCACCACAAAGTCAAAAAAGATTGGAGGCGGGATTACTGGAATGTTAATTTTATTTTAATGTTTAACTTTAAATTTCTTTATCTTGTTTAAACAAATTCAGTACATAACAAAATAACTACTTATGTATAACAAATTATCCTTAATTGATATTATGATTAAACATGTGATATGCTTTACAAACATTCACATAAATACATGAGTATGTTTTTTTTTTATCTGCTTTGAAATGAATTTCTATTATAAAATTGATTTGATATTTATTTTGTGTTGTTTTACATTGAGATCACAGTCAAAGTTCACTCATATCTTTGCTGATGAATGTTTGAGAAAACAAATGCAATACTAAACCTATGACAGTGATAGATGCATTATTTAGGAAATCTCATTTCCCAATATACTGTGATGTTATTGCTATGTGATACTATAAACCTACCTGTTTTAGTGATGATATAATTATTTCAGGCTGAAGATACCACACTAAAACACGATTGTTTTAGTTGTAGTTAATGTAAGTTGTTGATATAGCAGTTATTGTGAACGTGCAAATTTATCATTGCACTTATTTTTCAAAATTGTATTGTGCTAAAATTTGACTGCATCAATGTAAGCACATTTATAGTACATGTTCCACATTAGGAAAATAATTTCTGTCTCCTGATACAGGTACGGCTCAGTGCCAGGGTACAGAAAGAATTACTTGGAATATGTTGATAAGTAACAAAACTATTCATAATAAAAAAATCAGAATCATGTCATGCTGTTCTTTTTTGTTGATTTCAATCCTGCAGTACATTTAACAGTTACCTTTCAAGTGACAGAAAGTTTGAAACTCTGCACTTCAAAGTAACTTAATAAACTAGTAATTTTCTTTTGATATTTAATAGATCTAGCTGTGACATTCAAACTTCATCCCTGACAACAATGAGTCCATTATATTTACAGCATGTTTATTTAAGTGAATTATAGATTATGAAAAGGTCCGTGTAGCTGGTTGATGTGAATTCTGTCTTCAGATTGCGATGTGGGTGATAACATCATGTACAATTCAAATTGAAAATGACAACACTATTAATTTTCATGGATATAGCAACACTGCGAGTGTGGGTATCAAAAGGTATTAAGGGCAATTAAACAAAAACTACATTGTAAATATAAAGAGGAAATGAACAACAATATACTCACATGTTACATGTTGGTGGGTATTTAATATGTCTACTAGTTTGCCTGTATCACAGAGGCTTCAAGACAAATTTGATGAGTGGGAACTCCCTGAAGTACTCTTCAGAATGAAAACCTTTCATGGTTAACTATTACTTATATACAATGGAAAATTTTCATTGTTAACTATTACTTATATACAATGGAAAATTTTCAAGAACAATTATCATAGTTCATCATGAGGAAAAATGAGTTTAAGCAGTTTACAATTAAAATTGAAAAATTAAAATCAGTGTTCATTATTTTTCACCAATCAATTTCTTCCAGTTGATGGTTTGATCATAATTCGTTCTTTCATTAAAACAAATGGTGTGGGTGAATTTTGATAGGTCTCTGTAAATGATTTTGAGTTCACCTTGTTTGAAGGACCGTTGAGCTCGTGTGCTGGTATGGTGTCCATCAAGTCATTAATAAAAATCGTTATTTGTCATGAATGACTGAACAGATTTTGACCAAATTAGGTCTGAAGCATCCTTGTTGACAGGGGAACCCATGTCTTAAATATCACACTCCTCTCGTCAGAATGAATGGCCTTTGCCCAAACTTTGTTGGGTGAAGGGGAATCAATCTTGTATAGACATCAGGTCGCGGCACCCTAGGGCAGGAGGGGTGGGGCACAATAGGGGAAATGGAGTGAATTCTTGAAAATCCTAATCCTCCTGTGGGAATGACTGGATATTAACCTAATTTTGTCTTGAGTAAAGGGGAATCAATCTTTTAAAAATGTTAGCTCTCCTTCCCCTTGGGATGAGAAGGGCGGGGCCAAAGAGAAGAAATAGAGTACATTCTTTAAACTAATAGTAACTTATAGTATTTTTCCAACACAGGTCCTTAAAAAGTCCTCTTCGTCGGACTCATTAATGTTATCATATTTATGACCTGTAGTGTCTAATACAAAATCCGCCTTGAAGTCATACAATACTTCTTGATCCTTCCAAAAGTTGTCCTGGCATTCAGAACTTTTTCTGGTAGCCTGTTCCACAGTTTTGCGGTCCTCACACTGCAGCTGTGTTTCCTGCTGTTCAGCCTGGATCTTTGCATATATATCTTCTTTGAGTTCCCACGTCCTTGCGCTCTCTGAACGTTATCATTGCGCAATTCGACGAAGTTTCCAGATTCCATATCATATTTTCTGCTCAAGATCTTGTACACTTCAATCATATCACCTCGACTTTTCCTATATTTCAGGGTGGGTAGCTTAAGTTTCCGTAATCGGTTCTCGTATGTTAAGTTATTGTATCCTGGTCACTGCTTGGTTGGTATGATTTGTACGGAAACCACTCTGAGCTAGCGTAATCAAGGTGTGTTTTCACTAATCTTTTATATAGGGGGAGGATGACTCGTCTAAATGCTGGATTATTCTTCGTAAAATCCTAATAATCCTGTAGGAATGATTTAGTTGGATCATACAGGTTCTACTGCTGATATAACATTGTTAATGTGGTGCTAGATATTGGTGTGTTAAAATTCCTCTGTTCCACTTGGTATTGCATTTTCTTCGATTTGCTGAACTGACGTCGTATAATTCATCCAACGAGATATTAATTAATGCTTTTGCTTGTTGGCTTTGAGGTTCATTATTAGATATTCTAAGGCGATTGCAAGCCATTTTTTCCAAAATTCACATATTTCTGTCAATGGAATCACCTCCTCCTGATATCACGACTAGATTTTCCAATATTTCCGAGTTTTATAACTATTTCTCGTCGCATAAAGAATGTTTGTCACTCTCTACAAGAATGTCTTGTTCGTGAATTTATCTAAAATTATCTGAATTTTCTCAGAAATGATTACGCCTGGACGATAAGAATTAATAATCGTGTGAGGATAACCTGCCGTTAACACTACTTAAGGTTTCGTTGATATTATCCTACTAAATAACAACATCTACCAGAACCAGCTGGTGATTGTCTTATCTCCTACACTTTGGCCTTGGCACCTTTCACACACGAGAACAGTCGTCTCGCTCTTCACTCTTCTACTATAAACAGCTATCTTCTGGACAGTCTACACGTGGTCATCTTGTAACTCCGGCAGTCTACACGTGGTCATCTTGTAACTCCGGACAGTCTACACGTGGTCATATTGCCGGACAGTCTATACGTGGTCATATAGTAACTCCAGACACCAGGTCATTTTGTTCGGGCGTTGAAACACAGGTAAGACGTAGTGTATTTACATCTATTTGAAGAAGCCTGATGATAATGCTGACTAGTTTGAGTTTATTTTAAAAACGTGTGCGATAATCAGTAATTAACATGCCAGGTAATTATCCTGTACTAAAACTACCACGGTAACCTTGTTCGGAATAAAGGATGTGTCTTTCATCACAACTCTGTAAAAAGTAAGGACTTGTTAATCCGAACATATGATAACAGTTGTACTGTGTTTGACCAAACATAAAGTTGATATATTGTTCTTCCGAACGAAACAGATACTATGATGCTTTGTTACCTGAACATATGTTTACGTTGTTTTGATGAACGAAGTAAAAACTATAGTGCTTTGTCCGGACACTACTTAATGAAGAGAATTTTTTTTATAGTTTTGAATGTATATTGTAATGTGCTGTTAATCTGTGTGCTTTCTATCACCAGATATAACCCCCTTTCTCTCGATGACCTCCTAGATTTCAAAATATAGTACCTTAGCATCTCTGTCGAATCCGAGAAGGATGAAACAGCTGTATGATGCTGTTTAGTTATATGGCTCCGTTGTATCTAGTTCTGAAATTATATTGTAAGTTGTCATCTTTTTGTGTGTTTTGTACAATCAGGTATACAACCCCCTTTCTCTTGACAGCCATGGTACATGTACACAAGGGAGCTAAGAAGAAGGATGCTGCGGCCTTGGGAAAGTTCCTTACCGAACATACGGTCAAGGTAATGACGTCATTTTTAGCAACAATTTAAATGTAATTAAGGATGTAGGAGTCAGTTGTTCTCATTGGGAAGTCTGACATGATGATCGGTCAGTCGTTAATAGAGGTCTATGGAATCTGGTAATTCAGTCGTGGTGTCAGTCCCTCGTGGTGGTCAGTCGGACATAACACTAAAGTCAGTTCGTCAAACCCTTCATCCATACTACAACCATCGGCTCCACAAACCCTTAATCCAACCAACCAGCCCCATAAACACACTACTACCACCAACCGGCTCCATACACATAATCCATCAACCAATCTCACAAACACTACAGCCACCAACCAGCCCCACAAACTCTTAATCCACTAATCAGCCCCACAAACCCCTTAATCCACAAACCATAGATTAGATATTCGTGGTGAATGTCATATGTGAAAAGAAAGCCTCATATGAAAATGTATTGAAATGATAAAGAGTGTTTTTGTATTGGTTATCACACGTGAAATGTTTAGACTTACAAGGGTGAAAAGTTGAAAAGAAAATCACAATATTCACACAGCCATTTTTTTTAGAAGTTTCCGATGGAGTATGACGGATTTTCCTTCACTGATAACCCTTGTTTTCTAGGCAGAAAGACGAGGGCTGAGCCTCTTTAAGGTCATTTTGACAGCAACAGTCACAGCCCTCCTGTCTTTTGGACTGTTCCAGTATATGGACACTCAGGTCCCGGAGGGGGTCACCGAGGTCTGGAGCGCTCGGATACTGGACGCTGCGCTCAGGTTTAACGGCAAGGCAGTGCGTATCTACAATTATGGGTCACAATGTCTACAATCATGGGTTACAATGTCAACAATTATGGGTAACAATGATATGCTGACCAGATATAAGAAAAAAATGGTAAAACGTAGGAAATAGATAATGATAAAACATGATTTTTTTTTTTCAAAATACCATGTCTTGCAAAATGTAAACTACAGCTGATACATTTATTCTTATATCTACAATATCCCGTGAACAAGGAAAAGGGGGTTTGCAGTGGATATCAGTTACATCAGCGGGTCGATAACGATAAACAGACATTAACATAAAATAGACAATTACAAATAACCTGTACATACACAGGTTCACAGCTAATAACACATCTTTCAAAATCTCTTGTTGGCTGTGACGGAATTTCTCACACGTCTAAATACAAGGGAACTGAGGCCCACAGTAAGATCTGAACAACTAAACAAAAGAAGCTCTGAATTCTATACTTAAGGCAGTAACATGTTGAAGCATAATATGTTTTTATTATCGAAACGTTGACACTTAATTAAGCAATGGAAGGTATTCTCACAAGGATGTCCCAAGTTGTAAACCGAATCTTCGACAAGATTCACTCGAGAACATTTGTGACTCAGTATAACGTTAAACTATCTTCTCCAAACCTGAAGTTTCCAGGTGAGGTAATTGTACATTTAATCTCAGAGAGTTTTTAAATACATCTATGGAAGGAAGAGATTGTAGATAGATCTAGCGAGTTCCAACAACGAAGGTTGTTAAGCTGAGTGTATCGGCTATTTTCTGCAATCGTGGATGGTAGGAGGTCGTTTAAACAACCGGAGTTAACTTTTTATGCATTTTATGTAAAAATCGTAGTTTTTTTACGTTTTCGGCGATTGGAACGAGTATCTGAATCTGATACTTACTGTGTCAGCCTGTCGTTTTTCTTTTGTTTTTCTCTAACTTTTTTAATTCAAGACATGCCGTATAAAAAGCATCATCTGTTAGATGACAAGTAAAAAATCCAAAGACACGTCAATATTATTTATGTATATTAAGACAAGTGCGGACCAAGAACGGAGCATTGAAGAACTCCTGCTTAATTCCAACTTAATTGAGAATAAGAACTATTTAAGAAACTATATGTTGCCTGTGAAATAAGTTATTTTCAAACCATGTATATAGTTACCGTAACATTTGTAAGATTTTAATTTGCCCACCAAACCTTTATGCTAAACCCGATCAAAAGCCTTTGGAATGTCACAGAATACCATGCATACAGGTTTTTCTCTTCAAGGGCAATATAAATGTTGTGACAAATTTCAAATAGCAGATTGAGCAGTTTATAAAAAGTGAGTTTTCTACGGTGTAAGTATGCAGGAATTAGCCGATAGTTAGAAGGAGAATGCTTATTACATTTTTTAAACGGTGGTATGACCTTGGCTCTTTCACACTGTGCATATGGATTGAAATTTAAATTTGATTTACAGTTTTACCTATATAACTTGTACTGATCCTGTTTTACCTTTATTATTTAGATATTGAGCCTTCACAACTTTGGTATCACTGGTGGAGTGACGTGGTACACAAGGAAACTGGTAGACGTTGTCCTGACAACAATGATTACCGGAAGTCCGTTTGGATTAGGAACAGATTCAGAGTTGAAGGTACGCGTGTACAATGATAATACCTTTCTAGTTTAATATATGAATGCGTATTTTATCAATAAGATCGTCTGTTTGTTTACCTCTGTTAAAATTTATCAAATTTAATTTTTTTCTGTTCTGAATCAAAAGACCTAAAGATTGCTTGAATCCATCGACATTTCATTTGGGTTTGATTGTCGACTCCCAGAGGATGACCAATAAGGCAACATTGAAATGTTTTCTTCGGTTTCCAATAGACATTTGATTCTGAATCATTGCTGTCTTTGATGGTTACATGTACTGAAATGTTTCTTTCAAGCATTCGTAAGAAAATATTGTCGACGTTTTTGGCCTGAATTTACTTAAATGTGGAAAAAACACAAAGTATTTTAGCACGTAAAGCATATTAGTACCACTTAACATTATAAAGATTTAGTCACGTTGTAAAAATTGTTCCCGCTGTCACTACAGTATCAGTGTTTTGTAGTCGCACACTATGTTATTTATAACACGTTTTCCCAAACTTTCTTAATTATTTAATTACTCCAACGGTTAATGCTTAATTGATTGAAGTATCTTGTATATTGATAAGATGAGACAGCTAAACCTTCGTCGAAATCCAGCTAAACCAGACTCTTCACATTAACCAATGAGCGGGGGGTTTCGCGAGATCTCAAATTACTCAAAATTTGCATTATTCAATGTTAATATCAGCAAACATTTACGGATGTTATCCTCAACAACTGTAGTAACACTCGCTGTTGTAACCTTGAAAGTCGTTTCCAGTTTTAGATGGAACTTATTTGCCCTTCTAGAAAATAATTCACGAAAATAACTGTGAATAATATTCTCATTTTGGTACTGTTTTAGATCTATGACACGGAGTTCGCTGGTGTAGGGGTCCGGGTGTATGAACCAGTAAAAGGTCCACACACAGCACGCCCTGCCTTGGTGTATTATCATGGCGGGGGCTGGTCTTGGCTGTCTGTCGGTAAGTCGGAAAGGGAGTGAAGTACAATGAGCCGTGGTTGTAACTGGTTTTTTCCTGTTTCCATGTTTTTAGATAGGAAGTTAGTATATGTTATGCTTAATTTGCAGTACAAGTAATCTTTTTCTTAAACCTGGTGCCGAAAATTATTAACTTCATGATCCACCTCGCCATGGTACATTTCAGATGTGTATGATCAAGCAACACGGGAATTGGCGAAAAGAGTGGGAATGGTTGTAGTTTCTGTGGCGTAAGTATTTCCGTTGTTTTTTTTATATTCTACACAGATTTGCTAAGAGAATAATTTTAGCATATTTACTCTCAAAATACTTATAATTGTTTACATATCAAGGCTGGCACTAAACCATGCGTGTTTTCTTGGATTGGCGAGGTTTATGCAAAGGAACAAAATTGTCAACTAAAACTATTCCAACCTTTAAATAAATTCGATGTACAATTACATTTTTAAAAAACAGTTTTTTTAAATATGTTTTTCTCCTAACGTGTAGTCAGGCCTGTATCAGATGTTGTCTTCTTGGTAGTCAAACTGACATTTTTTTTTTTTTTTTTTTTAAATTGTCACGTTATGTTTCTTCAGGTATAGACAGTCCCCGGAGCATCCCCACCCAATACCATTTCAGGACTGTTTAGCAGTCACAGAACATGTGATCAACAATGGTAAACAACTAGGAATCGATACTTCACGCGTAGCTATTTCCGGAGACAGTGCGGGAGGACATCTCACAGCCGCTGTATCACTCCGCCTAAAAAAGAAAGTCAAAATTCAAATCCCAATATATCCTTGTCTTCAGCTTTTAGACATGAAAACACCGTCATATGTTGAGAATAAGAACTTCGTCCCGGGGATGTTAAACGATGTGTCGATGTTAACCTATTGGTTGAACTATGGAAACATCAGTTACGACCACCTGGAAAAAATCCTAACTAATCAGCACACATCTCCAGCGCTTAAAAAGTCCAAATATGCCAAATATATTGATAAAAGATGGCTGATGAAGGAACACATACGAAATCAAGACCTGTATAATGCAGATAAACCGACAGACTTTGGAGACGAAGAATTATCGGCGAATCTCGAAAAAACAATTTTAGATCCATATTTTTCACCACTGATGGTGGATGACAAAGAAAACGAGGACTTGCCTTTGACGTATGTGTTAACGGCCGGATATGACGTATTACGTGATGACGGGTTGATATACTATCAGCGCCTGAAGAAAGCTGGAGTTAAAGTACATCTCGCTCACTACCCTGAAGGTTTCCATGGGATGATATTTTTCTTTAAAGGTCCTATGCCATTTCAAGTTGGAATACGCGCAATGGACGATTTAGTAGATTTTCTGCGAAAAAAACTGTAAATAGTATACAAGCTTTCACATAAACAAACACCTTGTTATACTAGTTTATCGAGTATTTGTATATAAAATGTATATAGAAATAATTTCTGCTATTAAAATCATATATATATGCATTTCATGATTATTTTTGTTGAAATCTTCCATTCATGGGAATATTAATTCCGTTTGAAACTGAAAGTAAAACACAGAAGAGTTGTCTCGTGTCTAATCGTGGATGAATAATGTTATCTTGAAAAATTTAAACACATTTTTGCTATGTCACGTGTTAATGTACATGGTTTCAAAATTTACTGTTACAGAGGGAACAGGACTGTAACAAAGTTAACATATAAATGTTTGTTCCTCGGGTAGTTACTGTAACTTATTTTTAACTTGTTTGTAAAGAGTTAGCTTCACAATAATCCAAAAATCAGCTTAATAGTCGAAGGAAACAAGTTACAAAATTCTTTATCAAAGAAAAATATGTCAATTTAATATGATCTCAGATATGATGTCAAATCAATTTAATGGTTTTGTTGTAACCATTTAAAGGAATTAATAACACATTCTGCTAATATCCATTTTATCAAACTCAGCTTATACTCTATAATAATTAACAGTTCATAACATCCAATATAAAGGAAATGTTTATGTAATGTTTATTAAAGGGAGGTAACGCTAGACAGTTTGGATTGGAATCACGTGCCAGATCATCTAATTCAGTCAATATATACTTATTTCAGTTATATATTGGTTACGGTCATAAATATTACATCATCATTATATAAATAATCATTTAACGATTACAAGCTAACTGATAACAAATATTTAATTATGACAATATTTAAAATGTCTTGTCTTTTTTTGTGTACATAGGTTAGCAGCGTTTTAGCATGAACATAATACATTGAAATGTGTTCACAATAACCATGTTATCTCTCCTACCATGCCGATTCTATAAGGCCCATGTAAACCAGACTCAACATATTGACTTGATTGGTTGGTTACTGGTTTTCGTATCCGTGACTCCTCCATCAATATATTGACTTTGTTGGTTGGTTACTGGTTTTCGTATCCGTGACTCCTCCATCAATATATTGACTTGATTGGTTGGTTACTGGTTTTCGTATCCGTGACTCCTCCATCAATATATTGACTTTGTTGGTTGGTTACTGGTTTCCGTGTCCGTGACTCCTCCATCAATATATTGACTTGATTGGTTGGTTACTGGTTTTCGTATCCGTGACTCCTCCATCAATATATTGACTTTGTTGGTTGGTTACTGGTTTTCGTATCCGTGACTCCTCCATCAATATATTGACTTGATTGGTTGGTTACTGGTTTTCGTATCCGTGACTCCTCCATCAATATATTGACTTTGTTGGTTGGTTACTGGTTTCCGTCTCCGTGACTCCTCCATCAATATATTGACTTGATTGGTTGGTTACTGGTTTTCGTATCCGTGACTCCTCCATCAATATATTGACTTGATTGGTTGGTTACTGGTTTTCGTATCCGTGACTCCTCCATCAACATATTGACTTGATTGGTTGGTTACTGGTTTTCGTATCCGTGACTCCTCCATCAATATATTGACTTGATTGGTTGGTTACTGGTTTTCGTATCCGTGACTCCTCCATCAACATATTGACTTGATTGGTTGGTTACTGGTTTTCGTATCCGTGACTCCTCCATCAATATATTGACTTGATTGGTTGGTTACTGGTTTTCGAATCCGTGACTCCTCCATCAATATATTGACTTGATTGGTTGGTTACTGGTTTTCGTATCCGTGACTCCTCCATCAATATATTGACATTAGTTTCGTTGTATGTAACAATCTTTTTTCAGAACTTAGGGTACCAGTCAATTTGCGTATATTTGCAATATTCATACAGAAAGGTGTCAATATCCATTCTAAATATATAGATAAGATTTGTCTTATCAAACTAAATTCATTACCAGTAATTTAATAATATTACGTATAAATGGAATTTCGCTTGAAGTTTGTTAAAGGGGGGTAACTCGAACACAACTTGGATTTTATCTTAAATCAAAGTACTGAAAGTATTGAAAGGCTAAACGTATTGAAAAATGTTCACAGATAACCGCAAAGCTATATTACTTTCCCCTTACTCTTACACTTTGGAATGCAAAAATTACTAAAGTAGGAGAACCAGAGGCTATTTTTCTTAATTTTAAGCGATTTTATATCTTCTTTAATTCTTATTTCAAATTTGACGACAATAATGTGAACAAATCAAAATAGATAAAAAAAACATAACAAAATACACACAACCATATATTTATCGCCAACAAGCCAAATGATAAATAGCTCTATGATGAAGTTGACCAAATAAAACCTTTGAAATACCCAAGATGTTGCAATTACTATCCTATCAATATTTAGACAAGTCGAAAGGACTTAATACCTACTTCTTTATTTTGAATGTATTGCAAAGTAATAGTCCTTACTTATTATAATTATATTTGTAGTTGAGGAAAGTAGATAAGGTGTGCACAGCATTTCAGATTGGTTAAAGTGTAAGTAATTACAATAAATGTATTTACATACCTATCTTCCTTGAAATATCATGGTTAGACTTTTCTTCCAGTAATTATGTCTATAAAGACATAGTTCTTTGAGATTAAGCCAGACTTCCATATATATACAAAATTTACAATATTTTCACTATAGCTACTACTATTTCTGATCTCCAGTGCATTAGATAATGTCACTATGACACGCTAAATGAATAAATATGTTATGGAAATATTTCGTTCTAGTTAATTGATAATTATAAACATGAATATTTTGTGTTTTTTATACGCACTTTTTTTAAAGGAATATTTTCTTTTCAAGGAACTTTGATACACATTAACAAACCTTGAAAAATCAGCACAATCAACCTTCATCAAATAAAACTAAAAGACAAAAAATTTATAAAAAAGTTATAACAGAGTCAACATCATGATCAGTACAGTATTAAAAATTTATTATTCATAAATCATGAGCACCAATTGTACCTTGCCTACGAAGCGCAAACTTTTTATCTTCAAAAATTTGAAAAAGTGTCATGGCGGTGAGTGTGAAAAACCTGAAAAAGTGTCATATCGGCGGGTGTACGCGTGGGACGGACAGTCCAATTCGATGACGTCTAATGAGGTAAAGTGATGTTATATATTAAGACGATCCTACCACAACGACAAAAATTAAAACAAAATTGATGTTCTGTTTGTAAGTTTTGTTTGTTTATAAGTGCTGTTAGTTGATAATTCAAACCAAGCCCCCAGACTAGCTTCTCATCAACTCGCACGTGCAGTGTTCTGTACGCTTACGTCATGTCGAGAATACCGTAAAATATATTGTATTTATCAATAGTTCAACCACACTGTGCTTCTTTTTTTTTAAATATATAGTAATCGTGTTGTTATTAAAAATATAAACTAATTTTGGATGCTTTTAAAATAGCGATTTGAAAGATCGCGGCATTATTTACGCAGAAAATTGCCACTAGAGGGCTCTAACTCTTTTCGATATTTCAGCCAATGAGAAGGCCAGGATTGGTAAATTTTGTCTGAAAGGCCGTCGCAACAGGCTATGCGTACTGAGTACGTTTAGCCTAAAAACAACCCCTGTAAACCTTGTGCAATCTCCCCGTGTAGTCAGTATAGTGAGTAGCTACGGTCAATAATTCATATCAAGAAATCGCGGGCTTTCAACAAAAGAAGTTCACCTCAGTTATCTCCCTTTTTTACTGAAAAACTTGGGAAACATGGCGTGCGGTAGAAGTCCGCCTGGAAACTGTTCAAGACCAAAACGCAACACCTCGATCAAAAGAGGTGTATCAGTGGGTTCTTACGAATAAATACTTTGTAAATAGTGATAATAATAGTTTATTTTGTGGCGAGATTTGTAAAATTTGGAGACGTGACCGCGGCCGGTGTAAGCAAAAATTTGTGACAAACTTTCAATGACTGGTATGATACCAACTACACCTCTTGTTTAGACCATGCAAATGTTTAATTATTTAAAGTGTTTAAAATATTCATATAGAAATTGGCACAATGATTGTACACGTATTATAAAGTACTGATAGTTACACAGAAACACTGTGAACCTATGAAGTCTACCAATTTATATTGTGATATGTACCAGGTTATAGTAAATGTTTAATTGGTCAATACCTGGGGTATTACACACATAACTTCTGATTAATGACTGATTTATTGTGTGTGTGTACAGTTTGGTTATATTAAATTTTGTTTAATTAACTATATGATAGATAATTATCATCCTATAAAATTCCTGTGTTAGTCAAGTTTTTCTTAATTGAAATGATGTAATGAGTATACCTGGGGAGTAAATGACTAGGTGTGTACCTGGTTTGTAAATGTTTAATTAGCCTAAAATGTTAATGTTTTTTATACATTAAAGTTTGTGTAATTTCAAATAATTAATTTTATACATTAAAATAAAATAAAATTTCTGTTTCATCTGTCGATGCTCTCAAAACGGACTTGTGCACGTCTATATAAAAGTTTAAAGATATCAGAAAATTTGAAGAACAACAGAATTCACATTTACAGTAGATAAATATGGTTTCTTTTACTTCTAAATCACTGATTATACGAGCATGTACAACAACAATACACATACAGATGAATGGTACCTAATCTCGAAGGCATCATGTTATGTGTTGGCACAAAATTGCCTTTACACCGGAAGGTTTTCCGGACAGTTTTTTTTTTTTTTTTTTGAGAATTACGGAGTTTATTTTTGTTATATGGCCTTGAAACCTGATTGGTTTTCAAGGAAAAACTTTGGATGATGTCATAACAAGCGTAATAGCTGATTGGACAAGGCAAAACTTGGGGAATCCTTGAAAGTTAACGACATCATGATCTCTTCCATCACTTGATCGTTACATAGTCTGTTGCAGCGCGGTGATTTGAAGTGAAAAATACGGCATTTTTATTTCATCTTGCTATCAGTCAGTGTATCAGAATGAAAGAGCAGAGTTTCTTTGATGATATTCCGAACGTAATAATATAACTTTAGCTTTCAAGTGAAGGGATTCCGATAAATGCATCTAATCTGATGCCATTTCGCTGTGATATTTGGTGGGCGGGGCTGAGATTCAAGGGATGCAACTCGTGTTGTATGATGAATATTTGTTGATATGTTAAAATTAATATTATTATATAAACACTTATTTAATGATTACAAGCTAACCGATAGCAATTATTTGATTATCATTTTATTTACATTACTATTCAAATGGTATTAGTATTTTAGAGAAAGAAAAATCATGACACATAACCATGGGATTGCTTCTATCTATCTGAATCATGATAGAACACTAGTATAAAAAATACTCTCGGATACAGATTAAGGTACAGATTAAACATGAACTAGAGGTGATTATGTTGTTGATGGGATGAAGGTATTTTTTTATTGATGTATGTCGTGTAATCAACAGAGTAAAGTGATATATCTTGCTGTTGTTGACAATGTGTTTTGACTTTTCTCGTTTGATGATATATTCTCTGTTAAAGAAAGAATACCTTCACATCGACCAGCATGTGTGTAATAGCCATAAATCGGCCATAATTGAAGTCACGTACATAATGACATATACAGACCTAGTTATTTCTGGATTAAGTCATCTGATAGTAACCATGGGAATAATGAACTTCCGGAAGCTAATTAGTCAGATTGGACATTAAAAGATCCGTGGATAGATTAATTTTAACGCAATACCAAGAGGAACCTTTGTTTCCAAGTGATACAAATCTGACTCTTTATATCTGTGCGATAGAATCACGTTTATATATTGAGACTGGGTTTCCTTGTAGTATCTGACGACTACCTTACTGTACAACATACGGGAGGCACGTCGCATGACAGAGCAATTTAACTAAATGTCTTGCCCAACGAGTCAATTATTTCAGCGAAGACAGGTCCGTTTCTCAACGTCCTGAGAAAAAAATCCGTTACGGGTTTAATTCAGATAACGTACCTGTCGGATAAATAATCTATGTGTCCGGTAAAAGGAACCCAATGTGAATGGGTAATATTTGTGAAAATTGTCCGAACAACTCAACCATGCTACATTTACTTGATGGATTACACAAAATAGTTCTATATTCAATGTAAAAAATCCTTTAACATGAAGTTGTCTATATGAACAACGACTTATATATATATATATATACGTGATTTTCACTCTTATTTTGTCGTTGTAGTTAGTAACGAAATATCATATGCAAGTGGTATGAAAGTACACAAATAACATACCGTTTCAGGAGTATCGCTTTCATACAATTACTCGGGTTAACATTGACATACACGGTCCATATTATCATGCGATAATCGTATACAGACAGATTTGACCCTATATATATTCACGACTAATATGATATTTTTTCCCAATTGCATATGTTATTAACCCGCCGTAAAACGAGTTACTGAATTCTGTACTACCTGACAGTCAGACCTGACCAGTGATGTATTCAGCAAGGATGACCTAACGCCACTAATTGTTTACCTGAGACTTGTCATTGTCGCATTTTTATTGTGATGTGGGAAAAGTGGACTGGACTTGTAGCGAAGGTGATCATGAATTATACTCGGGAAAGATGAACAGTTGTATCAGAGAACGAACGTCTATAGTGTGGTTGTAGTATATCGATGAAAACGGAGGAGGATACGAATTACTTGTGTAACGTAAGAAATAAGGTTTTGAAAAAAAAAGAACAATTTAATTGGTCACGCGGAGAAGAGTCGATAATAAAAAGGAGGCTACTGACAAATCATATATCTGTTGTTGAATCAGAATTTTTACAAAGGTGTTTAAGTAGTCATTCGCAATAGCCCTTTTCTACGATAAGTTTTACAGGAGAAAATAAATGTTTCGTATATTTAACATCTTAACATTTAAGACAAGTTTTTTTTTTATATACATTCTCGTGATTTGTACATTCGGGCATCAATGACGTGTCAAATTATTCTTCCACAGAAAACTGAACGAAATGATACTTGACGAGGAATAGAGTCTTTCTATTACACGATCATTGTCACAGACATACCAGAAGTTCTCTTGCAACATGTAACTATTTTATACTTCATAATTCCTATTTTTCATGGAATTATTAAATACATTATATGGTTAAATAGCAAGTTCTTAAATTTCGTTACTCTGGCGATTTTGATTGTGCTCAATAAATAAAAATGAAACAGGAATGATAAGAACAGCTCTCATATTGTCAGGTCCAGTCCATAGTTTTCGTATTAGTATTCGAGTCCTGTTCGAGGCAGGCGAGTGGGTGTGTAACATGCTCGTGAAGTCAGACAGTAGAGAGGATCAATCTGTATTGTCCGTGAGAAAACGAGGTAAGGAAGGACATACTATTTTATATAACATCCATTATAAGTTTCATACATTTTTCATATTGAAAATTTTCGTAAACTATCAGCTATATAAAGTATGTTATTGATGTTTGTGATTTTCACTAGCAATAATGTGTTGTTTAACAAACTTCCTATCCCTGTATAATCTGTAAATCATCTTCCATCACAAAGCGCCCCTGTTGCAGTGAGGATAAACCTTACACGTATTACGTATGGTATTTCTTTACAAAAAGACATATAACATATGTGTTGACCTTTGAACCAAGACTAATACGATGATGAATCACGTGCATATTATTCAACGTTTATGTTCCTCATTTAAAAGACCTGATGTCATCTCGAATGTTATTTTCACCAAGGTGTCATTTGTTACTGGTTCTCAACAAGGTTATGATGCACACCACGAAGTAGGACGGATTTATCTTGCAGCGTTACAGGAGAGGTAGGTGTGATAGGAGGAAAGTATATTGTATTAATGTTCCAAATACCCAACAGAAACCCCTGGGATGTGAAACTATCCAGGTCTCGCTGGAACTGGTAGGGAAATTTCTTTCTCATATCTTAATCTATCTTAGATTGAAATCTTCATTTTTGTATGTATTTTAGAACTTGATGTATATTAGAATGCATTTGCTTGTCTATCCCTGAAGGTCTACGTTTTACGGAACAGCTTGCCACTATTAGGATTAAAAAAGAAACTGAGTGTGATATTAGAAACTGCTTTGAAGAGGCATCGCCATGGGGAAAACACAGTCTAGGTCCTATGATTTAGGTAAGTATGTGTAAATACATTTAAGATTTGTACGGACATGAGTGTGGGTGCGGGTTCGAATCCCGAACTCCAGTATTTGTTTAAAATGATATGGGTAACGTTCCGGATGGTCCATAGGGATATTCTACAGCTTCAACGTTTGTGTTTATGTTGACTGCAGTCTTTGAGAAGTACACTGTGTTGTTATTTTATCTATGTGCCCCGTGTTACCTATTTACAATGTATATATATATATATGCCCAATATTACCTGTAAGACGTGCTGAGATGCCCTTTGTAGTAATAGCTTTCTTTCTCATTTCATTACATTTGCATTTTCCCTGAATATGTTTATTTTTATACGTGATTGTGTGTTTACCTTGATATGGTGCATATGTCAATATAGATGATTATAATTCAAGCTGTAGACTTAATTAACTAATAGAGAATAAACAACCGGGAATGTCTTTGTTACATTATGTCAAAACTCGCACATAAGTGTATTGTGGTAATATTCTCTCCTGAATATGAATTATTTACTTTGGCACGACCCCATTACACTATGAATGTATTATTCATTATCTATCTAAAGAATGTTCCCAGGGACTGTCTAATAAGCAACTAATGTGAATGTGTTTTTCCTGTTTCTTTTGTCGTTTTGGTTTTTGGTTTTTTTTTTTTTGTGTTTTTTTTTCTTCTTCTTCTTTTTTTAGTGAATGAATGCTTTCCGTTAAGGTTCTAAATACAATAATAAATTCTTATAATTGGACATTCATATCATCGCCATTAAACGACATGGGTTGTACACAATTCAGTAAGTTACATAACAGCGGTTTCATTTATAATCGATTGTTGATGTAAGAAGATAGAAAGCATTATACGTTTTACAGGAGTCACAGCATAGGTGAAAATCCCACGAAACACATACTTAATTCAGTTTACAGTACAATGAATTTTACCTGTACAATTGGAAAGAGGGACGTGGTCGTTATGTACGGATTTTTTCATGGGATGTCCACAGATCAAACCCTGTAAATTGTCTTACACAGTGATGTCATCACATGTTTTGCTGTCGTTTGATATTTAATCATGTCTTTAAAGTCTTCAGCTAGCATTAGGCTTCTTGTTTATTGAGATTTGCCTCTGTTCTCTCTTTTCAGGTCACCTGAGACAAAGTCTTGAGTGACCTTTTGCGATCGCCTCTTGTCCGTCGTCGTGCGACATTTCTGATTTCTTAATGGCAGGAAGGCCCAGAGTTCTAATACCGGGACTGTAGCATGCTGGTATGAAGGGTTACCAAATTATTCAAGGGAATGACTTTGACCCACTTTTTAAGTCACAGGTGTCATATATCTTAAAACCTTCAAGCGGCTTCTTCTCAATAACCGAAAATAAGCCTGTAGCATTCAGGATAATAGGTTATATAATGTTAGTACTTATCAATGACTTCTTCCGACCGTTCTGAAATTGGGATTGTAGCATGCTGGGATGAAGAGCTACCAAGTTTGTTCAAATTAATAACCTTGACTGACTTTCAAGGTCACAGGGGTCAAATGAGCTAAAATCTTCAAACGATTTCATCTTTATATTATAACCTAAAGGCTCAGAAGTCTGATATTGGGTTCGTGGCATGCATAAAGGGTTACTAAGTTTGTTCAAGGGAATCACATTTCAAGGTCACAGGGGTCAAATATTTGAATATTTGTATTCATTTTCATTTGGAATTACAAAACAAGTTGGAATTTGGTTGTCCATGAGTTTCAATGTTTTGAAAACTTCAGTGTACTGCCCTAAGAGTTGAGTTTGTCCGAATTTTTGCAATGTCCTTTAAATCCACACTTGCTACAAGCAATATTGTACATAACTGTAGGCTATATATTAGATAAGGCAGTTTTTTGTTTGTGTTTATTATTTGCCAAAAACATTTAAAACCCGGGAGTCCGTTAAGTCCTATGACCCTCTTGTCCTGTATCTAGACTTTGGCTCAAATTCGGAATTAAAATTGATCTGATGTTTTGATTATGTAATATATCCATAATTACGAAAAACAATGAAAGTGAGGCATACAACAATCAGAAAACAACATACAGTAATAAAGGCCAATAACTTGTTAACACACAACTATCAGAAAACAGCATACTGTAGTATTTCAGGAGACCGTTACACCATCAACAGCATCAACAGCATTCAATATGCGATTAGCAATAGCATATGATAAGAAAGACAGAGACTGGCAAGAAAAAGACCAGGTGTTCCGGAAACGTAAACGTAAACGAGCTTCAAACAAATCGGACCAGCTTCATGTCGCACAAGACCACCAGACATACTAACGAGCTTCAGACACATCGAGTCACCTTTATATCGTACAAGGACCAGCAGGCATACTAACGAGCTTCAGACACATCGGTAACGAGCTTCAGACACATGGGGAAAGCTTTATCTTGCACAAGGACCACCAGGCATACTAACGAGTTTCAGACACATCGGGCCAGCTTCATGTCGCACAAGGACCAGCTTCATGTCGCACAAGGACCAGCAGGCATACTAACGAGCTTTAGACACATCGGACCAGCTTCATGTCGCACAAGGACCAGCAGGCATACTAACGAGCTTCAGACACATCGGGCCAGCTTCATGTCGCACAAGGACCAGCAGGCATACTAACGAGCTTCAGACACATCGGACCAGCTTCATGTCGCACAAGGACCAGCAGGCATACTGACGAACTTCAGACACATTCGGCCAGCTTCAGGTCGCACAAGGACCAACAGGCATACTAACGAGCTTCAGACACACCGGACCAGCTTTATCTCGCACAAGGAAGTAAAATATTTCGCAATGAGATCACCATGACGACTGTAAAACTTGCCCATTCATCAACCTGTTTCTCTGTCACGTGGTCAGTCATTGACATCTTGCGAGAAAATCGTGATATAGGGAAGAGGTTAAGTAAATATCATAGGTCTGAAACACACATTTTTTGTTTATCTTTCTCTGAAAAAGTCGATGTGAAATGGTAATTATACACGGTATTTGTTTGGTAAGTAGCATCTCACTGGTTGTTGTAAAATTATTAACCATAAACAAAGTTACATCACGGTGAAGATTTGAATATGTTGATAACAACAGATTTAACCCGTCTAAAGTACTAGTAACACATCGAAACTAGTGGTTTAAAAATTATCCCTTCAATTAATAAAATGCCTTGATTGATTTAACTATTTGCAACCCAAAGTTTAATTTCCAAAACAGTTTTAAATCGTGCGGTCATCAGCAAAATTGTCAAAATGCAATGCTAGTTCTAGTCCGTTACTAGGACAACGGTCTGAGCAGAAACTCATACATGCACGGATACTAGTGAAACTAGTGTTTCCTATAACATACTTGTATACCTCAGAGTTCCATAGGAACTATTGAATTTCAGATTCAGCGTTGATACTGAACACTACATGTTACCTGGGAAAAGTTCCTATTGATAAGCAGTTCTGTGTAATGTATTAAGCTGGTAATTATACGAGTTATCCGTCCAAGTTTTATAATTAAGTAATACATAAGAATGCATTAAAAATATATACAGTATTTGAATTAAAAAAAAAAACCCATTAAATTTATAACTTACTTACAATGTAAGTTATCTGTGTAGTAGTGGTACATTTATCATTCATTTTGTTATTTATATATTATTTAAATGTGTTGTAAATGAATATCGTGATTCCTTTTTATTTGTTTAGAATGTACAAGTGACTAAATTTAGGGAAACACTTTTGTTTATTAAGAAAACATAAGTAAATGTCGAGTATCAAACAGTACATACAGATCGTCAGGTACGGTAAGGTATGGTAAGGTAAGGTAAGGTTAGGTAAGGTAAGGAAAGGTAAGGTAAGGTAAGGTAAGGTAAAGTAAGGTAAGGTTAGGTAAGGCAAGGTAAGGCAAGGTTAGGCTAGGTTAGGTTAGGTAAGGTAAGGTAAGGCAAGGTAAGGCAAGGTAAGGTAAGGCAAGGCAAGGCAAGGCAAGGCAAGGCAAGGTAAGGTAAGGTAAGGCAAGGCAGGCAAGGCAAGGTAAGGTTAGGCGAGGTTATGTACCGTAGTCATTAATGAAAATAAAACGATAGAGATAACAAAAATAATGCACAAAAACATCGCAAGTTATGACTTTAAAATGTTCAGGAAACACAGTGAAAAAAAGTGAAGTTGTGTATTGTTGATCTGCCAACTGAAGAATTCAGTCATTATCTAGAACATCGGTATCATTATTACCCTAGGGGATGCTATACTTTGATATCCATTGGCCATGAAGACGTATGTAGTTTTCCCCTGTCCCTCACAGCAAAGTATTAGCAGAACCAAATATTCTATACATACTCGTCCATCCTTAATCTTTGAAAGCATAACACGAAAGATTCAATCTAAACACCGGATAGCTCTGTCGTAAGTCATCGACACGACTTTATAGGATCGTGTCACGACAATGTCTACTAACAGGAGCGGTGTATATATATATATTGTTTATATTCCATTCATAGATACATGAACGCATTTGTTATCTTTGCTTTAAATCACTGAATCAAGAATAAAATAGAACCAAAGATAAACATTTCATGGTTAATGATTATTAAAAAAAAAACAAGGAGACCACTGGAGAAGACAAGTGAAAAGTTCGTGCTAAAGTCGATGTCACAAGTTATGACATCTCCATGATTTTTGCTTTGTATTCGTCTGAAAAAGGATAAAATATCAACATGTAAACGAAATCGTCATTCACACACAACTGTGCGGAAATTCTTGAAAAAGTGCAAGAAACACAAGAACCAAACTTTGAAACTCATGATATACTTCATCAATTTGTGTATATCATTGAATCGACTTCACACAAGGGAATCCCGAATGGAGATCACGACGGCGATAACCAAAACAACTCATATTCTTTATCAATCTGTGTATATCTGTTATGGAATTGGTGAAAGAGCCCAAGAACATGCCCACGATTATTGAATCAACTGCCATGTGTTAACACCATAGGTTGGTGGAAAGGATTAATCTTTCCATCTAGAGCTGGAACATCAACAACGAGCGAATCAAATTAAACGCACTTACGATACAGCTTAATCGAACGGTTTTTGTGAAGATAGAGGTTAAGCGGGTTGTAAAGGAGAGTCTGTGATGTCCGTGATTTTCCACGGCAGAAATCATTTTATCAACGACTCTGACAACTTTTCTCAACTCATTACGTAGTACACAGTCCCACACTGTGATTGATATACTAGTTATGGAGTTGTCAATATCATGTGTTTCCTCATTTGTAACACGTACTAGATGTCACATGTACAGCAGTGGGTGGTTTAACACCTGGATAGTGCACACATTCAGTCAGGTAAGAAATCACTTAAGGGAGGGCTAATAATGTTTTCTTACATTAACACGAAGGATGCTTAACAATAGGAAAAGTAGTTCTTCCCCACATTAACGAAGCTTCAAGGAAATGTCAATTATTCGATACACAGAACGCGACAAGAAACGAGATAGATATGTTTGTTTTTAACAATATTTCGCAGTGTTGCCTTAATATAGTTGGTAGATGCAAACAAGTTTTATATATATTTCAGATTTCACATTGTATGAAATAATTTCAAAACACTGATTCTCAATAACTTACTTCACAATTACAATATGCATCTTGTCTCTCAAAGATTTTATAAAAAGTCTTTGCCGATGTATGAGACTGCATGGGTGTGGATACTGTACGGATGTGTTAAAGCTTAAAACTTGGTTGCAATCTCTGGATTCATTGCCGTAATCGTGGAGGGTTGTGGGAGGGATGAACCCTAACTTTGTTACAAAAGAAGTGTACAAAACATCAACGAAAGGGCATCAACTCATAAGGTAACGTGAATATTGTAAACATGGATTGGTGAGGGGAACGGAATCACTTTGACATGAGAAAGGAGATCGAAGGATCTAATTTTGTGTTAAAAAAAACGCTGGAATCGCATTCGGTGAGACCAAGTTATGTCATCCCAATCGGACCGATAAATGTACAGGAAGATAAAATAACGGTATGCACGTATCGTAATATCGAATTTATCCTCACTTAAAATAACGCCCGTATAATCTTGTTTTATAGATCGTTGTTTGAATGTGTTTACACTGCTATATTATCGTTATCGAGCATGAGAAGTTTATCTTCACGTGTGTATAATACTTAGTGATATGTAAATATGCCGGCGTGGTAGTGTGTACTGGGAGGTGTGATACCGTCGACTTTACGATGTTACTATAACTGTTGCAGTTTTATTGATGGCACAACACACAGATGCATACACTTATTTGACTAGCTGTCCTATATGCATGTACTTATGACTTTCAGCGTGTTAGCATTCACTTAAAAACTGTCATTTAATGCAGCAAAACTAACGTTTTATACACAGCTTCCTTCATAACTCGGAAAGGGATCTGGGCAAGGTCATGACAATGTTCAGAGAACATGTAACTTTCAGATAAGAGATGAAAATATTTCAGTAGAACACATACAACATCTTACCACTTGCAATAATTCCATAAATTCTCCTTAGCGATAAATCCCTTACCACAAGTATCATCTAAGTCACTGAGCTATAGATCAGACTGGTCACAAGTGTGTAGATCAATAATTATGTGATTTATAGGATAATTTGTATGTGTACACCATTTTATCACCCCATAACAACCTAGAAATTCTACCTATTACAGTCAAAGGTCAATTGTACATATATTATCACACTGATGACCCATTTGGTCAAACGTCCTGTCATAGGTGACTACAAAGTGGTGCACATCAGTAAAATATTGTTTCCATTGTGATTGACAGCCACTGTGAACAGCTCACCACAGTCCTATATCGGAGAAAGTGTCTTTAATGAGGCGGTGAAACCTGTGGACAAACCAGTCATCAAACCTCCAGAAAAGAGTGTTGCTAGGCAATCAAACAGCTGTCCTGTGAAGCCTGTTTCTAAATACAAAACTGGTAACAATCCCTGGGACTGGAATCCGTCATTGACTGCCAATACTCCCAACAGTAACTCACAGAAAACGCCTGTTCCTGATTCCACTGAGGTCATTGTGTCTGGACAACAAGAACCCAACTCCGAAGCTGAACCTGACATTGCCGTAGTTTCAACAACAACTGTAGAAAACGTTGCAGAACTAGAAAGTACCATGTCGGAGAGTGACGTTATTGAAGCAGTTGTGTGTGATGAAGGTGAACTCCAAGACGGAGTGTAAGTTATTGAAAAGGTTGATTTTTTGATGGCTCAAATTTTCTAGGTTTTACCAAAAAGCACTATAGCTGCACGTATGTATTTTTTGTGGTAGTTATGAAATGAACCATCCTTAGAAATTGTGTAAAACAGAACCTTGGAAAAAATTACCGTAATACTATCCTTACAGAGCATCTCGTTTAATATAATTCTATCAAGATTTTTAAAGGATAATTCATACGAGGCACTGTCTGGTAAAGAGGCCGAGCATAAAATCTTCACCATGTAATTGATATACAAAGAATGTGTATTATCTTCTCGCTTCTAATTAATTAGTTACCGCAAATTGTGTATTTAGTTTGTTTAATTCCATGATTTCTGGCTTAGTTGGTGAATACTTCAAGTTCTACGACACAAATATACTGCCCCAGTCAATATAAGATATATGTCTAATGTCTTAGGTGCATCCCTGTATACACATGATAAGTCTAACCATTGAATACATACTGTATAATTATGCACATAATGTAGGAATATATAGAAGCATATTTAAATGAGGTTATTTTAATCTGTTATAGTAAGATTTATCATCAATACACCTAACATGGTTCAAAATTTTATACTCATCCACACTTCCTATGAAGGTTTGTCAGCCCAGTTGGCAGACCATGACTCCAGGAAATGTTATGTAGTGATTTTACTATGTATATTTTTTTTAATTCTTGTGTTACATACAGCATGCATAACACCAGGGTCAACATCAATTAAATTTAATAGTTACACACCAACCCACTTTGAAATAATCTTATTATCATGTACATTTTATCATTTTCTAGTAATTCGACATTAAAGGGTTTTGCAGGATTGTTCTACAAAGGAAATCCTGATTAATAAATGATCAAAAGGGAGCCTTGATCATTTGAATAAAAAAGGTTCTTACATGTAAAACTTTTTGTTGATGTGCTGTGTAGCAACCCTTCATTTTCCCTTGTTTGTAGGATGAAAGAAGTGGCTTTAGGAGAAGGCAAAGTCCTTTTAGTAAAAGAAGGAAGTGACATCCATGCACTAGGAGCACAGTGTACTCACTTCGGAGCTCCCCTCGTAAAAGGTCAGTACTCATCACGTCAAAGCATTTGCAAAACCTGCTAGTCAGTATCACGGGCAACTGTAAGGGTCGAAATTCACTTCAGCCCACTTAACATTCAAGTTGTAAGCTATTTTTCGGATAAATGTTTAGTGTATGTCACATCAGTCAATGTTCTATGTCAAAAACAGCTACGGAAATTGCTATTAAAACAACTTAAAAATGATGAAACTATGACAAAAATATGAACAGAGGAAAAGATTTAGATAGAGACCAATGAAAAAGTACAAGGAGAAAATAATCTCAGGTGTTCCAGAAGAGTAAGCATTTCTTCCTTATCTATGAAACCCGCATTCTAAATGTTGGTCAATCTAAGTATTGTCACTTCATGTCACACAAGGAAACAGAATTTCACCATGATATTATTCTGATGAAAAAGATGTATAAGTTTTGGTAGAATTAATGTTCAGCGTACTTTGGGAACCAGTCACTTACGATTTACCATTGTCAAAGCTTTTTACTGTTTGTGTCGTCTATTTGTTATACCTACACTGTTAATCACCTGTGGGCAGTAGACATGTGTAAAAGATGTGAAAACCAAACCAGATAAAAATGCTAGAAGGTGTTCAAATGTCAGTAGCCATTGATGCTGTTATGTTTTAGGTGCTTACTGCAAGGGCCGAGTGCGATGCCCTTGGCACGGCGCATGCTTTGATGTACGGACTGGAGACATCGAGGATTACCCAGGACTGGACAGTATCCACAAATTTGGTGTAAGGTTACAGTATGTTACATTTATAGATTGTCTAGAGTAATATAATTGCGTACTGTAAAGTCTTGTGTGCTGTACATGTTTTGGAGATAAAGTGGCAATGTAATGATGAGAAAACAAATCCTAGTAAGCTGCAGACTTCACACATTACTGGTCATTCTCGTGACAAAATTAATTGACGATTAAATCGTATCTTAGTCATGTCTTTAGAGAACTAGGATGAGAGAGATGAAGAGCCATTTGGATGGTTACAGTATTTACAATTGTTACTACAGTTCTATTTTTCTTCACTAACCTAACTGTAAATTGTCTATTATCATCACTTGCAGTGAATAGGTGGTAATATGTGTTTTATTGTTGATAGGTGTCCGTAGCCGATGGAAAGGTCAAGGTCAAAGCCAATAAGACAGCCTTAAAGAATTTCCGTCGTCAACGTAACATGTGTAAGGCAAAGGGAGACGACACTGATAACGTCCTTATAATAGGAGGAGGTGAGGGATAGCAATAGTCATTGTAAAGAAAGAAAAAATAGATGTAAGTTCCTTCGTGTGCGAAATTTTCGTGTCTATATTCTTGACTCATTAGACTGGATCTCTAACACAAAAATATATCATCACACCATCTTTTGATCTTTGTTTGATTTACAGGTCCTGCCTCCGTAGTATGTGCTGAAACTCTTAGACAGGAGGGATTCACGGGAGAGGTTTCCATAGCAACTAAAGAGGAGCACTTACCATATGACCGAATCAAACTAAGTAAGGTAGGGGACATTGAAGCTGTTTTATATGATATAAAAACATTTGTGTCCAGATTCTTAATTTTCAAACTGATGGCTGACCAAACCAGGAAATGATTATGCTGCCAGAAATATGATGTCATGGCTACCAACCATGGCAGTGATATTAAATTATTTCACGAAAGCAAGCTTAAACATCTATACACTTTTAATAGGCCATGGATGTTAAGCCAGCGGCCATTGCTCTCCGTGGGGAAGATTTCTACAAGAATGCAGACATCAACATCCTCACTCAAAAAGAGGTAGGCGTAATTTATGTGATGTTTAATTCTATATATTCAGATTCAATTGACCATGAAGATACCTGATACAAGGAATGCAAACAGTGGCATTCATAGGTGCATGTGATGCCTTTTCTATGATGTCCTCTGTGTCAGTGTTGTCAAATATATTACACTACAGATTATCCAAAATTTAATAATAATGCAATCATCGTTGTCTCAACTACAAAAGAATACAGAAGTAATATCAACAAAAATACTACACAGCTTGATAACAAGTATTGTTCGAAGGTGAATGGGTAATTTTAACAGATCCTGATACCATAATGTAATTGATACCTACTTATTCTTAACACTCGTGTCTTTGTTTCTAGTTGATTCAAGAACAGTTCACAAATTTCAATTCTCATGATTGATTGAGTTTTCATTACTGCTGTACGTCAGGATGAAATCACAATTAAATGAAAAGAGTGTTCTTCAGCACAAATCTAACATCTAACATTAATATGACGAGGCAAGACATTGAAACAAAGCAAAGCCATTATAATCCTGAAAACAGTATATCATTTAACACAGCGTCATCTTACACAGCCAGGTCAACAACAGTATATCATTTAACACAGTGTCATCCTACACAGCCAGGTCAACAACAGTATATCATTTAACACAGTGTCATCCTACACAGCCAGGTCAACAACAGTTTATCATTTAACACAGTGTCATCTTACACAGCCAGGCCAACAACAGTTTATCATTTAACACAGTGTCATCCTACACAGCCAGGTCAACAACAGTTTATCATTTAACACAGTGTCATCCTACACAGCCAGGTCAACAACAGTTTATCATTTAACACAGTGTCATCCTACACAGCCAGGTCAACAACAGTTTATCATTTAACACAGTGTCATCCTACACAGCCAGGTCAACAACTGTTTATCATTTAACACAGTGTCATCTTACACAGCCAGGTCAACAACAGTTTATCATTTAACACAGTGTCATCCTACACAGCCAGGTCAACAACAGTTTATCATTTAACACAGTGTCATCCTACACAGCCAGGTCAACAACAGTTTATCATTTAACACAGTGTCATCCTACACAGCCAGGTCAACAAATGTTTATCATTTAACACAGTGTCATCCTACACAGCCAGGTCAACAACAGCCAGCCAGCTCAACAACAGTTTATCATTTAACACAGTGTCATCCTACACAGCCAGGTCAACAAATGTTTATCATTTAACACAGTGTCATCCTACACAGCCAGATCAACAACAGTTTATCATTTAACACAGTGTCATCCTACACAGCCAGGTCAACACATGTTTATCATTTAACACAGTGTCATCCTACACAGCCAGGTCAACAACAGTTTATCATTTAACACAGTGTCATCCTACACAGCCAGGTCAACAACAGTTTATCATTTAACACAGTGTCATCCTACACAGCCAGGTCAACAACAGTTTATCATTTAACACAGTGTCATCCTACACAGCCAGGTCAACAAATGTTTATCATTTAACACAGTGTCATCCTACACAGCCAGGTCAACAAATGTTTATCATTTAACACAGTGTCATCCTACACAGCCAGGTCAACAACAGTTTCTTATTTATCATGGTGTCATCTTACACAGCCAGATCAACAACAGTTTATCATTTAACACAGTGTCATCCTACACAGCCAGGTCAACATCCTACACAGCCAGGTCAACAACTGTTTATCATTTATCCAGCAACAGTTTATTATTGATTATAATATCATCTTAAAGAGCCTGGTCAACAACCCTGATTTAGGTGATTTCCTGTCAAAAGACTAAATATTGAACTTTCCCGATGATTTACTTCCGAACATTTAACATTAGTATACTACATGACAGGATATGTTATGATTTTTAGGCTGAAGCAGTCGATACCGAGAATAAATCTGTTACATTCAAAGATGGAAGCTCACAGACATATGGCTCGCTAGTACTGGCTACGGGAGGCAGGTATGTGTATCATAGTTATCAAAACGGTTAATAACACTGGGTTGATGTAATTTTCATATTTGGATAATTCATTTATATCAATTAACATGCTTTCGCCTCCAATCAATGACATCATCACTTCTCTTTGTCAGTCCAAGGGTCTTGCCTATCCCAGGTATAGATCTTGAGAATGTCCGGATGCTGAGGACACCTGCCGATGCCAACTATATCGCTGAAAATGCCGTAGGCAAGAACGTCGTTATCATTGGATCATCGTTTATTGGTATGTACACCCACGATATGTGACAATAAAGAATCTTTATTTATTACATTTTTTAACAGTAGCATATCTTTTGATTTATTGATAGTTGTGGAAGCTATCTGGTATTACAAATAAAAATGGTTGCTTCATGTAAACCAAATATTTCTCTTTTGAAAATGATTGATTACATTTATGGTTATTTTTTATGTATTTGTACTTTCAAGTTACCGTAATACACATGTGTTGAAATCAACAATACAAAATCATTTAGAAGAGTTTAGGTGTCATGATGTCAGTTATCAACTTACTTTATGCTACAGTTAATAGTCGTGGTTTAGTGACCACTCAGGGGTACAACCTTTACTGTTTATTTGAGAGCATTATATCTAACTGTTGATGAAGTCTTTCATTTCAGATTGTTTAAGCTTAGTCCATTATTAACCACGTTTGCATTACTTTCTAGTACTTATTATTGTATTTTTTTTTCTACTGTTTCCGATATTTTTGTAACTTTCATCTCCATTTTCCTTTCCCTCAGCGGTATTATTTGTAACTGAATGTATTCTGAGCTAGATATAGGAAAAACTGCATGTATTTCTTCATTTTATTTAATATGTCTCTCTAAGTTCTCTTATAGCTGAATCACTGCAAAAATTTCTTTTTTTTTAAATTTATAATTTTCCAGCATTCTCTTATAGCTGAATCACTGCAAAAATATCATTTTTTTTTAATTTATAATTTTCCAGCATTCTCTTATAGCTGAATCACTGCAAAAATATCTTTGTTTAATTTATAATCATTCAGCGTTCTCATATAGCTGAATCACTGCATAGATATCTTTGTTTAATTTATAATCATTCAGCGTTCTCATATAGCTGAATCACTGCTTAAATATCTTTGTTTAATTTCAATCTATGTCTTTTTCTAATAGAATCATAGTTTCTTTCGCTGCTTTAATAATCCTTCTGATATTGCATGTTTAGAAATTGAATGTGCTATATTTTTATTTCGGCTGTGATCCTTATTTCTATCTCTATCAGCTGATTCGGTAATTGAACAATTTATTAAAGGAAAAATACTGTTTAAACTACAGTGTTATAAAATGTAGTATGTAGAGGTATCCTCTATACTCAGGCATGGAGGTAGCAGCTTACTTGGCAGACAAAGCTGGAAGTGTGTCGGTTGTAGACATCATAAAAACGCCTTTCCAACTGGTCTTGGGGGACAAAGTAGGCGAACTGCTTAAACAGGTAAAGGTCTTAGGCATGATATGGTTAAGGTATCTCACATACTTTATGTGTATGTAGACTATAGATTATAGGTGTGTTTTGTGTTTACAGTATGAAGCCTATAGACTATTAGGTGTAACTGTGATGTATAGGACACAACAGACTTTTCTATGTCAGCCGTTTATCTCAATATTTTCTTACAGCAAAACTAACATGAACAGCTTTCCACCAAGCTGTTTGATGGTGAAGTAATTTCAATTTCGCTATTGTGAATTTTTCATTACTGGATAGCAACATTCCTGCATCCCCAACTTACGTTGTTTATATGTCGCAGTTGATTTGATTTAAGGGCCTGTTCTCATTGTCAGGATTTTCGTGCAAGAAGTTGTCAACTTTTGGACACACTCATTACACGGGTTGTCAAAAGGTGCTAGTTGCTAAAATTTATGGGGTAGTTATTTGGTTATCATAATGATATCATTGAGAAATATTCTATTTCTTGGTGTGCTATGAAGCTGGATGTTTTTGATGCTCGTTAATGGATATGACATTTCTTACTGGAATTGACTGAGATTTAGATGGTGGGTTTTGCCGATGAAGCAGAAGGCACTTACTCTTCTGGAACACCTGGTCTTAACTCTCCGTGTGCTTTTGCATGAATTTTTTTAAAAATTTTCTTTTGTTCCTATTTTGACTGAAAACTAAACTAATTGAAATCTGTATGTTGCAGATTGTTGCTTTGTAAGGTGTTATTGTTTATTTGTATGTAGACTACAGACTATTGTTATTTTGTTTCATTTGAATTGTGACCTTGTCATTTATAACTAAGTATAGCTATATAATCTGCAGGTTTCTGGAGTGAAATTATTTTTGTGAATTGTGGTGTTTCGACTGTAATTGACATGTACATTCATGTGTTTGTTGATTTGTGATGATGAGACTGAGCTGTGTGTGAGAGTATAGGCTATGTCAGTTATAAATATTTTTTGTTTATATTGCGTAATTGTCATTATTTACGTACTAGAAGTAAAGCTGTATGTTTGTACCATACATGGTTTTTGATTGTGGACTGTACTTTATCCATTATCCTGTTATTTACGGTAGTATCACATGTTCATTGTGCAGGTAGTCATAACTCCCTAGTTTGTGGACTGTACTTTATCCATTATCCTGTTATTTACGGTAGTATCACATGTTCATTGTGCAGGTAGTCATAACTCCCTAGTTTGTGGACTGTACTTTTTCCATTATCCTGTTATTTACGGTAGTATCACATGTTCATTGTGCAGGTAGTCATAACTCCCTAGTTTGTGGACTGTACTTTATCCATTATCCTGTTATTTACGGTAGTAACACATGTTCATTGTGCAGGTAGTCATAACTCCCTAGTTTGTGGACTGTACGTTATCTATTATCCTGTTATTTACGGTAGTAACATATGTTCATTATGCAGGTAGTCATAACTCCCTAGTTTGTCGCCTGTACTTTATCTATTATCCTTATATTTACAGTAGTAACACATGTTCATTGTGCAGGTAGTCATAACTTTAACATAAGTTGTTTAAATGTATTTTGATTGGGTCATAATATTTTTACCTGAATGATATGTTGATATAGATTATATTCTGTGGGTAATATGTCGGTAATGGTAGAAGGTACGTTACACAAGATGTATGACTGTTGTAGTATAATAATGATACATGATGGAAGAGTGATTGTGAGGTTGAGTTTGATAATACAGTTTACCTTATAGTGTATTTCTGAGAACAATGGTGGTGTATAATAACAGTGCATAACTGATTGTGTATTATTACCAAGTGTAATTGAGGATGTGTAATTACAAAGTTTTACTGATGGTCTGTAATTACTCAGTGTAACTGATGGTGTATGATTACGGAATATGCCTGACGATATTTAAATATGGAGCGTGAAGGCAACTGATATATATTATATCTGATGGTCATTTATGACAGAGTAGGTGGTTGGGTGGCACACTGGTAACGCATTCGACTTTCACCTAGCCATTCGGGGTTTGATTCCTGGAATGGACGTGAAAAGGTCAGGGTCACATGCCCTCCGGTTTCCTCCCACAATAAGACCCCTCGCGCATGTAAATCTGGGCCAACAAGAGTGATAAGTATCACCTGAAATAACTTGTTTTGCAATTGTTGTAAAATAGATAAAGTTTATAGCTTTTTATAGACAGAGTATAACTGATAATACACAGAGAGTAAAAGTGATTAGGAAGTTAAGCCATGGGAGTTTAATATCATAGTTTACTAGATGGTGTATCATAATAGAACAATGATGGTATATGATACAAAGACTCGTGATAGAGAGCAGTAAGAAATGCAAAGTGGTAGTAGACCGCACCATAAAATAAACACAGGTATGATTGACCGCACCATAAAATAAACACAGATATGATTGACCACGGTATAAGATAACTACAGGTATGATTGACCACGGTATAAGATAACTACAGGTATGATTGACCACAGTATAAATTACTACAGGTATGATTGACCACGGTATAAAATAAACACAGGTATGATTGACCACGGTATAAAATAAACACAGGTATGATTGACCACGGTATAAAATAAACACAGGTATGATTGACCACGGTATAAATAACTAAATGATTGACCACGGTATAAAATAAACACAGGTATGATTGACCACGGTATAAAATAAACACAGGTATGATTGACCACGGTATAAATAACTACAGGTATGATTGACCATGGTATAAAATAAACACAGGTATGATTGACCACGGTATAAAATAACTACAGGTATGATTGACCACGGTATAAAATAACTACAGGTATGATTGACCACGGTATAAAATAAACACAGGTATGATTGACCACGGTATAAAATAACTACAGGTATGATTGACCACAGTATAAAATAACTACAGGTATGATTGACCACGGTATAAAATAACTACAGGTATGATTGACCACGGTATAAAATAAACACAGGTATGATTGACCACGGTATAAAATAAACACAGGTATGATTGACCACAGTATAAATAAAAACAGGTATGATTGACCATGGTATAAAATAACTACAGGTATGACTGACCACGGTATAAAATAAACACAGGTATGATTGACCACGGTATAAAATAAACACAGGTATGATTGACCACGGTATAAATAAAAACAGGTATGATTGACCACGGTATAAAATAAACACAGGTATGATTGACCACAGTATAAAATAAACACAGGTATGATTGACCACGGTATAAAATAAACACAGGTATGATTGACCACGGTATAAAATAAACACAGGTATGATTGACCACGGTATAAAATAAACACAGGTATGATTGACCACGGTATAAAATAACTACAGGTATGATTGACCGCGGTATAAATTACTACAGGTATGATTGACCACAGTATAAAATAAACACAGGTATGATTGACCATGGTATAAAATAACTACAGGTATGATTGACCACAGTATAAAATAAACACAGGTATGATTGACCACGGTATAAAATAAACACAGGTATGATTGACCACGGTATAAAATAACTACAGGTATGATTGACCACGGTATAAGATAACTACAGGTATGATTGACCAGGGTATAAGATAACTACAGGTATGATTGACCATGGTATAAAATAACTACAGGTATGATTGACCACGGTATAAAATAACTACAGGTATGATTGACCACGGTATAAAATAACTACAGGTATGATTGACCACGGTATAAAATAACTACAGGTATGATTGACCACGGTATAAAATAACTACAGGTATGATTGACCACGGTATAAAATAACTACAGGTATGATTGACCACGGTATAAAATAACTACAGGTATGATTGACCACGGTATAAAATAACTACAGGTATGATTGACCACGGTATAAAATAACTACAGGTATGATTGACCACGGTATAAAATAACTACAGGTATGATTGACCACGGTATAAAATAACTACAGGTATGATTGACCACGGTATAAAATAACTACAGGTATGATTGACCACGGTATACAATACTAAGTCTTGTAAGTAAAATTTATTAGTTTATTTCATGCAACAGTTTGTAAGAAAGATGAAATAAGATTTCCGTGTAACAAACAATTGATAGATTAGTTTTGAAATAATTTTAATCTCAAACCTAGTGCACATCATTTAACATTAATAGGAATGCTGTTCTAGTTTTTGTATTTTCTACACCCTGCATGATGCATGCTTGACCTGCTGTGTAGCTATGGATACCTATGACTTCTTTTCTAATATCAGGTTCTGTCTCTTTCTGCTTTCAATTAAAGCACATCAGCACTGTATAAACCAGATGGTAATCTCACAACCTCATATAAACAAACTACGAATTATTATAGATTATACGAGTTATGTAACAGTTTAACACGTACTGAAGGGATTGTGTTGAGCGTAAGGACGACATACAAGTCTGTAATCAATGTTTACAATGAGTATTTACCAACCAGGAATGGAAGTGGCAGCTAGTTTGGTGAAAGTCGCGCTCTCTGTGACAGTAGTCGTGAGAGGATGTGTCCCTTTTCAAAATGTGCTAGGCCAAAAAATTGGATCTTTTCTACTCAAGGTAACATGCCAATAAGGTCTGTTGTCATAGTTTAGATAGCACATTTTTTTTATCCTAATAATATTTTCTGACTTTTGTCGGCTTGGTCACATCCTTCCCCTTTGAAAATTAATATTATATTAATGATTTTTAAAGTAACATACTTCTATGACATTTTCTTGAAATGTAAATCCGGAATCTTTCTGATAAGATGTATTATTTATAAACAAAAATATATATCATTCACAAGAGAAAATACTGTAGTATTTGACTCCTATTTCCAGTTGCATGAGGATCATGGAGTGAAATTTTTCCTAGAGAGAGGCATCAAAGAATTTTCTGGAAAGGATGGTCATGTAACTGAAGCCGTTCTCTCTGACGAAACCAGACTGCCTGCTGACCTCTGCATTCTCGGAGTAGGTGGGTGTCTCTCATGTGCAAAGGGAATCTTATTGGATAGAATACTTGCTATCTTTATGCAAATACTTAAACTAGATAGATTATTTGGATGCATTACTACGTTATGATATCTTATAACTTTGCAACTTTGTCAGTAGGTATTGAACAAAAAATAACAAGAAAATATCTACATGTCAACATTATAATAATCCAAACTGAAATTCAATAAAGCTAGGGCAAAATATGAATGGAAGAAAGATTTACGCAGAGACTCCTGAAAAAGTACAAGTATGATAAGACCAGGTGTTCCGGAAGAGTAAGTGTCTTCTGCTTTGTGGATGTCAGCCGCCATGTCAACAATTAATGTTAACATCATAAAAGATGTTTTTCATTTTATAAAATTCTTTTTACAAATAATACTCAAGTTTTTTGTTATAGTTTTGCAGTCAGCTTATTTGTCACTCTGTGCCGAGTCAAAGGAAAGTATTAGATATGGTAAACTTGCAGAAAATATGTAAGAGTACGGGGTAAGTGCTGAGTAGTTTGTGATATATACCTGGAACTGTTCTCTGTGTTAACAGGTGTAGTACCTACAACAGATTTCCTTAAATCCTCCGGTTTAACAATGAATAGAGGCTTTCTAACTGTCAATAAGGTAAGAAACACAAAAAATTAGGAATACATTACTAATTTGAAAAATCTTTTATCTTAGAGAAAAAAAAACAAACAAAAGGAGTACGACAACCAATCGACAATAGAAAAATAAATTTAAGTTGCAAAAATGTTTGATAATAAGATGTTAGTGTAGGACTGTTTGACATAGAGAAACGTCTTATTTCCAGTTTATGGAGACTAATCTACCTGATGTATACGCTGCTGGTGATATTGTGGAGTTTCCACTGTTTACTGAGGGAGACAAGAATGTTAACGTACAGCACTGGCAAATGGCTCATGCTCACGGTGGGTACTCAGTCGGATTGTTCACATCTTACCATGATGGATTTAGGAAATTTAAAAATAAAAAACAGGATTAGACCTAAATATATTGACAAAAGAAGGTTAAAAAAGGTTCTTAAGAATCAGATGCAGTCATAGTGTTTAATTTTTTTATTTCACTGATTGATAAAACAAAGGTTCTGACGCAAGTGCCAGGATGTGTACAAGACAATTTTAAGTCCACATTAAAGAAAACTAAGATCTGATTAAGCCTTTTCCATAATGTTTACTGTTGTGACATATTTTTGTTTATTTAATTTGAATGTTTTATCCTACAGGCCGGACAGCTGCCTTAAGTATAGTTGGTAAGAAGACAGAGATAACTAGTGTACCTTACTTCTGGACTGTCATGTACGGAAAAAGTATCAGATATACAGGTAAGGACACTGTTTCACGGACACAAGTCAGAACAGAATTTGAATGCAATAGGTGACAAAGTTATAGTCCTGTACATCAAGAAAATTAGAGTATGCAGAAGAGTACTTGTGATTATTGTTAATTGAAGATTTATTGATTAGGGAATCTTGTCGTATGAAACAACACAGATAATTCAGGTTTGATAAAAAACCAGGATGAAGTATGAAGAAACATTTTCAAGGATACTAGGTATTTTGGAATTGTAAGTGTAAGCATCTTCTGCTTCATCGACGACACCCTCCAGTCTCCATTTAAAAGGTCTCCAATGAGAACAAGGTATACAACAATAGAACCAACAGGCAAATTAACGAGCACCAAACATGTCATTGAAATAGAATATTTCTCAATGAGATCATTAAGACGAACATAAAACCTCACCATAATCTTTGTCGACTTGCATCCTCCGAAACCCAATGTTTGTAAGTTTATCTGTCAGTTGTTGACATCTTGCACAAAAATCGTGATATTGGAAATAAGACATTTGATATCCAATTAACTGTGACATGTTAAGAAATTTGATATCGTAAAAGTGCATCTTTTAATTAATTCTGATATCTGTTTATCTATGATCCTACATTACAATGTCTCTCACAGGTTATGGTGCCGGTTACGATGACATCGTCTTTCATGGAAATGTGGACGACTTGAAAATGGTAGCATTTTACACCAGGTAAGTTAATAATTTCACAATTTTTCCAAGTGTATGTACACTTATGATCAAGCATGTTGTATTAATAACAATATGATCTGCCTGCTAACAGAAAAACAACAAATGTTAGTATAACCTGCTAGTTTTCTAGTCTGACGCTCACCGACCAAGCTAGAGAGAATTTATCTCTAGGCAAGCTGTAATTGTATTTTACTAGGGTTACATCCTCCCACTTCAGGAAAGGCCTTGTCTTCGGGTTTCCAGGGATTACAGTGTTACCTGTGAATGTAACTGAAGTATAATTCCTGAAACCTCACATCAGTTTACAAATGTCATTATTTATTTCAAAACCTCCTCTGGGATTAGAACCAGGGATGCTCCATCAAGCTAGAGAACTTCTGTCTAACTATGAGGTATATTGCAGCTAGTATTTTACCCGTGTGATGGTATCACCAGAATAATGACCAATACTTCTATTCTGGATCAAGTATCATCAGCATACTGACCAATACTTCTATTCTGGATCAAATAATTACTTCCGTCGTGTCTTTCCTTGATTTTAAATATTGTTGAACAATCTGGATTGATACAGAATGACAATAACCTTAATAAGTTAAACAGGAGAATATTACAATACATTCTTTATAAGGATGGATTGTTACCTTCATGCCTTACATTTAGACTTCCAGATTTCGATCCCCGAATCATACTTGGGATCACCTACCCGACTATGTCAGTTTTTCCCAGGTACTCAGATTTACTTCCACAGTAAGACCATGGGTGCACTTCTCACCGGGCCAATCAGAACTGATTAATATAAGCTGGTATCTTGTTTCGCAATTGTTGTAAAACAGTTAAGTTTATAACAAGTTTTAAATGGAATTCAATAAAATCACCTCCCTCGTGTTATTGCCAGGATATAATTGCTTCTGAAGGCGACTACTTGACCCTATAATTGACCCTATAGCAGATTCATATATGTGTAATGTACACCTTGGTGTGACCAATGATCACTAACAGTAAGGCAAGCTTTGAGATTTTTTTCATTTCAGTATCATCTGATTTCTTTTTCTGGATGCTATCATCCCATCAAGTTCACTTTCTACACAAATCACTTTGTTTGAACGCTAGCTATGTCTGGTTTGATGGAGCTGCGATATAAGTTTAATGGTGTTGATAATTGTGATCGTTAGTTAAAGATAATATGAAGAAAATAGGATGGAAGAGACTTTTTATTCTTTATCTGTATTTGTCATCAGAATAATGGTTGGAAGTACGCAGTACTTAGTCCATCAAAATATATTGACAGTCCAATGAATACACAAAACTCTGTTGTAGGGGTGAGGATGTCGTGGCAGTGGCAAGTTTAAACTTTGACCCCTTGGTGTCCCAAGCTGCCGAGATGATGGCTAAAGGTCTGAAGATTTCAAAGAGCGAGATTCAGTAAGTAGCATAATTAAGTTGTTACTATATTTAACATCATTAAGTTGTTACTATATATTAACATCATTAAGTTGTTACTATATATTAACATCATTAAGTTGTTACTATATTTAACATAATTAAATTGTTACTATATTTTCTTTGTCCTGTACTGTCATAGTTTCTATCAAAATTCATGATTTAATTAAATTGTTAACATTGTTAATTTTTTTATGCTACTGTTCCTGTTGTCAATGGAATATCCGGAAACAAAAATATGAAGAAAAATGTCCTAAACAAAATCGTAATTCTGATTCAAAATACCAAAAGAAGAAGGATTTAATTGGTCTTGGTAGTACATATTCAAGGACAAATATCGGATGTTTCAGAAGGTAATGATATGTGTGTTCTGCTTCATGCTTTATGTAAATGAAGATAATCATACTTTAATCACTTGTTTATTATAATCATAACAGATAAACTTGTTTCATGTTTAGCTGATAATGTACTAAAAACTTTTGAAAATTTTGAAAGAACTTTCATTTGACATGTTCTTTCTGTTTTCAGAGAGAAGCCCGATACTTGGGTTGACAAGCTGTGCAAGCTATAATTTTTTACCTCAACAAGACCAATTCCTGCTGGTATGAATTATTAATTAACAAAATAATTAATTGGGTGTGCAATTACTTGACAAATGTTGAATTTAAAGTTGGAAGTGAAGAAATGACGAAAGTTATCAAAACTCTTGAAAAGTCCATTATCTTTTCATCATAATTTACAATTCAGTGAGGATTGTTGTCCAACTGGTTTTCTGTTAAAAGCTGGATGCAGACATTTTGTCTTGAATCATGCAATTGTTTCACGGATGCAAATGAAAGAACAAAGTTGATATGCTGACACTTGTGTGTACATGTGTTTTGTGTAAGTATTGATTATTCATCGAATAAACATTTTAAAGACATCAGAATGTATCATTGAAGATAGAAAAAGTATAAGAGAATATTTCTATTGACCAGGGATGTATAATGTAATCCATTGTAATGATGATGAGTTACCATGTATGAGTGAGATTAGCTGGAATAGAATGAAGTAGAATAGAGTAAACTCATAATGTGTTATCAATATAACTTGACAATAAATTTTATACTCAGCTAAGTATCACATTATTTATCTAGTAGATATCTCAACAATGATTGGTATTTGGTAATGTAATCTGTCTGATGCACGCAATTCTGTCACCGACAGCGTTTCGTGTGGTGCAGTGGTAATGCACTTGCTTTTTACCTAGTCGTTCGTGGTTCAATTCCCAGAAAGGATGTGAAAAAGGTATGGGGTCACCAGCCCGAGAACCTCAATTTCCTTCCACAATAAGACCAAATCATCAAAAAACCACAATGACGTTGATTATAAATCCCACACAATGAAATTGACCATTAACCCATTAAATGATGATGATGATGACGTTCCATGATGACTCTGGTTTTATATGTACACTGTAGTTTATAGTGTAGAATAACGGTCAATACCAAACTACTTCTGGTACATGTTTTCTTTGCGTTCATCTTTTAATTTGATACTGCATCTAGGACTTTCTTGTTGTGTTGACTTAGTGATAAATTTAGTTCTTTTACTTCCTGTTTTCTTGTTTATTATTTTACGGATGCATTTTTGGTTGAACTTGAACCAATATATCAGTTTTTATTGTTTTATGTTGATGCTGGTTTCCTTCAGTAGTGACATTTTGTGTTCATGGTTTAACCATGTCAGCTCTACCGCAGCCGAATCCAGAGAATGTTTGTTTCCTAACTTCTAACGACCCATAGCAAAAGTAACAATTTAAATTGACAAGTATTTATTGAAATTTTGGAAGTGTTGTGATTATTGTATAAGATTCAAATCAATAATGATATTGGATTCTTTTACACATTTTCTACATCACCCTGACGAAATAGCAACACCACAAATCATACTCAGGAAATGCTGGGTATTCAACACTTTGTTGAATAACAACATTACCAACAAAGAACGACAATCACGAAAATATTTTTATTATGTTTATTATAATTAAACGATACATCAATAAATATGGACATATGAAATACACCAATACATAGTAAAACATGGGTGAAAACTGACTAGAACAAATCTCTGTACAAATGTATAATGTATAAGATGAAGGGAAGACAGAAAGGTATGATGGTATCAACCATCCACAGATACAGGACATGATAAAGAAATTCAACTCTACAAGGACATTTGTGTTGTTTACTTGCCTAAATGTTTCTGCCCGTTATACGACCATCATCATATACAGTACATAATACCGGGGAGACAGGGAATTGTGTCCGTGTAACTGCACCTGTACTCAGGTAAGTATCAAGTGCAAAATAGGTAGGTGTACAAGAAAAATGAGGTTCATACAAGGACTGAAGTAGTTCATTAAGACAAGACTTTCAGAGTAAGGGGATGAGTTAGGAGATACCAGGATCAGGGAAGTTCAAAAGATACTAGGATTCAAAAGGATTGATAGACATTGTAGTTAGGGCATACAAGGACTGAAGGAGGTCACTATGATAGAGAAGGTCATAAATAAAATTAGTAAACTATATTGATTACTCCAACATTGCAATATACATAACTGTTAAAGTATGTAATTATGTTTAAATATGTCCAGATACATATTCTTAGGACAACTCAACAATCATCAGTGAATATTGAATAGGAAAAGTTAACATTGCAAATATTTGGCATATCAGGACCAGTTAGGGCAGATACACCTCTACACACAGTCTATATAGTGTATCTGGTACCATGTTGGTAACCATGTTGGTAACCATGTTGGAGAGTTAGATCCTATGTCCCATAATTTCCTACACGGAATTCCTCAATCAAAACTCATCACCTTATAAGGGCATTGGTACATTTTGTTATTGAATTACCACAATATTTTAAAATCTTCCTCTCATCCCAACTGTGATGACAAACATAACATTTCTTTCTTTAATTTGTCCTTTTCAGTAAAGGAGATAAAAGAAAATTGTGATTGCATTAATATCAACAGTAACAATAATAACAATAGCAATAACAGTGTTATCTCTGTAGCACTAGGCAAGTTAAAAGCTAACATTAGTCCCATACAGGTTAATATCTTATAGCACTAGGCAAGTAGAGCTATGATCCAACCATTCAATAATTACTACCTGAAGAGATGAAAGAGGCCGAGTATCATTCATAAAGCTATCCCATAATTTTGCTAGGAACAGTACCGTCAGTCCTTACTCTACAACACATTTTTACAGTACAGTACCTCTACTCAGTTTTCAGGAGAGAAGCACCGAATCGGTAACAATTGGAAACAAGGGAAATAATTCATGATATGAAGAAATAAGACACGAAATTCTCACAGGTTGCATGTGTTTTTCACAAGTACTTCAAACAATAAGTGTTTACATCCTCAAGTTCACATTAAAGACAGAATGCATATAATAAAGACATGTTCTATTAAATGCATTTCGCAGTTTTTGGTTGAAATTTTGAAATTATCCAAAATAAAAAGTTAACTTCAAATGAAGTAGGATTGAATTTGCTGATTTTTTTCTTTTTCCTAAGTCAGTCAAAACATTCTACATGGCATTTTTTGATAATAATATTAATATACACATTGCTAATGACTAATTAAACAAGGTGGAAATAACAAAAGTCTAGACACCAGACTGATGTCTAGTGACAATGGTCCCTGCTATATCATATTTCCCTAAACAAAACAAAGCTTTCATGTTTATCTAGTTAAGTCAAATGATCAAACATCAGAAATGCCTTTAAACATGTTAAACAACTGTTGATTAAGAATAAGGCAAGTAATGTCTCACTCACACACTTTGTCTATATCTTATATATCTGTCAAACTATCTTTGAAAGACTCAAGTCCTGCTAATATAGACACATCAAGCACACTTCTTGTTGAGATCACTGAATGGATTTACATGAGTGGGTGTTATGATGCTTGAGTATATATGTATATAAAATACCTGTACAAGTTTTTTTTTTTACTCACACCTCAATAAATCAGAGTTATCCCCCTTTATCTACTATAAACATAGAGTTATCCCCCTTTATCTACTATAAACACAACTGTAAAATGGTGATGATCGATCACATGATGAATAAAGTTCATGACCTTTCAAAATACATAGTGTAATATCATTCAATCAATGAATCTGTATCATAAATATGATAGTCAACCAATTAAGATTACTTTAAATTATGGAGAACCACCCATCAACTTGCATACTAATCAGGCACTTCCATGTTCTTTTTTAATATCTCTGCTGATGCATTCTTTAAGATAAGAATTTGGACTTTTATCACTGCTGTTGCTATGGATACTGATTTTTCACAAAAGATAATTGATCTCTAGCAAATTAAAAAAGAGCTCCAATTGAGCCAGCATAATCTAGTCACTTTCATTCCAAATACATGAGCTACAAGTTATAAAACGCATTAAAAATATCAAATGCTTAAATCAAAATCTTTTAATATATTTTGTGATTTCCAACTAGATTCTTACCCACTCCCCCTCAAAAACACTGACAAAAACACTGTCTTGATAAGTCAAACAAAGCATTTTCTAACCCTTGACTGGATATTGGTAGGAACATCTAGCTTCCCTTAATCATTTTATGGCACACTGAGTATATTACAGATTAACTGAAGACAAAAACAATGATCCACTGGACAGTATCATCCAAAGTTCGCTCCTGCCTACAGCATTAACACCTCATCAATGCTCATGTTTCCATCATAGATAAAAGTCTTAGATTGGCTTTTGACCTCCAGTCTAAATTGGCAGTATCAAAGTTTGACTGATGAGCTTGGTACTGTAAATTCAGTGTTAATATCATATTCCACAGTATACAGTCCTTACAGAGACTGCCAGAGCCTTGTAAGGAGTCATTCCTGTCGTGAGAGTTACTGAAACATGTCTTGTTAAGTGGCCTGGATCCTCATTCGGTTAGAGATTATGTTGTGATAACATTCACAAATCCTGAGATATAACATTGTTTTTAGTCTGACCATTGGGTGCTATACACTTAAAGCACCAGTGGGAGATTAAAGTGCCCTTCAGCTCAGGGACAGATGAACTTCTTGTTGTCCACTTTGACCTTGATCACAATACAATCGTCTTTGATGTAATCACGGGACTTGAGGACATCATGTGATACAAACTTTGGGTAACCAAATCCCAGCGTGTCCTTGTCTGCATCTTTCAGAGGTTTCTGGAAATGCTTCCACGTAGGGTCAGGAGTAAAGCTCTCTGAAATATTGCTGCGTTTGTCCGGACTTGAACATTGGTCAAACAAACAGAATGAGATAGGAAGGGAGAAAGGCCAATCTAAGAGATTGTCATAGTCACCGGGGAGGAGCTTGATATACACTGACAAGTTTTTGCCTTCCCCTGCCCCATTTCCATTCAGAAACACAGACGCCACCATCTTGTAGCCATAGCGAGAGGTGTAGAAGGGCTCACTGACAATCTCCACACTTTTATACACAGACTCAAGGAACTTTTGTTTGTAGTTAGTGATGCGCCATATGAAGGTGCCATCTGTGACATGTGACAGTGAGTAAAGGGCATCACAAAGCTGGGTTATCTCCTCTTGTTGGCGATGTGACAAGTCACACATCAACTGCAGGTGGTGTTTCATATTTTCTTCCACATGTTTGTCCATACTGAATCTTGGGCACTGAAAAAAAGATATCAAATGGGAGATTATAACAGTCTGATCCCTAAAGCTTCTGAAGTCTGATAAAATTTATCATTTGGTAACTCATTAAGAATGCATTATCAATTTTTCATTCTTATGATGATGCCCAGATTAGCTCGAAAATCTTATATTACCTTAGTAAACTTTCAAATCCCAAATAATGAATCATAAGAGAATTATAAATACATAAGACCAAATTTCATGTTAAACGTCTATCTAGGAAGGGTAATTACAAAAAAACATAAATTATCATGTGGTTTTTACCTTGTGAGAACATCCTGCCTTTTTGAAGGCACAGCTAACTGTAGCAGATGGACAGAGGGCCTGGACATGGACATCTAGGTCCTCTCTTGCAATCTTGGTGGGGTCACAGCGATTAGGACATGTTACTGGAAAACGAGGACACTGGTACTGATGAGTCTGGAATATGAAAACATAACAATGAAACAAGGGTGATAACTGTCATAATCCAATCTAACAAGGGGATATAAACAGGGGAGACAATTATATCTAAATCCAAACTCTAAAAAGTAATGAAGCACAGCACAGAGGTTGGGGGAGTGGGGATAGTCAATATATTAAATCAGATGAAAATTATACTATTTCAAATAATAGAGATATCTTGAATGTGAAGAAATACCTGTAATGTTTCCTGTACAAATTCCCTCTTGCAGTAGGAGCATTCTACTGTGCGCTTGTGACACTCGTTTCTCATATGGTTGTTAAGGAAGCGCCGCTCTAGTCGGGCTCCACATTTGTTTTCACACCACATCACCTCAAAGGGACACTGGCCAGAATGTGTCTGTAAATATGCAAAAAAAATATTCCCATTTATCTGAGGCCTTTTAATATCACACCACAAAAAATTATAAAGAGAGTAACAACAGTTAAAATCCAAGTGGGCAATATATTTTGGTATGCATTGAGAAATTGTTGCGTATCAAAAAGGAATCTTTAAAATTATTATAAAAGAGTTTAGTAACATAAGGAGGACTATACTGGAACAAGTTTGACAAAGCCACTTTTCAGTGCACTTTACTGCTGAGAATTCAGACAGGACCAGTAAAACAGCTTATCTCAGTCAAGCACAAATAGATTCCTTTACAACACGTGTTTGAACCTTTCTAAAATTCCTTCATAGAATTACACTACAATGAGGTAACTGCTGACATGGAATTCTGTTACACCTAACAAAATTAAACACAGATAAGATTGATGTAAACTCCCTAGAAGGATAATTGAGATATCTTAATGCTGATAACAAAGTAATACTGCAGGTCGTGTCATGCTGATTCCAATTTGAATGCACACAGAGCCCCTATACACACTACGTTATATCCAAGTGCAGGAGTATCATTAAGAGTACACTTAACCCAGCTTCCTACAAACTCTACACAGTAACAGACTAACAATATTCTTTGATTGATTTTATTCTAAAATTTCATCTCCTAGCTATTCACTTAAAACTGAATTTTCAAGATACATTTGTTGGTACCCATATCTCCTTCATTGCTCCTTTTTCAGAGATGTTTTATTTTCCATTTCATTCCATCCCTTAAGATATATAAAAAAAAAATCCCCAGAGATATTTTGTCATTGATATATAAAAATATATACACAACTCACCCTCTCATATGTGTCTCCAGGAAGCTGCTGATTACAGAACTCACAAACCACAAGACGATTAGGACAGGAGAACTCAAGATGGTCCTCCAAGGATAGACGAGACAGGAGGGCTGGGCACTTGTTAGGGCAAGCTATATTGTCATAGCAACACTGGTCGAGATGTGACTGAAGATTATGCAGCTTGCCTACCCAGCGACACCCATCCTTATGGTAGCGACATCGGATAAGACTATTCATTACCTCAGACGTAAGATCATCATCGGGGTAGATCTGCAATCAAAATTTTTTCATGTAATTCTTAGAGTCAAAAACTGCAAGAAAATACTATTTAAGTATGCAACACACGAATCCAATCAGTTTAACAGCTGATTCTAATGTAACTGTAATGAATATAGAGCTGCTTGTGTTGCTGCATCTCATTTATCATATAACACAGGGACAAAACAATAGCAATCATCTACTTGTAAATACTTAATACACACTGAAAATTACCACAATTCATTTATGTTAAAGGTGACATAGACTACTAATAACGCTACAGAGAATACAACATTCCTCATGCCTATACTTTGTCTACAGTTTGTTTCAACATTAGCATGCATAATGCTTCCATCAGGGCTTGAACCAGCAACCCTCGGCCACTTTCCAGCCTGCCACTTTACAGATTTAACCAAAGGTAATATCCTGTTAGTGTGAAACTTGCAGGATAGAAAGGTACTATCAAAACCTGCTACATTAACTGATGCATATTGATAAACACAATACCTGTTCAACATCTCTACACAACTCAAGACATGACAACATTCTCGGTACTTGTAACATTTCCAGGTAAGATAATTATAATGTTCTATTCAGGTAACAGGTGTATGACAACACTGCATCAATGTGAGACTGAGCAAGAAAATCTGTGGAGTTGTTAATCAGAAAAAATCATTATGGCATATTATAAATACACATTAACCTGGAATGCATCCAAATCTCCCAGATAAAATACCAGAGCTACACCAGAAAACACAAAACTCATTAAAAATACATCCTTGATCCTTAAATGACCGATACAGAATATCCCAAACATTCTCTCCTAATATTACATCATAATCACCATAAATATTCAAAAGATTTCCATGGAGTATTCATCAGTCTGACCCCATGTTTTATTCAGAAGATGGTTCTGTCATGACATGAAGACAGCATAAAGCCTTCGATTTAGGCAACACTTGATATGTAGGAAGCATGTCATTAATGGGAGGTATGGAGTATAGATACAGCTAGTGCTGCACTGAACTGAGACGTATCACTAACATATCAAGAACCTACCCTAAGGACATAGCCTCTTTCTTTATGTAAATATTACTACACTGATGATTACCTCTTCCTGATTATTATTTCACTGTTCACAATGACTACAACAGATAATCAGATGATAAGGTTCCACATACTAGGACATATTTGCCTGGGGTAACTATAAACATTCCAAATTGATGTTTGATTATCTCCCCTGAAGTACCACTCAATGACAATGGATTTACATCAGACCCTGGTATCTTGTACTCTTTATCTGAACATGTAATCTTGTAGGTTGTGGAATTTTGACAGGTGTATGACGAGCTAGCTTTCTCAAATATCTCCTTGTACAGTTAAGAATGGAAACATTATCAGGTGATTTTACAGATAAAATTTGACTGGCCAAAAAAACCATTCAAAATGTTGGTTACTTCACAAGTCTGTGTTTATGTTTACGGATATATAGAAATACAATTATGAAATAAGTTTTTCCCTGAAGTAAATATATGGAATATTTGAAGCTATTCAGTATAGCACAGAAAATACCATTAATCTTCATCAGCAGTCTGATTGTCTGGTCTATAAGAACTGAAGCCTGAAATAAGAGACAATTTTGTGGATGTATATCTATAATTATCTCATAAATTTTAATGTATTGAGTAACATTACCCCTGAATGTCCCCAGCCTAGCGTCTACTTACCATTGTGATGGTAATCCCTCTTGCCCAGAACACACATCAGCATTCAGCAGTGTGTGACTGACAAATTGATTATTGATCAACATGGCTTCAAATAATACCATTTAATCCCATATATGGTAATATGTTTAAATTATCTGATGGATTATTGCTTTCAAATAAAAATTTAAATCTAAAGCAATTAATTATAATTGGAACGATTTTCTGTCCAACACCTGATGTGTGTTCTCGAGTTTGATGGGAGAATAAACACATATCAATTAGACCATATCATAAGATAATGCTAACTATTGTGTCCACAGACAAAGGTGAGTCATTGGGAGTACTTTCAGGTAGGTCAGTGTATAGGTATGTACACCTGTATAGCCAGGTTATATTGGTGTATTGGACACATGTATGGTACACAATATGACTTGCAGGTGTTGTTGTAACATTCCTACCAAATACCAACTATTGTCTCCAGGTATAAATCAATGGTATTAAAATTATAAATTGTCAGCAGATTCCTTATCTAGAACTTGTGCCAGTGATAAGGACCAGCTCTCTATTACCTACTAACACTCGCTGGGGGCAATGGTAACAGATCAAAGCTTTTCTGACCACCAAAGTGGAGAATTCCATGTACCTGTTGGTACTATTGTACACGCAGGATCAGATTTGATTAAGGACCATATCTCACTATACTGAGACTATAATGAACATACATTTGAATAAGTACAAGACTTAGAATGATTGGTTTACACCTCAAAGTGACTGTCAGTTAGCATAGTATGTTACATACAGCATCCATTTCAGGAGTTTCATAATAATGACACTGCTGAAAATTCTCAAAAATGTGCTCAAATTCCTATAGGCTAACTTTTGGTCCTATGAGAGTGATGCCCAAATTTATTTTAAGTACTGTGTATAGAATGGTTAGGAACATTTACCCCTTGTGTGCCCACCTTGAATGCCCACTTTTAGTGCCCACCTTCAGTGCCCAGAGTGGCCTGAGAATACCTATCTACTAGTATAGATATTCACGGTTAGAATCCCAGTTTTAGTGAAAGCACAATCTTTTGTATTTTGTATCCTGTTTTCAGTATCACCAACAATTTACATCTATTTAGGTTTATTTATACAGTCATGTAATTTGAATATTATTTTTCTAGGAAATACAGTTCAGGTAACAGTATTCAAATAAGGGAAAAGTTATGGACCCAGATCATCAATAAAGAATTCCAGTTTGTTTGGCAGGCCTGTCACATATTTAACAATATTCATGAAACACTAGATATGGTAATTAGCTACCTCATTTCATCCTTGGCTTATACTGATGATATATGGAAAATCAATGTGGTATTCTATATACAACAGCTACCTGGCTCTCTATAGCTGTTGGCAACACCTGTACATCCACCCTATATTATAATGGCAGATGAAAAAACACCTACCATACACAGATGGGATACAGCGTTAAGATGTCTTTTGTCATTTTCATTCTGTGCATCAAAGAAACACTATTTTATTCAAGGAAATGCTATGCATTCAAAGCACCTAAGTTACCAAGATCAGAATTACTAAGACCTTTATTTCGTTGAAACAATCACTGTAGCATGAAATAGTCTGTGATAAACAAAGGCATTTATACCATATGATCTGACGTAAAAAAACACAGGTCCAAATTAACAAATACAGTTTCCAAGTTTTGTTATTAATTAAGAACAAAATATACAAATTACATGTATGTCCTAGTTTTTGATGGGCACAGCTGGACCCTTTTATTATATGTGCCAAAATTTCAGAGATCAGGTCAGTTTGAGTTCAAGTCTGTGGGGATTTCAGGCTTTAGCCCCCAAATTTTCTCAGCTGTAAAGTCAGCTGATGTATTTTGGTGGTCTAATACACCTCAACAGCTGTGTAAAGGTCACTATAACCTTGCTTACATCATCACCAGGTGCAAGTCTCCTGAATCTGGAAACTTAGGAACAAGTGACCCCAACTTTTTTATCAATATTTCCACATGTGGTCAAACTCCCATAGAACATGGAACTGTTTGTCTCCCATGAATACATGCAGGCTGTTTAAAAGGTCAACTTTAACCTGCCATAACTAAGCTTTTGCTGACAATAAAATTTTGATCATTATACTGCAATTTAGCTATCGTTACTGAGAGTTTATAGTCTATAAATATTTAAACTGCTTATTTTTTTCTTCAAATCAATCTCATATGGTTCAAAATGTAGTATGATGCTTCATATTAGCATCTGTTTTAGGTTCCATGCTTTTGAAAAAAAATATGCGATTTATGAATCAAGTGAATCTATTCAATGAGAAAAAGTGATAAAATTTTACTGAAACTTGGGTGGCCATTCAGTACTAGGTGACCTGACATTAAAAGTAACAGTGCTGTGTTTTGGGAGTTAGCACAGCCTCTGGGAACTACAACCTGACAGACAGTCCTCTAGTACAGCATGTGAGATCACAGGTGGTACATACACAATTAATCTCACACCCACGGAGAAGACAGGAGGTGCTAAAATGACCTTACATTGATGAGAATACCTGATAACAATACACAAACATTTTCTTATATGTAGTAAAATGTGTTACATGCTAAAATTACCTTACATGTTGCATTCCACATATAAGACTCCTAACATGCATTTTAAAGCCATCTGTAGTACACGTACAGTTTGAAATATAGCACGACTATGAAAACAGGAGAAAATTATTCAACAGGTAACATATTGTACATGCATCACAGGCAGAAAGAGAAATTTCAACAAACACTACCTGACATTTCCTTTCATAGAGTGAGGAAGATTAACGGACTTGTAGAACAAAATTCTCATTGTCAGCTGATTTTACACAGTGAAAACATATAGATGTCAGAGTGTAAACGTTCCTATTTTCAAAATTGCTCTATCTTACAACAACACTAAATTTTTTAACCACAGCATACAATATGAAGTAGATGACAATTAAATTTGTGAGACACAGTAAAACTTACCTGATGTACACCTGGCTGACCAGGCCTGAGGTAGATAGTACACAGCAAAAAGAGCCTGTACAATCTACCCAGTCACCACAATCATCAATGTCCTAGTGATTCAACTTCCCCTGATATGTCAAAAATCAATGGATACACAGCCATACACCACACTAAAATACTGTTTCCATGGCTATCCTAAAGATAACATTCCTCCTAAACAGATCAGCCTATCAACAGTATCACAATTATCAAGATGTGAAACTGTGAAGAAATGGTTGATTGAGCACGATGATGGTCAATATATCACTAATCTTCTAATACTGGCCTCAGAATTCAGCGGACTGGTCGTGTCTTTACAGCTGGCCGAGGCTATAATTAAGGTTTAAAGTGTTTATGGTGTGAATCATCATAGGATGTATATAATCTGTCTGTAATGGACTGACCAAACTTGACTGTCCAGTCTCTTACTGGACCACACCATCTATCGTTTACAGCTGGGACCACTGTGTAAGTATACAGCAGGCCTCAAGGAGTACGCCCTAGATGACAACCTGACTTAAAGTCACTACTACACCCTTCTGTTAAGTAAATATCAGTGTCCACATAAACTTCCATTAAACAAAAATCTCTTTGTCAACACTTCAGTAAGTCCAGAAAAAGGTGAAGATTACAGTTAATAACAGTATGTACAATTACAAGAGTACAGGTTTAATGTTGTGTGATGTAATATAATTAAACTTATTATCAGTAATGTTGATCACTGACTGTATAACACTATAAATGATCCTTTTGTATATAGAGGTACACTGTCCTGTTGTATATAGAGGGACACTGTCCTATGGTTCCGTTATTTAAACTGAAGGGGCGTCCTTAAGTCATCACCCTTTCATTCCATTTACTGGCAACAGTCATTTCCTTTGTCATCTAATTGGATTAAAAGTGTCCTTTTTACCTTAAATAAAAGAATATCCAATGAACATTCCCATCTGTCTCCTTACCACCGATTTGATGATCTCAGTTCCCTGAGGTCAACATCATCTGCATGTCCTGTTAGAAGTTGTATAGTAACCTAGCCCAGCTCATTACAGGGTGTAGAGGGGATAATGACCACGCCGGACAAATAGCTCACACAAAGGGACAACAGCTGACATCCCCTACTGCCTCGAGTCCCTTTTACTGGTCCAATGAAAACCAATCAATACAATCTGTCATCACAATACCATCAAATGGATTTTATACTCCTCATAGGCATGTTCACTATTTTTTCTCCTATTAAATCCAAGATTGATTTTCCCCGATAAATGATCAATATCCCGCCAATCTTGTGAAACGAATTCAAACATTATAACAAGTATGACATCAACTACTGTCAACAGAACAGCAAGCACCTGCTGTAACCCAACTCAATAAAAGGGAATGTTGTGGGTACAGTCTAGTCAATATAATACCCTTGTCAATATTTACAAAGTCAACTGTGGCTAAACATGGAAAAGAAATCAGTAGTAAATTGTACTGTGATAACAATACACTATTGATATCAAGAATGAATGAAGATTTGTACAGCGTTGGACACTGTTTGGTAGTCACTGACAGATTTAGTCCTGTATGCATGCAGTAAAATGTGCATGAGTTACCTCTGGTATTATATTACACGCAGCAGCATGTAAGCTCCTGACATGCGATAAAATCCCAGTCATAAAACCACATCCTTTACACAACGATGATTAAAAATGTTCAACAAACATGCAATTTGCTACTGTAATGTTAAGGATAAGCTGAAGGAAAATAGACAGAATTGAGAGCAATGAGTGTGAAGAAAGGGTTGGACATCAAAGACAGATTGAATGGTATTACTTGTAACACCTTGAGTTGTGGTAGCTAGGCCATCTAATTGAATATCATACTAGAAAAAGGTTTAAAATAGCTAACAGAATCAATACACTGTTCAATAGAAATTGCGGTCTGTTACACTTTACCTGTCTACACTGAATGGATGCTGTTCTACTGAAAAACCATGGTATAGAAATGACACCTAGATGCAATGATGTAACTTGTTAAATTCCTCTGCATTAGACCAGAGTGTGGCTGGTATAAACTCCATGTCTACCAAACTTTTTCCTTCATAAATTCATTTTTACACATCCTTATGTTGTAGAAAATTAGATAATGCTTGCTTCCTGTTATCTGCTTCATCTATTTTACCTCCTCAATGAAACATTCATTTTAAAATAAATACATCATCTGCCCTGGATCATCTAAATTACGGGTAGTTCTGAGAGAGGTTTCATGAACACAGTCTGTTAAATGAACACTATTCCAGTATCCTATCATTTTCCATGCATGATTACTTCCCTTGATGAGCTTGATTGATTCCCTTGTTGAGCATGATTAACTCCCCTGATGGGTGATTGCCTCCCCTGAAGGGATGATTTAGTCATGTGCAGAGTTTATAGAGGGCACATTATCCATTATTTGGCAGCTGTAAAGGGACTAATGTTGCAGCTTCATGGTCCAGAAGACACAGCCTCCACCCTATACTGACTGTGTTGGCAGTATATGTGATTTAAAGTAGTTTCCCAGTATCACATTGATATGTAATGAATGAGTATATTCAATGAGACTAATGGTATAAAACACTTTACTTGACTGTTGTATGCATCAGATAACTAAAGACAAACAATGCATTTTTATGTCAATACTATACTAAGCCATATATACAAGAGATTTAGAATTAACAGTGTAGACATTAATTGGTATTAGTACTTACACAGACTCACTTTGTATCAAGCAATTATAACATAGGACATTTCTGTGCAATGTTTGCAAACTTTGTTGTTTGCAAACTTTGTCATTTACATCTGCTATAAATTACATAGTATGGCAGCTCAACAATCCTTTCTATATATATATATATGTTGTTGCCTTAAATACAAAATTTGATTCCATCTAAATTTCCATTACTAGTAGTATCACCCATTAGATGAAGCAGTCATTTTGAAAGATTTATCATATACTGTCACTGTCTTTATGGTAACAATTATGATGCTGTAAGGGCATACAATCTTAATAAACTTCTATTCCTCTCATCTAAGTCAAAATCCTTTCTATTATCTTAGCTTAAACAAATGTACTACCCTACTCATTTCTTGTAAGGCCAATGGTCACTCCTGCCCTGTTTCACTCATATCCAGACACTTCTGTCACACAGAAAATGGCCAAGTGAATTTGTCTTCAGTCAATATAAAAACAGGTGTTCACGATTGAAGTCACACACACAAGCATCTATTTGTTAACATATTCAGTGAGGAAATGGAATAAAAAGGAAACTTCCTGCCTTCTATAAGTTAGTAAATAAGAAGAGACTTCCTTATCTAAAAAGACTTAGTTACAGTATAATTATTTCAAGGATGATCTTATATAAAGCGACCATTCACAGGAAGCATGCTTGTCAGGTGCTCACATTCATGATCAATTTCACACTCTGTTTATTGATAGTGAGGAGGTCACACACATCACAAACATTCAGATTAAAGGATTATGTAATTAGTGATTGTAACAAATTAATGAAACATACCTGAGCATAATCTAAAGGCTTATCATCTTCTGGACATTTGAACACACCAGCACTGCAAATACACAGAAAGAAAAACATCAGTACAAGATATAGATCAAATTCTTAGGGTACAACTGCTTGAAGAAAAAATAGTGTATCTGTTTACAAACAGTACCCAGTGTAGTAGAAGTGTTTGTCATCACAGGACATATAGGTCCCTAGGAAGTTCATCATACCAGCTTAACGTGACTCCTGACGAAATGGAGCATGACATTCCACTATTTGACAGTTCTATGGGTAACTATGGTAATGAAATAGGTAAAACCCTAATCTTATTTCACACCTTATTGACAATAGAGATATATATACCCAGGGCAAACAATTACCTGATGTCTTATGTAACACATACCAGTCCCGCACAGGAAGTCACACATGAATGTTAATGACTTTTTCAGGCTGGGTATAAACAAGATCTCATCTATGACAGGTCTTACCACAGCTTACAACTCTGCTTACAACTTACAGATGTCAGAATTGATTTATTTTAGATCACACTTGACTTGTTCAGTGATATACAGAATTTCACTTTATTGACATCTGTCTATATTACACAAAAGAAATGGAAAATACTGAAGATAATTCTTCTTTCTCATTGCCAAGTCAATATCAGAAACTGATAACATTTGCTGTGAAGTTATATTCTAGTTGATCGCCATATTACCAAATGAGGTTTTTTTAGTGTCCTGGCTGAATATTAAATAGTGATTTGTTCAGTGTCACCCTCTCCCTCATCGATATCCGCCCTAACCAAGAATCTCCAAACTCCAAACTTTGTACCTGGAGAGTAACCAAAGAGTCCAGGGAAGCCTGACAGTACAAGCTTTGGAGTCATCAGGTACAGAAACTTGGTTCAGTAAATACTGATTTGAATCTAATGAAATTATTATGTATAAAATGAATCAATCCACAGACACTGCTTAAATACATTAATGATTCCTTATTAAAGTCAACATTTAACTAGGCATGCAAAGTATTATTTGTATCAGAAGACCAAGAATGTTCACAGACCTGTTTCCCCTTTGAAGTGTTATAAACTGTTTAATTCAACCACCTACAGATAAAGTTCTCATCAATTTAACCTACCCTAAAAGATTGATAGATCCATTGTATATCAAACTAGACCAATTTAAAATCCAAGTGTTTGCATGTTGTTGTAGATTTTAAGTAGCACATATCATAGAATAAAATCTTTATCAAAATTTAGAATTAATAAGTCTTTAATATTTCACATACCTGACAGGTAAGAACAGGTGAGACATTATCATCAGCCACAGGTATTGCTCCCCTAGCTACTCGATACACACCACCACATCAAACACTAAGGAAAACTTTATAAGCATGTCTCATCACCATAAGTAGACCCAGTAGGTCTTCACCAATTACTGTATAATTCCAATGTAAACAGGAACCAGTAAATCAATGGGTGTTATTATACCTAGTATCCCTCTATCCCTAGTTCAAAATTTTAGTAACCCCAGACAGAGATAGCATCTAAGGAAACAAGCAGAAAATTGTAAATTTCCCATCAGATGTCTATCTCACCATGACTTACACTGTATGGGACAAGGAAGGAGCCACATTGTCAAGACAGACCACCTTTACCACTCTGGGGGATGGTATTTGTACCCAAAACTGTCTAAAGAGGCCACTTTTACCACTCTGTGGGATGGTATTTGTACCCAAGACTGTCTAAAGAGACCACATTTACCACTGCATGTACAAGTGATGTACGTAAACTGTCTAGACAAACTTAACCACTGTATAGGACAGTGTTCAGAAACTTTCTTGAGAGACAATGTTTACTACTGTATGGGAAAGTGTTTGTACAAAAACTGTCTAAGAAGACCACCTTAACCCCTGTGTGGGGCAGTGATGAATAGAGAAACCACCTGTTCTTCATCACTAAATGTGACAGTAATATGTACAGACACTCTCTAGAGGGACCACCTTTTTCACTGTAGGGAACAGTGATGTGTACACAGAAACTCTCTAGAGGGACCACCTTTTTCACTGTAGGGGACAGTGATGTGTTCACAGAAACTCTCTTGAGGGACCACTCAAGAGAGACAACATTTGTCATTATATGGATTGTTTACCCTGGCCTGTAGTTTAACTGAACCCTACAATGACTAAACAGCATTAATACATAAATATCAAATAATCATTATTGAAAAAAACATCTCAATCTGTAAAGTTTAATCAGACCAAGTGAAGCAAACTCACATATAACTTTCCCAAATCAATGATCTCCAATGACTGAGCTAATCATGTGGACCAAACTATGTCCTTTTGGTATGCTTAACAATGGGTAGTCTTTCACCTCCACTCTCTGACAAACACGACAACGTCATTATCAGTGTTACAATCGGAGAAACAGATATTGTCAGCTGTATTAGATGACCCCATTCCTGTGACACAACACCGAATATAACTCTAATACAACAGTATTTTTTGTGATATGGCTCCTAAAATCTGTCAATACAACAGCTGTTAATCTCTGAGCTACACAAACAATATTGATCCCAAATTCTCCCATAATTTACCGTAACTGTATACCACAAAGACAAATCTGTACATATATTCAACAAAGGTGTCCTACAGTTATGGATCTGTTAGGGGGAAATGAGTGACTAGAAGGAGGGAAACTTGATCTCCAATCTGTTCAAAATCTGGATTAATCACTTAGGATAGCTTGACGAATAATCTACATGAATCTCATTTATACTTGGGTTTTAATTTTTAATAGGCACGCTAAACACACAACTTGTCTGATTTCAATGATGCTAATAAATATTCTGCCATTAAAAATTCAACGGATACTTTTTCCCCCAAATACATAATTTTAATTGATCAGATATTTCTGTACTTTTTTTTGTGGTAGTTTTATCATTTTGCAAATATCAATTCCTTTTCATACGATACTAATAGCAAATCAGATGACAACTTTGATTTCAACTTGCATCATATCCTAAACTTTATACACAACGACCCTGATTTATTAAACCCATTAATGATGAAATCATCATCATTGACAACTTTTGATATGACAAAAAGGTATTAAATTTTAAATACAGTCATATATGCAATAATTAAAAAATATGACCAAAATGTGTTAAATTTTAAATAGTCATATATGCAATAATTAAAAAATATGACAAAAAGGTATTGAAAGTTTTAAATACATTCATATATGCAATAATTAAAAAACATTTTTTATAATTAATGGAACACACCAGATTGCCTCATTCATATGATGTTCTATTGCAAAAACGCACAAAATATACATTCTGTTACTTAAGATCACTTACTTTTTCATTTGTTTCAACATCTTAATACTGGCTCTAAGAATGTCGTCCTTTCTGAGAGCAGGCATCTTTCTGTGTAACACCCACAGGTTTTGAAGTAGACTTCTACCTCTTCTATACACAGCCTACAGGTACACCTTACACTTTACTGTAAAACTGACCGGCTAACAGTAAAGACTGACCTGTCCAGCGACTTACTAACGGTACACTGACAGTTAGCACCAAAGTTAGACAGATTATACTCCTAACTCTAAACATTCCACTACCTTCAATTACCTCCTTCAATTTTTCACCACTTAAATTTTAACCTTGTGACAATCAACTCTGAACTCAACCGGCAGATGGTAGAGGCAGGTGACGGGCTTCACCTCAAATCTGATTGGACGCATTTGAAATTAAGAAATTCCAGGCACACTTCCACCTGCTAAATACCCAAAGTTTTTGACAAGAATGGTCGGAGGGCTGCCTTTAATTCAATAGGGCTATTATAATTTTTCGTTTATTTGAACTTGGCCACGCGCCTTTGAGAGATATGATAATACAGCACTCTCCTGGACTGGACTGAGTTGTCTTTTGAAGTTGGAGTAAAGATGTGGACAATGACGATCTGTATAAATTACAAATTGAATGGTGGAGTAGGGTACAACCTGAGATCAAATATTAAACTTCTGCAGTAGGGAGGCCGGCCAGTTTGTCCTCGGACATCGGTCCTCAATAGGTGATAGCACTGACCAACAGGTGGACGGAGATTCTAGGCGGAGTCTGTAATGGCCTTTCAGAAAACAAAATCACTGGAACACGAGCCCCATGATGGGGATCTGATAGGATTCACAAAGCATGAAGGGGGGAGATCAAAAAATATGTTTAGGCATTTTAAAACTTTGATGCACGACATATTGGTGATGATGAGATAGGTATGAAATTCATCAATCCCTCAGGTGTGAAATATATTCCAAGTCTACCAACTGTTATATGGTCCTATCAAACATCCTACATCTCACAAACCATACAGCCCAAACTTCTACAGGCAGCTGGGTAATGACACAAATCAAATTAATCAATAATAATAATTTGTTCAGGATACCTGAAGCAACATTCCAACAGATTTTATTGGGCCTTGCTTTTTAAATGTTAGAGATAAAAATGAGAAGAAAAAAAACTGGTTATTGTGAAATGCCAATCAATTAAATTATCAATATTTTTCAGTGCGTGTAAGACCAGTGTAGCATGAGACTGTAAGCTCTTGCCCGTATACCTGCTGGAGAAACAGATAACTACAATGCACCAAATGACAGCCATACTGATGTCCTCTAGAATTGATATTGATTTTAAAAATCAAAACAACAGATGTAATCTACAATAGACTTTTCTCGTTTTTTTTGCAGCAAATTTCCCACATATGTGCCAAAATAAGATAGATGTTAATAGAACTGACCATAAGGATGTTGCATAGCCGTCCAATACTGTTCACCTGGTACAGAGGGAACAATCACGTACAATAATGTATATAACATTATTTTCGTTACCTTCCAGAAAACTAGCCTTTTCAGAAAAATTAGTTACAATATACAAATATTCTCAAACAGAGTTTTCTAACAGTCAGCATGTATAAAGATATGGTATCAGTTTTATATGTCATTCATGACCTTTTCATGTTTATACATATCTGCACAAATTGTTATGTCAAAGTATTTCTAGGTTTGGGCTT